TATGAACAACTTAGAAATATTTTAGCAATTACACTCCAAGTTCCTTGCGGAACTTTTCGTATAATTTGCTAAAATGTTCCCTCCTCCCCCCCTGTGTTCCCCCCCACCTGAGGGAACACTCCTTGGTGCATAGCCTACCCGTGAGAGCACCAAAGGGGACAATGATCGAGAATCGAACACTGGCCCACGGTGATGACGAGCACACTAAAGGGTAGAGGGGTCAAAGGGCAATATTAATTCATACTGATTCAATATAAGTGTCATACTGAATATTTTACACATTCAGCAATGGACTCTAACTGCATCAGTACCCCCGACAAAAAGGAAAAAAATATCCCCCCTATCAGAGTATTCTGACTCAAAGGAAAAAAATATCCCCCTTATCAGAGTAATCCTGGTAAGAAGGAAAAAAACTCCCCCCTTACCAGATTATTCTGACAGAAGAGACAAAATTCCCCCCTTATCAGAGTAATCCAGTAAGAGAGAAAAAACTCCCCCCCTACCAGATTATTCTGACAAAGGAGAAATACTTTCCCCTTAAGTCAGATTTCCCCCAGAACTCAAAAGTCTCCCTAAGGAGTGCACTAGAGTTGCCCCCCAGCTAGGCAACTTTCCCCCAGATCCCATCGACTTAGTCAAATTTCTAAGACTTAGTCAAATTTCGTCCAAGTTCCACACTCAGACTTACTCCAGGAATTTCTTCCCAGACTTCATCACTCCCCCAGACTTCATCATACTTCCCCCAGATCCATTCAAATTTCGCCCAGACTCCACGTCCAGACTTACCCCAGGAATTTCTTCCCAGACTCCTTCAAACTTCACCCCCAACTTTCAGCCAGGTACTGCCCCCAGCTACGCCTAGGAATTTCTTCCCAGACTGCCCAAGGAATTTCCCCCAGGTCTTACCATTTCGGCCACCTTCCAATGCGGCCTTACCCTATACATATTCTAGGGCTTGACATTAGCTCGGGGCATTTGCCACACTGAACATCGTGGCTGTGTAAAAGTCAATTTTTGACTTTTCACTAAAAGACTTATTCTAATTCAACCAAACCATCTGTATATGATACAGAATTCTTTTCTGATTCAGATTCTATGTTTTCTTTTTATAGGATTCACTTGTTCCTTTTTGAGAAAAATTAAAAAAATATGCTTTTTACTGCTTTCAGAGCGAATATCTCCACAACCAATCGCAGTAGAGATCTCATTTAAGTGCCAGTATATTGCTTTTAAGTAGGATTACCCTTGGTATAAATTTGGTGGCATTTGGTCGACTTTAGTTTTTTTAAGTAAAAAATCACTATAAATATGATATGCTCACAAATGCCTTTTTTTAAATAATCACACTAATAACGCGTCTATTGAAGTAAAACTCTCACAGTTTATTCAGATTTACAGGATGATTGTAAATCTGTTTTTAATTTTTTAATATCGCGTCTTTTGGGCAAGTTAGAAGCATTTTTCTTTTTATCATAATTCATCCACATTGCCAAAAAAGGTAATTACGGACATTCATTCTTTTTTATAAAGTGCATTCATTCATTCTTTCTTTCTTTTTTTTACAATCTATATTCAATCATTCCTTCTTTTTTTTTTTTTTTTTTTTTTTTTACAAAGTACATTCATTCATTCATTCTTTTTCTTTTCTTTTTTTTTTTTTTTTTTTTACAAAGTACATTCATTCATTCTTTTTCTTTTTCTTTTTTCTTCTTCTTTTTTTTTTTCTTTTTACAAAGTACATTCATTCATTCTTTTTCTTTTTCTTTTTTTCTTCTTCTTTTTTTTTCTTTTTACAAAGTACATTCATTCATTCTTTTTCTTTTTTTACAAACTACATTCATTCATTCATTCTTTTTTTTTCTTTCTCACAAAGTACATTCATTCATTCATTCTTTTTTCTTCTTTCTTTTCTCACAAACTACATTCATTCATTCTTTCTCTTTTTTTTTCTTTTCTCACAAACTACATTCATTCATTCCTTTTCTCTTTTTTTTTTCTTTTTCTCACAAACTACATTCATTCCTTCTTCTTCTTTTTTTTTCCTTTTTTTTCTTTTCTCACAAACTACATTCGTTCATTCATTCCTTCTCTCTTTTTTTTTTTTTTTTTTTTTTTGTTTACCGCGTTTCGTCTTTTGTTTCCTTCTCCTTTTTTTCTTTCCTTCTTTTTTCCTTCTCTTTTTTCCTTCTCTTTTTTTCTTACAACTATTCAACCAATCCATTCATCCCTTTTTACTTTCTCTTCATCTTTCTCTTCAGCATTCAACTAGCAACGATCATATTAATCACATCACAGCATCATGCTACAAAGTAAAGATGAAAACAAAAAACTATAACTGACGTTTCGTTTTTTATTTCTTCTTTTCTTTCTTTTCTTCCTTTTCTTTATTTCTTCTTTTATTTCTTCCCTTCCTTTTCTTTATTTCTTCTTTTATTTCTTCCCTTCCTTTTCTTTCTTCTCTTCTTCCTTTCTAAACTACCTCCACCAAGCAATGGCTCAATCAATCAAAATACAACAATTAAAAAGGTAAACTCAAATAAACCAAAGGCAAGCTTATTACAAAAATACTCTTCCTAACTTTATTCCTTTTGTTTTTCTCTTTCTCTTTTTTTTATTGTATACAGTATACATAATTCGTTCTTGATCTCTTCTTTTTTTTTTTTTTTTATCTAGATACACAAGTACTTACTACTTCAATTTGTACAGAAAGATAGACTGACAACTAGGATGAATATACAACAGGATCAACAGACGGAAGGTAGATGGGAATAAATTGGACGGATGAACATACAACTGGATCTTATCTTACTTGACGCTTTGAATGGATTGCTTTAGTTATAGATACAGTAGTGTTACCATGTTCAGTATGTCATCTTCTTCAATAAAATTATATTCATATTATACCATTGTGTCTATCATCTATGTCATTATTTTCGCAAGTCGTCCCCATTATCATCAGCAAATGTTATCAATATACCAATATTGTAAGAAGCCAACATCAACCACTAAATTACATGGAGTTTTTTTTTAGACACAGTGGATAATCATCATTTTTACTAGGTATATTATTCTTTCCTTTTTTTTTTTTTTTTTTTTTAGTACTGAAAACTGTACTGAACGATACAGCTGTCAATATCTATGGGAAGAATACAGCAAAGACTGATAAATGATATAGCAATACGCTTTTGTCTTATTATTATACTTATAACTTTGAAACATTTCTCTTATCCATATATGTATACCATGCTAACAGAACTATCACTACCCTTCATCCTCCTCCTTTTACTATAGAAAATAATAACATATTCTTGTTTTATTTTATTCAGTTGATTTTATTTAAAAAAGTATGTCCAAACAAGTATAAACCATTTTTTTCAACATCTACTTGTCATTTTTTTTTCCTTGGTGATTGTTTTTATGATGTATTTGCTTCATTTAATCATATTGACGTTGATAATGATAATGGGGAGTTTATAAATCTGTATTTATGGCGACTACACCAATGATGATGACGATGATGGTACAATCTTCTTTTTACAAAAAAAAAAAAAAAAAGATACATTGATTGTCTAGCTCTATTTTATCTGATAATTGTTGACAATACTTGAGATTATTGATGATTATGCGTAAGACTTTATTGAGAAGATGATACACTATGCACACCACTATCTATGACTGCTACTACTACTATTATTGTAACTATCCGTAAAAGAATCATCCATGATAAAAAAAAAAAAAAGAAGGAGATAGAGAAGCCAACCAAAATCATAGGAGATAATCAAGAAGAGAGATTTTGTCTAATAGTTGATCCATCTGTATATTGATCCTTCTGTATATTGATTCTTCTGTATATTGATCCTGCCGTATATATGCATCGAGTTGTACGTCCATTCGTTTCGTTGACCTTGTTGTATAATCATCTAGTCATATTCTATTGGTATAAAATCATGGTGAGTAATTTTGCATGGATCAATATTTCTTCGTCTTTTTTTTTTTTTCTTTTCTTTTTCTTTTTAGACTTACGTTGTGTACTAGTAGCTGTCTATAGCGCCAACGAGGAAGGATTTTGGAAAAAAAAAATATATTATTTGAGGTAGACAATAAATGATGGATGAAATAATAAAGTTTGAAACGATTCGTGTAGAAAAGAAATAAAGTAACATTGAAAAACACCAACCACAGTAATAGTAATTCTTTTTTTTTTTTTTTTTTTGGGAACTTACCTTAATAGTGATATTGTAGCTAGTTCACACATCTTACGGTAATACAATCGATAGTTGATGTTGCATGGATGAAATAGACTTAAAAAAAAAGGAATAGAATTAAAAATACAGAATAAACACACAAACAGTAGCGTTCTTTTTTCAGCTTGCCTTCCTATTCTATTATTGAGAGAAGAACCGTTGGTGATATGACGCATAATGTCCAATACAAGTGTCCAAAAAAAAAAAAGAAGTATCGTCGTTAATTGTTGATGAGGACAGTCCCCAGTTTGTATCACCACTATTTACCTTCGAGGAAGATGTAAATGATGAGTTTGAGCGGTACCAGTGGATATAGCTACGATATAGATTCAAACAAAAAAAAGAAAGAAAGAAGAGATCAATATCATATAAAGTTGGTAGCATAATAAAATAGATTCACCTTATCAAAAGTGAATAACACGGAATATAACAGGTTAAAGTTACTTGTTGTTCCCTTGTATTAGCTAGAAGGTATTGCACAAAAGAGATGGAATGATCGAGTTAATCCATGAATACGATGGATATGTATAAAAAATATCTTTTATTATTATTATTATTATTACTATTTTCATACCTTGCTTTGGTTTGTATTAAAGGATAAACGTACAATAAAAGAAAAAGAAAAAGAAAATAACGCTTTTGGTGCAGGAAACAAGTTAAAAAGCGGGGTCTCAAATGGTAATTTTTTTTTTTCTGTGAGTGACTATGAATCTCAGCCTAAGATACACTTCTTTTCTTTTTCTTTTCTTTACTCATAAAAAAAAAAAAATGGTGAAGAACAGTGATCCAAGCGTGAATGAAAACGATTTTTTGCTTGCAGCATTAAAAGCAAATCAACGTGTAGATGGCCGTGGAATATACGATGTACGCTCTATAGAATTAAAGTTTGGATCAGATTATGGTCAAGTAGAAGTACAACTTGGTAGAACAAGGTAAAGAAGAAAAAAAAAAAAAAGAGTTTATCAATGCATAAAAGTATTGATGTGTATCGTTTGTTTTTTTTTAATATATATATGTATAGAATCTCTGCGACCGTTTCAGCCCAAGTGATACGACCACGTCAAGATAAACCTACAGAAGGACAACTCGTTTTCAACACAGAAATATCACCCATGGCCAGTCCTTCATTTGAAGCAGGAAGGTAATCGAAAACAAGACATGTATCACCGTTACTGATTCTTTTTTTATATAGTCGTTCAGAACAAGAAGTGATGATTAGTCGACTGATTGAGAAGTCTATGCGTCGTAGTCGTGCTATTGATACAGAAGGTTTATGTATAGTTGCTGGGGAAAAGGTGTGGCAGATACGGATAGATCTTCACTTTTTAGATCATGATGGCAACTTGGTGGACTGTGCTTCTATTGCGGCAATTACGGCATTACTACATTTTCGACGACCAGATGTGACTGTAGTAGGAGAAGAAGTGACTATTGTAAGTGATAATAAATGATTTGATATTTATATAGAATCTAATATTTATTTTATTTGTTATAGCATCCAGTAGATCAACGGAATCCAGTACCTTTAAGTGTCCATCATATACCAATCTCAATTACATTCAACTTTTTTGATAAAGGGTAAATTTGATATAATGATATTTATATATATATGTATTTAAAACTGATTAATATATACATTATTATTAGAAATCTATTGGTGGTGGATCCAAGCTATTTAGAGGAACAAGTTAAAGAAGGTGATATGACAATGACGATGAACATTCACAAAGAAATTTGTTCATTAACAAAAGCTGGTGGTATTCCTTTGGAAATGGATCAAATCTTAAGGTGCTCTCAAATCACTTTGGTTAAAGTCAATGATATTTCTGAAATGATTCAAAAAGCTTTGGCCGATGATAAGGTTTCTAGGTAATCATTATAAAAAAAAAAAAAAAAAAAAAAAAAAAAAAAGACAAAATCATGCTTCTGATATATATATATTAATTATTTGCCTTTTTAATAGACAAAAGAAATAGTGGTGATGATATAGATTCGTGTATAGTTAGTTGTATTACTTTTTTTTTTTTTAACCCGCAAACAAATAAAAAATTTTCCCACGACTTTTTGTCAGTTTTCTCACAGTTTCCCTTTTTTTTTTTTTTTTTTTATATCTATCTTTCTCTTTCCCCTCACCCCTTTTTTTTCGATACCGCTATGAATATCCTACGTTTATCAAGACAACCACTATTTATATTGAAGCGTACCTTGGTTACATATACTTCATCACCAATAGTTAAAGTAAGTAGCAATATGAAAATGAATGTAGTTCTTTTTCTAATTCCTTTGATAGAGAAATGGTCTATCCAGGACGCAAAAATCTATGGTTTATACTCCTTCTTTTATCCGTCATCCATTCCATACCACTGTTCAGCAACTAGGTGTCAAGTCCTTTCTATTAGCAGATATTGGTGAAGGTATTACGGAATGCGAATTAATTCAATGGTAAGTCATAATAGAGAAAGAATGTCATATTTTAACTTTTTTTTTTTTTTCCTTTTTCTTTTTTCTTTTCTTTTTTTTTTTTTTTTTTTTTTTTTTTTTGGTTTGGTAGGTTTGTTGAACCTGGACAAACAGTTGCTGAATTTGACAAGATTTGTGAAGTTCAATCAGACAAGGCCTCTGTTGAAATTACGTCTCGTTATTCTGGTAAAATTACGAAGCTTTACCATGATGTACATGACATTGCAAAGGTTGGTCAACCTCTAGTAGATATTGAAGCGGAAGGTGATCAAGAACAATGCAAGATAGAGGACATTACGCCAATGGAAGAAACTCCAACGACATTGCATCGAGAAAAACATGACTCATTTATGGCTCCTTCTGTACGACGACTTGTTTTGACTAATAATATCAAGATTACGGATGTGAAAGGAACTGGAAAAGGTGGACGTATACTGAAAGAAAATATTCTAGATCATTTGAATAGAAAGCTACAAGGTATATATAGATAATATGAAATGAAACTTTCTTCTTACTTTTTTTTTTTATATATGTATATAAATATTTAGTGGATGGATCAACATTGGTGGATACAACTATGCCAATCAAAGAAGGAGAAGATACAACAACCTCACTATCAATGATTCAAAAAACAATGTTCAAAACCATGACACAATCACTCACTATTCCTCAATTGGGTTACAAGGATGAAATAGAATTGGATGCTACGACACAATATCGATCATCACTAAATGATCATATCACCAAACACCAAAACATGTATCCTTTTACCAAGATATCCTACCTTCCTATCTTTATCAAAAGTTTATCCATCGCTCTCTCCTACTATCCTATTATGAATGCTATGATTACAGGTGATCAAAAGGATGTGAATTCATTACAATTAATATATCGTGGATCTCATAATGTTGGTGTTGCTATGGATACTCCTCAAGGTCTGATTGTGCCCAATATTAAGAATGTACAATCTAAAACTATCTTTGAAGTCGCGGCTGAACTACATCGATTGGTGGAACTGGGTAAAACAAATGCTATACCGTTAGAAGATCTTCAAAATGGTACCATCACTCTTTCCAATATTGGCACTATTTCAGGTACGTACGCAAATCCTGTTATTGTCTCTTCAGAATTGGCTATTGTGGCTTTAGGCAAGATGCAGAAATTACCTAGATTTGATCAGGCTGGCCAGGTCGTGTCCAAGGAAATTTTACCTATCAGTTGGTCGGCGGATCATAGAATTATTGATGGTGCTACTGTTGCTCGGTTTGGGAATACTTGGAAAACGTTGATTGAAAATCCTGCCTTACTTACTAGTGAACTTCGATAAATTTACCATAGATTAGTAGTATAGATTTCTTTTTTTTTTATGTAAATTAAAAAAATAAACAGATTTAATATAGTATATTTTTTTTTTTTTGATCCACTCTCGTTTTTCTTCACCATTCTCCTTGACATTGATTTACAGCTCCGCGTTTTTTTTTTTTTTTTTTTGGTCTTCTCCATTCCTCTTTTTTTTTTTTTTTTTTTTCTTCTTCTTCTTTTTTTCCTTCCACTCATTAATTCCTGTTATTTATCTTTTTTATTTATTTATATTTATATATTCTCTGATTACTATAGTTTTGTGAAAAAATACCTTGATTTTACCTTTTTGACATTTATATACACTCTGTCTTATCTTTGGTTCCATTATGGCAACAGCTATTGCGTCAACTACAATGAACACAGCGACAACACCAGGATCACAAGCATCACCTTCAGCTTCTGTTCCACAATCGTCCCCACAACTACCGACTTCACATCATCATCGAAAAGACGTTGCCTGTGTATTCGTCATTGATGGTTCTGCTCGTATGAAACCACATCTCACTACTCTCTATGAATCCTATGTTGATCCTATTTTACGGTAAAGGAGTTTTTTTTTTTTTTTTTTTTTTCTTATTAGTATTATTTATTGTCCATAATTCTATACAAAGTACTGATTTTATTATTCTATTTATAGTCAACTTCGATGTCCTATTATTTCTGAAGGAGAAGACAAGCTATCAAAAACACGAATCACTGTAAGTATCAAAAAGAAAAACTTGGACAAGTAAATATACTTATATACGTGTACTTACTTTATCTTTAGCCTGTACTCAAATATGGTCTTGTCGTCTATGGTGATTATAATCCTTGCTCAACAGTGACAGTGGATCGAAAGTACTTTACTTCTGAACTCGGCCTTTTCCAAAACATTCTGAAAAGTATCCAATGTAAAGATGGTGGTATTCTCAAGAATGCTGCTGCTGAAGGACTAGTGGCTGCCATGGAGGTAAAAAGAAAACACGCATATACCCATATATATATATATATATATCGTCTCAGTGATCCAAACTAATATCTCTTTTTATCAAAAAAAAAAAAAAATAGCTTTTTGATGATTATAGGGAAGAAAGTGACATGGTGAATCAAGATCCTTTACTCCATTGCATCCTAGTATCCAACAGTTTACCCTACAAAACTGGTGTTGTCAACAACTTGAAGGATCGTTACAACAACTTTACTTTGGACGATATAGCAGCTGAAATGAAAAAGGTACTTTGATAAAACCAGATGAATCATCAGTAGCCTAACCTTATATATTATTGATGCTTTTAGAACAAAGTTCATCTATCTCTTATTACTCCAAGAAAGGGATATACGGATTTGGAAAAGTTTCTTTTAGATGTAAAAAAAAAAAAAAAAAAAAAAAAAAAAAGAAACGAAACAAAACTTATCGATATATTAGAGGTTAACTCGTATACTCTTCTTTTTTATATCTAGGTGAATGATGAAAAAACCGATATTCATACCCTGACAAACACAGTAGCAGATCAACATCTTGTCAAACTTGCCGGCTTCAAATTACCTGTTGAAACACCCAAATCATCAATTGTCAAGTCTGAAACTACTGGTAATTAAATATATATAGGAATAAAAAAAAAAAAAAAGGATAGAGCTAACATATTATTTTATCAGGAATATCTTCCCAACAAATGTCACCTCATCAAGCTGGTAGTAATGATCCTGGCAAGAAGCGCAAACGTGAAAATGTTCCTGGTCAAATCAATCTACCCAAAGCCAACTTGGATCCCACCAAATTTGCGGAAGTCAACGCTCGTGTCAATGCTCAACTCAATTCTCAGAAACAAATGCATGAACCTCAAGCGAAAAGGCAATCTATTGTTACTCCACCGAATGGCGATCAAATGGCTAAAAGCGTTTCACCAGTCATCAGTACAGCGACAAACGATCAGACAGGTCAAAACACTATTAATGATGTCTCACCCAGCAATCCTCCGTTCCTATCACAACAATCCGTACAACAACAACAACCAATGCAACAGCAGACAATACAACAACAACCAGTACAGCAGCAACCAATACAACAACAATCAGTACAACAACAACAAACACCACCTCTACCACAACAACAGCAACAAATGCAACCAATTGGGACTCCTACATTTCGACCAACATCACAACCTCCGCAATCTCAACAGTCTCAAGGAGTGTCAGGTCAAGGTCAGGTGCCTCCTCCTCCTCAACAACAACAACAACAACAACAACAATCACAAATTCAACAACAAAATCAGCAACAGATGCAAGGACTTAGGATGGCGAACATGCAGAATCCGATCCCATATTTATTACAGCAGCGTCAAATGTTATTACAGCTTCCTAGTCTCACTCCTCAACAACAACAACAACTGACCGCTATCCAAATGAGTTTGCAAAAAATCAGTGGAATGGCCAATGCTCAAAATGGAACTTCTGCTGCAATGATGTCTTCAACTTCTGGTGCGGTTACTTCAGCTCCATTGGCATTTTCTGGTGGTTTGGGTGATATGCAAGTACGTCCTACAATGTCATCCGTACCTCAAAGTATCAATGCTCAGGCCCAACAACAACAACCAGCACAAACAACCCCAGGACAACCACAACAAACACAGCAACAAGCTCTATTGGCAAATCTGAATATGATGAATGGACAATTACCCACCAACTTGACACCACAGCAAAGAGCTTTATTGGCGCAAATGGGACAAATGCATGCACAACAACAACAAGGAAATCAATCATCACCGAAACCAATGAATCTTCAAGCACAGCAACTAATGCAACAACTGTTATCACAACAACAGCAACAACCACAGCAACAACAACAGCCTCAGCAACAACCACAACAACAACAACAGCCTCAACAACAACCACAACAACAGCAACAGCCTCAACAACAACAACAGCAACAATTACAACAACAACAACAACCTCAACAACCACAATTACAACCACAACAACCTCAGCAACAACCTCAGCAACAGCAACAGCAACAACAACCTCAACAACAACAACAAGGATCTGCTCCAACAGAACCTATCTGGACTGGACAAATCGTATGGCATATAAAGACTCCAGAAAGTACATTACAAGAATTCAGTTGTCATTGTGGGGCATTTGCAATTACATTACGTGGAGGCAGTGTTAGTATGGAAGAATAGTAAGTGTATTATACCATCTCAATATACGTTCAAATTCACTCAATTATATATCTACATATAGTCGCCCGGAGATGTGGCCACCAAGAGCACAGATTATTGGAAGATCTTCTCTAGCCAAAGCACAATTATTACAACGCCAAGCAGTAGGAAACAAACTTCCATTTTGTCAATTCCGACCACTGAATACAAGTACCCAACAAGATCAAACTAATTTCAATCTTCTTGTACGAAATCTGGAACAAAAACGATACGTAAGTGGAAAATAGATTAACAGTAATTGAATGTATGTGACATTGACTTTTTTTTTTTAATTGTGTTATTAGATTGCAACTATGGTATTCAATCCGACTGCTAATGTATCCGAACAACATGGCGTGGTATTGACCCATTCTGGTGGCAAGCTTATAGGTATTGTGTTTACGCGGATTCCACTCCCAGATATGTCTGAAAATCTCCCTGTTGCACCTGGAGGCATTGGAACTGGAAATATGCAACAAGTATCTCAAAACATGAATATACCAGGTACAACTACGACGACAACAAGTTTAGGTGGACCCAATCTTACATCTGCAAACATGATGGCTGGCCAATCAGGAAATGCGAGCAATATTAATATGATGGCAACCGGCAATAATGTGGCGAATCTCCAGATGCTACAACAACTTCAACAACAACAACAACAACAAAGGATGATGAATGCAGCGGCTGCTATGAGTGGTCAAGGAATGAATGGTAATAAAAGAAGATATGATTCATTTGATGCTATATTAATATGTATATGTATTTTTTTTTCTTTTCTTTTGAAAAATATATAGGTGTACGACCAGGATTGAATCAAAATAGTTTACTATTATCAAACATCAACCTTGGTGGAGGAAATATGAATGTGAGCAATGCAAACACAATGGGAATGAGCAATCAATCAGCAGCAACAGCGGCAGCTTTGGCAGCGGCAGCAGGGAATGGTGCAAATACTGGCAATGTGAACGCAATGAACCTGGCAAATATGACTCCTCAGGCATTTCAACGATTGGTCTTACAACGACAACAGCAACAGCAACAGCAGCATCAACAGCAGCAGCAACAACAGCAACAGCAGCAGCATCAACAACCACAACAATAGAAATAACAATGGATTATTATGAATAGAAACAACCATAATTATTATGCATAGGGAACCTTTTGGCTGTGTTTCTTTCATCATATATATGGGATCATCCTTCTTAGCTAGTCATTTTTATATTAGTTGTATTATACATGTTTTTATTCTTATTTAGTTACTTAGTTTACCACCATTTTTCCCAAATAAAACCTTCAATCATCGATTGCTTTATGTAGACTGACATTTTTTTTTTTGTGTACCTGATGATCGAATGTTGCCGAGGAATCATCCTGATACGACTTTTTTTTTTTTATTCTTTTTTTACTATTATTCTTTTTATAGATTGGCAAGTTACACCAAGATGATAATAGTGACACTCGAAAACAAAAGAAAAATAGGAACGATCATTATTATTGGACGTGAAGTGCAAGATTTTCGGATAAATCTGGATACTTTTTTTTTTTTTTTTGCAAAAAGTAGCAAACGATATGTTATGTTGATAATGATGATATTCATGATGGAATGGATCATTTGTTATCACTGTATGATTGTGAACAGTAAATACACTTCCTCCGTCTTTGACTACTCTATTTTTTTTTTTTTTTTTTGAGCGTAATTCAAGGTGACACAGTTATTTTATTGGATGATCGTTCAACCAAAATGAATACAAGTATCAAATAGATCATCCGTTCTGGACACTTTCTTTTTTTTTTTTTTATGTACCGTTTTTCGATTTAACTTTTACATCTATATTCTTTTTTTTTTTTTACTTTTATTCAGATTATTATCTATAGAATCAAATCGATTTTATATATTATTATTTGATAATGATATTTTTATTGATGATGAATCATTTCTACTACTAGTGTATGAACGATTTCTTTCGTAGATAATAATGACATTCACGTTACACCATATCCAAATCGGGCATACACACTGTTTGATTGAATCAATTATTGCTACATGCAAGAAGTTCTTTTGATATTTTCTCCAACCAATGACAGACCTATTTTTAAATCTACCATATGTGTGTTACCATGGACACATGGAGGACATGATAAAGTATAAAATGACTTGATCATTTCATTATCCTTTTTTTTTTTTTTTTCTCAAACCCTTTCCACTCCTTTCATCATGTATTCTAAACTGATCATCGCGACTTTTCTGGTCATTGTTGCCCTTTTGCAATTCACTGTTCAAGCATCTGACCTTGAAACTCGTGCAGCCAAATGCAAATCTGTCACTACTGATTTTACAAAATCACACGCTGGATGGAAAGCTTTAGATTCTTCCAAGACATATGCTTTTACTAAGAATGGCCTTGAATTGAAATTACTCAAGCCCAAAAAATATATTCGCAAGATTGACAAGGCTACAAGTAAGTATTCATAATTAAATCATCGCTGTCACATCAGATATTGATTTAACCTTTTTTCTTTTTCCGTTTGTTTTCCTTTCTTCTTTTTTTATTTTTTTTTTTTTTTTTTATTTTAGACTTACCCTATAACGTTTATCCTGGTGAAGGATCCACCTTCAATTATACTACTTACCTTCAATATGGTTCTTTTTCTGCTACGATGAAACCTTCTACTGTGGGTGGTGCTGTTACAGCATTCATTGGTATTGGTAATGGTGGTGATGAAATCGATTTTGAATTTTTGGGTGGCAATAGTCAAAATATTCAGTAAGCTCTTTTTCTTTTTTTTTTAATATATCCATTCACTTTTAACTCACTCATTTTGTTGTATAGATCCAACTACTTCTGGGGTAAAAAGATTGTTTATGGTATCAATGGTGGTGTCCATCCCCTTCCTGGAAACGCTTTACCTGGTTCTGCTTATCACACTTATACTATTAATTGGACTCCCACTCAAATACAATGGTCAATCGATGGCAAAATCGTGCGTACTAAAACTCGAGCTAGTACCCGTGATTCCAGAGGCCAATATGAATACCCTACTGAACCTTTGTAATATATAGATCATATCTTTTTTTATCATTATTATTGTATATATTTACTCATTTACTATTTTCTTTTTTTTTTAATAGACGTATTCAATTGGGCATATGGGATTCATCTACTGTTCCTGGAACTGCTCAATGGGCAAATGGACCTATTAACGTAAGTGATATTCGATTTATGAATGATCATCGTACTCATCATTATTTAATAGTGGGACAAGCAAAAGTCAAGTGTTAAAGCATATATCAAGAAGGTGACGATCACTTGTGCCAAATAGCTTTATTAGATGATAGTAAAAAGGATTGATCTTTCATCAATTTGAATAAAGATAGTTGATTTTCGTAGTCCACTGATTGTATCTCAGCTGTAGAACACGCTACAAAAAAAAAAAATATAAACATAATTTTTTCTCTTTTCCTTTCCCACTTTCTTTTTTCTTCCTTTTGTTTTATCTTTTTTTTTTAAAAAAAAAAAGAAAAAAGAAAAATGTCTCAAACGGAACGACCTATTGTATTTTTTGATATATCCATTGGTGATGTTGCGGTTGGACGTATGAAGATGGAACTTTTTTCAGATATTGTACCAAAAACTGCGGAGAACTTTAGGTAAAGCGAAATGAATAGCAGATAAAAAGAATCGAAATGAAACTAATAATAAAATCTCTTCGTTTCTTAGACAATTATGTACCGGAGAATATAAGCAAGTATTTTTTTTTTTATAGAAAAAGGATAATAGTAATGTGAAATAACACAGTTTTTATTATTAGACGTAATGGTCAGCCACAGGGATTCAAGAATAGTATTTTTCACAGGTAAATCACTAGTAATATATTGTATTTATCAAAGGTATCTCACTGTAATCTTTTGATATAGAGTGATCAAGGACTTCATGGTACAAGGTGGAGACTTTATAAAGGTAGATAAAACGCATATAATTTAATTCTTTGACCCATAACTATTCTATGTTTATTTGATTTAGGGTGATGGTACAGGTTCGCTTAGTATTTATGGTGAAAAGTTTGCTGACGAAAACTTTGAAAAGAAACATACTGGTGCTGGTTTATTGTCTATGGTATAAATATAGTAAATATTATTTGTTATTATTTCGCTCTTCCTAACATTTATATATATATATATATAAATTTTCTTTCTCGTATGATACAGGCAAACTCCGGTCCTAATACTAATGGATGTCAGGTAGATAGTGATAACGATGGAGAAGTATATGAATTTAATTAATTTTTTTTTTAATATAGTTCTTTATTACTTGTGACAAGTGTGATTTCTTGGATGGTAAACATGTTGTATTTGGACAACTGATTGATGGATTATTGACACTGCGGAAAATAGGTATGATAAGAAAATAGTTTTATCAAATGATGGTTGATTCAAATGGATAACTGATATAAATGAATGACTGATTTTTTTTTTCTGTTTGTATAGAAAATGTGTCAACTGGACCACAGAATAGACCAAAGCTTCCTGTCAAAATCACAGGTAATCAATAATATTCACCGTGTATTAAAAGTTTTATCTAATTATCCCTTTTTTTTTTTTTGTTTAGAATGTGGACAAATGTAGTATAATACTAATAGTTTTAGATTTATTGTCTTTTTGAATAAAAATGTGTTTGATGGATTGATCATAATAGTGGAGGTTATAGCTTAGTTGGTTGACGTTGCACAGCGCCTGTGATGGACCTGCAAGCGCCTCTTTTTTTTTTTTTTTTTTTTTTCTGTCTGTATTTTTTTTTTCTTCCTTTAGATTTTTTCCGCTTTTTTTTTTTTTTTTTCTTTCCACTTCTTCTATATTCACTTCTTTTTTTTTTTTTACTTATCTTCCCACTAATGGAAACAACAAAAGAAAAGGATACTTCACTGAAAAGTTGGTGGAAACGGAAAACGCAAAATAAGAATCCAAATCAAAAACTGGATGGTAAAACACACACATATTTATATCTATACATATATATATAACAAAGCTGCTTTAAACTAATATTAACATAAATTGTTTTTGTTTTCTATTTAAATACTACAAAGAAGCTGGACAAATCTTTGGTGTTCCTTTAGCAGAAAGTGTTGACAATGCACGTGCCGCTATTGCTTATGCTGATGATAATGTTCAATACATGGGTTATATTCCTTTACTAATTGCAAAGTGTGGTAGTTTTTTGAAGGAAGAAGGTAAAGAAAAAAGAAAAGAGACAATACAAATATACTCACTTTTTTTTTCTTTAATAATATGTTAGCTCTTTATACAGAAGGAATCTTCCGAATGAGTGGCAGGTAAATAGAAGAAAAATCTAGTTTAGGATGATACAGAAATCTCAATTTCATTTACACAACATAGTGCTAAACGTATTGGTGAATTACAACAAATATTCAACACACCTCCCGATTATGGACGCCAACTGGATTGGAAAGGATATTCGGTTCATGATACTGCCAACGTTCTTCGACGCTATTTGAACTATTTACCTGAACCTGTTATTATACAAGAATTATGTCAATCTTTTCAACAAGTGATTGGTAAAGAAAAAAAAAAATATAATTATATCATTTATACTAAATAACAATTATCATCCATTTTATTATAGATCAACCAATTACTGATGAGCAAAAAGTGAACGAATATCAACGACTTATCGAACAATTACCTCAAATGCATCAATTCTTACTCTTCTATCTATTGGATCTCTTATTCTTATTTAGTCAAAATGCTCATATCACTCGAATGGATACTTTCAATTTGGCTTCTGTATTTACTCCAGGTATTCTTATTGACCCAGAATGTAGTATGGATCCGGCTCATTACAAGACATCTCAAAGAGTGGTCCAATTTTTGATTGAACATCAACTTTGTTTCCAAATGCCAAGATCTTCTTTATTCCGGCGATCGACCGAAGACCAAACAACAACAACAACAACAACAAGTGATATTACGAAAGAAAATACATCATCATCATCACCATCATCAACCTATATTACTCCTCTACAACAATCTTCATCTCAACAACCCCTCTTCGTCCATACTCCTAACAATTTACATCCTTCTCTTTCATCTTCAACAAAACATAGTCCGACTTCTGCATACTCAAAAGATGATCATACTTCTTCACTACATCGATCAAAAACTTTACCTGTCAAGCGTTCCAAATATGGTGGCAATGATCCTCTGCAAGTCGTACAATTCAACAAACCCATCATAGATAGTGCTTAATCCAATTATTACCTTCATTGTTCTTTTTCTTCTTTATTACCGTTATGATCTATCTTGTTACTATTATCCAATTGTTATTGTTATTATTATTCCCTCTTTCTGTATTCATTGTATGAATAAACTTTCTTTTCTTTTTTTGAATTCTAGATTATTTTTTTTTTATCATACTGTAGTACTATATATATGTAGATATATATATATATATATACTGTTTTGATACATACAGTACGTTATCCTTTGTCAATGTCACCACATTATATATAGATATGCATGTATCATATGATAATGACACTGCAGAAAGTTTGTCAAGAAAAGAAAAATAAATCGACCATGACTGCAATAGTGCATTTAAATCACTCTTGTATGCGAATAAAAGTCCTTCAGCAATGGACCTACCATCATCATCATCATCATCATCTTGTTGAAGATAATCAATATTAGGTCATCATCAACGAAATAATATCGCTTGATCTTTCTGCTACTTGACATGGCTGTTGTATACTGTATACATAACAAATGAAATGGGTGAACAATTTCTAAGACGTCTACTCCATGTCTAAAAAAGGCAAGTGTGGATGCCTGTTATTTTTTCGCCTCTATCATGCATCAACCATTCCTATGGTCAAAAAAAAAAACTAGTAGTCCTTCTTTCAGAAATATAAAACAAAAAGAAGATGTTGTTGAGATAAGAACTTTATTTTGTAATAATATATATATATATATATATAAGCATATATAGAAATTTGGTTGTTAGAAGTAAAAAACAATAAATTGTTAATGTAAATACCAAAAAAAAAAAAAAAAAAAAAGATATACAGTACAAAGGATGTTATCTCTTTTCCAGAATCTTACACAATTGACAAATAATAATAGTAATAATACTATGATAATAATGATATAATAATAATACTGTAATAATACTAATAATAATAGAAATAAAGAAGAGGGGAATAATTCTATCACTACTAGAGTTGATCCATTGTATTGCCCAATCTTTGACTTGCTAACCACCATGTCCATTCGACTTTCGACATATCTTGAATATCCTGTTCATCGTTGACAGAGGTGATATCTTTATTGTTGTTTGCTTTATCTCCAGATATCAAAAGATGATCATACTGCTGCTGCTGTTGTTGTTGTTGTAGATGCCAATCAGTGGATGATGACGATGAGGATGATGATGATGACGAGGAGGATGATGTTGATGATGATGACGATGATGATTTTATTGGTATTTCTTTCCTGATGGTTGTGACTGATACTGTTTGTGTTGACTGCGGGTGAGTGTCTGACAAGAGAATGGTGGGTGATTCTCTACTTGCAGAAGTAGGAGTAGATGGAGCGCTATCAGATTCTTCTTCATCGTTTTCATGCGTGGGCAAATTATCATTTTCTGAGAGAGTATCTTGATCATCTTCGTGATGTAAGGTACCACCCGTCCGTAGTTGTTGGTTATTTTTCTTTGTATGATGTATTTGCTCATTCATCATAAAATAGGTACCTTCGTTATTGCATTTGGGTTGATTGATCATGTTATTGTGTTGAATGATGATATCTCCATAATCCATTGTTGGTTCTGTTTTTACCTGATGAGTAAAATGTTGTTGATTATCCAAAGTATTGCCCAAGAAAGGTTGAACAAGTTGATGTTGACCAAAATGTTGATTATAAACAAAATGATTGCCGTCTTCACATTCTTCCTCTTCTTCTTCTTCCTCATCTTCTTCCTCTTCTTCTTCTGGTTGTTGCATATCTTCCAGTATATCATGATGTTCAGTCACTAATAATTGTTGAAATTCGGCTTCAGCATAATCAGACCAATCACTAAAAGAAAAAGAAATATATATATATATTATATTTATATATTTATATATATTAAAATGAAAGATTTTTATAGTTTTCATATTACCTAAAGACAAAATAACCATAATTCGTATCATCCAACCATCCAATATCACCATTTAAAGAAACCATAGAAGAAGAATCATAAAAAGAGGAAACTAAAGATTTTAGTTTCAAGCGTTCTTGTTGTATTTTGGCCCGTATACAACCTTGATAAGATTCATGCATTTGAAACTTATCAAAATGAATAAAAGTATCAAAAAAACGTTCAGCAAGATATCCATTGCGTTTGAGATCTTGAAGTCTAAATTGACCAGGTTGACGAGGTTGAATGAGATCGTTCATTTGACATAAAATATCTTCAAATCGAATCAAGTCTTCTTCATTATCTTCAGTTTTATTATTGATTTGTCTTGACATTTGTTCATTCCAATAAGGTTCAAGTTCGTCTATAGTAAGAATACCATCACCATTTTCATCCATACAACGAAACCTACAATAATAATAATAATAAATAATAAATAATAAAATAAAATATAAATAATAATAATAATAATAATAATAATAACTTACCAATATTCAATTGATTTTGGTGTAGTTTTATCTACTTCATTTAACAAAAACCCTAAAAACAATATATATATATATATGTGTTTGTGAGAAAAAAGAAAGAAAAAAAGAAAGAAAAAAAAAAAAAAGATAGGAGAAAAAAAAAAGGAGGTATTACATATAAAATCAAGAAAAGAAAGGGTATTAGACGGAGTTTCTCGAGAGAAAGGAGCGAGATGACCCATTTGCATAATCCGATGAACAATACGAGGAGAAAGACAACCATCATTATAATTCATCAAATCTAAATCATGTATAATTAAATCATGATCTTGATCCAATGTCCAAAATTTACAATATATCACATAAAAATGTTTATATGAAAAACAATCAAAATTCTAATAAATAATAAAAAGAGAGATAGAGAGAGAATTTTTAATACATAATATATATAATCATTATATAAACTTACATTATTAAGTTCATTATTACATCCTAATGTTTTAACAGATTCTGTAAAATGACTTTTTCGAAATTGTTTTAATGTCATTCTACCATTAGAACTTCCTGCATCATAAAATAATCGACAAATCACTGTTTCAACTAATAATAATATATATGTTAATAAAATCCTTTTTCTTTTTTTTTTTCTTCTTTTTTAATTGATTTTACTATAACGTTCTTGAAACATAGTATTATCAGTTAAAAATTGTAATCCAGGATGGTTCATTACAACATCTACAAAAAAAAAAAAAAAAAAAAAAAAAAAGAAATCAATAAATTTTTTTTTCTTTTTCTTTTTATTAACTTTAAATTACCTTCTAATACTGGTAAAAAATCCTCTGGTGTAAGATATTCTGTCATATTAGATTGATCTTGACATGATTTTTTCAAAATGGAGAAAAATAAAGCTTCATCATCATATTTATCTTTGGATAATTCCATCCAAGAACTATATATATATGTATATAAAATCCCTATGAGTGTCATCCATTTATATTATTATAATTTTTTTTTCTTCTTCTTTGTTACCTAATAAACTGAGGTAAACTGATTCGATTGACTTGAGGTGAAGACATCATGATCATCCTTCGAAATAAAGCAATATTCATATAACGAGGTAAACCACATGTTTTAGTGACAGCAACAAAATGAGGTTCGGTCATAAAAGTACGATAGCCATATAAATGTTTGACAATAGCCTAATCATTATCATAAAAAAAGTTCATTAGAATCGAATCATCATCATCATCATCATCATATTATATAATATATATATATTCAAAAACTTACTATTATTTTACGTTGTCTTTGTTCTTGTTCAACGTGTGAAATAGGTTTCCCAAATGGAAAGAAGAAGGGTGGAATGATAGGATTCATTTGTTATTGAATTGATTTGACTAAAAAATCAAGCTAAGGATGAGATTGTAATACAAAGAAGATGAAGAAAAGGAAAGAAAGCGAAAAAAAAAAAAGAGTAGATGGATTGTTAAGTCTTTTTTTAGCTGTGAATAGCATAAGGAGGTTTTTTTTTTTTTTGATGTGTTGTAAACAGTTGTTGACATGGTAACATTCCTTTGTATCTCTAAGTATCTACTATTTCTCCTTATCTACGTTTTATATCATTGGATAATACATAAGGTACATACAATAGTAGAATGAGGTTTTTATTTTCCACAGATAGATACATGATTTTTGCTACTCTAAACTATATTTTTCTTTCTCCTTATATGTTATAGACTATACATACAATCAATCAAAGACATGATTGTCTGTCAATTTTGTTTCCCTTCACTATCATCACCATCAAGCACACACACAAACATATATATATATATATATATATATATACGCATTTACAGTACCCCTTTTGACCACCCCCCCCCTTTGTGTCTCCCCCCTTTTTTTTTATACATGGATAAAGATGATTCAACGCCCAACCAAAAAACAAGTTCAAAGTGAAATAAAAAAAAAAAAAAAAGAATCAGTACATACAATTTATTATATATAAAAATGAGAATGGCATAAAAAAAGAAAAAAAAAAATAAAAAAAAGGGTAAGTCACTACTACATTAATCATTATAAAACATGTCGTTCCGCTTTCCGATCCATATCCAAAGTCCCACTAGCCCAGTCTCCTAATGATGAAGAATCTGCAAGTAATTCATGCATCGCTGTAGAATCCATCATCATCAACTGTGGGTCGTCCTCTATCATTGGTGTATACATAGTAGTAGCAGTAGTGGTGTTAGATGTCATGGGAGGCTGTGATATCGTAGAACTTACTGGAGACATTGTTGAAGGAATATATGGTTGGTCTAGTTGCATCATACCAGAAGAAGTGTTTGTACAGTCCATTCCCATTGGTGATCCTGATGTTATCATAGGTGAAATAAAACTAGTGGTATCCATGCCTGTAAATGAGATAGTATGTCGTCGATGAAGAGGAGAAATAGATGTTGACGTTGATGATGGCATCATCATGGCCATATTCATTTGTTGTTGCTGTTGTTGTTGTTGTTGTTGTTGCTGCTGTTGCTGCTGTTGTTGTTGTTGTTGCTGCTGCTGTTGTTGCTGTTGTTGTTGTTGTTGTTGTTGTTGTTGTTGTTGTTGTTGTTGTTGCTGTTGTTGTTGCTGTTGCTGTTGCTGTTGTTGTTGTTGTTGTTGTTGTTGTTGTTGTTGTTGTTGTGACATCGAAGAAAATGGTTGCTGAGAATAACCTTGATGTTGATATGTTTGATATTGTTGGGCATAATCTGATCGTTGTTGTTGAGGTAATGAGTGATGGGGTTGATGATAATGAGGAAATGGAATTTGACGATGTTGATGTTGGTGTAATGAAGGAGGAGGGTATTGTTGTACAGTTTGTTGTAATTGTTGAGTATGTATAGGTAAAAATTTCATTGATCTATGTTTCTTGAGGCGTCCTTCAGGGGTGAAACCAGGTGAACCAGCTCGAGTATATCCGGTTTTGTTCATATGACGATGGTTCAAGGAACGAAGATCTTCTTGAGAGTGAGAATAATGATGATGAAGTGGTCGAGGTACGCGTCTTTGCTGATGTTGCATTGAAATATTGGTTGTTGGTACTTGAATTGGTTGTTGATGATGATTATAAGATGTCATGGGAATATTACCAAGTTGCAGCATAGAAGCTAATCTTGCTGGATCAGTAATTGATGCACTGGAATTAAATAATGCTGCTGAATTTACACTTGAAGATGATCCATGAAGTGAATGTGTTCCTAATTGCTGCTGCTGTTGCTGATATTGTTGCTGCTGTTGTTGTTGTTGTTGTTGTTGATGTTGTTGTTGTTGTTGTTGTTGATGTTCATGTTGCTGTTGTTGTTGTTGCTGTTGTTGTTGTTGCGATGACGGTGGCGGTGAAGATTGTTTTCCAGATGGGGATCCTGCTCCGTTCATGGATGAATGAAATGGAGAATCTTGAGTAAAGCTTTGAGAAGAATAACGCCTAGTTTGTGTTGATGAAGTTGATCCAGATACAGTGCCACGTCGAGATTTTGTTATTTTCGAAGATCTATTGATCCTTTCGACTACGGAGCCAGTTGAAGATGAAATAACGGAAGATGTAAGAATAGGAGATGACGAAGTAGATGATCCATCATTATTAGAGGTGAAATTAGATCCAGGTGATTGTGGTTGTTGCTGTGGTAGAGAATAATTGTAATTGTTGTTAGAATCCATTGCCAATTTCCCACACATTTCAGCCAGTTCAGCATCCTTTGCCATATAATGTAATTCAACAGCTGAGGTTTCAGTTGATAGCCTATTGATGATAGAAAGCGCCTGCCAGTAAAGACCTGTTGCATTTGATTTTCTCTTTTCGTCTAGAGTCGTTTCCATTTCGAATTTGTGTACCGCAATAGCCATAGTCACACATAAAATGGTAAATTGTACGCCACGAATAGGGAGGTAAAATACATCAATATTGTTTGATTCCATCATAGATTCAGCAATACTATTGATAATTGAAGCTGAGGTCGCGCATAGTTGTTGATGAGGATAAGGTCGTTTTGTTGTTGTTGTTGTTGTAGTAGTAGTAGTAGTAGTAGTATTGGTGTCTGTTGGTTGTTGTTGTTGTTGTTGTTGTTGTTGCTGTGAAATAGGATAGAGGACATGATGTCGATGAAGAAGAATGATTGAATAATGATACATCATATGAATAAAGCCAACAAAAGCATCAGAGACAGCAGCAGAATCAGCAGGATATTTCCCAACATTTTGATTACTTGGAGCATAATCAAATCGAGGAATCATGGAAATTTCACGTAGATAGGTTTCTAAATTTGTTTGAATCACGACCAGTTTACCTTCTTCTTCCAGTTGTTGAGTTGATGTTCGTACAGTACCTTGGATTTGTTGCCTTGAAGCTAATCGCCGAGAGAAACCATAAATATCAGATAAAATACGGCCTAGACGGATTATCACATTGTGTCTTGTCACCATATCTTCAAATCCAGGACCTTCGTCATTGTTTGGTGAGGGATATTCGGTCATACATTGTGAATTGTTAAATCGAGTTTCTCTTCCTTCTTCAATACTATAATAAATAAAATGATGAGTAACATATAAAAAAATATACTATCATTAGTTATTACCTTGTCCAAAGATCATATAAAAAAGTAGTCCAAAATACCCTTTTCTTAGTTTCATAATTATATGCATCTGATAAAATATTTCCAGAAGAGGATATAGAAGGTAAAACAGATAATTTCATGGCATGACACATATCCACAGCAAGACCCAAATAATAACCAGGACGATAAAAATAACCAGTACGTTTGTAATGTTCTTGATATTTTGATAATAGTACCAAGGCTTGTATAGTTGTTACACGAGGTACTACGCAAGCTTCGTCGATGAGAACAAATGCACGTTGATAATAAGAGAATCCAGGAGGTTCGTTTGGTCGAGAAGGAAGAGTACAAGACCATCTGGAAGCAACTGCACACATAGCATAAAGTAATAACATAGGAGGTGGATCATTCATATTCATCATTTGTTGATTAAAAGCAGCTTTGTGAATCATTGGTGTATAAGGATGAATATGTTCAAAATATTTGTCAATCAAAGAAGTATCGATATCAGCAAAGTAATGAGTAGAAGGTATTGGTGTTGTTGGTTCACTTTTTACATCACTATTTGTTGATAAATCAGAAGTTTGTTGATATAAATGTGGTGTATGTATTTGTTGATAAATATCATGGGTATAATAGGGTTGGCCCAATTCATTCATAGAATATTGATCAGGTAATCTTTGATGCTGGAATGAGTTGGAATGAAATTCATTGGCTATATACATAAAAAAAAAGGTATAAATCATTCAATTTTTATCTATATTAAAAAAAAAAAAAAAAAAAAAAAAAAAAAAAAAACTTACATTGTTGTATAGTAGTGTCGTCTTCATGAATACCATTCTTATCTTGTAAAGCATGAGGATCCAAAGATAAAGCATCGTCCAATATTTCTCGAGCTGGACCACCAATACTTCGTAAAGCTTTTTCCATCAAATGTACTCTAGCTTCCAAGATTTCAATATATTGTTTTGGAGGACCACGTTTTAAACCTTGTTGAGGAAATGCACAAGTAAGACCTGATTTTCGACACCTAGCACAAGGTTCTATACCTTCACATTTCACCTAACATATAAAATAATAAAAACTGAGAAACAACTATAAACATAAATATATATAAATATAATATACCTTTCGTTTCCTACATTCATGACAGGCCACACTTGCTTTTGGTCTTTTATTATTGGTTTTCTTTTTACTACTAGAATCACTTAGAGTAGGAGAATCAGGTACAGTTGGAGATTGCATTAAAAAAAAAAAGGTATATATTTATAAAGGAAATAGGTGTTTAAGGAAGGGGAATGTAGATATAAAAAAAAAGATATATATATATATATGATATAGAAAAGTGGTTAAAACAAAAAGTAAAGGGTATTAAGGAAATGATATATAATATATATATATATATATATATATAAAGCACGGTTGTATCCAAACAAAAGGAAAAGAAAAAGGGTGAGAGTTGAAGTGAATTTTTTTTTTTTTTCATTCGTTGAGTCGTGCTACTTTTTTTTTTTTTCTAAACCCGCCTAAAATTGGACCATGTTTTGCCTTTTTCCTAATGAGGAAATACATCGTTTTCCACGAATCAAAATCTCGAAACCCAACAAGAGTAAAACGCCTATTTTTTTTTTTTTTTTTATGATGATTTCGACGACCTTATTTTAATTCTTATGCGATAAAATGTTACTTAACCAATAACTAAAATCATCTGTCGTTTATCACTACAGTATTATATTTTATGCAGCTCAGATAAGTCTTTTGGTTTTGTTTGAAAACGAATAATACTTAATGGTTGACAAGATTTGTTTCACGTGGTGCATCACTTTTTAGTGGAAAAGATCTTCCTCAATGAAAACAAAAAAAAAAAACACTAAAATGATTACTACTTGTTGTCTTAATGATGATGATGATGATGATGTAATTATTAAAATTAGGTTATTATTATTATTATTTTTATTTGAAAGTCTGATTATCAACAAAAGGGATATGAATGCCTTCACCAATAGCCAAGCAACGGAGATTGAATTTGCAGTTTGGGTACCAAGGGAGAGGTACTGTTGAGAAAAAAAGGTTGGGTCAGCATACATGAAAATGAGTCTACAAAATAGAAATGGGACGGTTAGTATGAAATCACACAAGTGAAAATGGATTCATCTTGCCAAATTGGGTCAATCATGCACTTACCAGATATTTCCAAATAAGAGAGCCTTCAAATCCTACTTTTTTCTTTTTCTTTTTTTTTTTTTACTTACAACGCAGGCGTTTATTCGTCGCGGATGTTTGTTATCCGGATTATTGTTGCAAACGAGAGAACACCGAAGGTCGAGATCCACTTTTGATATAGTTCATCGCCAGAGAATGGATGTTACGAGCAGCATTATGATCGCGTTGCCAGACACGTCCACAACTTGTGCATGATTGGACGGCATGCAACTTAGATTCACCAACTTTTATGTTTTCCAAGGACTTCGTACCACAATTGCTGCAAACTTGACTAGTGAGATATTCATCGATGTTAGCCACTATCAATCTTCCTTGTTGTTCTGCCTTGCGAAGTAGCTTCCGAAAAATATTTGCAAGACCGTGTATTTTTCCTCTGAACATGCGTCTTCCAAATGATCCATCCCCTACACATACGACAGTGGTTATATTGCTTGGTGTTTGACTAAAAGGAAGTTTTTTCCACTTGTTCCTAAAAAAAAAAAAAAAAGGTGTTTGTCTATCTGTCCTCGATCCTACCAAAAAAAAAAAAAAAAAAAAAAAAAAAAAAAAAAAAAGACTACTTACAATTTTGATTCCTTTGCTGTAGATGGAGGCTGTTCATCAGATGAGGATGGTGGTAGTTGATCATCAAAAGAGGATGGCGGTGGTGGACGTCTTCTTTTTCTTCGTGTCGTTCCATCTGTTCTAGTTCGAGCCATGACAACTGCTTCACTGGGTTGATGACCAGGATCCGGATTGTATTTCTTGCCGCCATTAACAAAGATATTTATCCTTTCGTCTTGTACCTTTTGTTTCCCGATGTAATTGAGGAATCGCAGCCGTTGTATTTCAGTGCCATAGAATTGGACCAATTGGGGTAAAACATCAAGTAATCGTTCAATATACAATTGTATACCATCCATACTGCTTGTTTTGGGCGACGGTATTGAAGATTCAAGTCGATCGATATTTTGAGATTGTTTCGTTTCACAAATAGTGTTGTTCGTTTTTTTATATCCAGCTTTCACGTAATACTCTGCTGAGGAAAACTTTCGTACCTGGTGTCGTTCGGAAGGATCGCTATTGTCGACAGCCACGAAGACTTCAGTAACCCCAGGGTCTACCCCCCATACCTTGCATTCTTGCATATCTTCACTGGTAATATCGTCAATCGAAAGAGAAGGCAATCGGTCTTGATTCACTATTTTTTTGAAGGGAAAGGAGGTTGCATAGCCATCTGTCGTAAAACTGTTTTCGAAAATTCCATGTCTAGTTCAATGAAACAAAACCAGATTAGTACTAGATCATTCTTCTTCTTTTCTTACCTTTTAAGCTTCCGCAAGTCAAACATATTAAAATTCGGGTGAGGCTGATTTGGTGGGATCGGTGTAGAAGATGGGCTAGCCAAACGTCCTAGACCAAAATGTTTTAGTACTGTTCCAAGAGATTGATGATCGATGTGTATATATTTGCGTGTGAGTCCTGGAATGGGTATGATAGTGAATAGTCTTGCTTGCTGCTTTGTCAGATATACTGGTGGTGCAAATCTTCCTTCGCGAATCTCTGTTTGTGCTGTAGTAATGGCGTTTTGTATATGCATAATAGATTCAGCGCTGAAGCCAGCAGGTAATTTCTCTGGAATAAATCGTGCACCTTCATTGATAATATTTGTAATAGCGCGAGTCAACGATGATCGGCGGCGATGGTCTAATCGTGTCCATTCAGGCAATCCAGATAAAAGATGATATGTCCACGTGCGTTTTGCTTCATTCTGAGGTATGGCCGGTAGTTGAGAGTCTATTTGATTCCATTGTTCCATCTTGCGTAAGATATCAAACATGACAGGTAAGAAAAATTCTGGATAGGAGGAGATTGTTGCAGTCGTAATAGATTTCGCTGAATGTACAGGATTTGGTATTTCAAGGTCCAGTTGTGTCATACCTATACTTCCTACACTTGAGGCTGGAGACGGGATGTCCGTTGACTCCGGGAGTGGGTCTGTCGATGAGCTAGCTATAGACGAGCCACGAGATGCTTGTACACTTCGACGTCGAGCTTCTTCCGTAGTAATCAATTCATGTATATTGTTCCATTCGGTACTTGCTTCATCCATGATCGTCAACAGTGATTCATTGAGCTTGTCGTCAATAGCTGGATCGTATTCAATTTCTGGCCAAACTGGAGGGAACTTGTCATCATTGACGGTGGATTGGTAAACAAAGTGAGCAAACCGCATAGCATGATTTTGTGTCAGTTCCTACACATGAGGAAAAAAAAAGAAAAAAAAAAAAAAAAAAAAAAAAAAAAAAAAAAAAAAAAGAGAGATGAGAAGGAGAAGATTTGTACTGATTTGCCTTTACTGTTCTTGTAGATATACTTACAGGAATCATGCGTCGAAGGCGGCCTTGTAAATATGCTATATAGAATCCATCAAAATTTTCGACAACATGAGAAAGGAGATGAGTTGAATAGGTTTGTGCTGTTGAGGATAGAATACCACTGAAAGCAATTGGAGATCGACCAATAGGGGAGGACACCTTTTCACATCGTGCCAGAGGAAATTGCTGGATAAATCGACGAAATACAAAATTGATATTATCACGTGTTGCAGCATCGAAAGTCGACTGATTGGTGAATTTGCCACCTAGTAGTAACTGGAAGATACCATAGAAGAAAGCTTGTTGAAAGAAACATGAGAGCAAAGGTAACCCGGCATCAAGACGATATGTGAAGAAATATAATAAAAAGAGATGACCCTTGATCACAAGTTGGCGATTGAAATCCACAACAGTTTCCACACCTTGAACAAACTGAGTCTTTTCGTCATCGGTCATATCTAGGAGTAAACCATACAGGCCATGTTTGATCGTGTGAGTTCGGAGAGGAGCACCAGAAAGTTCTTCGTTCTTGACCTTTTGTCGTTTTTTCTGATCAGGACATAAATTACTTGAGGAGCGTGAATGAGTTTTTGCCAATTCATGACGCCCAGCAGCGATACATGTGGGACACGGTTTGCGATTTGGGTTTTCTAGTTGAAGAGCTTCTTTTCGACCTTGGTTGGCAGTTTGCTTTTCTTTCTTTTCGTCCTTAGCCTGGCGTCGTTTGGTAGTCTGTTTAGAAATAGCTTTTTTCTGTCGCTTGTTCGCTACCAAATAATGGGAAAATTATTAAATGATATTAGCTGATTCAGAAAGAGAATTATAAAAAGTAACATACCTGGTTGTTCATCGTCTGTATCAGCATCTTGCTCTTGTTGCAGTAATTTTTGTTGTTTTTGTAGTTTTTTATTTCTGATGAAATTTTGTACGGTACGTGCCATGATAGATATAAAGATAAGAGGAAAAAAAAAAAAAAAAAGACAGGAAAAAAAAAAGACTGAAATACAGCATGACCTGATCTTGGAGTCATTTCTCGTGCTAATCCAAAAAAGGAAATCAAAAATAAAAGGATGACTCAATTTCACTGACCTGATCCACTTCTGCCAGCTTGACCCATTTTCGCGGAGTTGGCCCACATTGAAAAACTTGACCCAATTAAAATTCATTTGATCCATTTCCATTTTGGTGACTTATGTTTAACTAACCTAGCCCGACCTAATTTTCTCGACTGTAAAAAAGTGAAAAAAAAAAAAAATTCAAAAGGGTCTCATCTACTCTTTCTCTTGTTTTGCTTTGTTATATAATATTTATATATTTATTTAACATAATTACTTTGTTATTCATTCTCACTTTTCTTCATTTATACATACACATTATATCTATATATATATACGCATACACATATAAATATATATATATATTATTTTACACAAACACAAATTACCTACAACCTTTTTCACCATGCCTCAAGACGATAATTCTACTCTGTCTATTGTGGATTCTTCTGGACGACAAGTTAGTATACTCAACCACCATCAAGAAATGCCTCCACAGGAAGATACGATAATGGATGATACAACGACAATATCAACAACAAGAAGAAAATATATCTGTAATGAACCTGGATGTTTTAAAAGCTTTACTACAAGTGGACATCTTGCTCGTCATCATAGAATTCATACTGGTGAAAAGAATTTCCCTTGTTTGTTTCCTGGTTGCCAATCTCGATTTTCTCGTCAAGACAATATGATGCAACATTATCGAACTCACATGTCGCCCAAATCAAGAAGAACAAAGAAACACCCTGATAATAGATCCCAACCAAAACTTCATGCTCACCATAGGATCCTTTCTGATTCCACTGCTCCTTTGACTATTGATCAACATCTTCGCAATTATCACCAATCTAGACTTTATCATCAACATCACCAACATATGTCTCACGCTTCACCATCTTCATCAGTTGGTCATTCCCCCAATATATCTTCTCCATCAACTCCATCTTCTCCTCCTCCTATGTTACCCTCTCTACTAGATACTCGCTCTTCTTTGGAAAATACGTCTTCAATTGTTTCTCCTCTTATACAGTCTCATACACCTTCTCGTTCATCAACAGGTGTTGTTTATCAATCGACAAATATTAGAAACAACGGTCCAACTACTACTACTACTACTACTACTACCACTACTACACCAGTCCTACCGCCACCAGCATCATCATCATCTTCTTCTTCTTCATCATCATCATCATTATTATTGCCATTATTACCACCACCTTTGAGATCATCAATGTCTTCATCAACATCATCATCATCGTCATCTTTGTCATCAATATCTACTTCAACAGAAAGAAGAACATTCAATTTACCGGTACCTACAACTTTACCTTCACCATCAACAACAACTTTTCAATCATCCTCTTCAAATGACTATCAGTCAGGACATCAGCATCATCGTCCTTTTCATCACATCAATTCAGCTTCAACAGATATCTTTTACCAACATCGTCCTTTGATATACACAGAATGTCCGAACACTAACCCCACAACATTATTGAATCCTACACCTATCAACAAGAATAGCTCTTCCAAATTACCTTTATCATCTTCTACTCAACAAAACGAAGGTGACACTTCATCATCGTCATCATCATCGTCATCATCCTCACCATCATCAAACAGTTTGATTCAATTGGCCAATATTGTTAGTTCCTTTGGATGACGGAAAAAAAAAGGTTTGTTTCGTTCAGTGTATCACCTCTTTACCTTTCTTCTTCTTCTTCTTATTATTATTATTGCTATTATTATTATTATGCTATTTTATCATCTGTACAAATATATTCCTATATAGTTATTATTCTTTATCATACATACATACATGCATATCTATATATATATATATTTATCAATAAAACAATGACAAATACTTTTTTTATTTAAATTGAAAAATAAGAACAAAAAAATAAATTTTATATGACATGTTGGAAAGGAATAGTTATGGGAAACACAAGAGCATATATAGATGGATTGTATAAAGAAACCTTCCACCTTTTTATTTTTATTATTATTATTATTATTGAAAATGATCATTTGTCCCACAAAATAGCAATAGACGGTAAAGAAGGGTGGTTTCAAGGAAGATGATCATGGTTGACGCCTCTAATCACATTATTATTATTATTATTATTATTATTATTATTGTATATAGATGCCTCTAACACTTTTGGATGATTTCAACATGAACAAGACATCTATTTCTAAAAAAGAAGCCTAAATGATGATGATCAAACTTTTTCAAGTATTGTATAACATATAACGAAGTAGAAAACACCTGCCAACGATTTTCCAAGTGTTTAATTAAAAAAAAATATAGGTACAATCAGTTTTATTAACAAACACTTAGTAGAGTCAATCAATAACACATTATATAAACTAAATCAACTATATAACTAAATTCTATATTATTGGCCTACATAATGCAACAAAGGAATAGTGTTCAAGATTGATGAATGGCGTCATAACTAGGCGGCAAATCATCTTCTTCATCTGCAACTCTCTGTGATGGTAATGACATTGATGTTGTAGATTGTTGTTGAGAATACTCTGGCATGGCTGTTGAAGAAGATGATTCGGATTGATATGTCGGTAGAGGTTCAAAATGAGATGGCATTTCGTTCGTTTCTATATAACAAATCAAAACAAATGTTATCTACAATATTTACATCTCTTTGATTAAAAAATTTACCTGCTAATCGTTCATATAATGCTTGAAGTATAGTTGTAAATTCAATGGCACCACCCTCAGTGAATGTGAGTCTCAACTTTCCATTTTTCAAGAGCCCACCACCTGATACCTATTATCAAAGAGTATTAGAAATGATAACCAAATCTTCCCACATAGAATTATTATTACCGGTAAAACGATTCCTTCAATATAATTGGCACCAAACCATGGTTGTTCCAGTTTCCAGTTTTTCAAATGAAGAATCGGGATATTCAAAGATTGCAATGAATCGTTGGGTTTTTGGGCAATAAAGACAATCTAAAACATGGGATTAAATGTAAAAATCATAAAAATCATTGTCTACAGGAACTAAAAATAACAATAATAATAATCAAAAAAAAAAAAGTTACTTACTCTTTGATTGGAAAGGTAAATTAAACCTTGACTTGACCAGTATCCACTTTTTTATACATTTTGTGTCCACAAACATAATTATATATAATAATAATAATAATAATAAAAAAGAAGAAGAGAGAGGAATAATACAAGGTCAAAAAGCCAAAATAAAAAGAAATAAAGAGGCGCAGGTCAATGAAGAGTTCTTTGAATGATATTTAATTTTCTTACGATGAATTCCCAGGGTAGCCACTACAAAGAGAGAAAGAAAAAAAGAAAAAAAAAAAAAAAGAAGAAGATGAATGATATAAATAGGTGAAGAAAGGAGATAAATTAAAGTAAAACAAGTATACATTAGTGATAATACTTACTCCTCTGAGCAATCCAATACGAGTTTAATACTACTTTGAGTAAAAAAGGCTTTTTCTTGAGGTAAGGGAATCACAGACTGACGATCATGTGAGAGCATAGCACAGTTGAGACTCATGGTATAAAAAGAAGGAATGATAAAAAAAAAGACAAAGGAGGAGAAGAAAATGAAGAAAAAAGCATGGAAGTGTATCGAAAGTGCAGAAAAGAAGTATTCAAATTCCGCGAGATCACCATTACAATCACGCTGCAACTGATATAATTTTATTTCAAAAAAAAAGAGGATAGACAACCTATACTAAATGATAATAATATATATAACTGATACTAATACTAATCACTATGGGGCATTCTTCTTGAGTTCATCAGGACAATCAGGCTGATTGAAAGGGTGAGCAGACTTGAATTCGGGAAGAGTCAATAAAGTATTGTTAATTCGAGTAATCAAGGGGAATGGCTTCATATCAACTTTCCATCGATGAGCATTTTGCACCATGGGGACCAAGAACATATCAGCCATTGTAATATGATCACCTAAACAATAAGTACCAGCCGTTTGTTCCAACATCGTTTCCAACCCAGTGAATCCTTTGTTGATCCAATAGTTAGCCCATTCCGTTCGTTTTTCGACATCATCACCTGCAACATGTTTCAATACTGCGAGATTTTGTAGTGGATGGATATCACAAGCAATGGCTTGCACAATGGCACGTACTTGAGCGCGATGAATCGCTCCTTTTGGTAACATGGGTCTTTCTAAATCAAACAATCAGTGAAATTTAGTTTATCATTATTCTATTTTTTTTTTTTTTTTTTACCTGGTTTGATTTCTTCAAGATAATCCATAATAGCTTCACTTTGAACCAATACTTTTCCATCCTTTGTAACAAAAGCAGGTACCTTACCAAAAGGATTTACTTTTAAGTATTCATCAGATTCCTAAAGTAAAGAAATAGATATCATATTAATAATAATAATAATAATAATAATAAAAAGAAAAGTCTTACATTTGTTCCAGTCAAGAGACTAATTTCACGATATTCATAATCAATGCCTTTCCATGCCAAAGCAATACGAACACGATAACTAGCAGACGAGCGGAAGTAATTATACAAAATGGGTTTTGACTATCAAAATAGAGAGAATGCGTGTAAGGTCCTTTGAGGTTTTTTTTTTTTTTAAGCGAACAGGGGTCAATTGTTTATTTTCACTTACTTCTTCAGAAGCCATGTGGAATATTATATATATAGATATATACTAGAAAAAAAAAGTAAAAGAGAGAGAGAGAAAAAGAAAAAAGGGGATATAAAAAAAAAACTCGGCTCTTTTTTTTTCACACGATAAGCTTCACATGCCGCCTTTTTCTTGCTTAGCTAGATTGACATCTTCATTCATTTAAAAAGCGTTAATAATAAAGGTAGATCATCCAATGGTAGGCTACATTGATTTTTTTTTTTTTTTTTTATGATAGACAATATATTAAAAGAAAGTATGATTGATTTTCCGGTAACTTCGGATTTTCTTTTTCACGGGAAGCATAAAAAAAAAAACCAAACTCGGAACAATCTTATTCAATGTCTTCAGAAAAAGTGAGGCTTGGATCAATCCAATGGTACCACATGCTTTTTTACGTGTTGTTGAATCGCCGCGCGTAACTATCATGTATTTTTTTTTGTATTCTTTTTTTTTTTTTTCTTTTTTTTTCTTTTCTTTTTTTTTCTTTTTTTTTTTTAATTCAGTACTGTCAAATTACAGGATATGGAAGGTAAAAGACATATTCTTTCTATATCTACATTTTGACAAAGATGAAATAAAACAAGATTTTATTCAGTGATACACCAATGATTATAATAAGACTTCCATCATTTGGTCACCTCCATTCTTGTATATCACAAAAATATAAAATGAAAATGAAAATGAATATAAAAGATATATATTTTATTAAAATGTACAAATAGTATAAATAGAGTTGAGAATTAAAAAAACTTTGAAAGTATTTGTATGTGGTATAAAGTTTTGTTTTCATCATCACGGGACAAGCTAGTAAATAAAACCAATATAATTACTACATAAGAGGTTCCAAAAGCGATTCCATTCTTGTGACTTGGGTACAACCAATCATCATAGTCTAGCGATCAATAACAGCAAACACATTGTTCATCTTCGCAACAACATAACGCACAACAAAGGGCCGTCAAACTATACAAATAAAAATAAAATCAGAAAATGATATATATTTTTTTTTCAAAAGTTTTAACATACCAAGTGCATAAACAACAACCATCAGTACAATCACAACAACCTCTGTTTTCATAATATCCGGGATATGAAACTACCATTGGACCTGGAACTTGATGTTGCATAGGTACTGTACTGGGATAAAACGCTAGTAATACATAGAATAAAATAATAATAATAATAATAATAATAAAAAGATGAACCAGTTAGTAGATTATCTTTTTCTTTCCTTAAAAAGAATACTTACTTGGTGCAGTATAAGGAGTTGCCATCAATGTATGAGGATAATAAGAGGTAGGCATGACATGATGTTGTAATGGTGGAGGAGGGACTGAAGCTGGATAAGCCATTGTCATTGGAGTCATAGCCATATCGCTATTGAGGTTGAAAGGTGGTGAAGTGAACCTTATCAAGTGAAAACTGACAAAAAGAATAAAAAAAAAAAATAGGGAAGAAAAGCGAAAGAAGAAAAAAAAGAAAAATAGTCGAAATCAGAAAAGAAAGAAAAAAAAAGATGCATTAGGTCTTGATTTTGGTGATTTTTGATTGGCGGTAAATCAAATCATTAACAATTAAATGGAAAAGTAAGGGGAGGTAAACTGACCTGGATGTTTCATTAGTGATTACCTCGTTTTTTTGGATTTAAAACTTTTTTTTTTTTACTTGACGATTAGTTTTGATTGAGGAGTCATCAATAAACTGATGATCAAGATGATGCAGTAACAAAATAACAACGGAATTTGAAACCGATGTGCATTGATAGACTTTTGTTCCTAGAGCTTACAATGAAATATATATATATATATATATATGCAAACGACGAAAAGAAATATAATTTGTACGATAGATCATCATATCTATAATAATTCTAATAACATGATTTCCTTTTGATCTAAGAGATCATTACTTTTTCTTTTGATCCTACTGAATAATAAGAGTATGACAAAAAAAATAAAAAATCACAAGTTCAATGCGGTATTTGAACTCGAACTTCTTTAACCTTTCTTTTTTTTTTTTTTTTTGCACTTCTTCTCATCCTTTTTTTTTTTTTTTCCTGATCGCGTTGTTATGCCAACAGTTATTGTTAAATTAGGAGGAGCCGCTATTACAAATAAAAAGAATGTGAATCAGTTATCATGCGATCTGGATCGTCTAGTGGATCAAGTATTTCAGTCCTATCAGCATTTACAACAGCTACCTGACCGTCATGATCTTATTCTTATTCATGGTGCTGGTAGTTTTGGACATCCTCCAGCGAAAAAATATCACATCAAGCGTGGTTGGTTACATGATACTATAGAACAACAAAAGTTTGGATTTGCTCTCACAAGACAACATGTCGATACACTTCATCACCATTTACTTGAACGTCTACTTGCCTTGGGTCTTCCTGTTTGTACCGTGCCGGCGTTTGACCATGTGGAAACAAATCAAGGTCTCCCCAGTCAGGAATCAAGTCATCGGTTATGTGTTCGTGTCCACCAACTTGTGTCTCTTGGTTTTATTCCTCTTCTCTTTGGTGATGCTGTCTTGGACACATCCTTGGGCTGCACCATCCTTTCCGGTGATGTGCTCATGTATGAATTGGCCTCTCATTTGTCTAATGTGGCTCGATGTATCTTTGTCACTGATGTCCAAGGCATCTATTCAGATGATCCCAAAACAAATCCTAAAGCAACTTTGATCAAACATATCAATAATACACTGGATAATCAACTTTTTTTGGCTAATACAAACAAATCGATCGACGTAACGGGTGGCATGAATGGAAAAGTGATCTGGATCAGACGGATATTACAAGATACATCGGTACCTGAAGTGATCATTTGTCAAGCTGGCTCAAAAGAAGTTCCTTACGCAATCACTCTTCAACCTCTACTAACTGGTGATGACTCCCCTTTGGATCAAGTCTCCTTGACATTATTTACAAACAACTAAGAATTTCCTGTCAAGTATAGATTAGATTTATTATTAGTTAGTTCGATTCGTTTTATTATTTCACTCTTTATCTAGTTATTCATTCACTCTTATAATCTACCATATGTTGCATACACGATATAATAAATCTTACCTTTTTTTTTCTTTTGTGTACTATCTATATACATTGATGCTTCTTCATCCATACTCCAAGATAGACGATTTCAATCTTTTTTTTTTTTTTAAAAAAAAAAAAGAGTTCACTACTTTTTTTTATTTTCCTCAGCATCAAAATTCGATACAACCAGGATAACTTTATTTTATTTTATTAAAAGGGTGTATATGAGTATAATGAGAATAATAATAATAATAATAAAATAATAAAATAATAATAATAATAATAATAAAAGAGTATATATAAAAGTGTGTATATGTAGAATGAATAATATGTACGTAAAAAAAAAAAAAAAAAAAAAAAAATACTAAGAAAAAAAAAATACGATAACAATAACGGTATCCAACTTTGTTCTAATCCCATTTCTATATGTCTAGTCAGTAATTCGTTCTAATAACTTGCTGATCAATTGAGCATTGGTTGCAACATTTGTCTTGGAAGCACCAAAGGAAGGATCACCAAGAGCAGAGAAACCTAATTCATCCAAATATGCCTTTTGACTTTTTCGATTGATAGGTTGATAAAACGCCGGTTCCGAACATGCCGTCATCAGGATTCCTTTGACAGCATCAATCACAGCATAGTTCTGACTACTGATGGCCATTTGATTCATCTTGGGTAAAAGAGATTCATAGACCAAAGCAAATACTTCAGGAATCGACACTGAGGCTTCAGAAAGGAATGAATACAAGAATAATCGTTCAGCTTCATTTTCCGCCGTGTTAAGCATTGTCACCAGGAAGGATACCAAAAGAAGAGCCGTTGTATTATCAGGAATTTCCAAAGCATCAAAGATACGAAGATGACCTATGAGTCCACTCCTACCAGCAGTACCGTTGGGAATACCTGGAATGGCAGACATTCCTATTCCTCCTCCTCCTCCTCCACCAGCACCAAAACCTAGAGCAGCTCCTGACCAGAAATTGATTCCATCCAGATCCACATCGTTGATACCAGCCAATCGTAAAAGTTCTCGTAGAGCATTGTTCCTGGATGCCAATGGTAATAAACCCACAAGGTATCCCAATGATTTCGCTTCCACAGTATTTTGCTGTTCTAAGCATCGTTTGCAATCAATTTCCAAAAACGTCGTTAAACATTCGTAAACCACATCCATATCGCTTTCCGAGTCATTGTTGCCGTTGTTGTTATTGTTGTTACCGTTGCTATTGTTATTGCTGTTATTATTATTGTTGCTTTTTTGTTGTTGTACGCCCTTGAAAAGAATGCCGGCCACAGCAAAGGAGAAATGATTATCAAAACTGATCCCATTCACAAAGTCCAATTCACGAGAAACATCTGACAGTGGCGCACGAGTCTCCAATAAGAATTCAGCCATAGGTCGTTGAATAAAGAATTTGTGACGATCGAGAGCCCGAAGCACAGATTGCATAAATCGTACAGCAGTCTTAAACGTAGCAGGATGATTCATTTCCACAAGAGAAATGGCCAACCAAAAGATCGGATGAAGGTAACGTGAACTACTTGGTAAATTGTCAATGATATTGCTGAGACACATCATAATGCTGATAATCAAACTGGCATCTGTTTCGTTAAAAATAGCAAGTGCACCTCGTAATGCCACCAAAATCTGATAAATAAGATCATCATCTACTTCATCTGTTGCAAGACAACCCAAAGCAACAAATGATCGTGGTTGAATAGCTGGATTGAATTGGAATGCTGTACTAGTGATAAGTCCCATCCATCTTGCTCGCCACATATTTGCAATATCTATTAACAAAAAAAAAAAAGTCAATCAACAAGTAAAATAATAAATCATCATCATTAGTCACATACCAATAGATGGTGCACCGAAATGTAAGGCCTCCAATAAGAGTCGAATCATGCTTTCAAGTGAGGAAAGGTTCATTGCACCAAAATGATCAGTCATTGTATCCGAATTAATGGTAAGAGAACTGGTATGATGTTTTGTAAGTCCAAAGTAAATTCGATTCTTACTGTCACATAGATCATTGAGAATAAAATGAAGTTTCTGAACTTGATCATCAGGTAATGAGGTAGCTGTACATAGAGTATGAATGATGTTGACAACTAATTCATGTACAGACGCACGAACCATGACTGACCCATTTCCAACCAAGAGAGACACAATATGAAATAGTTCAGGTAAATGTGGTTTGACGGGACTAGCGTTATTAAATGAAAGCATCAAAATGAATCGAAGTAAGATGATGATTTCTGTCCAAGCAGGATGATCGGTGAGATGTCGACAAGGTCGTAGAGAAGTACATTGTAAAACCTAACCACAAATATCATAAATGTCAATTATCAACAAAAAAAAAAAAAGATATCCCTTTTTTTTTTTTTTTTTTTTTTTTTTTTTTTTTTTTTTTTTTTTTTTTTTTTTTTTTTTTTTTTACCTTTCTCAGTCGACTAATCACTTTACCACGCACAGTAACACTTGATAGAGTAACAAAAGTATCAGCCATGGCTTCTGCTTGAGGTGATCCAACACCATGTTCCACAGCAAATTGAATAAATGAGTCCAAGATGACATTGATAATATCGTCCACTTTTCCCAAAGGTTTCCAAATTTTCGCTTGTACATGTTTATACATCTATAAAAAAAAATCATAAGCATCTTATTATTTTTTTTTTTATATATTCGATATTTTCTCTTACATCGGGATAACTGACTGTCAGTTCAATCATAAGTCTAATAATATCCGTCGCTTTGGATAAATTCTTGTTATGATCATCAGGTGTATGTCGAATGAAAATGGCAAGATTTCGTAACCATGGAGAAGCATAATCCAAACATAGCTGTCGCATTGATTCAGATGATTTGTGGAAACCAATTAAGCATTCACTTAAAAAGTCCAGAGTAAGTTGAGGTTCAGAGGCTGCTAATCGTTCACTGATACTGATTAAAAAGTCGGTGCTATTCGCTGGTATACAAAGATCTTGGGCATTGAGTAGTTGATTGGAAAGATCGAACCGGAAAGTGATGCTAAGTGAATGCAGAAGATTATAAGATGCTAATCGAATAGCAGGATCTTCATGTCCAATATTGAGTAATGCCATGCTGAGTAGACGTCCAGGTACATCACTTGGTCGTAAGGGTCGTTCATGAATACCACCAGGTTTATTTCTTTCATAATTTTGCTTGTTGTACCGTAAGAGCTAGTGAATACAACACATTAAACATAAAGTTAGCTCATCTTTATTTATGAATGATTCATTTTCATTATTTATTCACTTACAGCCAACATCGAATCACGCTTTGGACTAGATAATACCATTGCCGCCTTGCCATGTTCATACTTGAATGATAATTCACCAACGTTATCCTGTTTGGAATTAGGTAATGCTTTGATATCTTCAAGAACCGATATATGGTATATATCCTTCAACACAGTATTAAAGTTTGAAACAAGATCAATAGGTCGAACCTAGATAATATATATATATCAAAGATGACATACAAAAAAAAAAAAGGCATAAGTAAAAAGAAGACATCAAAGAGAGAGAGAGAGAGAGAGAGAGAGAGAGAGAGAGAGAGAGAGAGAGATTCCTCATGATTTTCTTTGACTATTACCGTAATAATTTGAATATGTTCTGTACTGATCTTGACAGTGACAGGTAAAGTTGATTTGAGATTGGTCTGTCTCGTAACAGGATAGAATACAGTGGCAGGTTCCTTTTCGATTTCGGCTATTGAAAGATAAATATATATGAGAATCGTTTTTTTTTTTTCAAAAAAAAAAATAAAAGTAAAAAGGATTTCTTTTTTTAATCTTACCAGTATATTTGGGAATACGTAGTTCACTAGGAGGAATACGTTCATATAAATCTGATAGAGTCAACACAAATCTGATCCGCTTGACCAGTTTATTTAGAATTGCCCGAGGGAAACGCCGCATATAGGACCGTAGATGAGTGTTAGGGTTGTATAGATTAAGACACACCAGATAATCATTTAACCAATTACCGATCAATTGAAAGAAAAGGGATAACCAATGGGTAGGAAATTCGCATCCTGAATCAAAGTAAGTCAAGTCAAATAGAAGTTCAAAGGGACTGCTTAAATGGGGCTCCATCACCTTAAAAAAGAAATTGATAATAATTAGAGTCCATTTGATTGCCAATAAAACCATTTCTACTTTTTTTTTTTTTTTTTTTTTTTTTTACCTTGAGCATGTAATAAGTGGCTAATTCAAAATCCATATATTCTGCATCAATGTTTCGAGAAATAAGGTAAAAAACGGGATGTCCAGCTTTGGAGGTACCACCAAGAAAGAAAAAGTTGGTAGAACTAACACCAGATGTATCACTATGAGCATTTCGTTTCATAAATTCGTTGAACTGTTGATCAGCAACTGTATTGGTAGATCGTCGAGAATGAGTCACACTATAATCAGATATTTCAGATGGTTGACCCAATTGTGCCAAAAGGTTGGAAAGTCGATCCATAGTACGTTTCAAATCCAGCAACGATTGTGTGTTTCCAGTAGATGAATTCTTCGCTCGTCGACTAGATAGATCACGAGACATACGTTCGATGTTATCAGAAAGATAGCGATGTAGTCGAATATATCCATTTTGATCCATGCGTACTGTGTTGCAGAGTTCTTCATTATCAGATTCTTTCGGTAAAGATGATATTTCACGTAAAAAGCTGGTGACTCGGTATATATTGTTGGTTAAAAAGTCATTCAGGACAATCATATGTGTTTCCTTGGATCCAAAGAGAATATTGCTGGCAAGATTTTGAATCACACGTGTAGCTTGAAGAAGAAGTTTTCGAACCTTGTTGTTTCTGGGTATAGCTGTCCTGGCAAATCCAGCATGTTCTGGTGAGACAATAGCAGGACCGAATAGTCGTAGGATCACCACACCACCAACAGCAGTATATTTAGCTTCGGGAAATCGTTTTCGTACTGCTTCAACAATTAAATGTAGCTCCTGTCGAAAAGCTCTACATAAATAATTCAAAAAAAAATAATTAATATACATATATGTATATATGTTAGATACCTCTCTTAACAACTTACTTTGGAGCATCATCAGCAGAAGTACAAATAGCGTCTAGTAGTAATTCAGTGGTACGGATCACATTGGCCTTGTTTCGATTCAAATCATCACCTGAAGCAAACTTGCGTGGGTCCAATTCAAATGCAATTTCATCATCATTCCATTCGTTGATAGCTTCCAGCACCGGTTGAAGAGTTTTTCGAAGGTAATCCCAACAAAGAGTTTTGGCAAAAGTTGATATAAGCTTGATTCCCATTGTCGTACCACGTAACAATGTTGCTTCTTGTTCCGTTGTAGCCACTTCTTTTTCTATAACAGCCTTCATCAACATAAGTTCCTTGCGCCTTGATTCAAAACAAGCCAAAAGTACTTCAGCAAGTCCAGTTGTATCCATGGAAGGACAAACTTCACATAGTGATAAAGCAATTTCCATATCTGATTCCACAAGCATCTATAGATTTAAATAACAGGATGATTAAACATTGTCATTTTCCTTGATCTATTATTTTTTTTTTTCAACTCTTACATCTAATAATCTATCATAACGATCTGTAGTCACATTTTCAGCCAAAGTGTCAAATTCCACTCCTTGATTCAAAATATTGGTAAGCACTTGGATAAAAGCGGTTCTTGTACTTGGATCACCATGATAACCCATTGCCAAGGAGAATTTGAGACCTGCATCAATGTTGGCATTGAGTAAATTCGTCATAGCAGCGACTGTATAATTCTTCAAGGGTGCCATTTCCTATAGATGATAAAAAGAAAAACGATCAATGGAAAATCATCTAAATAGATTTAATCGCTCAGTGTACTTACTTTGCTAGTAGAAGTAGTATCCTTATTCCCATGAGATGACTAAAAGAAACAGAGAGAAAAAAAAATGCATTTAGATATTTAAGTGATAGATATAATTTTTTTTTTTTTTTACCTCTGTTTGACCACAACGAGAAAGTAATTTCAAGAAGAATTCGAAATATCCATAAAACAATCGACTTTTCACTTGAAAGGCATCAGTTGTACGAACAGGTTCCAAAGGTTGTAGAGGAAGTTGATGTAAAAGTTGTACCATGGCACGAAGACAAGCCTGATCCAAATCCCGTTGTAATTTGTCATTTTGTTGTTGAGACATCATATTTGCCACATCTGTAGTCATAGAATCACTTGTCCAACCTTTAATAATAGTCAAAATTTGATTCCGTAAGCGGGTTTCATTTCCAATCACGATTTGTTCTTTCTTGAATAAACAGGCTTCCACCAAATTGCAAATGTTGATTTTGACCCGTAAATTTACATAGGTATCAGGAAGAGCATCAACATAGCGAGTAAAATGGAGAACAAAAGCACCAAATTCAATATTCATCAAACAATCACTAGGGTCGACCAAACGCTCCAAAATCAACTTGAGTACCAATGCAGCTTGTTCCACAAATAAAATATTGGTCGTACCACCAACAGGTTCATTGTCCATAAATAATTTGCCAGTCATGGACATCAAATGTCGGAAAAGATTTGCATATAGAGTAGGAGACAGATCATTACCCAGTGCATCCTTGGCACCTTCACGAATAAACACATTATCAGAGACTAGGAGTTCGGTCATTTCTGCCATAAATCGATCAACCATCCTATATGGTTCACTAGGAGAAGATGAATGAATAGGACCATTGCTGTGTACCGTTGATTCATCAGAATAAGAGCTGCGACCAGTATCATATCCTGTAGATGTGTCTTCATTGGCCAAACAACATATACCAAGGGATGCTAAGAAGCCAGTATAATTTTGCCATTCGGTAGGTTTTTCATCATCGATTTCTGTGCGTTTCCTCATGGATCGATCCTTGTTGCCAGATTGTAATGATTTGGAATTGCTGTTAAAATCAGAGTTGATGTCATCCAGTTGTCGAATATGTTTCATCAATCCTTTCCATCGTTTGTAAACTTCTTCCCAAGCAGCCAAATTACCAGGAGTAGGTCGATTCATCATACGTAGATATTTTCGAATGCGTTTTTGTTGAGCCTTTCGTCCAAGAAATACTGAATCTTCAGAGGCAAGATCAAAGTAAATAGGCAAGTTGCAGATATAGGTGATTTCTGTCAATTGTGGATCTTCACCATCGTTTCCAAATTCAGTTTCGTCACATAACAAACCAAGGCATCGAATACTGTCTGAACAAATATCAGGATTGGGAGAGCAAAAACATACTAATAAGGCAATTTCTAAAGAGATAGATGCCTGTAATCGTTCCCTAACACCTTCATTTGTTGATTCCTATGAAAAAAAAAAAGATTAAGAATAAATATCAATATATGGTTAACAAGGTTATCTGATATTATTATTATTACCATTTGTTTCCGAAGAAATTCAGCTCTAGATTTGAGTAGTTTCATCACAAGATTCAAAAGAGATTTGATTCCATCTTCAGTTTGCTTTTCATCTAACATTTGTCTTGCTAAAGAAAAGATCACTTGTGAAGAGATAGACCAAAAGTTTGACATTAAAGTTGTAGATGAACCCCAAGAAGGAATGGCATCAATGCTATGTAATTTGGATAAACAGTCAACAGCATTTTGTCGTATATTGTGATCTTGATGTTGAAATAAATTGGCAATACATAACATCATGGTTCCATTTTCATCGCCTTGTTCATTATTCTATCAAATATAATAGATTGTATTTTTTTTTTTAGTTTAATAATCCAAAAAAAAAAATGTTATATTACCAGTAAAGCAAGCAATGGATCCGTTTTGTATAATCGTAAAATATCTTGAATCAGTTCTGTGTTTCCTCGTCGATCAAGGGAAGCTCTTTGTTGTTGTAAAGTACCAGGACGTAGTTCATAACCAACAGCTTGAATAAATAGTTTTCGAAGAATGGAACACAAGGGATCATACATATTTTCCAAGGAAGGATTCCATGCAAGGTGATTATCTTCATCTGCAATAGCAAGGCAAGATTTGACAAGAGCCAACTTGAATCGAATTGGAGCACGATCGCCCAAACAAGTGGGTACAAGAGAGATCAGTGTTGATTTTGTATCCAGACGTAATCGAGCCAATAAATAGTCAGTAGTAAGAACCTGTTGATTGACTGAATAACCATGAGTAGTTGTTAGAGTATTATCGTTTGTTGCATTCCATATCTTTTCCCTTAAATCCGCATCTATATCTGCTGCAATATGGTGTAGAACTGAATCATCATTAGGTCGAATATAAGTTGCTGCTTTGCATAGATCCACATAACACAATGCTGCAATGTCTGCCGTTCTTGAACTTTTCAAAGATTTTCGTAAAGTAGCAAGAAAACTTGTCTATTAATAAATAAATAAAATTAAATGATCAATATACAAAAGAAATATTTTCCTTTTTTTTTTTTTTTTTTACCCGTCTGTTTTGAGAAGAAGGATTATCTAAAAAGGCTTGTAATAATAAATCAGGAGATAATGATAAAAGAATAGTTTGTAGTGGCCACATGATTGCTTTTTTCTTGGACGTATCGGCTGATGAGCTGCACATATCAAACAAGATTTCAGAACCTCCAAGTAAACGATTATCGCTTGCACACACTTGTTCAAATTCACTTGGATAAGTTTCTATCCAACGCCAAATTGCCCGTCGAATCATTTTTGAATATAATAGTTTGCCTTGTCGTTTCATGTGAAGATAATAAGGGCTAAGTTCTAAATATTATATAGAAAAAAAAAAACGATTATTATTAAAATGATTGTTCATGAATAAATATTATATAAAACTTACCAGTCAAAACAGTATGTAATCTTGGTCTTGTTAAACAACTACATTCCAACATTCGAATATCAGGAGGATTGGTATCGATACCTTCACCAATAGAACCTAGTACTTGTACAGCAGCCTTGATTTTCGCATAATAGAAAGACCAGTTACTTGCACTAACATAGTATAATACTTTTCCAGCAACTTTATAAATATCCAACATGGTTTCAATAAGAGTAGGATCCATAGAAGGAGCAGTCATAGTAGTATCATAGCTAAGATCATTATCATTGGCTTCTTCCATTTGATGAACTTGAATCAAAAAACGGTTCATTAATAACAAGATGAATGAAACCAAAGCATCGTCCAAAGGAGGGATATACATCGATCTTGGTACAGAATAAGTTGAAGAGTCATCCAAACTTTGACGTGGAGAAGAGTCAGCACCTACCGCTCCAATAGCTGCTGCAGCTGCATCTGTTTCTTCACGTTGATGAGCTAACTGACTTGCTTGTTCTCTATAACTTTTCCAATGGTGTTGCATACAGGCTGAAAGTAAACGAAGAATAAAAAGTTGTGATTGAAGTACATCGATTGGTATAGTATATTCCACTGTTGTTGGTTGATAATGCTATAATAGAAATAGATATATTTTGAGTGAATAATATAAAAAAAAACTTGTACAACTTATTTTGTACCTTTGACACGTTTTCCAGAACGGAGCCAAGAGCATTAGCAATTGTCGATAATTTGAAAGTTGAAAGTTCAATAATGGCAGCCACTAAAATAATAAAAGCATTAAAAAAAAATAAACTTTATTATTAATATTATTATTACCAGTTTGTTGTACAATAGGATCATGTTCCAAGCTTTCAATTTTTCGTCCACTATTAATAGGTAACTTATAGTGTCAAAAAAAAAAAAAGGTTAAATTCAGTTTATTTCAAACATTGGATTAACTTACTCGCACAGCGACACGATTGATCAAACTCAATATCAATTTTGTATTTGAGCGCATGACAACCAACAATAGCTTGCAACCATACAGTTGGGTTTAATAAATAGTATAAAGATGGAAAAAAAAAAAAAAAAAAAAAAAAAAAAAGACAAGAAAAAGGAAAAAGAAAATCTGACAAGGTAAAAATGAAAAAAAAAAGTATGGAGAGGAAATATATCGGAGTTTCCAAAGTCAATATCACTCACTCTTTGATTTTGTTAAATGATGCGTATAGATATGACCAATTGGAGTTATATCCAAATTACTGTTTTGCGTGTGAGTGTCCTTTTTTTTTAAGTATATTCTGAATGCATTGTTTTAATCCGTCAATGATTCAACAAAAAAAAAAAAGTTGCTTACTGACCAAGAATATTCCTTCTACATACGGTGTTTGAAATCACAAATTGGATCAAGGAACTGGTATGTAGAATAAACTGATTAATTCATTCAATGTTATATTATCACAATACTTTCACTTTTCTCTTTTTATCTCTCTCATAAATACATACATATATATATATATATAGGTAACAGGTTTTACATGTGCATCATCAATCTTCCAAATTTGGAAAGGTGTCTTTTTCATCATTACTGCCTATAATAAAGTCACTATCAGCTTTTTGGTTCATCTTGTATCAATAGGATAGAAAAAGAAAACATTATAATACGATTATTAAATGATCATGGTTTAATGATATGAATGAATAATTTGAAATATACATTGTATCGACAGTTAGAAAAAAAAAAAGAGAGAGAGAGAGAGAGAGAGATTGATAACGTTGTATGTACATGACATATGATTTGCGTTGGTTATTTTTTATTACTAATAAAGTGATAACAGTATGAAATGATTCAAACTAACAATAAAAATAATAATAGTAATAATAATAAGAATAAAATGGATAAATTATAAAAAAAAGGGCATGTCTATCTTTTGGAGTAAATCATATTCAGGAGTAAACATCCACCACCAAAGTTGTTACCATTCAACGTATAGGTTAACTATAATACATATTCATGTCTATGTTACAAAAAAAAAAAAAGAGAATCATAAGTATTTGTTATTATATTCTGTACCTTGTCAGTTCCCATTATGAATGCCCTTTTCTTTAGCACCATTACTTACTGTCGTTGTTTTCCATAGGATGATCCAGTGTCAACCGGATCAGCAAAAGGGTCAGCAAAAGGATCATCTTCTTCATCCACCACTGGTTCAGAAGATTCAGTACGATGATCCAGTTGTAAGCCAGCCAGATCTTGATCAATTGTAGAGGTATCGTTGTGATAGGCAATTTGATGTGATACAGGAGTCGTGTTGTTAGGAGACGAAATCAAATTGGCGGGGATCTCACCAACAGACATAATATCATACATATCGAGAGCTTTGAGTAACTCTTCATTGGTAGATAATAGAGTGCCGATCCATTCTTCATCCTCTACTAGCCTGGCATATTTAACGATTTTCTTCTTTGAGTCTTCACATTCTTGTCGATATTCTTGTAATCTCTTGTCATGTTGTAAATCAATTTCCCATCGATCTTCTCTAGTATCCAAAAGTTTAAGAGCATTAACTAATTGATTAACATGTTGATTGGCAAGGGCAATTTCTTGGATGATTTTAGGTTTAGCAGCTGCAAAGTCAAATACTGAGGTTGATCCTTCATGTCTGGTAGCGTTACTTTGACTACGGGGTTTGGTTTTACGTTGATTAGAAGTTTCAGGTCGATTAGGTTTAGTAGGTGGAGGCATTGATCGACGTTTAGGTGACCCGATTGGAGATCGTTGTTGTTGTTGTTGTTGTTCCGGTTGTGATGATTGTGGTGGTGGTGGTGATGAGGAAGAAGTTTGTGATGTACTAGTTGAACGAGAATGACGACCCTATGAATGTATAAAAAAATAGATAAGAATATGATATTAAAGTAATCATCATTTTATAAAAGATATAAAAATTGTCAAAAGAATGACTTACCAATCCTAGTTTTGTTAATCCTATTTGATACATATTGGCAAGCATTCGCATTCCAGGCTCGCCCTTATATTTCATAGACCAAGCACCAAGTAAACTAACCAGTTGTTTCTTGACCACCATACTTTCCATCTATCAAAAGAAAAAGGTAAACATGCATAAATATCATAAAGAAGTAATCACTTCAAAAAAAAGAGAGAGAATGATTATAACTTACTGGAGAAGATAACATGAATTCAAATCGTTCTCGCATTTTGTCATTGACACCAAGTTGTTCTACAGAAAGAAAAAAGAGAGAGAGAGAGAGAGAAAAAGATAAACATATTAGTTCCTTTACTATCCTCTTCTTTGACTTTGCCTTTCTAGTCTATTCCTTTCAACTAAATAACTTACGGCGAAATTGTTGAGGACTATTTTCCATAAGTAACTTTAAGATCTAAAAAAGAAGGAGAAAGAAAGAAGAAGAAAAAAGTGAATGGTTTAGATGGTGCAACAGTATTTCTTATTATTACTATTTACCTCGAGAATACGCAGTTTTTGTTCTTGAGTACCGTGTTTAAGTCGTTTCCTAATGGCTTCAATGGCTTCTCTTGGACCATTTTCTTGCATATTCATAGATTCTATCAATTGTTGAAACTGATACCATTCAATTTCTTCATAGTTCGATAGTTTTTCTAATATCAAAAAAAAAAAAAGATGAGGATATAGGTGAAAAGAAAACAAACAAAAGAGAGATAGAAAAAAAACTATTTAGCTTTAAGTAGCTTACTTGCCTATATAGAGAGTCACTGATGTTTTCTGAATATCTTCAGTAAATATACCCATGTCGATAAAGTTAAAGGGGATAAGAAAAAGAAAAAGGAATTAAAGTTGGAAGAAGACAAAAAAAAAAAAAAAAAAAAGACGGAGATTGAAATGAATGATCAAATGGGGATTTTCTTCCTCATTGGGATCCAATGATATGAAAAATTGTATGAAAGGGATGATAAACATTATCACCGGTATATTCTAAAGATTAAAAACGATATATATATATACATATATATATTATATATGTATATATAGTTTTATATTTGTAATTTATTGTAATATAAATTCATAAAGATAATAAAGATGGTTGACATGTTTTTTTATTTTGAAGATATCAAAGTAAATCAAACTAAGTAAGGATGATGATATATAAAGAAGGAGGGGAGGATGGAGATCCTTGTATGGGTGTATTTGAAACTACATATGTATAAATATAAATAAAATAAAAAGTGGAATATAATAAGAATGGAGAAGGGAGATTCAAGGAGATGATGAAAAAGGTCAATCAGGGATATGATGATACTGTTGATGTTGTTGTTGATGTTGCCCTGGATGTGATTGTTGTTGATTATAATTTTGTGATTTACTTGGCGATCGTTGTTGATTATAATGTTGTGATTTATTTATTGATTGTTGTTGATCATAATGTTGTGATTTATTTGGCGATTGATATTGATGTTCATATACAATGCGACGTTTTGCTGGAGTGATGGAAGGGGATGGAGTACATGTAGAAGGAGGTGGTATAGAAGATGATGATTCTTGTATTGATGTTTTTCTAGTCCCATCGGATACACCATTTGTTAAAAAGTTATAAGAAGCTACAGTAATGGATTCCTTTCGAAGTAATTTGGAATAATCTAAAAATCAAAAAAAAAAATTTAGAAAAAAAGAATCTTCTTTTGAATTTCCTTACGTAGACCACATGCATTACAAAGTGTTCGAGCACCATCAGGACCTCTTCTCCATTCAGGTGTTTCGGAGGTAAGACAAGAATGGCATTGTTGACCAACTGTACTTCGTTTCTATAAAAAAAAAAAAATAAAAAAAAAACAAATAGATGAGTAAAATACAATATTTTTTTTTTTCCTTCTTTCTCTTTATACGCCCCTGTCTCTCTCTTATCTTGTTTATTTATCTTCCCCTATGATGATCGACTTACACTTCTTCTACGATATTTCGGTTTTCTATTTTCTTTCCAATTTCTTGCTTTTCGTATCATTTCATATTCTGCTTCATTGGATACCACAGCTTCTTGTTGTTGTTGCATTGCTACTAAAGAATCCAAAATTTCGTGTGCTGTATGTGTAACAAAATCAAATATAGTTTCATGGTCTTTTTCTGATCCTTTCCGCCAAGTTTTGTATCGAGCCAAGTCGTGACATAAGGTAGTGCACTTGTCGATAAGCTACGTATAAGTAATAATAATAATAGATTAAAACAATAATATCTTTATTTTTATTTTTAATACCTCTTTAATTCCTACAGGTTGGACATCAGGTGAACTTCGTACTGTTTGTTCTTCAATAGCATCATAAACAGGAGATAAGTTGGCAAGACTAGGTAGACGTTGTTGAGTAGTATGTTGCTGTGATAATGGTGGTAAAGTAAATATATTATTGTCATTGTTACTAGTTTTATTATTGGTATCATTGTCCAAAGTTCTATTCATCAAATTAATAATAATAGTAACAATAATAGTGAATATATATTAAATAATAAGTAAATATATATATAAACTTACATGGCGTCAGGTGTTGGATAAGAATCGGTTTGTTTATTAGAAGTACCGTTAGCTTCGGTTGGCGGTACACATAATTCAGAGACATTCATATATATAATATAATACACAATAATAAAGGGAAAAGATCAAATGATGGAAGGTGAAGAAGAAGGTTGAAATCGTTCCGCGACCGAGTTGCTGTTGTTATTATTGTTTTTCGTTAAATATGAGAAAGTGATATACACTAAAAAAAAAAAAAAAAAAAAAAATTAAAAAAAAAGATAGTAATAATAATAAAAGTAAAAGAAAAGGAAGGGAAAAAAGAACAGACAGTGGAAGAAAAATGATTAAAAAGGAAAAGTGAGAGAAAAAAAAGAGGATCCAGAAGAAAAAAAAAATCATTGTTTGTGACGACTCTATATACATAAAAAGTATGATATCACAAAAAACTTTAAAATTGTCTTTCTTTTTTCTTTTTTTCTTTGATTTTCAACTTGAAAAGATTAAAATCATGATATTATTACATCACTAAAATATATATTATATTATCTTAAATCGTAAAAATCGTATCGTATCGTATCATCATCGTTTGTTGTCTCATCCTCCTTAAACTTTAAACAAACCTCAGTGGAGTTTGAAATAAAGACGATGCAATCGAGATTTCCCACAATCTAATCCTTTTGTTTTTATTCAAAAAAGGGTAAAAATCAATAGATTCTTTCATTACCAAAAAAATATATATAATATAATATATAATATAATAAAAACTAAACTAAGGGGAGTGATAATTTGAAAGATCCAATAAGAGATCCAAGTTGTATTTGTTCATCCGCACCTTCTCCTAAATGATATCTATATAATAAAAAATCATTAGAGGATATATATATATATATATATATAAAAACGTTACTCTATATCAGCCATCTTGGCAATCATTGAGATTTCTGTTTCAGATGGTAATTCAGCTTGTTGAAGTTTTTCATAAATATCCGTAATAATATCTTGTAAAGCATAACCATTTTCCTTTTTCAATCTATCCACCTCTATATATTATATATAAAAAAAAAAAAAAATCAATCAATTTTATCATTATACAAATAATTAAATAAAGTTACTTTGATAAGCAGTTGTATATTCATCTTTGAGCATAGAATCTAATATCGAATCAATATGTCCAGGATGAGGGTTACCAGTACAATTATAGATTGCTGTTTCATCCACACGATCATATCCTGCATGACAAGCTTGTAAAATATTGAGAGCACGACGCATATCCCCATTTGATAATCTTAATAAAGCCGATTTCCCATCTTCTGTCAAATTCACACTATATATATATAGATTCAAAAAAAAAGAAAATCAAAATCAAAACGAATTGTTCTAAATATTATATATATATATATATATATAATCATCCACTTACTGTTCCTCTTGTACAATATAATTTAATCGACTTTCCACTTGTTCCAATTCTAATGGTGAAAATCTAAATCTTGTACATCTTGATTGAATAGCCGGAATGATCTTGCTAACATAATTACATATAATACAGAATCGTACATTTTTCGTATACTTTTCAATCACTATATATATAATAATAATGAAATAATTAATAAAAAAAAAAGATATCATGATTTCAAAATAGATTTACCTCGACGTAGAGCTGATTGAGCTTGTTGAGTCATATTATCACATTCATCCAAAATAATCAGTTTGAATCCAGAACTAATATAAAATATATATTAATATTGCTCCTTATTTTTATATTGGTCTCTTTTTTTTTTTTTTTACCTATAAATAGTTCGAGTACTAGCAAAGTTTTTGATTTGTTCACGTACAACATCAATCCCACGATCATCCGACGCATTCAACTAAAAAAAAAAAAAAAAAAAAAAAAAAAAAAAAAAAAAAGAAAAGAGAGAGAGTAGATAATTAATCATACAATATATCCATCTTTTTTTTTAAAAAAAAAAAATTCAAATAACATACTTCAAGAATCGATGACCGGAATTTGTCGCCATAGATCTGCCGTGCACAAGCCATGATAGTTGACGTTTTACCGGTACCAGGTGGTCCATAAAATAATAAATGAGGTAAGCGATTTCGTTCAATAAATGTTTTGACTACATGTCAAAAAAAAAAAAAAAGGGGGGGCGAAGAGAGAATGGAAAAGTGATTAAGAATTCATATTTCTATCTTTTTTTTTTTTTTTTTTTTTTTACAAGACATTACGTGTTTCTGTGATTTCTTCATGAGAGACTAGATCCTTCAAATGTTCTGGTCGATATTTCTCTACCCTTGAAATGAAAAAAAAAAAAATATGTCAAATAAAAAAGAAACTCATGAGTATTTACGTCCATGTGTAATACAGCATATTGTTTTATTCTTTTTTTTTTTTTTATTTTCTCTTACCAAGGTAAGGTATCCAACTCTCCAATCACCATTTTTCCTTTTCCTTTATCCTTTGAAGTGATGATAGGTGCTGGATCTACTTCCATCATGTTGGTTCAGATTATGTGTATATTGTCGTCAAGAAAGAAAGTAAAAAAAAAAAAAGAAGAAACGAAGAGAGCACGTATAACGCGACAGGAAAACAACAACACCATTTTTTTTTCCTCGCCACCTTTTTCAAATGCCGCATTTACAGATACACCTTTTTGCCGTGAACATTTTATATATCATAAAAAACTATACATGATCTCTTGCAAGTAACCTTTTAATTTATTTTATTTTATGAAATATGAATTCTATATACTATTTTTTTATGATATATAATGACTGGATGATGAACAATTGATTTGATTTAATGAAAAAAAAATCATAGATAATGTATACATATTTTACTAGTAAATGGTTTTTCATAATACGATTGGAGGTTTAAACCTCAAATTGGAGGATTTAGGGTTGTCTTTTTTTTTTTTTTTTTAGAGTGAGATTTAGAAAAAGATAACCTTTTTATACGATTTTGTAACATTCTCGACAAGATATCTTTTTGATCTATTAACAAAACAAGTAATCATAGATAATATGTACATCTTTTGTTAGTGGTGTTTATACGATATGACGATAGATCTAAGCTTAAAAATAGGATTTAAAAGATGATTAAAGCTATTTAGGGCTGTGGATCACCTTTTTTTTTTTTTTTTTCGAAAATTTCAGAATTCACAGCCAAAATTTTCAAATTCCTCAGCCAAATGTTGGCTGTAAAAATGAATTGTCGAGGGATCATCAGGCATTTTTTGGAAAAATCGATGAAATCTTTTAGTATTTATTACTGCATTAGATGGAAAGGCAAGCAAGAAAATAGCATTAGATGAAATTAAACTAATTTTTAGAGAGGAATCTAATGGTGGTAATCTTATTGGATGATGATCACTATTGAATGAAAGATGACGATATTATCTTTTATTTTTTAAATTACTCTATAAATTGGGAGGTAGTATAGAAACTGTCTTTAATACAATCGAAAGAGAATGATTTAATATATATTCCGTCCAAGTTTGGTACAATGATGATCCTTTTTGATGAAGCTGCAAAAGTATACAACCGTGCATGTTTATCTCACGTGGCGTTGCATTTCATTGTTATTTAGCATTGATCATCGCTTTTTAATTTGATCATCCTCTAAAACTCCCAAGATAACCGATAAAATGATAGATGGTATTAGGCTACTTTTTAAGAGAATGGTGGTATCCTTTTTTTTTATTGGATGGTGATCATTTCTCGAAAGAGACGGTAAGATTGATCTTTATCTTTTTTTTTAAAAAAAAATTATTTAGTCTACAAATTGAGAAAGATAAGGTACGAAATAGCATCATGTAAGACAGAATGATTTATTTGATCTATGTCCAGTCCCAATTTGGAGTGATGATGATCATTTTTTAGATAAGTCTATTGTTATCTTGTTTATTCTCTTTCATTTTTTTTTTATTTACTCTAAAAATTGGGAGATAAGCTATAAATCTTATTAAGGCAATTAAAAGAAAATCGTCTTATCTACGTTTCCCTCCAAGTTTGGTACGATGATGATCACTTTTGACCGAGAAATGAAAAGATAAAGTTTTTGCTCTCCCAATTAGAATGCTGGATGAACAAATAGGAAAGATTTCTTCATTTTCACAGCCAACATTGCCAAGCCAGATTTTAGCTGTAAAAGTCCATTTGTCATGAGGACGAGAATGAGAATTCACCAAAAAAAAAAAAAAAAAAAAAAAAAAAAAAAGAGGCGCATTCATCCCGCTACTATGTCATACATTTCTTTTTTTTTTTTTTCTTCTTCTTCTTCTTTGGCATGGAAGCGTTATAGGATCATCCTTAGGTAGAAGAAATCTTCATTTCGTAGCTATTATTTTGTGATGATAATGAGTACGATGCCTCTGTGATTGATGATTGGTAGAATGACGGATTACATGTAATACTGTAACGATTAGGATATAATTGACGACGGATATGATAACAGTATGTTGAAATATGACAGTGGATGGTGATGATTATTTAATACAGTCATGAATATCATAATACCTTGGATGATAACGTGTACGATGATGATGATGATGATGATGATATAGAACCTTATTAGTTAAAATTCGAAATATCTGTTCCAAAAAGATTTACCAAAGGACAGTATGTGAAAACGACACTATTTCTTTTTTTGGCAAAGAAAAAAATGACAAGACGATGATTTTTGAGACTATTCTGGGAAGTGCTACAATGAGAAGTTTATTTTGTTTTGAGATATTTTGAGTTCTTTTTTTTTTTATTGATTATGATTGTGTTGTGTGATGGGGAAGTGTACAAAATATATAAATAAAAATAAAAATAAAAATAATAAACATAGGTAAACTATTTACAATGGGAGGTATAAATAAATATAAACGAGAAGCATATTTATATATATATATATATTATATATATAAAGGGGCATACAAAATAATAATAATAATAATGATGGTAATGTTGTAAATAAAAAAAAAAAAAGATGATGGGTATATATCTACAAGATTCAATCAATCTTTACACAAAGTGGGTTCATCTGATAAGGTAGTACATGACGCTTCTTGTGATCGCTTGCGTTTCCATTCCAGGACAGGAGGTGTGACGATGACCGGGTCAGACTGTTGTTCTTGTCCTACGATAGCATCATCTTCTTGATTAGGATGGTCACCAACTACGATCTTGAATCTTCCTTTTTGAATAACAGAGCAAGGTCTACCATCTATAGAATAACTTGAAAGTTGAGTTGATTTACGTCTTAATTGAGTCAAAAATGCTTCATGACCACTACATGTAGTCAATGTCGTGGTGGCTGAACACATGGATGAAAAGCCAGAAATCGCCGACAAAGTGGTATGGTGAGACGAAGATGAAGAGGATTCTGTCGTATTGCTTGTGGCTGGTGTTGATGATGATGATACAGTATTCGTTCTTGAAAGATGAGATGATTTTTGTTGATGTTGCCAAAAATCTTGATCCCATATTCTTGGTTTTTTACATGATGCAGTAGTACGACTAGAACGAATAGTAGCAGTAGGAGTATGAACATGTAATAAAGCAGAACGTGTTGTTTGTGAATAGTTGTCATCATCTTCTTCTTCATCTTTAAGATGGATCCCGGTCAAATGAGCAAATTCTTTGGCAGTCAAATTTTCACATTGAATGGTGGAAGTATGTCGAATATATTTTTCAGTTGCAGCAGCTATTGAAGTAGCAGTATCGCGTTTTCTAGGCCATCGAGATAAAAGTCGTTTAAACCAAGTAGGTGACTCAATATGAGGAGGGACGTTTGAAGAAGCAACCAAGTTCATAAAGGGAATAAACAAAAAATGAATGATACATACAATAAATGATTCAAAATAATAATAAGATAAGAAAAAAAAAATTAAAGAGAGAGAGAAAAAGAAATAAAGAAGAAGAAAAGAGAGATTTTTTTTTTTTTTTTTTTTTTTTTTTTTTTTTGCTTTGATTCTCCTCCTCCTTTGCTCATATAAAATTTTTTTTTCTTTCCCCAAACGCAAAATGGCCTCAGTCAATCAGAACGGAAACTGAATTGATATCATGTGGACCTGAATTTGTCTAATACGCCCAGCTAAAAAAAAAAAAAACCTTACCCGGCAAAAACATACCAACTAGTCATGTGCTTTCTTTCTTTCTTTTTTTTTTTTTTTTTTTTTTTTTTGCCAATGCAATACGTTAGAACCCAGCAGTTTGAATTTTTTTTTTTTATCATTTTTTTTTTTCTCCTACTACCATTTTTTTTCCCGCTTTTAGATTCTATTGTCAATGCCAGTAGATAATTCTATTATACTACCTTCAACTTCTTCTGATAATGTTATCAAATATAGTGTATTTGATGGTAATGATTACACGTTTAAGAAAATAACAAAAATATTTCTTACTCTTTTTATTTTTATTTTTTTTTTTTTACTTTTTTTGATAGACAAAGAATGTTTACCACATATTTTACCATCCTTACAAGATTTGGAAATAATAGATACAGGTGTTAGTCATTGGAATATTAAAGATTGGAAACATTTAGATAATCGGTGTCATGGTCCTATATTCAAAGTGGGTCAATATTCATGGTATGTTGTCAATCTATGAGAGCATGTTTTTTGTATTAAAAAAATATTTTTTTTTTTTTTTGATAGGCGTGTATTATTATATCCAAAAGGGAATGGGATTAAAGATATGGTATCTATTTATTTAGAAGCTTTACCTGAAAACAACAACAATGATAATGAAACACCTGATGATTGGTATGTGTGTGCACAATTTGGTTTAGTGATATCCAATCCTGAAGATCCAACCAATTATTATGCCAGTCGTAAGAAATAATTTATTTATCTAAACAAAAAAAAATGTAAAAATTCTCACCTTAATGTATAATATAGATTCTCATCATCGATTTTCTGCAGAAGAAATTGATTGGGGATTTACTCGTTTTTATGATTTGAAAGAACTTACCAAATTATATCGTCAAAAAGGTCCATTCTTGGTCAACAATCAAACTGTCATTTCAGTATATTTACGTGTTATTAAAGATGAAACAGGTGTTTTATGGCACAATCTGATAAAGTAAGAAAGAGGAAATAAATAAATAAAAAAAAAGTATATTTATATAATGAACTCATCTTCCATTTACATATATATATAGTTATGATTCAAGAAAAGAAACTGGTTTTGTTGGTATCAAGAATCAAGGCGCGACTTGTTATATGAATTCTCTTTTACAATCACTTTATTGCACTAATCTTTTTCGCAAAGCCGTTTACCAAATACCAACCCAATATGAAGATCCAACAAAAAGTGTTGCTTTAGCCTTACAACGACTCTTCTATCAGTTACAGTATGCAACAGAACCTGTAGGAACAACGGAATTGACAAAATCGTTTGGATGGGATTCTTTGGATGCTTTTATGCAACATGATGTACAAGAATTTAGTCGAGTATTGTTGGATAATTTGGAATTGAAAATGGAGGTAATCATACAAAAAAAAAAGGATAAAAAGGATATGATTGACATTTTATTTTATTATAGGATGCCTCAGAAGGTGGTTCCAGTATTATCAAACAATTATTTGTTGGGAAAATGAAAAGTTACATCAAATGTATCGATGTAGATTATGAATCATCTCGTGTTGAAGACTTTTATGGTAAGAAATATTTATAGTATGATCTTTTCTTATTCATTCTAATGATCATTTCTTGTAGATATTCAATTGAATGTTATGGGCTGTGGTGATGTACAAGAATCTTTCCGAGAATATATACGAGAAGAAACAATGGATGGTGAAAATAAATATATGGCCGAAGGATATGGGCTCCAAAATGCACTAAAAGGCGTTACATTTGAATCATTTCCTCCTGTACTACATCTACAACTGAAACGTTTCGAATATGATGGTATCAATGATATGATGGTGAAAATTAACGATAGATATGTATATCCAGAAGAACTTTGTTTGGACGACTTTTGCACTGATCGTCAACAATCTTATACATATGTATTACACAGGTAAATTCATCACAAAGGAACAAACAATAAAAAAAAAAAAAGAAATAAATGATGAATGACATTTTTTTTTCTTTTTGGATTATCAAAGCGTATTCGTTCATAGTGGTGATTTTGATGGTGGTCATTACTTTACGTTGATTAAACCTGGAAGGAATGAAAAATGGTAAAAAGAAAAGAAAAATAGATGTTTATATGAACCTTTTTTTTTTTATTTTATTTTATTTTACTTTTATGTAGGCTTCGATTTGATGATGATCATGTAACCCCAGTGACGGAGAAAGAAGTATTTGAAGATAACTTTGGTGATGAACCTTCTCGAAAGATATTACAACCTTTGGTCAATACAACAAATGACAGTAACCTATCACCAACAACAACAACAACTACTACTACTACTACGATGTTTTCCACAGAATCCACACCACCTCATGACCATCGTCGATTAAGGGGTAATAGTTTACGGTCCATCAAACGTTTCACCAATGCCTACATGTTAGTCTATATTCAAAAAGATAAATGGGATCAAGTCCTTGCTCCGGTATTAGAAGAAGATATCCCTGTACATTTACGTAAAGTTACCAAAAAAAAAAAAAAAAAAAAAAAAAAAAAAAAAAAAAACTATTTCCATCTTTTATTCATCAAATATGATTTTTCTTGTAGAAAGGTGGCTCCGGTGGTCGAAAAGAATGGTCAAGAAAATGTTTAGTCATGTAGATAGATCTTATTCCCTTACCCTTTATTCATTTATCAATAATAATAAAAAGAAAAACAAAGGCATTCATATACAACTTTTTTTCATTCCTTTTTATTACAAATATTCATTCCTTTTTTTTAGAGTTAGGTGATATCATTTTTTGTTTGGAACCGTTTGATGCTGGATAATTCTATAATGATGATATACAATGGAATTCTTTAATGTTGATGATCTCCTTTACTGATATACAAAAGCATATAGGATGGACAGTTTGCATTAACAACTTTCATGTCCAAGCGATAATAAATGTTAATTTGGTGTCATTAAAGCAATGGCTTTGTCACGGTGAAAAAGACCGTGTATGATCCACTTTTTATTCATCTGATAATCGTAATAATAATAATGATAAACAAGTAAAAGAAATGGTAGCATGATGAATGAAAAAAGAATTTTATTGAATACAAAGAATGATGTTGATGAAGAGAATGATCTTGTAAAATAATAATAATAATAAATGATAAAATGCTAAATAAAGATAATAATAATAACTAAATAAATACAGTGATGAATGAAAGAGAGAGGAAAAAAAATAACAATAATAATAGTAATAAACTAGTCAGACATGGCGTCCATATCATCTTTATCATCTAAATCCACTTTTTGTCGCTTGTTGATTCTTCCACCATGGCTTTCTTCTTTTGCATAATGTTTTCCAGTCTTTTCCCGTAAGGCATCGACACCTTCATCTTCTTCCGCCCATTCCAACACCAGATGACGACCGTATAAATGGATACTAGACATGTGCTCATAGACATTCTTGGCTTCTTGTTTCGTCATAAAATCCAAAAATGCAAAACCACGATGACCACCATTGAATTTCTTGGGTAGTCGTAATGATTTCAATTGTCCATATGCACTAAAGAGTTCACGCAAGTCTTTGGCTGTTGCTTCAAATGGTACATTGCGTACAATCAACTTGGTAGTATCCATTTTCTCCGTCTTGATTTGTTTTTTATTATTAGCTTCATGATGAGAGAATTTTAGTTGAAGAGCATGACCATCTAGTTTGTATCCCTATAGATCAAAAAAAAAAAAAAGTATGAGGATATGAAAAAATCCATTCCTATTTCACCTTTTTTATTATTATTATTATTATTACCTGCATGGCATCTAAAGCTTTTTGAGCGTTCTTCTTATTGTTGAATTCCACAAAACCAAAACCCATACTTAATGGTTTACTTGGATTCTTAGGATTGGGTTTGACATTGATACGAGAAGATCGATATCCTTCAATACTAGCAAATACCTTGCGTAAACCTTCAGCAGTTGTTTCAAAATTGAGATTCTTGACAAATAAGGTGGCCACAGCAGAAAGATCTTCATCATCGTTGTTGGCGCTTGATTTCAGTTGTAATATATCAGCAGAAGAGTTATCAATTGTCTTTGCATTCGTTTTCTTAGCATCAGAACTGGAGAGATCAAATTTATCCTTGAAAATTCCCATAGGTGCCTTTTCCAAATAAATCAATGTATCCTTGAATCGACGATAAGCCAACGATTGGAAAGCACGACGAGCTTCGCTTGGTTCCAAGAATTCAACCACAGCCATTGTTTTCGCAGGAGGAATCAATACACGTCCAAGTTCACCGAATTTACCAAACAGACCTCGTAATTCTTCTTCACTGGTACCATAAGGAATGTTTTTGACCAAAATCACTGTTTCACTACGTTCTTTCTTACCAAAAGTGTCAAGTACGATGCCATGTGTTTCAAAGAATTCCTTGGTTTCTGAAATGATTTGAGTTTCTGCCAAGGCCAATCGAACAGCAACGTTATCAGCTTCAGCATTTAAGATATCCGATTTGGCAACACCGAGACGATCAGCAATGGATTCAGCAATAGCATCACTCTAAAATAAATAAATATATGTCAATTTTCAAACCTTTTTTCTTATATATATATTGAACTTACACTCATATACAATGAGTTCCAGTTAAAGTCATTTCCAGCCAAATTTTTTCGTTTTTGTTCCTTTTCCTTCTTGACCGCACTGAGTTTTGATCCATTGATACCATAGATTTCTTCTTCCTTGGATACTGGTTTTTCTTTTGCTGGTAAAATATGTAAAAGTCGACCTTGGAATTCCTTCATATCAAGTTCTTTATAAGCGTTAACAGCATGTTCAGGGAGTAAAAAGAGGATATAAGCATAACCTTTGGGTTGTTTTGTATCTTTTGCAATGGGCATATGAACCTAGAAATAGGACAAATTACATTACAGTTTCGTCATCAATATCATGTACTCTATTTTTTTTTTTTCAATCATTTCTTACCTCGGACAATGGTCCATATTTTGAGAATGTTTCCCGAAGATCTTCTTCTGAGCACGAATAGGGGAGATTTCGAAGAAATAGTCGACCAGTATCTTCAATCAAACTGATATCATCCGATTTCTTGTTTTCTTGTTCCATGATTTGTTTGGCTCTTTCTGGAATATCATCATTATCTACCATTTCTGTGTCTTCCTTATTGTTATCATCATCATCACCAATATCCTCATCATTATTATCGATATTCTTGGTCGTTGATTGATCTTTCTTAATGGAAGGTAATTCATCATATAATTCATCATCAGAATCATGAATGGCAGCAGCAGTAGATTTCATTACTTGAGTATCTTGATCCTGAGAAAGTTTGGAGTCAGTATAGGATTTGAGAGTAGCTAGATCATCATTTGTCCAAGTTTGTCCTTTTGAACGTGAGGTCATAACATCCAAGTATTCCTTTAACTTTGGATCTTGTTCATCAGCTTTAAGTTGATTAATATGTTCGATCAATTTTTCTTTTTGTTTTCGAAAGGCATCAGTTTCTTCAACTTGGAATTCAGATTTACTAGCAGTTTGTTTATTGGCACCAGTAAGGCGAGCATGAGCTGAAGTTCCTTCTGTATATTTACTCCAACCACGTGGTATATTTTCTGAACCATACTACAAAATAATAATAAAGTAAATATAGTTTGTTTATGTTATAATAAACTAAAAGAAAAAAAAAAGGTTCTTACAGGAATGGCTTTTTCAACGATAATCTTTGAGGTATTGATAAATGTTCCATTAAAGTGATTCAAAGCATCTTCTGCTACTTTGTTCGATCGATAACCAATAAAACCAAATCGTCTAGATTGACCCGAACTAAGATATATAAATAAAAAAAAAATTGAATAACAAGTAAATCTAAAGAAAAAAAATCTTTTTTTTTCTTACCTTGTTCGCATAAGCTTTGCATCGGTTACTTCACCTTTCTTTGCAAAGTGGGCTCGAAACTTGTCTTCAGTCAGATCTTTTGGTAAATTTTTGATAATCAAACGAGACCTACATAAAGTAAATGTTATCAATATATTCTTTATTTGATCCAAATTGATAAAACTTACATTGAATAGTTTGAATCGAGAAAGAAAGAGAAGAAAAAGGAAAAAAAAAAAAAAAAAAAAGTAACCTTTCTCTTACTGAAATTAGGTAAAAATAGTCACATCGCTGGTATTTTGGGCTCTCCAAGAACCTACTTTATTTTCAGTCAACCATTTAGGCAGGGTCAACTTTTTTTTTCTTTCCTTTTTTTTTTTTTTTTTTTTTCCTCAGTCTACCATGTCATTACCCAACAAACTTTTATCAACAACAAATAACGGAACTGGTGCTTTTATACTTCAATGTCGAAAACTTGTTTTTAACTATTGTGAACATTGGGGTAGTAACAAGGGCATGGTGTAAGTTTTTTTTTTCCTTTTTTTTTTTTTTTTTTTTTGATATCCAATAGAAAATCTGACATTTTTTATATTTAGGAATTATATCAAGAAGGATCTCGCCAAATTTGCTAAAGAAAATCCTCATATTGAAATTGTCGTACAACAACGAAAAGCCCATCATCCTATTATTCGTGGACAATACTGTAAGTTTGTTCATATTGAATAATTTGTATCTATGATCTAATATGTAATTTATTATATATAGTGAACGGACGAGAAAAGGTTATTTGCACACGAAACATGGCACCCAATGAAATTGCAAACAAGGTCAACTTACTTCGAGATTCTAGTGGTGAAAAATTAAAGAACCTTACCAAGAAACCTGTTATTTCTACAACTGAAAGTGTACGTGGTATTTGGTCACCTTTCCATTCAAACCCTCATTCTATTTAGATTATACATGATTATTCCTTTTTGATCTTTCGTCACATATTTCATTCTTTTTTTTTTTACAACCTTTATATATTACTGTAGATTATTTTATGTCAAATAAAAGTGTTTTTTTTTTTTCAAAATAATAATAATTTTATTGTAATATGTGTATATATATAACTATCAGGGACCATTGATATTTTTAATAAGCTTTAATAAGGATTGGTCAAACTGGTCAGATCGAATAGGCATTTCAGGGGTATGGAATGGGTTTTTCATAACAAAGTCGCTATAAATATCATAAATACGTTTCATATATGGATCGACATTGTTTTGTTGAGGTGCTGTAATCAGAAGAAACTTTGAACCTATAGAAAAAAAAAGAAAAGGTTAGATGAAATAATAATATAAAAACAAAAAAAAAAATCCATCTTACCAGTCAATGTTTGAAAGCAGTATAATTTGAATTTTTCAGCTTCTATCATTTCGATACCTGATGAATTGTAAAGTGGTGATATCTTGGAAGTAATGGCGTGTACACTATTTGACAAGAAAATGATATAACAAAGGTGAATTAAAAAAAAAAATAGTATATCTGTATAAAACTTACCCATGAAAAGTACCAGCTAGTACAAGATATTCATTACTTGAAAGCTTTGCAAGGTTATCAGAAAAATCTTTTTGATAAACAAGTCCACCTGCTTTGTTGACAATGTAAAGAGAATATATCATAAATATATATATAAAAAGTATGTATGAAGAAGAAAAAGAAAGAGAAAAAAGAAAGGCGGAATATGAAATAATATGTAGTTGCCTTTTTTTTTTCTCTTCCTCTTTTGGATTGCGAGAGCGTATTGATTGTCAATTGGGATCATTAGTAATCAAATCTAGATATAGATCTATCTGTTATACGTATATTTGAATTTTCATCAAAATATGAATAAAGAGGTTATCTATTTATAAAAGATCAACAGCACTGACACGAAAGTTGAAATGTTATCCAAGACGGACTGCGAAAACTTATTAAAAAAAGTCTCGCGACACGCTTCTTTTCTTTTTTTTTTTCTCTTTCCCCATTTTACCATTTATACAATACCATTTTATGGCAAAGGGATCATATATATCAAAGGTCAATAAAAAGAAGACATTACAACAAACAACTATTGATTTTCAATCGACAACATCCATTCCATATACCCCTATTCCTCAACAGCAAACCCAATGGCGTATTATCCCTATTTCTGGTGTTCCTGTACGATTCCCTTTCCAACCTTGTAAGTTCATGTAGGATATAAAGGGATAATTCATTTATTATATTATATATACTTACTCTATAGATCCTGCACAGATCCAAATGATGGCAAAGGTATTAAACGAATGTAACTTGATGATGAATTCGACCCTTCATGTATATTTATATTTTGTATAGATCTTGAAAGCTTTGAAGGATGCAGATAATGCTTTACTCGAAAGTCCTACTGGTAAAAAGGGGGAAAAAAAAAAAAGAAAGAATCAAAAGCAACCTTAGATTATTGTCCCACTCATTTTTGTTTATTAGGTTCTGGGAAATCACTTGCATTACTTTGTGCGACAATAGGTACCTTAGATCTTACTTGTATGCAAAAAGAAACTCATTCATTCTTTTGTTTACCTTTTTTTTTATTAGCTTGGAGGGAACATCAGGTTCAAATTGCCTATGATAACTTGAAAAAGGCCCAAGAACAAGAACAAAATGCTAGTCGACAAGCCTGGAATGATTATATAGAAACATGTAGCAGATTACCTGTCATACAAAAGCAACAGAAAAAGTCAAACGAATTATCAGCTATTACTAATGTACAAACTATCAAGTCTACTGAAGATGATGATGATTTCCAACCTATCCCGACAGTCAAACGTCGACGGTTACAAAAAGACACAAAATCATCAACGCCTGATATACTAGAAAAGAGCACAAACTTATATCAGGGTTCAATAGGTGACAATACCAACAACAAAAACGATGATGATGACGATGACAATCACCTGCTTGATGAAAAGCATACTACCAATGGAATATCAAAAGTATCAAATTCAATAACAAGTTCCAGTCAATCTTCTGCAATACAACGAAGTCTTGAAAAGATACCAAAGATCTATGTCTGTAGTCGAACGTAAGTTGGAAGAGGAAGAAGAAGAAAAAAAAAAAGAAAGGTTAAGGATCATACGGAGAATGATAACATTCAGATTTTGTTCCTAGGCACAAGCAAATTGAACAACTGATTGGTGAATTGAAAGAACTGACAAATTATAGACCTAGAATGACAGTGCTTGGTAGTCGAGAACAACTTTGTGGTAAAAAAAAAAAAAAAAAAAGTTTTGGAATTAAGTAAACAAGATAGAAAGAAAGAAAATCTAATCAATTTAGTTGCATACAGTTCACCCCAAAGTATCAAAATCCGCTAACAAGAATGATGACTGGTAATACAATTCATTCTTCCCTACTCATGATTCGCTCATCTTTATATATATACATATATTCGTATTAGTACATCTTTATTGGATACCGCCAGCTGTGTATATGCAAGACAGACAAATCAACTTTTAGGTCATGCCACTGTACGACCAAGCAATAGAGCACTTTGGGATATTGAAGATATTGTTAAATTGGGAAAATCCACTAGAGGTAATTTTTTGTCACAGCTTGATATAATACGATGACAGATATAACGTATCTCTTTATTTGTTTTATAGGTTGTCCATATTACGCTACACGTTCCTTGTTTGAAAATGCTGAAATTATCTTTTGTCCTTACAACTATGTGATTGATCCAAGTATGACACACACAAAAGAAAAGCTTACTTATAGCATCTATTCATTTTTACTTTTATATATTTTTTAATACCCAAAATAGTCATTAGAAGAATCATGGATATCAAGGTGGAAGGAAACATTATTATTTTCGATGAAGGTATAGACACACACACACAAAAAAAAAAAAAAAAAAAAGAGTCAGATCCTGATCAAAATTACCTTTTTTTCCATTCATCTATCTCTCTATCGATAGCTCATAATATTGAAGATATAGCTCGATCTGCAGGGTCATTCGAAACTACTGAAGCTGATCTGAAACGAATACAAAAGGAACTCAATCAAGTTATTCGGGGGCAACAATTACCAAATGATCATAATACGGTTCTGTTTGTAAGTTAAATAGAGTAGTTTATGTCATGTCAAGCTTTGTACTCATCCATTCTTTTTTTTTGCTCTTTATTTATTTATCTATTAGGTTGTGGATACTTTATTGGAATGGATTATAGAGCCAAATAACTCATATTCTATCAAGGAATACGAAAAGCATGTTCATATGTATGTTCTTAAGAAATCAATAGATTGATATGAAAAAAAAAGGATCATACTAAATAACATTTTCAATATCTTTCAATTAGATGGTCCGGTGCACAGATTATATCCAAATTGTCCGAGTTGCATATCAATCCCACGACATTTGAAAGCTCTATCCAACCGGCGTACAAAAATATCAAGGCACATACAGAAAGAATCATGAACGAGGCTGAAGACAAATCGATATCAACAACTGCATCTATTGGTCATGGTGGTGGCAGCAGTAGTCAAGGACATGATAAGCATACGAGAGAATGTATCACTACTTGGGCACTTCGACAATTAGATGGTAATAGTAGAACACTTCAAACGTAATATTTATCTCTATATTTCAACCAATGGACTTGTAGGACTCTTTATGGTATTCAATTTTTTATTCCAAGATGGATTTGATCGATCATTTGATTACAGCATGGCTCTGATCAAAAAGATACACAAGGCTTCCAATTTTGTTAAGGGTAAGCAAATTCAAATTGGATATGGCTCTTTTTTTTTTATATATAATTTTGTTATATAACAAGTAGCTTGTATTCATTAGATGCCTCTTGGGTATATAAACTTGGATTTTGGTAAGGAAAAATATATATATATATATATATATATGTATATATGTATATATTACTTTAAAGAACTCCACTCATCGTCTGTTCTTATAGGTGTCATGACCCTGGTGTCGTCTTTCAGGAACTCTCCTCAGTTGCACACTCGATGATCTTGACTAGTGGTACTTTGTCTCCGGTAAAATAGAGAATGATTTAATCAACTAGTGAGATTCTAATATTTTTCAATTTTTTTCTTTTTAGCTAGATACTTTTGCTACCGAACTAGATACAAAATTGTAAGTAAAAATGAAATCACTCAGTACAAGAGAGAAAGAGAGTACTAACCGTCGCTATATACTGTTTTTTCTTTTAAACATTTACTTTCTAGCACTAGTGTACTTGAAGCCAATCATGTCATTGATTCATCTCAAGTATGGGTTGGTACTATTCCTGTTGGGTAAATTGAACAACACCTTTTCTTATGAAACTATGAACTAACATGTCTTCTTTTTTTTTTCTCTCTCTATAGTCCAAATGGTACTCATCTCAAAGGGGTATATTCTGTTGTAGAAACATTCAACTACCAAGATGATATCGGTCAAGGTAAGATCAGTATACTTTGGAGAGGGAGGATGATATTATAGTCTGAACCAGATTTACTGATATTTGTATTTGAATAGCTCTTCAACACATTGTCGACACTGTTCCCTTTGGTGTTTTATGTTTCGTCCCATCTTACTCAACTCTAGACAAGCTTATCAAACGATGGAAGGTGAGTCAGGAAAAGATATATCTAATGATGGCAAATAAAGATAGGTTAACTTGATTATCGTCTCTTCTAGGCCACGGGTGCTTATTCAAAACTGGAAGCAAAAAAGGTCATCTATATAGGTACGTCTTTTCATCTCTACCTGAGAATGGTTATGGATTTGATAACGCCATCCTATTTAATTATTTATTTATTTATTTATTTATTATTTTATTATTTTATTATTTTTGGGTTGATGAATCACTACAGAACCTCAAGGTGACAATAAGCAAACTTTCCAATCTCAACTTCAAGGTTTTTATGATACGGTGAAACAAGCTGAACAACAGTCTAGTGGATGTACTGGTGCACTCTTTTTTGCTGTAACTAAAATAGATACAAGAGATGGATTTATGAAATAATTATTCATTATCATTTTTATTAGGTGTATCGAGGCAAAATTAGTGAAGGAATCGACTTTAGCAACAATGATTGTCGGGCAGTAGTAGCGATCGGCATTCCTTATCCAAACTTGTACTGAAAGAACGATCAAATGCATAAATGTTTATACACTGATATGATTTCCTTTTTTTATATATATAGAAAAGATACTCAAGTATCATTAAAACGATCATACAACGACAATAAGAAAAGGCGCTATCCCTCACGAAGGATCATCAGTGGTGATGATTGGTATACAATTCAAGGATATCGAGGTAAAAAAAAAAAAAAAGGGGGGGGGGAACATTAATGGTATTTATGACAACCAATTGACATTCTCTTTATTTTAGCTATAAATCAAGCATTGGGTCGATGTATTCGTCACAAAAAGGTAATAAAAAAAAAAAAGAAAGAATATAAAAAAAAAAAATACACACATAAAGACATAGGATGCTTCATTTGACTCAAACTCTTTTTCATGATCTCTTTTTGTAGGATTGGGGTAAAAAAAAAAAAAAAAAAAAAAAAGAACTGCGGAGTGTTTTTCGACAACGGGTGGCTTATAACACTGTTTTGCTTTTTTAGGTGCTATCATCTTACTGGAGGAAAGATTCAACGAAAAGAAGAATATCGAAGGACTATCGAAATGGATCCGCAAATTGTGCAAGATACATGATCAAGGTTTCGACAAGGCTATAAAGGATTTGCAGACATTTGTTCAAGGACGAATGGACATTGAATTTGGATACAATGTAGACATTGACCAGTAGATATATAGATATGTATTATAGCATAGATATTTGAATATTTTCATTTACATTGATTTTATAATAAAAACAGAAATAAATTGTCCCCAAAAGTTTCCAAAACATAAAGTCAAAGATAAAGTAGACTTAAAGAAAAGAAGTCTACTAAATCCTATTCTTGAAAAGAATGCTTTATCTATATAAAAGGAGCCGGATGGAGGTATAAGTAGTCTTGTATCTGAATGACTCAAGCTCAGTCAATAAAGTATAGTCATATTCGAAAATAAGACTATTGACAAAGGATCTAAGGCAGATACTACTATGATAAAGAAAAAAAAAAAAAAAAAAAGGAAAAGAAAAAAAAAAGACCTTTTTATGTACATTATCATACGGAGTCTTAATGCTTGTGACGATGGAAAAAAAAGGAACATGCATCGACAAAAAAGGAAAGCATGAAGAACCTGCTACATCAGGAAAAAAAAAAATGTCAGAAATTGGACATATGATCATGGACGATTTTCCTATAATATTGTCAATCCCAATGGAACAGATGATAAAATTACCCCATTTCCTATATTCACCACCCATCATCATCGATCAGAAATTTCATCGTTATCTATCTGTCACTATCCAACATGCATTTCTCACTATCAATCAATACTGTAACCTATCACTAATCAATCACTAATCATCAATTACTCTATAATCCAAGATAAAATAGTTGTAACGCTAGAGGAATCCATGTTGTAAGGATTATAAAATAATTAGTCCAAACGAGTTTTTTTTTTTTATTATATGTTATCAGTCGCAAAAAAAGAAAAAAAAAAGTAAAAGGTAGAGAAGAATAAAAGGATTACGGGAGGTTCCATAAACTATACTACTCTAGCAAACCTATTTGAGATGTGATACTAAAAAACCTGTGATTCTTGACCAAGCCAATTCACGTACAGATTGTTCATCCAATTTGGGATCAATGTCCTTGCTAACAAATCCAAGTTCCTTTCTCTTTTGAATCGCCCAAGTATCTTCATTCAAGAAAGCATGACCTTGTTCAGGATATCGATAAAGAGTAACATGCTTGAGATGATGTAACTTGCGTTCGAGTTCATCCACTATAACAAAAAAATAAAAATAAAAATATAAAAAAAAATGATAGAAAGAAAGGATGATGAATACAAACATGTCTTATTTTGATTTTTTTTCTCTCCCTTTTCCATTAGAACTTTGTTACCTGCAGCAGGATCACTGAATCCAGCCATAGTGTCCTATTTAAAATAAAATAAAAAAAAGGATCATCAATCTCCAAATCACTATATATATATATATATATATATATATATATATGATTACCTTTCCACCGAAATGACCTTGAATGGCTGTAGCATCAGTTATCTTGGTAACATCAAAATTATCAGGTGGAATACCATAACATGCAACAGCAGCTTGAATGGGGATTTCTACTTGAGCAGCATGAGAGGCAAGTGCTAAAGATAAGGCACCACCCATACAGAAACCCATCACACCGATTTTGCTACATATATATAGAGAGAGAGAGAAATCAGTAGATTTGCATAAATTGTGGTAAATCATAAAAAAAAAAAAAAATACGTACGTGTATCCTTCAGTACGAAGTTCTTTTGTCAATTGTTCAAGTTCTTGAATAGCTACCTTCCAGTCTAGATGATTCATCAAATGACTAGCTTCCTATTTGTGATCAAAAGATGGCAAATTATTTTGACACACTTCTATTATATAATTTTTTTTCTATTTTCTATTATCTATTTGTTCTTACCTCTGCAGTCAATCCAACTTTGCCTTTGTACAAATCAGGAAGTACAACATGAAGACCAGTAGCGTCAGAGACATGTTGGGCATGAGCCTTGATAGTATCATTGATACCCCACCTATAAGAACAAATAAACCCCATTAGCAATGAAACTTTATAAAAGTGACTTTACCATTCTTGTAGAACCTATTGAAGTCAATAAAAAAAAAAGTGAGTAAACGCGTTTATTACAATAAATAAATAAGCTTACAATAAGAGCAGCACCGTCAATCTTTTGGACAGAGGTTTTGGGTTCGTATTTAAGTACAGTGAAAGGTAAAACCATGATGAATTATATTGGATAAAGAGAAAAAAAAAAGAAAAAGTCAGAGAAATTGTTTAGCAGGCAAAATAGGAGCGCGCTACTTTTTTTCTTTAGTCATTTGTGACACCGGAATTGCTTTTCGCCGGTGCAATGCTTGCTCTTTTCCTTTTTTGGATACCTTTTCTTTTCTCCTTTCGTACAGTAGTTGAAAAGCGACATATTAACCCGTTAAATATATATAATCAAACAACATGATATGATAAGAAAAACAATGAGGAAGTGTAAAAAAAAAAAAATTCAAAGTTGGCGAACATTTTGTCTTTTTATTATCAAAACGAGACTAAACTAATCATCATTCATGATCTAATCCTAAAACTGCATACTGGCCACTAGTTGTTGTGATAGCCCCTTTGTCACTGGCATTGTCATCAGTACCACTGTAGTCGTCATCCGTAGATTCATTACTATCCGTAGGAGAATATTCTTGTTTGGCGTCCGCTTCTTGTACTTTCAGTTTTTCGTATTTCGTTGTGAAGAAGAATCCAGGTGGTTTAAATGAGAGTAGAATCCGACCATCAGTTGCAAGTCGAAGTATAGCATTGGCAGCTATTACAGAGAGAGAGAGAGTGTGTGTATGTGTATGTGTGTATGAAGGTGAGATGAACGATCATACTATACTTTTTTTTTTTTTTTTTAGAGAATACTTACCTCGATAGACATCAGGTCTAGCAGCCTTAGCAGTATAAAATCCACGTTGATCTGCATATGATTCACAAATCATCCATGCAGTCCATTGTGTCATACGAGCATTTTCCAGATCTGGAGGAGTGAGAGACAATACTTTTTCCAAAGGGATTCTTTCAGCCTAGTAAAAATGAATAAATATGAGACACTGTAATTTTACAAAATGGAACAACTTTCTATTACCAGATATTGGATAACACTATAAGGTTCTTGTACTTGTGATATAGGATACATACCACATAAAATCTAAAATAACATACATAATGTATTTGAAAAAAAAAGAGAGAAATGTTATTTCCAAAATAAATAAAACCTACATGCTGTATTCTAAGTTTTTTTTTTTTACCTGTAAGGATCTTGGTAAAAGCGATGGAAAGACCAAGCCAGGAGAATCACATAAACGAACGTTTTCACATAGGTGGATAGTTTGAAAGTGTTTGGTATGTCCTTTTTGATAAGAAGATGATAAAAAATAAATCAGATGTGTATCATTTTTGAAAACAATGTAAATTTTAGTATACCAACTTACCAGGAGTTCTACTTGTGCTGACGACAGTACGTTGCATAATACTGTTGATCAAACTGCTTTTCCCGACGTTGGGATGACCAACAAGTCCAATGGTGATGTAATCCTTATGTGGTGTAATATCTTGTTGAGTGATGTCCAAAATGCCGCTAAACTCGTCCTCTGTTGATAATAAAGTAAAACCCAAATGAATGAATAGATATCATATATATGTATATATATCTTTTATTTTACCTAAACCAGCAGTGCTTCCAGTATCACTAATATCATCATCTTGATTGTCATCATCATCATCATGATTCATTGTCTTGTCACTATAACGTTGTATCAAACCTTGCCAATCGACATGTACACCATGCTTGATTACTTGTACATCCTTACAACATTTCAGGACATCCCGTACACCTTGCGCAGAATAATATCTTTTCCTTGGTCGTTTCACTCTTGATTTCAAGGCATCTGAAAGAAAATTAATAGAAAGATAAAAAAAGATCATATGATTCTTTTATAACTTACATGTAGTTGTATCATCAATAAGTTTTTCATCATTTGGGTAGCAACTGAATGTCGCCAAGTGGAGTTCAGGGAATTGTTCTTCAAAGTACTTTTGCCAGGCAAAAACTGTAAAGTCTGAAACCAAGTCAACCTAACATTCCCATTAAAATAATATAGGGCTCAGTTTTGAATTTATGCTTAGAATACCCTTTTTTTTTTTTTTACCTTATTGAAGACACCAACCATTTTACGTTGAAGTTTCTTTGTTACATAATGATAAAGAGAAACTGGGAAATGTACCAATGGATTTCGAATATCCATTACTAATAGAATCACATCACTGATTTCAAGTACTCGCCACCTAATCAAAAAAAAAAAAAAAGGTTAAGTTGATCACAAACTCAAATCATTATATTCTTCATTTTTTTATTATTCTTATTATCATTTTAATCCTAGTCTTACAATTGTCGCCAGACTTCCAAATTTTGTTCGAACCAACTAAGTTGTCTATCATTTTGTTGATCATCACCATATTGTTCGTAAACTGATCGTTTCCATGCCTGGAAATATTCTTCTTCTTGTTGTTCCACCTGTTCTTTGGTCATTTCATAATTCCATTGTGGTCGTACCGGGAATCCAATCGATGGCTTGCATTGTTCCACACTTACTTCTAATGAAGTCTAATCGAATCGACATAAGAGAATAAATATAAATCAATGAATTAAGATTACAATTTGTATTCAATTTTTAATTATTATTATTATTATTATTTTTGTATACCTTTTCAAGTCTATGGAAGGGTTGCATGCTTTTCAAACGGGCTTGTTCAATGGCTTTCGGTGATAGTTTTTCAAAAGATGAGAGCAATCTATATTATACAACAGGAAGAGAAATAGTCAATCAGATACCAAACGACGCGGTTCTAGATAAATCGTCCACCTATTTTTTTTTTTTTTTACTTACTTTTTTGTTCGAGGATTGCTACTATCCAAACCGAAATCAGTACAGGTTGGTGTTTGATCATTAGAAGATACAAAAGATTCGGATAATGAAGGTATTGATTTAGAGGCATGTTGAATATTGGAAGGTCGATCTTCGTCAAGCCAGTAACCTAGTGAGAGTGAAGATTAAAGCATCTTTTTTTTTTAATTTGTATCTTTTTTACCTTCTCTTGCTTTGCGAGCTTTCTTTTCTTGTAATTGTGCTTTCTTCTTTTTGCCACTAAATGGTTTTTTTCTATGAGCCGACATACTTAATAGTTTGCAATAAAAAGATTGAAAGAAAAAAAGAAAAAAAACAGTAGCGAAGCAAGGTCCTAGTCAATTCGCTTTGAGATTTTATACCGGAATTCGAATTTGTTGCATTTGGGAGGAATGTTGAGTTCCTACTTCTTGGTATCATAGTCAGGTTTGTACGATGGATGATAAAAACCGGTATATCAAGATAGTGTACGAATGTCACATAACAAAAGGAGAAATCAAAAGAAAAAAAAAAATAAAATAAAAAGACCAAGAAAGAATGTTTTATAAATTTTTTTTTTTTGAGAATATTAAAAATAAAGGGCAGTCAATACTTGTTCATCAACATTGTTTTCATCTACGTGTAAAAAGAGTGATGAGAAACAGTGCAAAAAAAAAAAAAAAAAAAAAAAAAAAAAAACAGATTTTTGATGGCGAAAACCATCAAACGAGTGATTTAGCTAAGATTATTAAGAAGAAAACTACAACAAAAAACAAAGAGAATTTATATTGTTCATAAATCCATCATCCATCCCATCAGCCATCATCATCCTCATCCTCCCATCATCCAACATCATCATCCAACATCATCTGCCCACCATGATTCCACTCATTGTTCTGATCATAACGCACGGACTAAAATCACAAATGATAGAATATCAAGAAAAAAAAAAAGAAGAAGAAGACAGATGAGTTTTTCATTGTTTATTAATAGAATAGAGGAAACTATAATCTAAACGCTTTCCAAAACAGGGGGTTCAACAAAGTCCTTGGTGATCTTGGAACCAACTTCTTCAGCAGCAGCGGCAGCACCACCGTGGAGAGCCAAGAGTTGAGAAACATCGAACTTGGGAGCCTTGAGGATCTTGACCTTACGGATGTAAGTGTTTTGAAGAGGGTAGATGGATTGAGAAGCCTTTTCAATACGAGCAGCAATATGATCTTGAGCAGATTGAGAAGCAGAGGAGGTCACCTTGGTCACCAATTCCTTCAAGTCACAAGCACTGGTTTCTTCAGCCATGATTTCAAACATCTTCTTACGGATGTCACGGATTTGAGCAGATTGGGCGTAGGTGGTCTTCTTGACTTGGTTGCGACGACGGGCAGTGAAGGCAATTACAAACAAGCGGACGAGGTAACCATCAGTAGTCTTGATGTCCAAATAACATTCAATAGTGGATTGCCACTTCTTGACCATGGAGCGAAGCTTGTCAGAGGTCATGTCCATACCATAAAAGTTGGTCAACAAGTTCTTGCCTTGGACTTCATCCACCTTCAATTGGATCTTACGGAAAGCGCGGGATTCATCCTTGGACAATTCTCCAAGAGACACTTCGACAACACGGCCGTTCAAAGAATCGTTGGCGTTGCCTAAACAAAAAAAAAAAAAAGAAAAGAAAAGAAAAGAGAATTATATTGAATAACCATTGTTTCCAAATATATATATATATATATATATATATATTCAATCTTGAAGTAATACTTACGGAGACCTTGAGTACGGTTGACCAAAGTCTTACCGACTTGACGAACATCGAACATGGAAGGGGCCTTGATGTCGTACCAGTCCTTACGGGTGAAGGGATCGACACTATTATAAAAAAATATATATATATATAAAAACATGAGATTGATCCTTTTCGAGAATTATCATCCCTTTTCACCCCCATTTCGTTGATTATTGGATTATTGCTGTCATTGTCGTTATTATTGTTGATGTGTACTTACACCTTCTTCTTCAAACCTTTCTTGCCTTTGGAAAGGCGCTTGTTTTTACCGACAGCTATAATCAAAAAGAAAAAGTGATTAGATCTCTATTTTTTTTTTTTTTACAAATTGGAATGGGTTATATTATGGACGGATGGATGAATAGATGGATGGATGGATGGATGGATGGTATGATATTCTTCAGTACTTACCCATAATGGACAGATGTAATTAAAGAGGAAGATCTAACCAATGGTGCTGGTTGCCACCGCATTATCAATATTTTTTTTTTTCCTCTCTACCACTGCGCTTCGGAGATAGAAACTAGCTCGCTGGCCAGATCCTTTACCAGTGCATTTCCATAGCAATATCAACAATAATAATAATTACTGTTGTTGATAGAAATAAAAGAAGGACGGATGAACATGAATATAGTCTTTTATCTTTATTATCATTGTCATCATTCGATATAACATATTTCATGAATGAAATGTAGAATTAACTTGAACTTCGTCATCGGCTTTTTTTTTTTTTTAACGTTGGAAACTCCGGGGGGTTGAAGAAAGTTCTGGTGCTCTTGGAGTAAGAAAAAAAAAACGCGTTTTTCTTCCTTTTTTTTTTTTCTTTCCTTGTCCTTTTCTTTTCTTCTTTATTTGAAATATCGTTATATTTTTATTAATAACTATCATGCCTCTCCATCCTACTGTACTTTGGGCTCAACGCGCTGATTTGATTTTTTTAACCGTTGATCTTATTGACATCACTGTAAGACTTTCGACAAATGATGAGAATAATAATAATAATAATAATAATAATAATAAACTTGTTTTGTTCATAGGATCCCAAAATTAACTTGACGTCTGACCGCTTCCAATTTAAAGCTAAAGGTGGAAAAGAACAAAATGAATATGAATGTGAAATCGAATTTCTCAAGTCTATTAATGTCGAAGTAACTAAACCAAAAAAAAAAAAAATTGAAGCTTGATGGAAGTTAACCAACTTTTTTTTTTTTTTATCATATTGATAGAAATCCACACAACATTTGACTGCTCATAATTTGTCTATGACTATCTATAAGGCTGAAGGAGCTGAAGGTTATTGGGATAAGCTTCAAAAGGGTGGTAAACTCAACTTCCTCAAGACAGACTTTAACAAATGGCGAGATGAAGATGATGAAGACGATGAAGATCCTATGGCAGGTATGCCTGGTATGCCTGGTATGGGCGGTGGTATGCCCGATATGGCTAATATGATGGGTGGTGCTGGTGGTATGGATTTTTCTCAATTCCTCAACAACCCTGAATTGCAAAACATGGTAAGATTATCCTCCCTTTCTTAAACACATAGATTTGTACTCATTTTATGATTTTTATTATCGTAGGCTGGTGGTGACGAATCTTCTGATGAAGAAGAAGAACAAGAAGGTGAAACCAAGGCTGCTGGTAAGAGGAATGAAAAAAGAGAAGGAATGAAGATATAATAATGGAACGTTATGATAACTGATTTATTCTTTTTTATTATTATTATTATTATTTTATTCTTTAGAAGAACAAAAGTAGATTGGATACGTTAGCCTTTATATATTATATGTTTTTTATTTTTTTTTTTTTTGATACAATTTTGTCTCGTACACTATGATCTTACTTATTCAATAAAACTACAACCTTTTTTTTCCCTTTTGTTGGTGAAAATTTATTGATGACGATGATGATGGATACATATTCAACATAACAATGAAAAGATATGAATATGTGTGTATGTAAAAAAAAAAAAAAAAAAAAAAAAAGAAAAAAAGAAAGAAAAAAAAAAACTATTTATTTGAATGTAGACTAACAAAAAAAAAAAATGAAGATTAAACTAAATCTAACAATACAACAATAACCTATTTGATCTTGGCAATACTATGGACCATTTCTTCCTTGGAGATCAAATGGCATGTTTTTTCCACCAAATTCAGTAAAGAGTTGATATCGCTTGACCAGTCGTTCAAAATATGATTGGCATCCTTCTTGACTTGGAAAGAGATGATGCCAGCAGTTCGATCAATTCTTGCATGAATTGTCTTGGAGACAACTAATTTGGATAAAAAGTCTTCAGATTCCTTTTCGTTCAGATCCAGTAATTGAGTCAGTCGTTTAGTAGTAATACGTGTGTAGTATTTGGCAATCACCCGAATGTTATGTTCAATCACACGATTGTGTAATTCCTTCCAACGTTTCTTTCCTTCTTCTGTTGATTGACTGAATACTTCAGTTTGGTGTAGAGTTTGACCATAAGTTTCTTCAATACGAGGCCATCGCATCAATTCAACCGATACAAAGCACTTGGCCAATTCTCTATTTTTTTTAAAAAAAAAAAAAAATAATAATAGTCAGTCATTGCCTTTCTAAAGTAATATAATTAACTTACTGATATAAAGGAACATCTGCCAATTTTGTATCTTGATATATTCTATGTAACAAGTCGGATTGTTCATTGTCATAAGGTGATAATACCACAAAGAGGATAGCCCGTTCCAAAGCATGTTTCCATTTACTTTCATCTTGTTGAATAGAATCAGAGTCATATATTTGCTTATAAAACTTGTGTACATTAAGGTATTGTTCTTCGTGTAAAGCATGTCGAATCATCAAGTCATAGAATCGCAATTTCAAATCCTAATCGATAACAGAAGAGATGAGTAATGTTGATGACGATATATATAAAATCACTTACTTCATTTTCTTTTTCTTGGAAGAATTTGGCATTGATTTTTTTGGAGATGATTTGAGTACGGACATAATCATGTTTGGCTAAACACAGTCTCATTTGTTCTAGGATAAAATCGGTCTTTTCTCTTTTTTCCATTGATCCAAATGTTTCAACCTATAATAAAAGGTAACAGAAAAAAAAAAGTCAATATCATTTTCTCTTTTTATTCCAATTCATTATTATTTATTCTTACTTGAAGTTCTTGAAGAATATCTGCAGCTTCAGACATTTTGCCTTCATCTTCTTTGATTTTTGATAACATACGTGTGATTCTTGCCCGTTCCACTTCAACATAAATCTATCAGAAAAATAAATTAATCATCAGGACGAAATTAAAAGCTTTTATATTTTACCTTTCCATCAGTAACAGAACGAAGAGTATCAATTAATTCCAATTTAGTGTCCATATCAGGTGTAGTATCAAGATAACCCATTGCTTCTTGAACCATTTTCGTAGTGGCCTAAACAAGTCAATAAAAAAAAAAAAAGATCAATATTTCAGCTTTATATATTCAAATTATTATTTGTTATACTTACCACTTTGAGTTGACCATGTTTCTTGGATAATAAGACGATCTGCTCATTCAAAAGCTTCCAATCGTTAACATCGCGACAAAGTTTAATGATTTGAACAAGAATACGACCAGTAGAATTGGGATCGGCAGCCTAACATATTACAAGATAATGTATGAACAAAAGAGAATCAAAAGGATGACATGACTTACGTTTCGAGCTTGTTTTTCCAAAGACAATAACTTATCAATAGCTTCGTTTAGTTTTCCAGTCTATAAATAGAATAAAAGTAATCATGATAAAGCTTTCTTTCTAATAATCATACTTCCCCTTGTACGCGTCACCATAGACTACATCCGTTCCTTTTCTTTATTTATTATTATTATTACCTTGGCCAATGACTCTGTTTCAGGAATAAGAGCATCGACTTGTGGAGTAAAGTCTTTTTCCATCTTTTCTAATTTGCCGTCAGACATGATCGTTGAATAATATCGTTATATAATGAAAAGTAAGAAAGAAAAGAGTGACAAAAAAAAAAAAGGCCGGTGTCTATTCAAAAAATTCTTACGTTGGCAAACTACGTGGACGTCACAGTGAGTTGACTACAAAAGAAATTGGAACGGACATTGAATTTATCTTCTTTTGGTTTCTCCAGTCAACACGTTTCTTTCTTTTCCTTAGTCTTTTTTCTTTTGAGTTCTTTTCTTCTCTCTATACTTTCACCTCTTTGATTATTTTTTGACCATTCTATCCTTTTAATATGGTAAGAAAAGAATTTAAAAGAATTAAAATGGTATGTTCACATGGAAACTATCTATTTACAAACTTGATGCATCTATTCTAGGCACAGACAGCAACACAAACCATAGAAACTCATCATGAAGATATGATTGTAAGTAGAAAAAAAAAAAGGGTCCTTTTTGACTTTGCTATCATTTATATCTAACCCATCTTTTTTCTTTTTTTTTTTTTTTGAATGATACTTATTCCACTAGCACGATGCTCAATTGGATTATTATTCTCGTCGTCTTGCCACAGCTTCATCCGACAGTACTATCAAAATATTTAATGTTGAAGGCGACTCTCAGCGGTTAATCGATACCTTGACTGGGTAAGCATATCTTCTTTTTTTTTTTTTAAATATATTCATTTTGCTTTCTTTTATTTGGCCTAGACACGATGCACCTGTTTGGCAGGTATCATGGGCACATCCAAAGTTTGGTAACATCCTTGCTTCATGTTCATATGACGGTCGTGTATTTATTTGGAAAGAACAAAACAATGTTTGGTCAAAGATTAAAGAGCATACTACTCATACTGCTTCTGGTAAATACTTGATTTTATAATGTGAATGATAAAAAGAATCTCATTTCTTTTGATTTTTTTTATTTATCTATTTAGTGAATTCTGTATCTTGGGCTCCTCATGAACTTGGTGCCATGTTAGCTTGCGCATCATCTGATGGCAAAGTATCTGTTCTTGAATATAGAGGTAAATTATAACCAAAAAAAAAAAAAAAAAAAAAAAAAAAAAGATGATGATTGAATTTTTGTTTCGTTCATTTTTTTTTCTTTTCTTTTTTTTTTTTTTTTTTTTTGGTAGATGATGGTTCTTGGGAAACATTTGTTATTGATGCTCATGGTATAGGATGTAATGCAGTGACATGGGCACCAGCTGCTGTTCCTGGAAGTCTTGTTCATGCAAATGGTGGTAATTTAAATGTGATGAAAAAATTAGTCTCTGCTGGTTGTGATAATTTGATCAAGATTTGGACTTGGAGGTAAAAAAAAAATCTAAAAAAGGCAAAGAGAATGGATCCTTATTTTATTTTTTCTATTTTTTTTTTTTTTAATTTGAAAACAAAAAGGGATGAAAGTAAATCATGGCAAGAAGAAGAAATTTTGGATGGACATTCAGATTGGGTACGTGACATTGCTTGGGCTCCAAATGTTGGTCTCCCTAAAAGTTATTTGGCTAGTTGCTCTCAGGTACAAAAAAAAAAAAAAATATTTGTTTTCATAGATGATTAACAATTTCTTCTATGTTTGTAGGACAAAACGGTATTAGTTTGGATTCAAGAAACACCTGGATCAAAATGGATAAAGAAAAGTTTGAATGATAAGTTCCCTGATGTTGTTTGGCGCGTTAGCTGGTCACTTTCTGGTAATGTTCTTGCTGTATCTTGTGGTGATAATAAGGTGACATTATGGAAAGAAGATGCAAAAGGTGAATGGAACTGTATTCAAGAATTGGAAGAAAGTGCTTAGTATAGTATAGCTTAAAAAAATTTAGTTTGGTATAGTTTAGGTTAGTTTATTATTACTATTATTTTTTTTTTTACATATACAAGTTGATATTTGTTTTATTTTGTGTGATATATTATACAATAAATTGATGATATTTGATAGTTTATTATTATTTATTATTATTATTATTAAAAAAAAAAAAAAGAGAGAGAGAGGGAGTAAGACTTTTTATATTATTTTGGGCATTTATTTTGATCTTTTATGGGAAGAGAAGAGGAGGAAAAGATTTCTGTCTCCATATATGTATAAGGAGAAAAAAAAAAAGATGTCGATCTTATATAGGTGTGACAATAAGGTAGAATTTTTTTATGGTTTTATAAATGATTTTGTAGTTTTAAGTACAAAGAAAATATATAATAAATATTATTTGTCTTGGCAAATGGTTAAAAGGATGAAATGATGATCTCCCCTCCTATATTCAGTTAGGATCAAGTAATTTGTAAAAAGACACTAAAATGGTTATTTTTGGTCACAGAAAATCTCTTTTGTCCAATCAAATCTTTTAAACTTTACCTGTTTGAATTTCCGTGCAAAATGAAAGGTTTTTATTCTCAGTAGTAGATCTTTTTTACCAAACTTTCTTTTTTTCTTTCTTTCTTTCTTTCTTTCTTTCTTTCTTTTTTTTTTTTGATTTTCTTTTTACATTCCCATATACACCTTTAAGGTGTTATTTATCATCATCATTATTTTATTTTTGTATTATTTTATTATTTTATTATCAAAATGACATATCAAATGTTGACCAGTTCTTCGGATTTACAACAAATCAAGTTCCGTTATACTATGGCAAAATGGTTAACGTCTATTAGTATGATGGCTGTGGTTCTTATGGCATTTTATTCTTTATTTTTTCCAGGTAATAATCAAAAACAACAAAAAAAAAATTATGTATATATTATATGAAACATGAATTATTAACCACTATTTTTTTTTTTTTTTTGGTTGATCCAGCACTTCAAAATAAGCATAAATTACATCTTGCTACTGATGATGATGTTTCTTCCAAACCTGAAAAAAATGATTATACTTCATCATCAACCATCATTACTTCCGCTCGTAGAAATATCACCTGTCAATTTGATTCAAATAATATGATGTTTCCAACTGAAGACTCATCTTATACCCCACCTTCACCTGATGATACTTTACGACAAGCACTCAACTATGTTTCTGATCGAGATTACAATAAATATTGTGATAGTTGGGATCTTATTCATGGTTTCTCTGATGACTTACATTTGGATAATCAAGATTGTGGTAACTGGCAAGATCAATTTTCTATTCTTCAAAAACAAAGATTACAACAACTTGAACAACTCAAGGCTGGTACCTTGCAAGATGATATTCCTACCTTTGCTTCTTATGTTTGTCAAGAAGATCCTCTGCATCGTGGATCTCATGGATGTGGTGGTTTAGCTGATCGTATGAGTGGTAATAGAAAATCTAGATAATAATTATATAATATATATATATATATATATATATAATGAATCTAACATATTTCTATTTAGGTATGGTATCTACTTTCTTTTATGCATTGATGACCAATCGTGGATACCTTATGAATTGGCAAGAAGGTGATCCTACATCCTTGGAATCTGTTTTTGAAAAACCATCCATTGATTGGTCCTTTGATCCAGCAGAAATGAAAAAATTATATGATACCAATGATTTAGGTTATGAATCCGTCAACACTTTGAATTTTAATTGGGAAAAAATCCGTGCTGCTATCTTTCCTGATGGTCCTTCTCAAGATTTTCAACAATTATGGTCTGCTCCTGTAAGAAAAAAAAAAAAGAAAAATTGGAAAGGAACGAATGATCATGTTACTGACTTTCTGTATATAGTATGTAGAAGTCAAATCAAATCGAGGTTACATTATACGCACTTTTGATTATTCGACAAGATATGGTGCTCAACTTGAAGAAATGGGATTAACCAAGGGAAATAGTTTTCGATGTATTCTGGATTACTTGTTTCGACCTACTCTTGGTTCACGGCGCTTCATCAATGCCTATAAACAACTCTTTCAAATGGAAAGTGTACTCAGTATTGGGATTCAAATCCGAACGGATGATCAAGCAATGGCCCACCCTGAAGATGATACCAACAACTTTGAAACATGGGATTACTTTTTGACATGCGCCAATCGTCTCCGTGATGCCAAACGACAACCTCATCATCAACGTGTGGTATACTTTTTGCTCACAGACAGTAACAGGCTACGACAGGAATTTGTAGCCATGAATACCGATCAAGCATTACGTGACCGATACATTCAAAGTGAAGATACTTCCATGGTGGTCACTGGTTTACCCATTGAACATATTGAAGCCAAGACGGTGAAGACAAAATTTGAAGCCAACATTACTGCTCAAGATTCAGATCATGAACGTTTATTAGCCGGGGTCAATAGTGCCGTCATTGACAATTGGTTACTTAGTTATACAGATTATCGTTTGATCAGTAGACAAGGTTTTGGGAAAATGGCTGCTTTCCATGCAAATGATCCTCGATCTACCATCAGTTTACCTCGGGTAAGGAAAAAAAAAAAAAAGAAAAACGATTTAGTAAGAACGACAACTGTATGTTGATTTTTCTTTTTCTTTCTTTTTTTTTTTTTTTAATAGGTGGATAGAAAAGATCATGTAGTGAATTGTGCCAATCCAAACGTATTTACAACTTTTGATACCCTCAGCACCTGGTGGAGCTTGGGGTGATATTTTTTTTTTCTTTGTATTTTTTTTTTTTTTTTTTTTTTTGTATTATCCTCCTTTTTTTTTACATGTACCTCTCCCCACCTTCTCCTTATATATATACATATATATACATCACCTCATTTTAGAACATTATCCTCCTTTCTTTTTGTTTTTCCTCCTTTTGTATTCTTCATTTTCTGCCAATATACTTCAATAAAATCATTTCTTTTTTCTTTAAAAAAAAAAAAAAAGGTCATGTTTTGTGTCAATAGAAGATTATGATGAAATGTATCTGCTGACTATTGTGAGTATATAGTGTGCAGTTTTTTTTTTTTTCTCCCTTTCCCCCCAAATCCAACTTGATAAATGATGAATGATGTAAATTTTAAGAATATGGTGTAACAAAAAAAAAATATGAAATAAGCTAATTCACATGTATCATATTGAATAAATTGGTATTTTATTATAAAACAGGATGATCAATAAAAATATGTTAACAAAGTTTTTTTTAAAAAAAAAAAAAATAATAAGAATAAGAATAATAAGAATAACTAACTACAAAAAAAAAAAAAAATTGACTCTTCCATCCTATTACAATTTCTTTTCTAATTCGAGTAATCTCGTCTTCAGATCCATATGTTCAGCAGTATATTTGGCCATTTGTTTTTCCACTTCTTGTGAGATATACTTGTCCGCCTCAGCCTCCATAGCTTTGATTTTCTTTGCTTGTTGTACGATGGTTTCTTCTTGATCCGCCAACATCTTTCCTGTTTCATCTGCTACAAATTTGCTAATCACGGTGAGCATGGCAGGTGTGATTGTTGAAGTATAAACATCATCTTCATCTTTTTGTAAATGTTGTTGAAGATCGCCCAATGTACGTGATACAGATAAAGGATCCACCAAATAAGAAATGAACATTTCATGATTTCTATATAAAGTAAATGAGTATTCTCATCATATTCTTTTTTTTTTTTTTTTTACTTACTTTAAACAGGCTTCCATTTCTAAAAGTCCATTTTCCAAAGTATCAGGGAATCCAGGATTCAATACTGTGTTGCGAAATTGATGAATAAAACCAATAAGACTTGTCAATTTAAGATCCAGACGTTGATAATTTTCTTCCATTGCTTCCAATCGAGGTTCTAAACTGTCATCCATGTCATCCCGTTCTCGTTTCTCACCTACTTTGACTGTACTATCACTGACAGGAGTACTACCTCTGTTCACAGTATTCACCATTTTCTTGAGTTCATTGTATTCCAACTTTAGTCGTGGTTCCAAAACAGCAAGCTTTGAAAAGATATGTGTTACATTTTCTTCCAATTTATCTAATCTTTCCCGTACAGGTAGAGGCACCATAGTGGGCTGTGTGATTGATTTTCCTGTTTGTGTTTCTTTTGAAGGTTCAGAATTTTTCATAAGAGTGGTAACATTTTGATATAATTCATTCAACTTGGTTCCTTGGGTTTCCATAATGGTTTTGAGAAGACCGATCTCCACATCAGGTGATAGAGATGATGATGGCGTAGAATTTGTTGTTGTTATTGCGGTTTCCAAAGGCGGTGGTGAGGTTGATTCTTGTAATTTCTTCAAAAGTGGTTCCAATTGAGATTTGATCATAGTCCAATCTGAACGTAAAGAAGCCATTGTTTCCTTATTTTCCAATTGTGATTCTCGATAGGCTTTCATATCTGATTGTACACTACCTATTTCAGTCCTCATGCCATCCGTCAATGATGTTGATAACTTGTCCACTTTTTGTTGTTGTTCCTTGACATGGTTAACCATTTGTTCAATCTTGTTCTGTATTATCTTATCGTTTTCTTCAAAGCGATGCCGTAAGGAATCCAGTTTGTTGCTGAATGTGTCTACATGTTGTTTTTGGGAGTTGAAGGCAGACATCGCTTTTTCCGTTCCTCGTGTGTTGTTTTCCACATAATGTTTCAACTTTGTATGTTTATCATCGAGAACGTTGAGTTGGGTTGTCAATTTATTATTAGAATCCGATAGAGACTTTTCTTGTTGAATGGCAAACTTGGCTTGTTGTTCTGATATATGTTTAACTTGCGTGCTGATCTGATCTCTAGCATCGATACTGAGTTTTTCACCGAATGCAACCAAGTTTTCTTCAATTTCATTACGAACAACTGTCAAGTCCACTGCGAATATCTGTTTATATACGTCTGCTATCTGGGTAATGAGATCTATAGCCTTGTCTTGTTCCTTTTTGAGTCTAATAAAAAAAAATGTATATATATGTATAAAATAGAAAATCAGTAAGTCAACTTTTTTATGTGTCGTTTCATTTTATCATATATTCCTACTAACCGTCCTAGTTTTTCCTCCAGTCCTTCTTCCACTTCTTTCATTTTCGTCACTAAAGTAAGAAGAAGAAAAAAGAGTTAAAGCATAAAAACAAAAACAACAATCATTTATTATTCTTGTGTCTTACCCACGGTAGGCATTCTTGTAGCGACTTTCAGTGTATTAAGATGAATTTGGTCCTGTTCGATATCATAGACTAACCAAGTAACGTTTCCAACAGGTCTACAAAAAAAAAAGTTGTCAATAACTATACTGGCGAAAGTCTTCAATATTCAACATACTCCATAGCTTTTCTGATAAGCTCTTGTACTTGACTTGTTAGTTTATCTGAAGCTTTAGGTTCATTGTTTGTTGTATCTGTCATTTTGGAAAGGAGGCGTGAAAAAAAGGAGAGAAAAGAACAATACCATTCATTTGAAGAGTGATATTCGCTCCACCAGTCACCCAAGATTCAATGTCCGCTTGTACTCTGATTTCAATGGTTTTACGTTTTATAGAGAGTCTTTTCTTGTTTTCTTCACAACCATTATTTTACTTTAGTTACGATGATTAAGATTTGGAGTATGAAAGCCAAAGAGGCTGCTGCTGAAAAGAAGAAACCAAAAACAAGTGCAGCTCAAATTCGTGTACAAAAAGGTAGTTATCCATATTTGACAACTAAAAACGAGAAGATATATATATTATTATATAGTTATTCACATTGCTTTATTATATTAGACTTATCTGAATTAGAAATTCCTAGTACTATCAAGATGGATTTCCCTGATCCTGCTGATATCCTTAACTTTAGGATTATTATTACACCAGATGAAGGTAAAAAAGAAAAAAAAAGAAAAGAAAAGAAAAGTATCTCAAAGCTTTCTTTAATATATTTATATTATCTTCTTTTTAGGATTTTATAAGAACGGTTCCTTCACATTCAAATTTGCTATCAATCAAAACTATCCACATGAACCACCAAAAGTACGCTGTGTACAAAAGGTAAAAGATAAATAAAAATAACTAAATAAAAATAAACATGGATTCAATTTTTTTTTTATCTTTATCTTTAGATTTATCATCCTAATATTGATTTGGAAGGAAACATTTGTTTGAATATATTACGGGAAGATTGGAAACCTGTATTATCACTACATTCCATTATGGTTGGTTTACAATATCTATTCTTGGAACCTAATGCTGATGATCCACTAAACAAAGGTAAATATATATATATAATGACAAACGATGAACTGATTGATTTATATTATTTAATTATGAATGATAGAGGCGGCCGAGGATTTACGAAGAAATCGACAACAATTTGCTGAACATGTGAAGAAATCAATGGAAGGCAATACTATCAATGGTATCCTCTATGACCGTGTTTGAATCCACTATTTATATATCATGTCTATTATTAGTCTTTTTGTTATATCTCTTTACAAATAAAGCATCAATTTTTATATGTCTTTCCAAGGATTCTTTCGGATCTCAAGAAATAAGTTTCGTGATGTTATATTATATATATATATATATATGTATGTTCTGTGTGTTGCATACAAATATATTTACATATATATACATCTTTTCATCGTGTTCAGACCCAGCTCATCTCTTTTTTTTTTTTTTTTTTTTTTTGGTCTTGTTTCCTGTCTCCTGGCCTCTCTCTCTTTTTTCTCCCCCAAACCCCTTTTACTGTTATTATATAGAAAGTTGGAATATTCTCCTCTTTTGACCTACTTTCTTTTCTGCCTCCATATTTTATTATACAACATCTCCATAGTCTTTCATTCCCTTTCATAATTGTCCCTCATCATCTAGTATCGAGTAGAACCGATGACTCATTACAACACCTCTTTACAACATGAATGGTGGAAAAACTTACAGCAACTGAATATAGACAAAGTCGAACAAATTGTTGACCTTCATCCTGAATTAATATGGACAAAGATACCAACTGATATCAATATTATGTCAACATTCAACGTGGAAAGTGCCAAAGAAATATTGATTGAACGCGAACTTGGTACCTGTTTTGATGATCTCAATTCTTTGCAATGGCTTTTACTTTGTTATCATGAAGAGGATGCAAAACGTTTGATACCTTATTTACTTAGTGTAAGTAATAATAAATAATATATAAAAAAAAAACAATTATAGCTTATATCAATTTTTGTATAATTAATTACCCTGAAATTTTGGTCACACCATACTCACTCGTTTTTTTTTTTTTTTTTTTTTTTTTTTTTTTTTTTTTTTTTTTTTTTTAATATGTAATAAATAGAAAGCCTCGACAGAAGAACTCAGTAATAATAATAATAATAATTGGGGAGATTATAATAGTACTACTTTACATATCATCAGTGCACTTGGATATATTGATTTGGCTCAATTATGGCTGGATATTGGTGCCCCTACGAATATTGCTAACAACCGTGGATGTTTACCTTCCGACGTCGCTCAAACTGATGCAATGATCAAATTACTGAATTCCAATCACGATGATAAAATTTTGACGAATGAACAATATTCTACAACTATCAATACAACACACCGATTACAACAACAACAACAACAACAACAACAACAACATTCAATGGGTTCACAGGTGACATCAATGTCATCAACAGGAACAGGATCAGTATTGATTACACCGAACAAAGATCAACATTATTTTCGACAAGGACATGTGGAACAAACAAAGCAAAAGGTGCTGACAGAAGAACAAGTGGAATTGGAGAAACAACGTGAACGGCGACGGAAGGATATTGCAATATTGGCAAAACGATCAGCGGTGAAAAACAATCCTTTTGTCAAGAATTTGGATCCTTCTTTGGCAACAACTTCTAGGACAACAAACACCTTATCTGATGATACTATGGTACATGATGGATCAACTGTAGGATCTTCGATGGATGATACTGTCGATGATAGGAAACCCAAGCGAAATTCAAAAGTTATCAATTCTCTTCAAACCAAATCATACGTCTCTTCTAGTGTCTTCCGGCAAGGCCAGTCTTCCGTTCGTATAAAAAATAGGTCAAAACATCCTCAACCATCACTACCAACAAAAGATCAATCTGAACGTATACCATCACCTGATACAACAGCTATCAACGGTTCACTAGGATATTCTGGTACTATTGATGATTCCATGGAAGAAAATGATATCGATTCACTCTTGCAGGACGATACCCAATCTTCTACATCGACACCTGATTCTACCATTACTCATTCACCAAGCTATATGTCCTCTACGATATCTCCATCATCGACAATGACACCATCTGTTACTCCAGCAAACGAAACCAATAGTGATGATGCTAACAATGACAATATGATAGTAAGCCACTGTACTAGCAAGGTGTTAATTGAAAAAGAAATGGATGCAGAAACGGAAATTACTCAGTCTTTATCGAAAACAGCCATCACTTCTTCACCCACAACGACGACAAGTACTATATCAACAAAAAAAGCACAACAAAAAGTTCACACCAAATCAAATGGACAGGATATCGATAACCGACGACTAAGTGGCAGTCAAAAATCACATTGGTCGAAAGAATTGACATCTTGGGTTTCAGCATTGGATCGTGAATTTAGTCTTTTGGGGGATGATCATCGTACTGATTCGGAAACAACAATGAACAATCTTGTAGACACAAAAGTGGAGATTGATACTTTGGTTCCATCCAACAACTTGAAAAAGGATAGTCCTCTGAGCGATTCTGATGATGGTGATGATAATATCAGCAGCAACAGTAGCAGCAGTAGCAGCAGTAGCATCATTAACAGCAACAACGATAAAAGGAAAAACGACAATGGTAAAAGTAACAACAATAATGGTGACGAAAATAAAACTCATCACAAACAAGTAGCATCTCACAAGCCGGATAAAGAACATCAACGAAGAGGATTGGATGGAACTATATTCGAAAGCACTCGATTACCTCTCAAATCTTATGGAAGTGTCTCTGTACGATCGACGGCCACCTATTCAAGACGTTTACCTACATTTGATGTGACATCAGCAATGTCGGCAGCAGGAACGAACAGCAACAAATCAGCAGTTTCATTACCTCCTCTTGAGAATGACTCTGTGGTACTAAAAGGAACAACGTCATCTACACCGACTCAACAAGATCGACGCAATCCGCTCGTAATACATAACGACAATCATTACAAAATGACACGTTCTATGTCTGGTTCAGCATTATCATCCTCAGTCGGCATTGATCATCATCATTCACAGTTTCATCAACAGGAGCAACAACAACAACAAAAACAACAACAAAAACAACAGAAGCAGTATCCACCACAACAACAATATTGTCAACATCATCATCATCATCAACAACGATCCAACCAAGTAGAAAAACACCAGATGACGGCCAATTTACCACCCAGTATCAATTTACCACTATCAAACAATACAGGACATGGAAAACTATATGTACGAGTGAATGGAGTGCATGATGTCTTGTTACCTTTACCACGAGAACAGGCACATGTGCGATGTGTGATAGGTGATGGACGATACGAATACATGTCACGATATGAAACGCTTGGACATAACATCACGTTTGGATATGAATGCATCATCGATAGCCACCCGGATATGATTGTGACCTTATCTCTTCATGTACGACCGGATTATATGTTGAAAAAGCCTCTATCACGTCTTTTCACCACCCATCGGAAACGGAAAGGATCTCTTTCGGCCTATGTGAGTAGTGAAGATGGTGCTGTGGGACAAACTCGATTCGCCATTAGTGATATGTTGGCCGCCTGTCATCGTCGATCTGCATCTGTCAGTTTCCATTGTTTCAATGCTTGGTATGTTCATTCTCGGGACAAATCATCATCCTCTCGACAACAGGAATTGGACCAAGGTGTACTTAAAGTAATTGGGAATTTTGAAGTGGAATTATTATATCTACCAGTATCGAATCCATCTTTGGTAAGTTATATGTATATAAAAAAAATTGGGGAGACTTAAAAAACTTGGATTTTTTTTTTTTTTTTTTTTTTGTAGCCGGTACCAAAGAATCTTCGTGAATGTGATATGGCCATCAAAATTCAACAATGGAATGATACTTGTTTTGATACTGATCACTATCCCAAGAAAATCCATCGACCTCAACCTCGTGTAGCTTGAAACCCCCTTTTTTTTTACTAAATTCTGATTTCAATTGACCTTAAACTAGTTAGAATTCTCTTTTTTTTTTATTATTATTATTATGTCCCTTTTTTTATTATTATTATTATTATTATTTGACTTTTATACCATTCTTTTATCTCAATTTAGTTCATTCTAGAAAAAGAAAACCATAATAATAATAAAAACAAAATGAATTGAGGTCTTCTTGTTTATTTATTTTTTTTTCTTGTTAAAGATGTCCTCCCTATCTAGTCAAGTAGCTAGATATAAGACAAAAACAGAGATGAACTAGTAGTTATGAAAGAGAAACCAAAAAAAAAAAAAAAAAAAAAAAAAAAAAAAAAAAAAAAAACAACTTCTTATATTACATGGTGATTGCTTTTAACGTCAAACTGAGGCAAATCATCAACATAAAAAAAAAAGTAAAAGATATGATTGATTCTTTTATTCTTATATCTGTCCAAATCATAAATTAAAAAAAAAAAGAGTAGATACTAATAACAATAATCAAGGAGATAAAAAAAAAAAACAAATAGAGATAATGAAGATATATGAGTGTGTGTATGTGTTGAATAAAAAGTGGAGGGGAATCATTGTCCTTTGTCCAAAAGAATAAAAGTCAAAGCAATATATACATATGTCACCAAAATAAGTTGATCTCAGTAGTCATCATCTTGTTGTGAGAAGAAATGCGTATATGCAATGACTAGATTATCAAAAAAAAAAAAAAAAAAAAAAGTTAGACCCAGTCTATTTGAAGTCAACGTATATCACTTTACTTGTTCCATATACCAGGATACCACCACAAATACTCATGATCATTGCTGGTACAGTAATCTATCGATGAAAATCAAGAATTAAAAAAAAATCAGTTGTTTTTTAATAGAATATAGGGTTTTATAACTAACCACTTCAGCATGAGCAAGAACAAAAGGTAAACCTATAAAAAATAATTAATATAAGTTTGCTTGAATTAAAAAGTGAAGTTCATTGATCACTTACAGAATCCAGTAACAATAAACATCCCAGTAATAAAGTGACCTGCATCCACAACACCACTATCAAAAAAAAAAAAAAAAAATTGAAATGGATTGATATATTCCTTAATATTCTATCCATGTTACCTATTGTAGTCAGACATGATATCATATTCACCAGCACATCTTGCGCATAAAGCATTTGGTAAAGGAGCAAGAATGTAAGTTGCAACTAAAAAAAAAAAGAGAAGGAAAAGAGGATGAATATCAAGCTATATATCAAACGTTTTGTTCCTTTTTTTCTTTACCAACAAGTAAGGGCCACCAGTTACTAGATATAATTAAGAAGAATTTTAGTATATATATAATATAAATAAAATATAGAACTATTAACTTACTAATATAAAGCACATGACAAGATGACAAGAAGGAATCCAATGGCAAGAACAAAGGCGAGAGCAATAATACTGAAAAATATATTAAATAAAGTAAATATATTTATAAAAAGCCCCGAGAGAATAATAATAATAATAATAATAATAATAAAAGAAATAAAAAGAAGTTTGTTCAAAGATAGACATCAATGATATACACTTACGCTGTTGAGAAGGAAAAAAAAAAGTGTATATAATTAGTTAAGAAAACACGTTTTGATTGATGCTATTGAAACAAAAAAAAAAGAAACTTACTTCTTAGACCGGCCATGAAAAATATATGTGTTGTATTATTGGATTATATATATATATATGTAAAAAAAAAGTAAGAAAGAAAAAGAAAGAAAGAAAGAAAAAAAAGTAGAAAAGCAAAAAAAAAAAAAAAAAAAAAAGACGGACGGTCTTTGAACCTGTGAGAGGGAAATAATCAAATGAGTATTTATTATAAGAAAAGTGGGGAGGGGAAATTGTGTATACGAGTGGATTTATATATATTATTATTCTTGTTGTTATTTTTTCATTATCTCTTTTTTTGCCATCGGTTTTTATCATTTTTTGGGATTATTTGCTCTCCGCGAAACTAACGCGGGATGATAAAGTATAATGGAGTTGTTTTAAGAGTACAAAGAGGAAAATTTTTTTTTTTTCTTTCGAGCAGCGGAACATAAAAAATGAAAAGATCTAAATAATAAAAAAAGAAAATACGGGTTCGCGTTCATTTTTTTTTTTCTTTCTCGTTTTATTTTTTTTTTTCTTTCCTTTTCCTAATAAATAATAATAATAAATCAATCATGTCTGACGAAAAGATTAGCAAGGAAATCATGGCTCTTGAAACCAAAGAAGCTGAAATCGCTAAAAAGGTACAAGATTATCATCGTAAACTTATGACTCCTATCTGGGACGAACGTCGTGAACTTGTCAAACAAATCCCAAACTTTTGGTCTGAAGTGGTAAAATATATCAATCAAATTAAAAATAAAACTATTTTTCTAATTATTATTATTATTATTTTGTATTTCAATAGATTAGTAACTCTACCTTGTTTAGAATGCAACCTTCTGACGATGATCTTGAAGTAAGTATCCTAAATATCTTGTATGAAAACCCTAATATATATATGTTATTTGTATTAGGCTTTGGAAAATTTGACTGATTTTAATGTGGAATATGATGATGCTAATCCTGATTATCGCAAGGTGGTGGCTGTAAGTAAAAATCAATATTTGAAATAAAATGATCTAATATATATATCTTTATAATAGACTTTCAAAAAGAATGGTATTTTCAAGAATGAAACATTGACCAAGGTAAAAACAAAGAACATATTATTTTTGTTTCCTTTTTTTTTTAATATTTATTTATTTTATGAAACGAATGTTAATAGGAATTCACTGTGGATGAAGAAGATGTCAAGGTGATCAGCAAATCTACTATTGAATATCACGAAGGAAAGGTAAAAAAAAAAAAAATGAATTGGAAAATAAGTAAAAAAAATATTGATCACTGCTATATATATAGGAACCCTCTAAGAAACGCAAGGCTGAAGAAGAAGAAGAAGAAGATGAAGACTTTTTGGTTGGTTTTGTTAGATGGTTTGGTGATGAAACCATTCCTTATGGTGTTGCTTTGACTGAAGATGTTTTCCCTGCTGCTCTAGAGTAAGTGATCCCCATAAAAATAAAAAAAATAAACTAAACTAAAAAAAAAAATGATTTGTATTTATTTATTTAGATATTACCGAGGAAATGAATCTGATGATGATGAAGATGATGAAGACATTGAACTTGGATCTGATTCTGAAGAAGATGAAGAAGGTTATAAATATAACAAGGGATGAAATATAAGAGTATACTAACGAAAAGTTTTTCATTCTATTATAGAAGAAGCACCTAAAAGCAAGAAATCCAAGAAATAAACAATAGAAACTCTAGTTTTAGTTTATCTCATCATATGAAAATAAAGATCTCTCTCTTTTTTTTTTTTTGTCATTATTATTATTTTTTTTTTTTTGTTGATCATAGTTCATATAATTTTAATTATTCAAAAAAAAAACAAAACGACATATTCATGCAAAACAATAAAAAGTATAAACCATCACACTTTAACACTCCGCCCAAGTAGTGGATTCTTAAAAAGGAAGTTAAAAAAATAATGTTATATACAATTTTTTATTATTTAATAATACACTACATAATAGTACAATTAGAGGATGGGGAAGAATGAATAGAAGATGATCGATAAGGTGAATGTAATATAGATCCCGTCTTGTCCATTTGATCCTTTTCATTATCATTACGTTTTTCCTTGATTTCACGGGGAAAGTAGAGTAATAAAAAATCTTGAAGATCCTTGTCCAAATTACTTGCACCAGCATTACCTACCGCCATTTCTTCTCGACAAAGAGGACAATCATATAAACGTTTCCTATGAGCCTTGATCAAACATCGAACACAAAATACATGATGACATTGTAATCGAATAGGTCGCCATGTAATACCTAAAAATAATAGAATGAGAAATAATATATTATACATATATTATATTTACCATAACACACTGGACAAGCATAATCATCAGGTTGAGGTACAATAGAAATGATTTTTGATTGAATTAATTGAAAAAGAGCCATATCTACTTCTTGAAGAAATACAGAATTGTTTTTGGCAAATGTTGGGAATTCAGATTTGGCTCTATATATATATATATATAAATCAATGATCAAACAAAAATAAAATATATATATATATAAATAAAAAAAAAAAAAAACTTACGATAATCCACTTCGTTTATCATGTTTTTTCAATATTTTGGTCATGGCCGTGGTATTGAGTGATTGAAAACGTTGAAAGATATTGATTTGTTGATTGATAGCTAGGAATTGACCAAAGGCAGTTTTGGATCTACGTGATGATAAACGTTTATCCTATATATAAAAAAAAAATTGAGATGAATATAAGATAATGATTATTTAGTATCTTACCAATTTTCTTTGTTTGATATCATTTGAAAGAAGCATCAAGCGTGCTTTACAAATTTCATAATCTTGACAATTCTTTTCTAGTGGACACCTTGATAAATAAAGATGAAAGATTTCACGCCATACATATAAATCCTTTTTATGAGGTGAAGCCTTACAAAAAAAAAAAAAGGAAATTAGTATGAACTTTGTTTATTGACTCTTTTTTTTTTTTTCCTTGTCAACTTACTGCTACCAAAAGAAGACTTTCCAAATCTTGTACAGCAGTAAGAAATCGTTGTTTTTCCAAATCATATAACGCCACGGCTTGTTCAAGTTCCTTTAACAATAAACGAAAAAATTCCATGTCTTTGATAAGATCAATCTTGTATTGGAAAGGTTGGTTAACATCGATGGATATATCAGGTATAGAAGGTATCATTTGATGGATCACATCATGTTTATTTAAAGAAAAGGAAGCTGGATCATCTACCATAATCTTGATACAAGGATGAGGTTGATTCTTCGTGTCACCTAAATCATCATAAAACCCTTTTTTTGTCAGTCAAGTGTAAAAAAAAAAAAAGGAATTTTTTATTGTTACCATCCACAGCGTAAACTAAAGTCCAATTTTCTTGTTGTTGATCAGATAATAATTGCGGAGATAAGCCTCTTGCCAAAAGTTCTTCTACCACAAAATGTAAAGACTTCTTGAGACTACGGTATTTGATCAAATAAGGTCGCCAATTCACTGGTAATTCGATCGCTTCTGTTTCTATTTTTTTGGCAAACTTCATCGTCCTTTCGCTTTATTCAGCATGGATCAAAAATACGATTGTTTATTTTTTTTTAAAAAAAAGGTACAAAACTAGAATAGTGTAAAGGAATAAAAAAAAAGAAAGAAAAAAAGGGAGTATAAAAAAAAAAAGAGGGAAGCACTTTATATATAAACAGGGAATTGTTGGCCAATTAAAATGTTTTTCAGAACCAGCAGTCCAATCATTGGTATAGATTCACACCAGGTGAGGTCGCCTGAGGAGAGGAGTTTTTTTCAATTACCTTTCACCGATGATATTGTGCCTAGACCAAAAATGACAAATTTTTTTTGTGAATTTTTCTATGATAACACGGATCAAAAAAAAAAAAAAAAAATCCCTCTCCGTTTTACCTACCTGATACAATCCAGTATAATAACCGCTGTAATACCACGCCATAATCATATTTGTAAGTGCCTCATTACCTAAATGTGAAAAGTATCAAGAATATCAATACATATCTATCTATGTATTTATTTTAACTGTACCTTGTGGAGTTGATAGCGGTGGTGGTGGTGCAAAGTTCGGTATATTTCCAGGATAAGGAGGTTGTTGGTATGGTTGATAGTATTGTTGATGATTGTAATCATGTCCATATCCATAATCGTAGCCTTCATAACCATCATCATTTTGTTCCTGTTCTTCTTCTTCTTCTTCATATGTTTCTCCCCCTAAATCACCCTTTTCTTCATGATCATAGTCTTGACCATTCACATCATCTTGTTCTTCTTCTTCTTCGTAGTCTTGATCATCCACATCATTTTGTTCTTCTTCTTTTCGTTGTTGTTCTGGTGGTGATGGTGGTTGCTTCACATTACTATTCGATTTTTGCTGATTGTCCTGTCTAGTTCCTTTGTCGATATTGGAATATTTTGTTTTGATTCTTTTACTGTTGAATGACTAAAATCATCAAAAAAAAGACCTATCAGTACGCGCGTCCTAATGCCGTGTAATCATTCCCTCTTTTTTTTTCTCACTTACTTGATCCTCTTGTTGATTGATATCTGTTCTTTTCCTACTTTGAAAACATCCAAAAAAAAAAACACGATTATAAGAATGGTTCTAATGTTGGCATGCCAATGATTGGTTTATCTTTTTGGTTTACCTTGTTTGTCGTATTTGTAAGAAAGGATCAGTAGTATCGATTGATGTAGTTGGCTTTTTGTGGTGGGACTAACACAGAAATAAATAAAAATAAGCAAAAGCGAAAAAAGAGTTATTCTTATAAGTGTCGATTTTTTTTTTTTTTTCGTTTCACTTACCTTGTAAGATTCGATCGACTTGTGCCAAAATTGGATTAATGAAGTATCATTCCAAGGATCCTGAAACGAGTAAAACAGAAAAGAAAAAAAAAGTTAAACCTTTCTATATGGTACACGAACAACTTACTGTGGGTTCAGCATTAGTATCTTCCAGCTCTTGTTTTGCTGATTTTGAGACAGTTCTATTACTAGAAGAGCTGATGGATCCAAACATAGGAAAAAAAAAAAAATAGACAGAAAGAAAAGGAAAAAAAAAAAGGGTGAAAACTTGTCTCATGCCCACGTGCCTATCAATTTTTCACACTGACATTAAAACTCCATCTCCATTCACTTTACATCGTTTCACTTTGTACTTCTTTTTTTTCCTTTTCTCTCCTTTTTTTTTTTTATTCTTTGTATTTATCTTTTCTCAAGTCATGGGTATCCAATGATTTCTTATTTTATACTCAACAAGTCAGGAAACCTTATATACCAGTCAATACAAGATAATGATAAACTAGATGGCACTGATACGAATCATATTCGATATTTGCCTCTTTTGCTTATCAAGGACTTGATTAAAACCAATCTACACAACCAAATACAGCATGTCAGAACAAATGGAAAGTTAGTGGTTTTTTGGGAGGTAATAATAATAATAATAATAATAATAATAAAAAGATGAATAAAAAGGAAACTAATCTATTTGTTATGTATAATAATAATAGCGACATAACTTGCTGTTTATTGCTTGTACTAAACAGCAAAAGATACCAGTCTCCGTTTTACATAAGCACCTCATCGTTATGGACAACTTTTTAAGATTCAACTTTGGACCTCAATGGCAATTACGACTACACAATGATGGTACTATTCATTCAAGACGAAGTCTTCATCCAACTCTTAATAAAAATAAACTAGCTCATTGTCTTGCCCAACTCCCATTCCTGGCAAACCGTTATACACTCCGATCACATCAGCACCTTTGCCTTATTGAACAAGTCGATCTTCAGGAAGAACTCAACACTCGTTTGGCTGAAACACTTTCTGATTGTTGTAACAATATGTTTCCTTCTTCTTTACCATCCTCATCAAAATCATCCGGTAGCAAGTTATCGGCTTTTTTTTCTTCTTCTTCTACTCCTCCTCCATACTCTTCTTCTCGTCGTACCCAAAATAATAGTTCTGGTCATCAACAGCAAGAACAAGAACAACAATTACAACTTCAACAGCAACAACTATTAAAAGAACATTATGACAAAGGAAATCACACAGAAATGGATTCTTCTCTCGGAAACTGGAATCATGCTTTTCTTTTTGCTCGGGAAAAGATTGTAGTACATTGTTGCAATAAGGATCAATATCAGAACAACCCTATTACAAATGAACTATTGTATTATTTGAAAATCTTGGTAGCTGATTACATTTGTGAAGGCTATGATTATGATTCTAAAGGTAATTTTCTAAACACAATATATATATCATCATGATAAGCTTACCTCTTTTTTTTTTTTTTTTGTGAAATAGAATCTCATTTGAAACAACAACATGAAGCTAGTGAACCTCAAGCAATCACACACAGGTAAGTGAAAATGACCAAAATCAAATGTTTGAGATCGGTTACTAACAATGACTTAACTTCTTATTAGTACAACGACGCATGGCAGCACTTCAACCGATGATGAAATGATATCACCATCCACCTCATCACCCACATTATGTACATCCTCTTCATCAAACATCTCATCAAATCAAAAAGCATCTTCATTCTCTTATTTATATGACTCAAGTGCACCGTCACCATTTAAAATCCATACAAAATCAGCCATCACGCAGGTGACACCTTCTATTACAACTATACCATCAATATCATGGAGCAACCCACCACCTCTTGTACATTCGTATTTACTCTCTCGACTACCGAAAGGTCATCAAGGTAGAACACCAACGACAAGTAGGTCATCTACGCCAACTCGGGATATGGATGACGATCTTCTCAATGAGATGACAGCTGCAATCAGAGTAACATCGTTAACCCCAAGCTTGGATCACCATTATCACCAACACAACAACAACAATGATACCCCATTACCTCCCAATGCAAAAGCACTTTACCGCCAATACGTTCCAAGCTCCTCTTCACCCACATCACCATCTTTATCAACAGTTTCACTCAACAACAACAATAGTAGTAGTAACAATAATAATATGGCATATCTTTCCAGTAGTGTTCCTTCACATGCTCTTACCAACATTTCTGTGAATTCTGTCAATTATAATCGGTACCAGAATATGCATGATGAATTTCCTGCAACTGATAGACCTATTGCAAGACGTGCTTCAGCCAATTCATCCCCTGTTGGAAGATCAAGACGTCAAAGTATGGTAGATCAGCATCAACAACCTTATCCGAATTTGATCAAATATACTACACAGAGTGAAGCAAGCGATGATAGTAGTCAAGATGAGCAAGAACAACGACAAGTACAAAAACTACAGCAACAGCGGGAACGACAACAACGACAGCAACAACAACAGCAACAGCAACTACAGAGACAACGAGGTACAGTCAAGATGGTTCGACGTTGGGTAAAGCATGGCAATCGAATTATTATGACTCGTATTTGTCTTTCTCAAATTACTGATGGGTTAGTAGCTATCCTTTTGTTTTCTGATGAGGTAAAAAAAAAAAAAAAAAGAAAGAAAAAAGAAAAGAAGAACAATAGGAAAAGTAATATGGAAGGAATATGTAAAAAAAAAAAAAAAAAAAAAAAAAAAGTACTAATGCACAATTTCTTTTTTTTTTTTTTTTTTTTTTTTTGATAGACACTACCTTCATCTGTACTTGCTTCCTTGTCGTCGACGAAATCTTTACAATATCATCAACGACAACGACAACAACATCAACAAATGAAACAATTCACGTCATCATTACGGTTTGGACTTCAAGACTTCACTTCATTTTTACTGACCAAAGAAAGTGTGCACTTTACAATCTTGTCTTTTGCTGCCAACTATCCTGGGCTTGTTCATTTTATCCATATCAAGAAAGGTGTTGTATCTTCTCCTCAATTGGTGGATCTGAATGAATTGGACAAACATCATGAAATTTTATATGAAATTTACGAAAGGTATGATGTGAAGCCGACTACTACCATGGATACATTGATTGGCAAATGGCGTTGGCCTAGTGTGTCACGATTGAAGAAATTATGTGGTGATATGTTGGCTTGTGGACTTTCTTCAAGATTAGCACCTCCGAAGATTCGAACGTTACAACATCCTACTGATCATCGACAAGGATTTCAATTTTTATATCTTTCTGGGCGACAACAACAATTATTACGCCAACATCATCGTCATCATCGTCATCATCATCATCATCATCATCATCGGTTTCTTCACCATTATCATCATCATCAGCAACAACAACATCAACAAGAACAAGAACAACTAGTAGATCAAGATCATCAAGATGAACTTTTGGCTGTTTACTTTAGTTTTGTACCGAGTGATAGAATTTGGGCCATGCATCAACAGTTGTTATCAGATGTTAGTCAACGTCATTTTATGAAATAAAAAAGATTTTTTTTATTTGATTAAATTTTCAGTGATAATAGTATAAATACAAAACATGAATTGAAAATGACAACAACAAAAGAAGAAGAAAAAATATATATGTGAGTGATGGATGTATGAGGGAAATAATAAAAAAAAAAAAAGATCATTTCTTATTGTCCACAAAAGTCATGTTGGGGGGTAAAGAAGATTGATTTTCAATAAAGAACTTTTCAACGGATGTTTCAGAAAGATCAGGTTTGCGTTCATAAAAAGCCAAAAGATCCTTGACAGTGGTGATATTGTTCAGGTCCAAATTAGGTATTTCTTTTCCGATTTGCTTGATAGATTCCTTGACAACCTTTTATATATATATATATATCAATACCAATCCTTTTTTTTTTTTTATTTATTATTTTATTTTATTTTATTTTTATTTACCTTGAATTTGATATCTGTATCATTTAAGGAAGCATCTTGCCAATTGGTTTCATTCAATCCTTTAATATGTTCTGACACAATAGTATGAATAGATGAATGAATGTCATTAATATCTTCCATTACTTGAGTATTTTTCCAACTAAGTTTTTATAAAAAAACAAAAAAAAAGTAAGTATATTTTTTAAAAAATAGACTATTGCAAGTCAAACTTACGAAGAAAATTCATGTTCATCTTGGTAATCAACATCAAAGGTGACATTACCAATAGATTCTGTAGTAGCAGTTGTAGCAGTTGTAGTAGTAGTAGAGTCGGAAGTCTTGGTAGTCTTTTTAGCCCAAGGATTAAACCTTCCAAACATACCATTATTTTCAGAAAGTGTTAATGAACTCGTATGAAATGGTCGATATGTTTGTTGAGAAAGAAGACGGAAACCAATGAAGGATCGGGAATACATGTCAAAAAGTGTGTGTGTGCTGTGAAAGATAAAAAAAGAAAAAAAAAAAGTTAAAAAAGTAGGGACATGGTATACAAAAAAAAAAAAAAAAAAATAGAAAGCGGTTTCAATATCCGCTGCTCACCATCCATATTTTCAAGCCACCTAGCAAAAAATTATGCTTGAAACCAGTCCTCCCCCTCTTTTTTTAAAAAAATCAATGCAAAAATAAAAGAGTCCCTCACTTTTCTCTATAATGACAGAATCTACGGAAACACCTATTCGAACTTTGGCTTTTTTATATGCTCATACTTCTAACTATAAATGTATTCATTGTCATAAATCCATCCTTCGAAAAACCTTATCCATAGCCACTCTTGAACGCAAAGACAAAAAACAAAAGAAAAAGACATTGGAACCTATAAACCCAATCCACTTTAAATGTTGGACAGGTAAAGTAAAAACTAAAGTTATATATATATATTTCAAGATCTAACTTTATACATATATTGATAGTCCCTGAAGACTTTACCAAAAAACCACTCCATGTTTACCGAGGTTATCAAGCTTTAAAAGATACAGTAATAAAATAAGAATTAAAAAAAATCTCTTCTGAACTTTCAACTTATTATATATATATATATGATATAGGATAAAACACGAATGCAAAGATTATATGAAGCAGGAAAAGGGGCATCATGGTCAGCCTTAGAGGCCGCTGATGAAGAAGCAAGACAAGCAGAACAAGATGAAGCTGATATCGCCGCATTTGATCAAGACAAATCTCGAAAACAAAAAAAACGAAAACATAATGATGAAGATAATAAGGACATGACCAATGCTTTGACCGGTAATCAATCATCAACCAATAAAAAGATCAAGAAAAAGAAGGAAACATTACAAAAGAAAAAGAAGGAAACATCACAAAAGGAAGTACCAACAAACCCTGTAGCAAAATTGGATGAAATACATGGAAAGAGGTTCGTTGATGATTTTAATAAGATCTTGGAAGATTTCAAACAATAGAATAGTCAAATATATATAGTAGTTTTTATTTAGTATGGGTCAATATAGTTAAATATATGTATACGAAATAATAAAAGAAATGATTCTATTTTTGATTCTATGTACAAAGGGGGGGGATAAGATGAAATATATCAAAAAAAAAATGTATGGATGGTATTCTAATTTATTTCTTTTTGGTACGAACGGTTTCCCAACCATCTTCATCAGGTCCAGAAGGAGGTTCTTCAGTCGTATTATCTAATTCCATATCATCTTGATCCATAGTATCATCATCTTGAATATCATCGTCTTGTTCATCATCATCGTCGTCGTCGTCACCTTGTTGGACACAGCTTGATGTTGTTGCTGATGATTGTGTCTGACTTTTTTGTCGAAGACGTTCCACTTCTGCAAAGTTACCATTGATACATTGATGGAAGAGTTCTACCAAATGTTTTGCTACCTAAAAAAAATATATACATAAGTCAATCTATATATGTTGTATATATATATGATACATACCAAATAAGCCGAGTCATCTTCAAGAAGAGTATGAAATTCATCACTCATGATCTGGTTCAATATATCTTCAATTTCATCAACATCCACTTTTTTACCATCTAATCAATAAATAAAATAATATTGAGTTTTTTTTTTTTTTTTATATTGTTTCCTTACTTTTGCCAAAATAATCAGTAATAAGGTCAATCATCCAATCACGCTTTTCAGCAGAATCCACACCTCCCCAGTCTTGTTCTACAGCCAGTTTCAAGGCAGTCCAGTTCTTGAAAATATAAGTAACACCTTGTTGAAAAGCTACCTTGTTAGGATGTTCAGCCATAACTTTGATAATAAGTAAAAAAGTAAAAAAAAAAAAAAAAAAAAAAAAGAAAAGTGGCTGAAATACAACAAAAAAAAAAAGAAGAGTAGGATGGAGTTTGAAATGATCACTGACTAGAAACGCGCGCAGTTTGTTCTTTTTTTTTTTTTTCTCTTCTCGCGTTTCTTTTCCTTTTTTTTTTTTCTCTACTGTACATACCTTTTATAAAAAGAAAAGAAACTTCTTTCAATATATACATAATGGAAAAACCTACTCCTCGTATCAATTCTCAATTACGTGAAAAATATGTTGGTTCTACAGTTCGAATTGCCGGTAAAGTTGTATCTGTAAGTACTTAAAAAAAAAAGAAAAGACAGAACCCTCTTTAAACTTCTTTTTTGTCTCTAGTTTTCTGGTGATACTGCAGTGATGAATGCTACAGATGGTGGTCAAGTACTTGTCAAACTAACAAAAGTAAACCACTATAAATAATAATAATAATAATGAAATATTAACTTGTGTTTCTTTTTTTTTTGATGAATAGGAAAGTCAATGGGGAACACAATATGTTGAAGTGATTGGACGTATTGAAAAGGACTTTAGTGTAATGGAATTCAAGTCTTGTAATCTTGGTGATAACTTTGGTAAGAGAAAATAAAAATAATAATTTATATTAACTTTTTTTTTTTTGTTATAGATTTAGGATTAGCAAACAAGGTTGTAGAATACGGTCAAAAATTCCCAGAAATCTTTGAATAAAGAAATCAATCTTTTGTATCTTATCAATGGATTTACAAATGAAAAAGGGAGGAGATAGTGTAGTTACCAAATCGGGTAGTGTGGAAGGACATTATATGTATGATGAAAAAAAGGTTTAGCTTGATTAACCCCTCATTTTTGGTTTCCCATTTTATTTTTACTATTAGTGCCTTTTTTTTTATTATTATTATATAAATATATATTTATTTATTTACTAATTTTCTCTTTGTTTTTTTTTTCTTTTTTTTCTTTTCTTCTCTTTTGACTCAATTCTTTTTTTTTATACAATAATATAGACATGACAACTATCCACAATAATATTAGGTAAATAAAATAAAACAATGAATTTCATGATACTAACCAATAAAATTGCAATTTTTCATTTTAGTCAACCTACAATCATTCTTTCACCACCTCCACCATCATCTAATTATCGATCCAACATTACTGTACAAAAAGGAACGTCATCATCCAATAAGGCTGAACAAAAACAAAAATCATCCCTGTCTCATAAACTCAGTCATCTATCACTACGACAATATGGATCAAAACCACCTTCACCCTCAGAATCTCCTACGGCTCTTGGAATAGCAGCACTTACATCTTCATTTGCGGCCACTTTTGCCATGGGAACCCATGATGACCACCCGACCTCATCATCTTTACTTAATTCACCCATCTCACCAACAATATCCTCATCATCATCATCATCATTGACATTATCATCCTCATCCTCATTATCATTGACACAACAACAACAATTACATCCCGATTCTGCATACATTTATTCAAATCAACCATCTCCTTATCATTCGGATAATGGATCAACGCCATCTTCTCCTGTAGAATCTCCTTTATTGACGGAAATGAAACGGATCTTGACGAATTATTCTTTTGTTCGACGTTCTTCATCATCACGTTCATCTTCTTCTTCTTTACATCATCATCATAAAGCGGAACCTCTTCAACTTCAAGATCGATATCAAGATTATCGTAAAGGGAAAGTTATTGGACAAGGAGCCACAGCCATGATTCAATTGATGGAAATCCCACATTGTCCAGCATGGATTCCTTTGGAAAAAACTCAACAGTCAAATAAGAAAACCGTGGTGGCTATCAAACAATTCCGAAAACGAGACCGAGATGAAACCGAAAAGGATTATCAAAAACGCATGACAAGTGAATTTTGTATCAGTAAAGCCATTCGCCATCCTCATATTGTGGAAATGTTTGATTTAGTTAAAGATCATAAGAATCGTTGGTGTACTATTATGGAATATGTAAGGACACTATAGAAAGGAGAATTAAAAAAAAAAAGGAGAACAATAGATAGATATTAATATTGATTTTTTTTTTATTTTTATTGTATAGTGTTCGGGAGGGGATGTATTTACTATTCTTTCTTATTTTGATCTTGAAGATAATGAAATTGATTGTTTATTCAAACAACTTTTATTGGGTTTGGATCATATGCATCAATGTGGTGTAGCTCATAGGTAAATCCTCAAAAAAAAAAAAAAAAAAAAAAAAAAAAAAAAAAACGATATTCATCTATATAATAATAATGATTAGGGACATCAAACCGGAAAATTTGGTAATGACAGCCGAAGGAGTATTGAAGATCACTGATTTTGGTGTGGCGGATGTGATTCAATCATGTTTCGACAAGACAGCTAGAACAAGTCAAGGTAAATGTGGATCGGAACCTTACTGGCCACCGGAATTATTCTCGAGTCCATCTGACTATAATGGTAAGGCACTGGATGTGTGGAGCGTGGCGGTGACCTGGCATTGCATGACATACCGACAAATCCCGTTTTTACAAGCTAACCGGACGGACCCGAAATACTGTGATTATGTGGATGGTCAACGACAACAACGTTCTTGGTTACCTCTCTCGAATTGTACAAAAGATGAAAAGGATTGTTTGTATGGTCTGTTTGATCCTGATCCCCAACAACGTTGGACTATCCGTCAATGTCTCGAATCCCCTTGGTTACAAGCCATCCAAATTTGTCATCATCATGGACCTTCCTACCATCGACATCATTTGAAAGATGACAAGGATCATAAACTGGCAAAGAAGAAGAAACAATAAATTTTTTTTTTTTTTTTTTTAGTATAGTTTTGATTGATGATGAATAAAAAGTTCCCATTTGTTGAATGAACCATTACTTGTTTTAGAAGACAACAGAAAAAAAGGAGAGAGAAAGAGAGAGAGAGGCTGGTTTCCTTTTATGGCCACTGATAATGCTGTATCACCATTCTATTTAGATGAATGGGTTTTCTTTTGTTTGTTATAAAAATAATAATAATAATAATAATAAATGTATATCGATAGTAAAGGAACCATCAAAAAAAAAAAAAAAGATCATCTTCACTCCAATCGCACCCAAACCATCAATGCAAATAGATGAATAACATGTGATTATCAAAAAGTACAAACTACCAATCTTTTTTATTTGAAACAAAAAAATATACATATATTTATTCATGACATACACATTCCCCCCGTCAATAAAGCCATGGTAATCAACCAGGTCAAATGAATAACTAATAACAATAAACTATGAGATATCTTTTCACTATATATAAAAAAAAAGAAATCAATATCAAAACATATCATCTTTTATTTCTTCAAATTCCTTTACCTCCAAAAATCAAAGGTCGCCAAAAGAATCACAGGATATAAAAGAATGGGTCTTGTTGAATAAGGTTGACAAGGATATGTACATGTAGCAATCTTCAATAGATTATAGAATAGATATGTTTTAAAAAAAAATAAATAAATAAATATTTATCAGTCAACAAATTTAAATAAAAAAAAAATTACCTTGAAGACGGCTGTTGTCGTTTTCAACATACGAAGATAAAATTGTTCATTGTTGACCAATCGAGTATGGAGAGGAGAATCCAATAATAAAAGTGAATCATCATTATTTCGTTTCTGTCTTTTCCGTAAACTCGATGATTGATTGCCTGTTGTTTGTCCACTCGTTCTTCTTTTATTGGTATCGTCCATCCTATCTTCATCTTCCAATACATGTGTTTCCATTCTTTGTTCTAATTCTCTGACAGATGTTAGATCTGATGTTGGTACATAATCAAGTGACGATTGATAAGAAGCATGTTGTTTTGGTGATGTTGGATGTAAATGCCATGGAGAAGATGCACGTCGATCAAGAACAAGTGTGTTGATAGGAACCATATCTGATAAAGAAGAGAAAGCGGCGGTAGATGTATCATATCCAGGTGTTGGAGATCCTGATAAAGTAGATGGAGTGGCAGATGATGAGGACGTAGCCGAGGATGACGATGATGATGATGATGATGCGGATGATGATGCCGAAGGTTCACCAGGAGTCCAATCGTTTGAAGAGATATCTTGTTGTGGTTTTTGATGATCAAATTTCACTAGATCCAACTTGGATAAGATTTCTTGACAGGAAGGCCGTTTAGCTGGATCAGTAGAGAGAAGTAAACGGATCAGGATCTTGAATTCTTGTGGTATATCAGTAGCATGTTGACGTTTCATTGTTTCCATCATAGCCGCAGTGGATGAATCAACAGTACCTTGAAAAATATCCAATCTTGATTTAGGAAACTTAATTCTATCCAAAAAAAAAAAAAAAAAAAATTAGAATTATCTGAGAATGGGGTATATTTAAAATAAATATTACTCTTTAAATAAAAGTATTTCTTCACGTAAAAGATCAACATCATCTACATTGGAGTAAGGAAGCTTTGAATAACATAAATAATACAAGACCATGCCAAGAGACCACATATCAGCTTTTGGAGAATAATCCACCAGATTTTTGCCACGGGGATCAAGACGAACATGTTCAGGAGCCATAAATTCCATAGTACCTGTCGCTCCAGTTCGATCACTATCAGGAACACTTTCTAAATCTTCACATTCACCAAAATCAGAGATCAAGACACGAGGACTAATGAAAAAAAAAAAAAAATCAGAAGGAATAATATTTAAGTTGTTGAGTATCATATATAAAAACTTACATTTTGAATACTTCAGATCCTCTACGGCGTTCATCCCATTTTAGCAGTAAATTAGGTGGTTTGAGATCACGATGTACAATATTTTGCTGATGTAAATGAGCTAATCCTTGCACAATATCCAAAAAAAGCGAAGAGATCTCATTCATACTAAGTAACCGTTTTTGAGTCTGGATGGGTTGTTTATGTTGTGTTTCCGCTTCATATTGATCTTGTTGTCGCAATTGTCTTTTGATCCTTTCCCGTTTCAATTCCTTTGGTGTTTTCTTTTTATCTGTTGTCGGATGATCTTGAGGTGATATTTCAGGTTCAAGGTATTCTTCAAGATTCCCACCATTGGCACATTCCTATAATAACCAAATTGAATCAGTAAATGCAAAAATCATTATGTGTGCATTTTTTACCATAAGAATAAACAAGCAGGGCACTTTGGGACCTATAGTATCAATATAGAAAAAAAAAAAAAGGTGTCAACAAGACATTCCTTTCATCTTTTTTTTTTTGGAGCTTACCAAAGGGGGTCAAACGATCATATTCTAACCAAGAATGTTTGTAACTAACAATATTTGGATGATGTAATCGTTCAAGTAAATGTACTTCTCGTAACATCTTGACAAGCCATGTATGATTATTGCCTATAGCTACTTTCTTGACAGCATATTTCCCAAGTTTGACTCCATCCAATATATGTTCACATAAATAGACACTGCCACGGAAACCACGACCAAGTTTTCGTAGTTCAAGAAAGAATTTAGAATAGTATCCCTGATTAATAGCATTGGCATTCAAATGAAGAGTCGATGATGACGATGATGATGTTTCAACAAATAGTTCATCCATAGGCTGTTGTGATCCACTAGTTGTTCGAGGTGTGTTGTCATTTGAGGTGATAGGTGAACTATAACAATAATAAATGTTATCATTAGTTGGCTGTGATTGATATATGGTGGGAAGATGAATACTTACTCTGTAGGTGTTGAACTTAATAATCGAAAGTAGTTACGATCCATGTATGTTGGCTGCGTACTCTAAAGAAAAATATGAAAGACATCAGTGAACGTTCCTATTGTGAAGACAAAGAGAACATACCGGTATAGGAATATTCTTTGGATAAGGTCTATGACAAAGAGGGCATTCAACCGAATTCTAATATATACATTAATTGATAATAAAAAAAAAAAAAAAAAACGTTTTGGTTAGCAAATATATGTTGTTGTTTTTTTCAATATTGGTCTATAACATACCTCATCAGGGTGATGAATCTGAGGCGCTGATGGTAAAGTATCTTGGTTTTGTACTGGTATATAACGTTGTACTGAGATTTGTTGACTTTCTTGATTGTATAAAACAGTATTGCCACTAGTTTCATTGCGACTATAATAATAATAACAACAATAATAATAAAGAGGTTGAGTCAACATATACATGTTCAAATGACTACAACTTACAGAATGACAGTCCATTCTCTGTATGGCACCAATTCAAAATGTTGTTTTGTTGCTAAATTGCTACCATTATCACCTTCTAGTAAAGTACGAGATGAACGAAATTGACCGACCAGTGGAGTGCTGTCATTGATATCAAGAAGAAAGTTGCCTGCAGACCGAGATCGCTGTCGTAAGGGTATGTGTTGATTGTTATGTTGAAATGACGAAGATGATGATGAAGAGGATTGTGATGGTGAAATAACAATATGTTTTGGACTTGAAGGAGAAGGTTGATAATCACTGGGTAAATAAGGTAAAGGTAATGGGATTCTTGGCAAACTAGAAGGAGAGTTGTGTTCTGAAAGACGGAATGATATCATTTGTGTTGTATCTTCTGGATTGCTTGCACGACGATAAATAAACCGGTTCTGGACTTCCATTGGAAGTGATGAATCTTCTTCTTCATCAGCCATGATAAAATAATTAATGAAAATTGATGAAAAAAAAAAATGAAAAAAAGAGAAAAAAAATCAACAGAGTTAAGCGTGAGAGGAAGAATAGAAAAAAAAGAAAATAAGAACCCAGGCTTCAAATTCGCATAAACCAATGAAATCATCCTCTTGTATTTTATACCCCGCTGATTTTTTTTTTTCTTTTCTTTTGCTAATCACATGCATTGGCAAACCCCACACTCACTTTTTTTTTCATTTCTTCCCCTTTCTTTTTTTTTTTCTTTTTGGACCATGACAACAATACTTTCACCAAAGGATCCTTTATCAATTACTTGCGACAAACTGAGGTATTTAGGGAATGGTCAAGTCACTTTTAACCGGTACTTTACTACTGGTGTGGGATTGATTGAAATCAACCAACCTGAACGACATAACTCATTATCAGGGAAAATGATGGTAGAATTCAGAGATATTATTCTAGATTTGGAACAAAGACAACAAGACGATGATTTAGTCGCTCTTATTGTTACTGGTAGTCGTGGGAAATCTTTTTGTGCTGGTATAGGTAAATATATATATATCTATATAGAATGAAGACCCAAAAGTGAAATAACCATTTCCTTCTTTTTTTTTTTTTTTTTTTTTTGTTATGATTCTATAGATTTAGTATTTGTTCGTGAATATATGCATGGATCTATGGATAATACAGAAACGGTGAATCGATTAATGCATGATACTCTGACACGTCTATCTCGTCTTCCATTGATTACGGTGGCATCCATATCAGGAGCAGCATTCGGTGGTGGCACGGAACTTATCACAGCATTTGATTATATTTGTATGGATTCTTCTACAATTCTTCGATTTGTACAAACAAGGATGGGTGTATCATCTCCTTGGGGAGGTGCTCGACGATTGGTGGCTCGAATTGGACGAAAATATGCTCTCAAAGTGTTGGCAGGTGCTCCTACAATAGATGCTGCTTATGGTTTGGAAATTGGTTTAGTGGACAAAGTGGTCAATGCAAAAAAGAAGGATGAAGCTTATAATACCTGTTTGGATGGTTGTCTTGAATTGATTGAACCATTCATATATGATCAGAAAACCAAAGAACGTGTCTCCCCTGCTGCCGTACGTGGAATGAAAATGTTGGTATCTAGATCAGATGATGTACATAATGATATAGATTATGAAATGTTATTATTTAACAGTGTAGTTGGATCTTCTAAATTATGAAATAAAAAACTCTCTTTTTTTTATGTACCGTATTTAAATATCCTTTTTTTTTTTTTTTGTGAATGGATATGATGGTATCATCAAATATCATAGAATCATTACATAATCAAACTCATAGGAATCATTTATTGACTTTTATATTATTATACGATGAATCATAGTGGTTGGTGAAAAAAGTAGCCAATGCAGAATTCATGTTTTTCAAACCACGCTTGGAATGTTATCACTCGAGTTTGTCTTTTTTTTTTTTTTTTTCTTCGCTTCTTTTTTATTATTTTTATTTTTTTATTTTTATTTTTTTTTCTTATATATATATACTTACATCTATATATATTTACTTTAAATGTTGAATATACTGAAAAAGACATGGATGCCGACTTTGGGTATACGATGGACAACGCGTCGAATGATCACGGCTACACCGATTCGATTACAACAACCAGTAGAAGAAGAACATGAACAACCTGTTATTACATTTATTGGTGGAGGCAATATGGCAGAAGCAATGTTAGGTGGATTAGATGCAAGTGGTTACTGCAAATTACGATATATTGAACCATTGAAGAGACGACTAGAGTACATGCAAGATAAATATCCCAACATTTTAGGATTAACCGATGAAAAGGATCAACAAACGGAAGCTTTACACGATGCCGATGTGGTTGTGCTAGCAGTCAAACCTCCTCAAGTACGTCAAGTGATGCCTATGGTGACTAGTTGCTCGTTGTCATTGCCATTGATTGTCTCTATTGTGGGTGGAGTGACGACACACCAAATCATTTCATGGATGAATATACAACAAGGATCAACAACAATACCTCCAGTGGTTCGATGTATGCCAAATACACCAGCATTACTTGGAGAAGGAGCTCTTGGATTATATGCAAATACGTCGGTGACTTTGCAACAGCGTGATCTTACTGAACGCATCATGCGGGCAGTGGCAAAGGAAATTTTATGGGTAGAAAAAGAATCAATGATGAATGCTGTCACGGGAATCAGTGGAAGTGGACCTGCTTACTTTTTTTTATTGATGGAATCCATGCGTAAGTTTATTTATTTATTTTTGAAAGATCAAAACGGAATATAGTTTATTGTTATGATTGATTCATTTTTTCTTTTCTTTCCTTTTTTTTTTTTTTTTTTTTTTTTTTTTTTACTGATATGGGATTTATAACATAGAAAATGCTGGAGTGGCGGCTGGATTAACTGTAGAAGAAGCCACTAGATTAACGATACAAACTTGTTTAGGGGCGGCTCGAATGGCACAACTTGGGCATGATGACTTGGCAACCTTACGGAGAAAAGTGACCTCACCCAATGGAACCACTGAAGCTGCTATTCAATCTTTGGAAGCAAATCAAATAAGACAAGTAATGAAAGATGCTGTTTTTGCTGCTACCAGTCGTGCTGAACAATTATCCAATGAATTAGATTAGATGTTTTTTTTTTTCTTGTTTTTTTTTTTTTTTTTTTTTTACTGAAGATCGGCGGACGGACTATGAAATAAATAAAAAAACACTTTATGGAGGGTGGGAAAACGAAAACGTGTATTCTCTTTTTTTTTTCTATCTATATATATGTGTATATAGTTTTTTTTTTCTTTTTTAAGTACGTGTATTACGACAAGAAAAATATGGATGATGCACTTTTAGCACGACTACAAAAGAATACTTTGGAAGATGATGATGATAAGTATAAAAGATCCGGTGAAAATGATAGTGATATATCAGAAGATGAAGAAACCAAATCCTCTTTTCAAGATGTAAGTAAAAATAAAAAAAAAAAGTCAATTGTATCTAACTATTTAGCTGTTTTTTCTTTTTTTATTTATTTATTTATTTATTTGTTGGACCATGGCTAGGAAGATTTTACAACAACGATGGCTATGCGACAAGGAGGACGACACACTGGACCTAAAGGAGTGATTGATGATCAAAAATATCAACAACAGCTGGATACAGCCAAGAAGCAACAACAAATAGCCGATTATAATGCTAAACTATTAGCCAAGGCACCCATGACGACAACATACATTCAAGATCAACAGCAGATGGAATTGATATTGGAACCACCCAAACGACAAGAAGAAAAAGAAGAAGTTTTTGAAGAAGATGAACAAGTAATTCAACAATATCGGAAAAAACGATTAGAAGAATTGAAAAAGTTGAAGAATCACGATATACGACAATCACATCGAATATTTGGCTATGTACAAGATGTGGATGTGGATGATTATGCCGAAGCCATTGACAAGGAATGGCGCACTGTCCCGGTGATTGTACATTTGTATGACGATAGTTTAGAAAATTGTCGTCATTTGGACTTTATTTTACAAGGATTAGCTCGAAAATATTGTTTGGCCAAAATGATCCGAGTGTCTGCATTGGATTTGGAATTCGATTTGGTGGGATCACCTGCTATTCTGGGATACAAAAGTGGGATGTTGGTTGCTAACCTGGTCAGATTGGATGATGAAGTGGGTTCTAGATATACTGCAGAAACCGTAGAAGATGTCTTGGTTAGGTAACTCATTAAAAACAGTGATATCATGGGACAGCAGTGTGTGTGTGTATACATAATTTTTATATTGTATGACATGATTATCAGGGGAAAAAAAGAAATGACTCACATGCATGATTCTCACTTTTTTTTTATTTTTATTTTTTATTTTTATTTTTATTTTATTTTTTTTTATTAGACATGAAGCTCTATCAGAAGATGATCTATACATTATACCAGAAAAAGATGATAATGATGATGACGATTTTGATTGAAATAAAAAAAGAACCTTATACTATATCACCTTTTTTTTTTTTTTTTTGTGTGTGTGTGTCTATTTTAGTATTTTTATTTGGGGGAACAGAAAAAAAAAAAAAAAAGTAATAGAGAATTGACTCTTATTTCTACATTTGTCTTGATCATAAAAGGTTACTTTGACTTACTCGATATAGTTAAAGGGTTCCGTGCAAGAGTTCCCTGGAAGAAAACAGCGTCATAGCATGAACTCAAAATAATCCCTCTCTCTCTTTTATGCCTCTTTTTTAGTGCGGAGTGTTCACTGATTCTTTTCTTCTCACCCCACCCCTGATTTAGAATACTTATTGATAAGATATCAGCCAATCAATTATCACTGATCTTTTTGATTGCTTGTGACAATCTTTTTAAAGGCCGAGGGTGTATAAATTTGGGAACTTGGACCTCTTTTTTTTTTTTTTTTTATCTTTTTTTCTTATAAAATATCAATTCTATAAACAATGACTACAATGACAACCTCCATCAAGGTAGAAAGACTTCAAGCCATTTCTTCTCATCTTTCAACACAACCTACTATTTCCTTCATTGGTGGTGGTAACATGGCCGAAGCCATTCTTGGTGGGTTACATGCCAGTGGACATGTTGGGTCTAAACTCAAGTACTCTGAACCTTTTGCCGAACGACTTTCATATATGCAAACCAAGTATCCTGAATTGAACGGTTCTGCTGATAATTTTCAAGCCATTGAGGGAGCCGATGTGGTGATCTTGGCTGTCAAACCTCAAGTACTTCGTCAAGTTCTTTCTAGTTGTGCCACTGCCTTGTTGAAGAATCCAAATACATTGATTATTTCTATTGCTGCTGGTATCACTACTCAAGATATTTATAAATGGATGAACACTGATCAACCCGCTAGCATTGTACGTTGTATGCCTAATACTCCCTCCTTACTAGGTGAAGGTGCCATTGGTCTTTATGCTACTGAATCTGTTAGTCAACAACAAAGAATGGCTTCTGAAAATATCATGCGTGCTGTGGCAAAGGAAGTTTTATGGGTAGATAATGAAGCTTTGATTGATTCTGTCACTGGCATTAGTGGTAGTGGACCTGCTTATTTCTTTTTAATCATGGAAGCCATGCGTAAGTTCTTTTTTTTTTTTTTTTTTTTAGTATTTGACTAATTTTTTTTTTTTTGATATAGAAAATGCTGGGATTGCTGCTGGTTTAACACCTGAAGATGCTAAAGCATTAACACTTCAAACATGTTTAGGAGCTACTCGAATGGCACAAACCTCAGAAGATGATTTGGCTACTTTAAGAAGAAAGGTGACTTCTCCTAAAGGTACAACTGAAGCTGCAATCAACTCTATGGAAGCCAATAATATTCGACAAATCATGAAAGATGCTGTATTTGCTGCTGCTGATCGAGGACGTGAACTATCAAAAGAACTAGGTCAAAATTAGTTTACTATTTTTATTTTATTTTTAGTTGTATAGTTTAACCTTTTTATATGTACATATCATTATATTCAACTTTATGGAACAAAATAAACAAAACAAATCAATACCATCTAGTAAGATTGCATGAACAAAAAAGGAGTGTGGGGTCAAAGAGTTGAATTGAATGACAGTGACCAATATGATTGTTGGATCAAACAAAGCTTACAAATGTAACGTAGAACCGACACTAAAATGAATGACTCCGCTCAAGCACATCATTTTTCTTTTTTTTTTTTTTAATTTGTCCTTTTTTTTTTCTTCTTCCCAACCTTTTCTTTTCTTCATCATTTATTATGGCCACTACAGTAGATCCTGTTACTCTTCCTCCTCTTAAAGAAGAAAAACAAGTCTCTGCTGTAGCTGACTTTGTTTCTGGAAAGTAAGTCCCTACTTTCATTTATTTGTCTCCTGAAAGTTTCATTGGTATTAACTCCAATGGATCTTTGTTTTTGAATATTATTAGTTTTGGTGGTATGGCCAATGTACTTGTAGGTCAACCTTTGGATACAATCAAGGTACGATTACAATTAGATCATGGAAGGTTCAATGGAGCTTGGGACTGTGCAGTACAAACCGTCAAAAATGAAGGTGTTTTGGCTTTATATAAAGGTAATATATATATTCAATTGGATAGGTCAGAAGACAAAAAAAAAAATAAAGGATCCTTCTTCTAAAACCTCTTCTTTTTTTTCATGATAGGCATGGCAAGTCCACTGGTTGGTATTGGTGCTGTGAATGCTTTATTATTTGCTGCTAATTCTCAATTCAGACAATTATTACAAGATCATCCTGGACAAGTCTTATCTATTGGTCAAATTGGTCTTGCTGGTGCTGGTGCTGGTAAAAAAAAAAAAAAAAAAAAAAAAAAAAAAAAAGGATTCATTGATTCAAAAATCAATTTTCATAGGGATTGTGAATAGTATTTTAGCTTCACCTGTTGAATTACTTAAAATTAAAATGCAAGCTCAATATGGTAAACCTATGGGACAAGAACGATATTTCACTGGTCCTGTGGATTGTGCAAAATATTTGATTCAAAGAGATGGATGGGCTAATGGATTAGGTAGAGGCATGTATGCCACCATTTTACGTGAAATCCCAGCTTATTTTGGTTTCTATACCGGATTTGAATTGGTCAAACGACAACTTATTAAGAATCAAGAGCATGATGCTACCGTGACTCAACTCATGATATCAGGTGCTGCAGGTGGTATTGGTTATTGGATCTTTAGTTATCCTTTTGATGTAGTGAAATCAGTGGTAAAATGAAGAAAACTTTTCTTTTTTTTTTTTCTTTGGAAAAGACTAATCATTCTTTTTTTGTATAGGTACAAAATCAAACAGAAGCTCCTAAAGGATTATACGTTACCAAGGTGATGAAACAAATCTATGCAAGAGATGGAATCAATGGACTTTTTAGAGGCATGGCCCCAACTATTCTTCGAAGGTAAAAAAAAAAAAAAAAAAAAATGATATCATTCCTAATGATATTACATCATTCTCATTGGTCATCGGTCTTTTTTTTCTTTCTTTCTATAAAGTATTCCTGCTGCTGGTGCCACCTTTACTGCTTATGAACTATCCATGAGAATGTTTAATCATCTATAGATAAAAAAAAAAAGTTAGGTATTATTATTATTATTATTATTTTGAATGATCCATAGTTTAGACTTGATATGTATATTATTCCCCCACATACACCAAAAAAAAAAAAAAACAATAAAAGGAAATAAAAACTTAGAGGTGTTTTAAAACAAGAAGTGTATTCTCTCACACATACCCCTTATTTTTCCATGATGCTTATGAAAAGGCGCTTGAAAATAATGACATCCAACTTGACATTCAATTCATGCAAGATGTAGAACTGTGTAATAAGACAAATAAAAATCATGTCCGATGATTCAACAAAACAATAACAAAATAAAACACATGAGAAAACATGACTTTTTTTATTATTATTGGAGGAAGTAAATAAACAGAGAAGAAGAAAAAAAAAATCTATTAGAGAAAACAATATACAAAACAAAAGAATGTACCGTAAAAAAAAAAAAAAAAAAAAAAAGAGATGTAGAGATACAATGGAGTTAATAAAAATGGATAAAATAGATGATAAGGAATGGTTATGTACTAAATTATTGTTGTTGTTGTTGTTGTTGACCGGATTCTTGACCAGTAGGTTCTTGATGTAAAGCGGCAGTACACAATTGAGATAAACGAGCATATTTGTTTCCATCTTCTTCTTCAGTAGATCCAGGAGGTGATGATGAAGTACCAGAGGAAGTAGACGCACTGGGCACAGGAGTCATGTTTTCAGATTTTAATTCAGGACTATGTTTCACTGGGGCAGATGATTGAGGAGTATGAACAGTAGGTTGTTGTTGTTGTTGTTGTTGATAATACAATTGAGGACTAGCTTGATCTGCCTTGACAGGTTGAGGAGAAGGTTGTTGTTGTTGAGATTGTTGAGGTTGTTGTTGTTGTTGAGGTTGTTGTACCATACTACCATAATGTTGAGGTAAAGAAGGATGTGGATAACCATGTTGAGGATGACTAGGAGAACCATCACCTTGACCTTGCATAAGAACTGGATAAGCCATTTGTGGATACATAGGATTAACAACACCATATGGAGGAGCTACCATTTGTTCCTTATAGTAATGTCCATAAGCTTCATAAGTTGGTTGACCATATTGATTGAGATTACCAGGGAAACCATAAGGTATAGGAGGAGCACGTACAGCATTGGCATATTGACCAGTTTGATCTTCAGGCATAGAAGTAGTTTTACGCTGAGTAGGTTTATCACCTTCTATATAATCATGAATGATTAGTTCTCTTTTCTTTTTTTTTTTTATTTGATTTTGTTTTATTTACCAGTCTTTTGTCTTCGCTTGTAAGGACCACGTTTAATACCCTTCTTTCTTTCTTTGCGTACAGAGTTGGCACAAGTATCAGCAATACCATATTTGATACAACGAGGACAAGGACGAGCATCATCACACTTTTTACATGCTTTTTGACAATTGGCTTTTTTTTTAAAAAAAAAAAAAAAAAAGATTGAGCGGAAAAGAAAAGAAAAAAAAAAGTTTTTCGTTTTGAATACTTACTACAGGCATTCTTGACTTGTTTACGTTTGGAAGGTTGAGCAGTAGGATCATGATGTTGCATAGGAGGTAAACCATTAGGATGAGGCATCATAGGAGGACCATTAGTCATCACTGGATGAGGACCAGAAGTAGGATATTGAGGAGCTTGATAGCCTTGTTGATAATAGGGCATAGATTGCATATTTGAATGTAACTATAAATAAGTTTGTTAATAAAAGAACATATTAGTACCAAATTAGAAAAAAGAGAGTTCGGGTAAACCGGGAAAAAAAAAAGTGTGTATCATTTTCTTGATTTTGTGGAGAGAGGAAAAAAAAAAAAAAAAGAAAGACTGAACAATAATAAAAAGATGATTGAAGGTTGACAAGAATAAAAAGGTTGACAAGAAGAAGTGCGGCGACGGAAACTGACTTTTTTTTGAGTATGGAATATAAACAAAAAACAAAATAATAAAAAGAAGAGTGACAGGAGATAGAAAAAAAAAGAAAAAAAGAAAAAAGAAAAAGGAAAAGAAGAAAGAAGAAAAAAAAAAGAAGAGGAACTTGGGAAATAGAATAAAAATAAAAAAAGAGAGAGAGAGAAAAAAAAATGATTTCTTTTGTTTACCTTTTTATTATTTGAGTGCTTATAATCGAAAATAAGATAAAAGAAAAAAAAAAGAAAAAGAAGAGGAAAAGAAATAGGCGCGCAATATAAACAATATTGTGTTATAACTTGAGTGGCGGATTCTGAAATAGAAACAAAAAAAAATTTTTTTCTTCCTTACTCTCTTGTCAAAGACCAATGAAAATGATGGATTCTAAATCTAATAGTACTATTCATTTTCATTTGTTCTTTTTTTTTGGGATGATTTTTTTTTAAAAAGAAAATATCAAATTATATATTTTTTTTTTAAAAAAAAAATAAAAAAATAAAATAATTTCTCCACATTTTTTTTTATATAGTGTATTCAAAGTTAGTTTGAAGCGCATACTTTATTTATTCTAACTGAGCTTTATATATAAAAGAGGGTTTATATTGAACTTTTTAGGTAGTGGTAACAAAATGATATGGAGACAAAAAAAATCAATGTAATCCGGTTCAATTTGATTGGTTCAATTTCATTTCCGATTTTATATTTCTTTTTTGATTGGTGCTGAGTAAAACTTATGTTCTGAATGGCTTTATCCTCATGCATGGTTTCCATGTTGGTCATGGGGGAAACACATCCAAGTAAAACTTAGAAGATGAACCCCGAAACAATCCACCATTCGAATAACATACTTTTTTATTCACTTATGCAAATATGAAGAAAAAAAAAAATGAGATCGCCGAACCAAATTTGGTAACATAGAGAAAGAGGGAGGGTTTAATGCCTTTTAAAAAAAAAAAAAAAAGGAGAACACGATTTTCGTTGTATACAATGTCAAAATGATAGAAATTCCGTCATATAATGTTATGACAACAGTCAAAAATATGCAAAAAAAAAAAAAAGCCTTAGCGCTGTACTTCATTCTTTTCGAGGTTTTCCCTTTCTCCTTTTTTTTTTTTTTCTTTTGTTTTTTTTTTTCTTTTGTTCCTTTTTTTTTCTTCTTTTATTTACAAACAAATATTATTATTATTTTATTCATTGTCAAGATTACATTATTTTATTTACATGGTCGTGTACAATGACTGAAACAAAAACAATTGTCAAATTACCTCCCAAAAACCGACAAAGTATTAGATCAACCAATACTTTTCTTGTATCAGAACAACTTTATATTCAAGTTCCCAATACTACGAAAGAAAACGATATTTTAGAAGTGTTAAAGTCTTGTCATCCTAAAAGGTTAGTAAATACTTTTCTTTTTTTATCACCAATAAACTGATTCTTCCTCTTATTATTATTATTATTAGTGTTGAACTATCTCCTTGTGCTTTCTCAGAACTATCCTCTGGTTATATTACTTTTACAAATAAACAAGACGGTAAAGCTTATATATATATATATGTACTTTGTTAATAACATAATTCAACTTTTTTTTTTTGTTCTCTTTATCTATTAGCTGATTATGCTTTGACTCTTTTTAACGGTGTCAAACTCAACAACGGATCTCAGCTTCAACTTTATATTAACGCTTTGACTCATGATCCTGATCCTGAACCTGCTGCCAATATTTTACAAATTCAAAATTTACCACAAAATACTACCAACAAGTCACTTTATGATCTTTTCCGTCCATTTGGTCCTATGTCTCTCTGTAAAATTATTGTTGAACAAGGTCATTTCAAAGGAACCGCATTAATTCAATATTTTCGTATCAATGATGCTGAACATGCCATCACTATTATGGTAAGTACCTAGGATAACAAAAAAAAAAAAAAAAAAAAAAAAAAAAAAGGAGGGGGGAGAAGAAGAAAGGGGGAACAGAGCAAGATGATTATCTCTCATGTGCTTATCATTATTTTTATTTTATCTATATTTTTTTCTTCTCTTTTATCTCTTAGAACAAAAGAATGATTCAGGAGAAAATCATGTAAAATAGATATACATATTCGTCATAAAAGGAGGGGGGTTTTGACCATCTTTTTTATTTCTATATGTAGAACAGTCTTTCCTTTTGTATCAAGCAAACGGCAACCTTCCAGTGTGGACCCTGAACAAAAACAACAACAAATGGATACATCGATCAATGTAAGTAAACAAAAAAAAAAAGCAATATATTCTTTGTATTTAATTTATTTATATATTATTAGGAACATCGTACTAATACTGTGGATTACACCAATCTTTACATCAAAAACTTGGATTTGAGTGCTAAAAGCTCTGATCTCTTCAAACAGTTTCGAAAATATGGTCATATCATATCTGCACGGGTGATGAAGAATACAAAAACAAATCAATCAAAGGGTTTCGGCTTTGTTAGTTTCCTCAGTACAGAAGAAGCTTATCATGCACTCCAAGAAATGAATGGTCGCTATATTCTATCCAAGGCTATTCTGGTGTCTTTTCATGAACCAAAGAAATCTCGAAATGGCAAATCATCCAACAATTCTACCACTGATACTAAGTCAACAACTACAAATGCATCTACATCACAATCAAATCCTTCCACAAGTACTCCAACTACTACTACTCCACAAATGCCATTTTCTTGTTCTCCATCACCGCCACAAACTACTTCATTTCAACGACAACACCAACAACAACAACAGTTATATTCTCGACGGCACCATTACCAATACCATCATCCATCACAGCATCAACCAAATTCAGATCAAACGTTGGCAGTGTCTAACAATAACAGCGACAACAACAACAACATAGCAAAACCATCATATGGCGCCAATATGTCTCTATCATCAAATTCAACTTTGGAATCTTCAAAAAATGATGAATATCATTCAGCTCACCATCATCACAACAATACAACTGTAAGTAATGATATCAGATAAGAATGAAATCACATAGCATCTAACAATTCCATGTCTTAGACACCTGTCAAGCATTCAACCCACCACTATACACAATCCTCACCCTCAATCACATCCCAAATGAATTCAAACAACAACATGTCGTTATCAATTCTCGCCTCTGGTGTTCCACCTCACGAATCACACTCCATTTGCAAAACAACAGTCCGACCCACTTTACGACGTCGAGGATCCATAGAATCGATATGCAGTGTGATGACGGATACAAGTGCTCATACTCAGCGACAACGCATGATCCAGGCCGTCCTCAAATGTGAAGAACCTTTCTCATCAGGCCAATTGGGAGATATTATAGATATGTTAATGACATTGAAGAAAAAGGAAAGATCTCTATGTCTATTCAATCCTGACTTTTGCAAATCCAAAATCAATCAAGCCAAAAACGCCTTGGAGACGTTCGATGAAGAAGAAGAAAAAGAAGTCGAGGTTACAACAAAGAAAATGCTGCTACAACAAGATTTGATATCGACACCATCATCGATAACGGGACAACCACAGAAACGACCAAATTTAATAACAACAACATCATCATCTTCATCTTCATCATCATCATCATCATCGTTACCTCCGATGGCCAATAGCGTTAAAAGACGATCGTCTCAGGAATCAGAATCTTATCAGGTCCAAGAAATGGATACTTTTCTTTCTTCTTTGGATGGATTAGCGACACATGAAAAGAAACAAAAACTCGGTGATCGACTGTTTCCTCTCGTCAAGGTATGAAGAAAAAATAAAAATAAAAAAAAGGAAATTTGATAATTCATTACTCTTTTTTTTTTTTTTTTTGATCAGGCGACAGGGATCAAGCACGCACCGAAGATTACAATTCGATTATTGGATACTATTCCTTTACATGAACTGGCTCATTCCATGTATCAAATCTCAAGTCTACAACATAAAATCGATCAAGTCATATCAACCCAATAATCCCCCCTTTTTGTAGTTATACCCTATATATCACTCCATTTTTTCCTTTTTATTTATTTCTTTATTTATTTTATCTTGTTGATAAATCAACCATACATCTGTTTACCTATCTATCTCTCTTTTCTATATATAATAAATAATCCAAAATCAAGGTTTTTTTTTTTATTTTATTGGACATTGTTAGATGTTTGAAGATATTGATTTATGTGCGGTATGGATCATTAATACGGATCGATATATAGGATTGGAAGGCAGAAGTTATGATTTTTTTTTTCATTTGCAAGATTCGATGTTGTCAAGATAAAAAGACAATAAATATATTACAAGATCATTAAGCATGATTGTAGGAGCGACTTTGACCATTCACATGATGAAGCACTGGGACTTGGAGAGAATGATGCCATCATTCAATAACCATCATCCCATTCAGTATCCTCCATTCCATTTTTTTTTTTTATTGCAAGATTGCAATTCAAAGTTGGATGACATTCTTGTGACAAAATTTGATGAATAACATCCTTTTTTTATCGAATACATCATAATAATACTAATAAAAAAAAAATTCCAAACTTTATTGAATGACGTACCAATATGGGAAAGAATATGCATATAGATGAGTAGGAAGAAGGGATCATGATGCTAAAGAAAGGATATACAATGATCTACATACGAATGGAAAATAATAAAAATAATAAAAAAATAAAAAAAAAAAATCAAGATCGAAATACACGCACCACTCTAACAATAGCATCACGACATATAGGACATTCGTTCTTGGTTTCCACTAACTACATATAAAAAAAAAAAAAAAGAAGGTCAAATAATCGTTTCATTTTCTATTCATGTTACCTTCAGTCCACAATCAATACAAGCAACCATATGTCCACAATTCAAAAACACACAATTTTGTTGAGCATCAAAACAGATGCGACATACAAGATTATCTTCTTCCTTGCCATCATCATATTGTTGTTGCCGATCTTGTAATTTCTTTTCGTCGTCCACTAATTGTTGTACGCGTAAAACAAGATCTTTCTTTTCCAGGGCAAAATTCTGTTCTACATGGCTATTTCGTAGAATTTGTTTAAGTGTACGGACAGACAGGTTGGCAGGATCCATCGATAAGTCCACTAATTGTTTCAATGTCACATCAGATGCTGATGATGATGATGTTGATGTGGTTGAGGATGGTGGCGGTGATGAGGATGATGGACGAGGCGGTTGTGAGGACGTTGATGATGGATACGTTCTATACTGGTGTTGGTTGGATGGGATATGATTATTAGGATATCTTGAACCAGTCGATGGCGCAGATGTCGATCTACTGTTAAAGGTATGAGATGAATGCGGTTGAGAATGCTGTTGTTGAGATGAAGCTGCGGACGATCTATAATGATGAGGTGCTGAGTATGATGAAGGATATTGCCGCTGTGAATGCTGATAAGATGATGATGATGAAGGCGGTCGTGACCTAGAAGTGTTTGGAGAATTGGTTGGACGATGGGTATGCTGTTGTTGATTGTGCTGACGCTGAGATGGAGCCTGTTGACGACGGTTTGAAGTAGAAGAAGATGAAGATGACTGAGAAGGATGGTTGTCATTGGGAGTAAAAAGATCACTGAATTTATTATACATGGTTGAAAGCGGATTGTCCTCAAAAAAGTCATCCATAACATCCTCATCCTGAGCTACCGAGTGACTTTGTACTTGTCGACGGTATTCTTGATCTCGCAGTTGTCGATAATGGATTTCGTTTCGGTTAGTAAGAGGCCTTGTGTTGAAAATGAGTTTAACCAAATCACCCTTTTCGAGAACATGTTGTGCTGGTAAACCGTAATCCTGAACGTACTGTTTCAACCGTTTGAGAGACTGAGACGCCAATATACTGGAATTCATTTCTTGCATCCTGATATGATCTTCACAAGTATTACAGCATCGTACAGCGCTAAAATATAATATAATATAATATATTGGTATAAAGAAAAATAACAAGGATTTGTCATCAGGTCACTTACTTGTCATAGGCAAACTTTGGAAGTGCACGACGATGTTTGGAACAATCATAGCAAACAACGTGACCTAGAAGAGAAAAAGAAGAGACAGAGAGGAAAAAAAAAAATTGATGAGCCATATATGTATATCAAATAAAGTGTACGATTCAAGTTGAATAAACTGCTTACCACAGTTTTTACAATTGTATTTTTGTCGAAAGAGGTGGAAAGGCTCTTGGCATTCAATACAATGCTTGGCTCGTTGCGATTTCAAAGGTGGTATAGTGTATTCCCCGCCGGGACCATAAAGACTTTCTGATGGATCCAGTTTGAATAAAATGGTAAAGGTAAAAAAAGAAAGAAAGAGAGAAAGAAAAGGAAAGGAAAAGGAAAGGAAAGGTGAAAAAAAAAAAAAGAAAGAACCAGAAGGACAATAAGAGAAAGAAGAATAAAAAAAGATGCGGTACTTGAAAATAAAAGATGATATTAAAAAAAGAGAGAGCTGGCCTGCGCTTTTATTTGAATTATATGAAGAGAAGATTCAGGAACAAAGGGTAAAAAGATGTATGTACAAATGATAATAAGAAGAAAAAAAGAAAAAAGAAAACACTACCATTCTAAAGATAAATTCATGGAAGGTTCTTGTTCCATATCAGCACCGGCTTGAAGAATACCACGGACAAATTCTTGTAAGACATGATCTTGATGAATGGAATAACGTATGATATCAAGACAATGACAAGGAGTAATCCGACCATACCATATAGATCGTAAACCTCCATGTGTATATAAAACTACATTGCCAGCAAAAACATGACCTATCATATTTATAAAAAAAAAATTATTCATAGAAAAATAGAAAACTTTGATCACTTACCACCTAAATGACTAACCAACATCACCTTGCATTTGTCTTTTAATATATCATTTTCAATAGCTTGATGAAAAGCTTGTTCTAACATGGGACCAATAGTACCACATCTACGATCTTTCCGTCGATGTCCACACACCAAGATGAGGTTTTGCCAAGGAGAAGGATGAATATCGAAATCTGATGTAGGATGACCAAAAATAAAATCCACAAAAGATGGCAATCTGTTTTTCGTCACATTGGCAATGATCATATTGTCTGGTAATACAAGAATATCCAATCCTTTTGAGGAATAGGCTGATGGTAAAGAAGTATTGGTAACAAGAACTCTTTGTTGTTGTTGTTGTTGTTGTTGTTGTTGTTGAGTTGTTCCATACATACGAAAAACACTTTGAGGTGGTCGTTGAGTACAAGGTAATACTTTTTGTTGACGTTGACGTTTTCGTCGTTTATCAAGACATTCGATCAATGCACCTGTGATACCGTCATCTTCAATATGACCCGGCCAGTCGGAATGACCAGTGAAGACAACTAAATGAAGAGCATAGGGAGTAACTGTATTATGTAAAGGACGAGTTTGGTCAATGTTGAGATGAGATGGAATGCGATCATGAGAAGTACAGGGCAAAACACAACCTTCACACTTGATTGGAATGATTGGATTCAAGTCTTGATGAGTTACAGGTGGTAAAGAGATAATAGGAGGTGGTGGAGATTGTTCATAGAACTGTTTGACTTGATTCGCAAACCATTCCATACTATGATCGACTACAAAAAAAAAAAAAAAAAAAAAAAAAAAAAGAAAAAGGGAGATCGCTTCTGTTTTAATTTTTATCAGATGGACGGACGGAATTTAACAACCGATAATAAAAATTTCTGCTGACCCGAGGATGAGAAAGAATAGAAAAAAAAAATGATAGATGATGGATGCTTATTTTTTTTATTTTTATTTGATTAATAATTATCTTAAAACATGATCATAAGGTATTGATCTTCCCATTAAAAAATCAATATCTCTATCAGCTCTTGGTAAATTATTCCAAATCATCAGTTCTTTACCTATAAAACAATCATTAATTTATATATCTATTTTATATACAACTATTTTATTATGTTTTACCAGAAGTATCTTTTCTTTCCATTGGTTTACATGCATCTGAATGGAACATCCAAAAATGACCATTATTACAAGCAGTCAAACATTGTTTGCACGGGGAGACCACATGATATCCAACTATATTACCACTATTCCCAAATCATGGGTATATCAGATTTTCGTCACGTGTACCTTTTTTTTTTTTTTTTTACCATTCCAAACAAGCTACATCACGAATCCTACATTGACATGTTCGAGTTAAATAATCTTTATCCATCAAATGAATTCTAAATAATAAAATGTTAATATCATTCTATATGAATGATAAAAGTGTGATTTTTTTTTTTTACGAGGAAGAAGGAGTGTCGGTACTATAAAGTTCAATCTTGACATCGGAAAGGAGGACAGCTTTCATGCCACGAGCACAGACAACAGAATGACAATGACGACATGATAATTTATAAACAAGTTTAATAGGTACCACTTCATTGATTTGTTGTTGTTGTTGTTGAGTTGTCTGTAATATGGTTTGAACTTGTTGGGTATATGAAGATGGTACAAAGATATTGGTTGGTGAGTAAAGATGTGATGATGATGATGATGATTGGGTCATCCTTTTAAAAAAATAACAAAAAAAAAAAAAAAAAAGAAAGAAAAAAGAAAAAGGAAAAAAAAAATGGAGAAAATAGATCAAGTTTGACGGAATTGGTAAGGGCCGTTGAATTTTTTTTTTTTATTCGTGAATTTATTTTTTATTTTCTTGTTGTATTGTTGTTAAACGTATCCTCTATTATATACCTCCGATTGCCATAAAAGTAAAGTAGAAGATAATCTTATTTTCATTTTGAAACAACCTTTTTTTTTTTTTCTTTTGTTTGGTAGGAAAATCCCAGAATACATGCTGATGTTTGGTCGGAGACATTCAATTGTACTTCGGTCATGTCTACAATAATAATTTTGACAAGTAAATATATATATATATATATATATATCTATTAGAACATGGAAAGAATAATAATCAAAACTTTATTATAATGTTTAAAAAAAAAAAACGAAAAACTATGATACAATAATAATAATAAGGGAGTGGGGAAGGGAATATAAACAAAGGTGAAAATATGGGGTATGATAATATCTAATCTACAAATCAGTTTTGTGAGAATAAGGATGATTTGATTTGGAATCAATCAAGGTAGAGGCAGCAGAGGCAAAAGTCAAAATAGATCCAGGAGTATTTGGTGTATTTAAGGTGGTAGTAGATAATTTGGAACGTAATGTATGAAGTGGTTGATGAGTAGCTGATAATTCAGTAATATCATTCAATGTTAGAGTATCCTGTTGTTGATAATGAGTCATATCTGTATGAGTTGTCCATGTTGAATAAATAGATGATCTTTTATCATCCTCTTCATCCTCTGTCATCATTAATGTTGATCGTTTGCTATTGATTCCACTGGTAGTCACAGTATTTCCTTTGGTATGTAAATGAGTAATGTTGATTGGGAATGATAATCCTGATCCTTCCATTTGTCGTGGCCAAAACCATAGTAAAGGTTGTCGTCCAAGTACAAACTTGATATTATTCATCACACCCATATCATAAGGATACATCACCTATAATAAATGTATATAAAAAAAATTGAAGTAAGTAAAATAAAATAAAAGGGGACCAAAAAATAAATCATCATCATTAAAAAAAAAAAAAAAAAAAAGGAGGGAACTTACATCATGAACAGTACCCATGGATTTCAATGTTAGACTTCTTCCTTTTTCCCAACCTTCAATAGTAGTTGTATTTGTTGTGATACAATAAATATGATATCCACTAAGTATAGCAACACCAATGATGACAATGATACAAAGTAAAAGATTGAGACCTAATAATACCCAATCAGAGATAAACAATGATGTTGATGATTTGATAGCTTGAGCCAAACGACAAGAAAGTAAAATTAATAAATAAATAGAACTGATTTCTATATAAGTCAAAAATCGAATAAAATGACAATAATTGGCGAATCCTATACAATTGTTGACAAAAGGACAATGATGATCCATTTTCAAGACACATTTTCCGCATGAACTACAATGATGAGTTCTTGGTGGTTTATAATTGTTACACGTTTTACAAAATCGTGGTGCATGTGTTGATTTTTTTACTTCCAAATGATGTTGTTGTTGTGGTATCTAAAATTAAAAAATAAAAATAAGATTGAATTTTTAAATATATGTCATTTTCTTTACCCAATTAGGAGGAACAGCACCAGGATCAGTTAAACAAGTTAAAGCATAATTGATATATATCATAATAACAAAAAAGTTCAAAGGAAGTAGAATAAGAGCAGTATGTAAAGTAGCACCACCAAGATATGACCATAAAACTCCAATTTGAGAAGAATAAGCCATGAAACCTATCATGATAGTAACAAATAAGACAATGAGTTGTCCTTTTAACTCTTGAAATGTCATTTAGTTATTATAAATAAGAATTGAATGAGCGTGTTCAAAAAGTTTGAATTATGAAAAGGAAAGGAAAGGGGAAAAAAAAAAGTGGCAAAAAAAAAAAAATGATAGAGAAAAGAAAAGAGGAAAATTAAGGAGAAAAGAATTCAGTCAAGGAGTTAAAGAAAAAAAAAAGAAAAAAATTCACAACGAACCATCTATTGTGTAACCATTTGGACAAAAGAGAGGATTTACCTCGTGTTTAGTTTCATTCTTAAATTGACAGATCTCTATTCTTTTTTATCATCTCACTTTTTTTATCATTACATTTTTATTAAAAAATAGTTTATATGATATTTTTTTTTATTCTCATTCGATATAAAGAATTTTATCTCTTTTCTTCTTGTTTATTCATTAAATATAATATATTTATTCAATGATAAAATCACTCTTAGTTATCATGCTAAACCTTACGTTCGAAATATTAAAATCTGTATCACATATAAAAGATGAATAAAATCATTTCTCTCTCGAATTGCATGAACTCTTTTGATTGGCTCATTTATTATTATTATCATTATTCTCCCCCGCTGGATGAAAAATGAGTGAAAGAGGGTGGCTTCACCTTTTTTTTTTTTTTATTTTTTTATTTTACATTATTTTTTATTTTATTTTAATTTTTTTAATATTTTCAATTCATTCTACTATAACTTATATAATGAATAATAAAAACAAACAATCACATTCAACTGATCTATTAAATATTCCTGGAAAGAATAAAACTTTAGGTAAAAAAAAAAAATATATTTATATTCTATTCTTTCTTATGTTTACTTATAATATATTATATAGCTAAACTATTATCAACTGATTCAAAACAAAATGAAGATACACCCATGATACCACCACCAGAATTACGAAAAACATTCAAGATAACTCCAAATAATGATAGTAAGTTTTTTTGTATTATAATAAAACTGTCAAACTCAATTCACTTTTTTAATTTTAGTTTTATCTCGAGTACAGTCTTTTTTACCTCAACTTCAAGCTGCCAATCAACAATTACAATCTGCTGATCTAGCCGATCTTGATATTGAAAATGTGAAAGATGATAGTGAACAATATATTGAAATGGTAAAAAAAAAAAATGGATATAATGATGATTTTCTTATTTTTATGATTTTATTTAGAATCTTGGACTTGGTGTATACGAAACGAAACCTCAAACGGATACGAGTGATGAAGATGAAGATGATATAGTGATACCCCATTTAAACAATAACAACAACAACAACAACAAGAACAACAATAATAGTAGTAATGAAATTAGTAGTAGGAATAGTAAAGGAATCAAACCTAAAATAGAACTCTTAGACAATAACAAATAAAAAAAGAAAAAGAAAAAAAAAAAAGAAAAATAGGATATTGGTTTATGTATATATATATGTGAATGAAAAGAGATCCGACTTTTATGAATCTGATTGATTTTGAATGATTGAAGTGATAACAGACGATTAGATCAGTCAGCGTGTTACTCAAAAAGTTTACTCCAATCAACGTAGTATCTTGTTCCAGTCAATAATTTGGAAGCTGATGGTCGAATAAAGAGTGAGCTGGAGTATTTGTATAAATTATAGAGACGAATGTCATGACGTATTTAAAAAAAAAAAAAAAGAAGGAATGATTTGAGTTATGCTGCTTTGAAGTGATAAAACAATCAGGGACACATTTTAAACCTCAGCTTTATGCCTTTGTGTCGTGCGCCCCAGATTACGTATTTATTTAATTTTCTTTTTATTCTTTTTCTTTCTTTTTTTCTTTTTTTTCTAATACATAGTCTGTAAAAGATATAGTCGAACAGACCATAAAGAAGCCCGATCTTCTCTCCCTCTCTTTGTCCTTACGACAAAAAAAGATACAAAGATAAACCGAGTAAGTGAAACAATTACTGATAGCCAGGAATCAAAAAGGGTTCTTCTTTTTATATCATGATTCTAACTTGTAAATTATTTTAGTTTCCAAAAGAAAAGCAAACCGACTGACCAGAAGTAAGGTCATTGAATTGAAGCAAAAGTAGAAGAATGAAGACGTGATATTCTGCAATATATGTCAACTACAATGCAACAGTAACAAAGTCTTTGTTATCATCTTTTATCCAACAACATTCTTCGAACAGAATGGCTATTCAGTAGACGGTTTATTCAGCAAATCAGCACCAACGTCAAAGCTACCGAATTGGACTCCCAAGATATGAAAAGCTATAAAATGGAATCACATTCTCCCTTGTGCGGATCGATCCAAGCTTCAAAGACAGTCTTCTCTACTGCATATAGTCATGATGAATGCCAATCTATGTCAATCTATACTATTCAAAGTCAGGGACCACTCGGCGAAACAACGCGATCAACAAGTTAAAGGCAGCAAGTTAATACTAGCATCGACATTGAAATCATCATAGCATCACCTAAAACAACACATTTATCCCAGCTAATGAGATATTCTATTTACATTTCGAAGCGTCTTGAGACCTTGGTGGAATTTTATGGTGATATCATATTTCAACCCACTCGATTCGTAAACTACACTGGATAACAAAAAAAAAAAAAAAAACAATGGATGATCAAATGAAGAACATTTTCATGGATGGTGGAAACAAATACTCGAAAGGCATAGCAAGACTCTACACCGTACCTCTCAAGTTAAGTAAGGAGATAAATGAAGCGAAAAAAAAAAAGACTATATTGGAATAGATTAATCACTGACGTCTTTTTTTTTTTTTTTAAACCTTAGCCTTTTAGTCGCTTCATTAATTGAAATGACTCCTCCTTTTGATAAATCCAGCTATGTATTCACTTCAAATCCGTCAATCAATGCAGCTAAAACAGGTAATGCTCGATAAATTTACTAAAATAAACGAAACTATGTGATTGATTTCATTTCTAATTCATTTTTTTATAACATCAACCATTACGGCATGACAAGATTAATGGAACACAACATCCATACGATAACTGAACGAAGTCTAGTTTTCGGCAAAAATAAGAAGATACCGATGCAACGTGACGCGAAATATTTACGATAACCAGTACAGCTATGGAAAGAAACAAACATTATACCTGGATGAATTGTGTGATATCCACTTTTGGTGATATGGAGGACAAGGATGACAATGAAATGATGATTATACATCTGAATAGAAATCATAAGGACGACAGATTGGTCAATCTCAAATAGTGAAAGACATTGTATCCATGATGATGATGTCAACGAATTGATAAAATTGTTTAAACTTATGGGCAAGTCAATTATTATTTACATAAATGACATCGATTAATCACCTTTTTTATTATTATTATTATTTGATTTATTTTTATCCTCTACAAGTCATCGATCACATTTTTGTCTATGATTTCCCTTGGTATTCCAATTTGATTGCCTAAATTTAGCTTTTTTTTTTTTTGTCTCAATTCAAAGTGAAAAAAAAAACTGTACCCTGACATTATTTTTTTTTTTTTCTCCTGCTCTTTTTTTATTTTATTTTTCCCACGGGTCTTTAAAAAAAATAAAACATGTCTTTTCTTTTTTCACGTTTTTCTTTTTCTCCCATATTATCAAAACACATTGCTACCATGTCTACTTTATCTGAATCTCAACGTCAAACTCTTTTACAACCTTTGTTATCTTCTGGCTGGTCCATGGTTGATAATAGAGACGCCATTATCAAAAAATATCAATTCAAAGATTTTAATCAGGCTTTTGGTTTCATGACTCGTGTTGCTTTGAAAGCTGATAAAATGGATCACCATCCTGAATGGTTTAACGTAAGTTATTATATAATAGGTGAATAAAATGAATTGACAATAGATATTGATATTTATCTTCTTTTTTTTCAAAAAAAAAAAAAATAGGTTTACAATCGCGTGGAAATTACTTTATCAACTCATGACTGTGGTGGTTTATCTACTAGAGATATTGAATTAGCCTCCTTCTGTGATTCTCTTTAACTTAATCATTGTTTTTATTGTTATTCTACTTTTTGACTAGTTTGAACATGATTCTTTTTTTTTTTTGGGATGAATAAAAAAGAATATTGGTTAGATTGATCTTTTTTTTTTTTAATGGACAGCTTTTACAATATGGCTGGTGATGGGATGATGGATGCATGAACAAAATACGTTGGATTGACTTTTATAATGCTTTTAACCTTTTGAACTTTCTTCTTATTTCCCTTTTTTTTTTTTTCCTTAATGTTTGAATTTTTTTTTATTTTATATTGACCATTTCTTTTTCTTATCATTCTTTATTTTATTATTATTACCATCGAACGTCTTTTCGGAGATAACAATGACTGAACCTTCCCCTCTGTTCTGACCTGTGATCAGATCGATTCTGACGTCCGTTTTGTCATGATGTCCCGTTTTGTCGTGTGCTACTGTCATTTCTCCCCTTCTGTCTTTTCTTTTTATATACGATATTTTTTTTTTATAAATGACCCCTTCTTCGAATTGAATTCTTTTTTTTGAATTGTCAATTTATTATTACATTTTTTATTATCAATAAAAGGTTTTTTTAAAAAACTAAATTATATTGTCTTGGCCACTCTCTTGGAACATCATCTAAGGTTTTATCATCTTATTTTTTAATCATCCTGATTAGTTTTTAATCATCAAGTCTTTTTGCAAGATAAATTATAAGTTTCTGATCATCATCAAGAATAATCATATATATTTCAACTGTTGCCTTATTTGGACGACACTTACAAAATCTTCATTTATTAATAATTGTTCTAACAACTTAGAACTGGTGCTCACTACAAATATATAATCATTGATATAAATATTTTATTTATATCATCCATCCATCTTGCATCTCAACATCATCCGTTAAGAACAAAAAAAAATCTTAACACTATATTTAAATTTGGAATCAAGAAACCAATCATCATATGTCTATTTTTTTCTTTTTATATAAAAGAACTGGTGCTCACTCTGAGCAATCATCAATAATACTATTATATTAATAATATCATCCAACAATTATATAAATCAATTATCACTCAAATAACAAAAAAATCCTTAACAGAACCAAAAATCACTTAACAACTGTTGGATATGGAAATATTGCTGACCAATGAATTTTTTTCAATCCTTTTTCAAACAATTGAATTTCTACCTTGTGTTTGAAAGATGTCAAACACAATGGTTTTTTTTTATTTATATATTTTTTTATTTTATTTTATTTTTTTATTATAAATAGTCATCATATTTTAGTTTTCTTTTTTTTGGAATGGTCAATTGTTTTTATATTTTTATTCAATAAAAGGTTTTTTAACCAAAATCATATTGGCCACTCTTCAGGAATAAATCATCCTAAGTTTTATCTTTATTTTATTATTAACAAGCAATCATCAAGCATATTATTCAAGTTATTTGATTAATCATCAATAACTGTGATCAAAATCATCAAGAATTCTACTACCTTTTTTTGGATTACATTTATTTTTTTTTTTCTTTTGTTCTTTTTATATAAAAGAACTGGTGCTCACTATACGAACAATCATCATTAATATCATGTTAGGATGAAATCAACCTTTGAAGCTGACTGTGAATCTTTTTTTTTTTTTTTTTTTTTTTTACCATCTGTCAAAATTTTGACATTTGTCCATTTCTCACACTTTTGTCCATTTCTCACACTTTTGTCCATTTCTCACATTTTGTCCATTTCTCACATTTTGTCCAAAACCTTCTTCCCTTTTTTACGTATGGTCTCATCTGAATCACTACTCTTACACAGTTTCGTCCGTTATTACGTTTCTTATCACATTTATCAATTTCATCCGTTTTTTTTTTCACATTGATGATTAATCATCATCATCTAAAAATAATCTTTAGTTTTAGTATAAATACATCTAGTAGTTTATATATTTTTTCTCTTTGTCAAAGTTTTATTATAACAAATTGAATAAAAGATTGTATAATCAAATCATCTTGGCCACTCTTAAGAAATAATCATCTTAAGTTTTATATTTATTATTTTATTATCAAGTTACATTCAAGTTATTATTATTTTATTTGATCATCATCAAGACATCTATATTTGGAATCAAGTATCAAATCATTTTATATTTATTTTGTTCTTTTTATATAAAAGAACTGGTGCTCACTACTAACAATCATCAACAATATTATTATATTAATAATAATATCCATCTATCAAGTTAATCAATCATCCATCCATTTACGAAAAAATACTTAACAACAGCTTGCCTCATCGGTCAACGAATTTATATAAAGTGTCCACGGATCGTTTTTCTTCAATTTTCTTATGATAACCTTATTCGTATCCTTCGTACCACCTAACTTTTTCATCAGATCCTTGATATACTGGTTTCTTGATTTAATGTAAGATTGGGCCTTTTGTTTGGTGGTTGGTCTCTCGAACTTGGCATGAATCAGTTCAATTGTTACTGGCAATAGTTGTTGATACATCATCATTTCCAAACCTTGCTTGTGATTCTGACTATCTTGATATTGTTCCAAATAAACGGGAAAAGTGCGGATGAATTCCATCTCCAACTGATCAACTTCATTCAGAGGCCGGTGTTGAAGAAATAAAAAAAAAAAAAAAAAAAAAAAATTTATCATCTATCCTATAAATCTATTTATTTAAAATGACTGGATCTGCTTTACCTTTTGCTCTTGACGACTACACTTTCCTCAATCCGGAGAATCTTAGTATTTGCACTAAATTGGGAATTGACTTTGATGACGAGTATCCTCTTTTCTTGCAAGATGGAGTTGAAGACCCTCTCACTTTCAACAAATCTTCTTCTGACATTGATGAAGGTTGCCGTGGTAATTCTATTCCGAAAACTGAGCATGATGAATGGACAAGTGGTGAAAAGCTTGATGTTTATGATAATCCTTTCTTTGAACCTAAACCACTTTGTCAACCAACCACTGAAGACCAACAACGAATGATTCAACTACTTGCTCCCCAGTATGAGTATGCTCTAAGTGAAGTAAAACAAAAGCAAAAGGAAATTCAGCAGTTTGAAAACGATTCCTTGTTACCACTTACCGTCCAACTTCTACATGACTATTTTGATAAACCAAGTGATGCTAATACTCGACTGACATACATTGTTGAACGAAAAAAATTTTTGGTGGACCTTCTTCGCGATAACATGACCACATTTGTGTTGCGCTCTTTTATATACAAAGTGAACAAATTCGACTGTTGGGTGTAATTCAAGATGGGGACCATCTTCTTGGTGGGTGGGGAATGTTGAAGAAAAAAAAAAAAAAAAAAAAAAATTTTTTTATTTATTCTTTTCATATACCGATGATAGCATATAGGTCACATTCATCTCATGTCAATACCACCTATATCCCTTTCATCTATATGATCATTATATCTTTCATCTTTTTTTAAAAAAAGTATAAATACCCCATCTCCTTTCCCCTCTTCCTTTTTTTTTTAGTCAATAAATATTATATTTTTTGAAATATATCTTTTCTTTTCATCCCTACTTGATTGTATTGTGGATTATCTATTTTGATTGGCTCACTTTGTTCTATATTTAAAGTCAGAACAATTTTACTCTACTTCTATTTTCCAAATTTGGAACAAGACTTTATTTTTCTTTAGTTTACTTTTCTTTTTTATTTTATCTCTTTACCTATACGTGTGCTTGCGTAATCAAGTACTGGTGCTCACTAAACAACTTATTCTCTTTCAATCATCCGTTTTACTTTTTCAATTTTGAACCCATTGTCGTTTGGAGGATTCAGTTTTTACTGGGTAGAATGATGATTTTTATTTTATTTTTGATTTATGTCTTTTTATATTATAACACGAAACATGTGAACTAGAAGATCAGCGTGATCCTTTACTATTTTTGTAAATCTATTGTTGACAACGAAATTTATTGAGGAGATTAAAAAAAAAAATATTTTTTTTTTTTCTTTCTTCTCTCTTTCTTCTTTTTTTCTCTTCTCACCATTTCACCAATTCTCACCAATTTTATTTTTTTTTTTTTGTTTGACTTAGGTTTTTTTTTTTTATTATAAATAGCACATAGTTATTATGATATTTTTTTTACTTTGTCAAAACAGATCTTTATTTTTTTTTTAATAAACATAAAAAGATTCATAAATCAAACTATCTTGACCACTCTTAAGGAATCAATCATCCTAAGTTTTATTATTATTTTATTATTTTATTATCAAACTACAATCAAGTTATTATTATTTTATTGATCATCATCAATTGTGATCAAATAATCAAGTCATTTATTTCTATATTTGGAATATACATTTAAATCTACTTTATACTGTTTTGTTCTCTTTTATAAAAAGGAACTGGTGCTCACTAACAAATAATCATCATCAATATTATTATTATAATAATAATATTCAACAATTATATAAATCGAACATCCATCCAAAAACAAAAAAATCTCTAACACTATCATAAAGATGGTTTTTATATCGACACCATAAACCAAAAAATCACTTAACACTGGGAGAAGAGATGCTGCTGAACGGATGCAAGTCTTTTAAAAAAAAAAAAAATTTTGGCAAAAGGGGTAGTCCCCACCCACGATGGCGGTTATTCGATACATCCTCTCCAGTGTGCCATCTTGCAGCCGTATCAGTGCTTCGAGTTTTCCCTGCTGTATTGCTACCCTCGGGCATTACCTCGATATTGAACAACCTCCGAATCCTAGCCTACGCTGAGACCCGAATGTTGACACCAAACTCTCCAAGACACTACCTTCGACAAGGCAATCGAATAACCGTGATTCCACCAATGAATGAATTCATCCCTTATAAGACCGCCACTCAGCTCACAGAAAGACGCTACCCTTTCCAGTCACTTGATTTATGTTTTTGCTGGCTATTTAAATCCCTTTTTTTATCTCAATTCACAAGTTGTGGTATGGCTCCTTTTTTTTTTTTTTTTTAAAAGTCCTCGCATCATTATAATTCAACATTTTCCATAATAACAATAATTTAAAGGGTATAAATCCATTGTTTATTTCACAAATAATAAAATAATTGTACATCACCAATATCTAAATCATGAATCCACTTGTTTTGATAATCGCTCGATTTCTAATTGTAATTCATTCAAGCTGATGGTAAGAGATTTGACATCGTCATATTTTCGATTGTTTTTCGCTTCCACAATATATCCTTGCACCAATACTACTTGTTCCTTAAATGCCTGTAGTTGTATTAAAAGTTCATCCTGTTGTCCATTCTTATTATTATTATTATTATTATTATTTTTCTTCCTCTTTGATTTTTCATGTGAACTTGTTGTGTTGAGAATCCTTGGTAACATTTGAAGAGGGAGCATATTTCGTTGAAGATATTGATTGGCTGCTATACATATATTGGCCTGTAGTCGTTTCATAGATCCAGTTTGAGCAGGAAGGGATTTTACACTTTTCACTAAAGTATCATAGAGTGCAAAGTTATCCAATAAAGATTTCCTTATCATGGCTGCTTTTTTATAACTTTCGTGAGATTGCTGTACGATCTTTTCTTGTCTATCCAAAATAATAATGTATAAAAAACTTGTCATCATATAATCACATATACTTACTCTAACATCAATATCATAGAATGAAATGTTGGAAGTAGCTTTTCAATATTTTGTCGAGCTATTGTTAACTGATTATACAGTTGAAAGATAGGTAAAGGTCTTGATGATTCTTCAAATTGTATTTTGCGTCTGAACAAAAAAAGGTCAATTTGCTTAATATCATATCCTTCTTGACTTACCTAAATGCTGATCGTTTGCACTCTTGACATGCTCTTGTATCCCCTACAGGTTCAGCTTCAAAGCCATCTTAAAAAAAAAAAAAAGAAAGAATGAATATCAGAAATATAAACCGATTGAAATGATCTTTGTTTTTTTTTTTTTTTTTTTTTTTTTTTTTTTTTTTGGTACCTGTCGACATATCCAAGTAAAGTGGTATCATGGTTGAACAATGTTTGGCCCCACAGATCACTCTTCCACATAGACGACAATGATGTTTTCGATAAGTCAAGGTAAAAGGAGTTCTAACATATAAAAATAAAGTTAAATTTGAATAGAAAGATATGTTTTTTTTTTCTACTTACGAACATATAGGACATTTTTTGATTCCTTTGTCATCTTGCCATTTCGTAATAGATTGTTCACCATCTACAGATCAAATAATAAGAATAATGAACTAATATTTCATTTGTTTCATACATACCACGATATTTCAACTTCATACTAAGAATACTGTTTGTATTGCTACTGCTGGATGATGATCTTGGTGATAGAGTTCCACTACTGACACTAACATTTGATGAAGAGGCAGAATCTGATGGTTCCAAGTTGTTGATAAGTGATGAATGATTGATAGGTTTGTCTCTCAATCCTTTACCTAGATCCATATTGAAGTGTAATCTTGCAAGCTAATAATAATAATAACAAAAGAAAAAAATTGAGTTAGTTCGCTATTTTTTTTTATTTATTTATTTGTTTTAACCTTTTCCAAACGTTTTTCTTGTCGATTTGTTTCCAAATAAACTTGATCTATTGTTTTTGCTCTCTTGCTGAGAAAAGAGGCTGATAAGTTCCTCATGGCACCTTCATGATCCATATAACCCTCACGTTCCATATAACATTGTCCACATACTTTTGCCCATATTCCTTGAATTGGATCATGTTGTGCTTGGTGATTTAATTTCATTTCATATTGAGTATGAAGATCGCAATGTAGTTTACCACATCTATATATATATATATAACGGTTAATCATTCTGAAACATAAAACTTTTTTTTTTTTTGAATACCTTCTACAGTGTTGTTTACCAGTATTGCCTTTGCCAAGAAGTTTCCCACAAGACCGGGTATAACAGATATCTTGACCAGTAGGAGATTCATGTTGCCAATGAGTTCGAGTAACAGTATCAGGGTATCGTTCAGTTTCAGAAACAAAGAAATCAGGGCGAGTTTGTGTTGTAAGTTGTTGGAATTGAGCTATAAAAGAAGGTTCACTGAAAGGTTTAAATATGGGAGATGAAGATGGTGGTGATGTTGTATTTCCTGGCTTAGTAAGAGTGGTTTGAACTTTTTTTTGTGCTTGTTTAAACCAAGATAATAAAGCACCTTTTGTATCTTCTTCACTATGAGTGGTATCCAAATGCTAATTTAAATAAATAAATGTTTGAGTAAATAAAGTAGTTTATCTTTTTTTTTTCTTTGTATTTACCAAGTTTAAAGTTTGAAGAGAAGAACAGATTTGTTGACATATAGGACAAACTGCACCTTCTACAGGAATATAATCTTCATAATTGTATGGCATAAAAAAATAAAGTAGAGGGAAATGGTGGAGAAAAAAAAAAAAAAAGGAAAAAAAAAAAATAAAAAAAAAAAAGAAAATAATGGTTGCGGAGTGTGATTTGGTATGCACCTAAAATGGATTGGCGTATTTTTTATAGTTCTCCCCCAAAAGGTAGAAAAAAAATGGTTGCACAATAGATTCAACATAATCTCCCCAGTGAAAATCACGATATAAAAAAAAGAGTAAAAACTTTACTTTCTTTTTCTTATTCTTTTTTTTTTTTTCATTCTTTCATTTTTATGGTAAAAATAAATTAATTGTGTTTTTAATGCTTGAATATTCAAATCGTCAAAGTCCTGGAGATCCATCATTTTGGCGAGTATGTGATCCTATGACCAATGAATGTCATTGTGATTTTCGTATGACTATATCAGATTGTGTTGAAAGTGAAGCATTAAAAATTGTAAATATCTTTGACATTGTTTGGTCTGGTGCTGCTACTGTTATAGGTAATTAAAAAAAAAAAAAACAAAAATCATCTATCTAAATATATATATTAATCTTTTTTTTTTTTTTTTTTTTAAAAAAAAAAAAAGCTGGAGTCATTTTATATTGGCGTTTATTTCATCGAAATCAACAAATACTTGATTGTTCAAGTAGAATACCTAGACCAAAACCAATTGAAAGCATGGCTGTGTTTGGTATATTATTTAACGTCAGTAAGTCTTTTTATAATTAAAAAAAAAAACAATAATAATAATGGTGAGATTACATTAGACCCGATAAATTGGTGGGTTTGTGTGTGGGGTAGTACAAGAAAAAATCAGATACTTATTTCTTTTTCTACTCCGCCATCGATTCCCCTATTTTTTATGTAGCTCGTATTATTCACGCAACTGTCTTATTAACTAATGTTGCCAATAATGCTATCTTTCGTTCTTTTATGTTTGAATTACCTTGGCAATTTGGTATAACTGCTCTTTCCTGTTATTTATTTGGTGTTGCCAATACTCTTTCTAATGTATATAATAATAATAATAACTTTTTTTTTTTTTAAAAAAAAATATTCACTCTCTTTCTTTTTTTTTTTATATTTATAAATATAGAGTAGCAATACTATATACAAGTCATGGGTACGTTCTCAAACTCTTGTCGATACCATTTGTATTACTATGATTACTTTACCTTATATTACTATTAACGTAAGTTTTCTTTTTCTTTTTCTTTTTTTCTTTTTCTTATTTCTTATATATATTTACAATTATCATATTTAGCCTGTTGCCATTACAGCTGGATACTATGCTCAAAGTGAAAACAATGAACAAGCTATTATTTGGACAGATACTATTTATTATCTTTGGTTAATATATACCTTCCTCTTAGGCAGCTTGATTTTATTTGCTGGTTTTCGTTTACTAAAACTTCTCAATAATCATCTATTGATGCAGACCGATCTTCGTGTCAATATTGCCAAAATTAGAACTGGTGCGATCAAGGTAATTAAAAAAAACCAGGTATTACAAAAAAAAAAAATGTACAATTCATCAAACTTTTTTTTTTAAGGTGAAAATCATTATTGGTATTGGTTGTTTCTGTTTATGGGCTTTCACAGTAGGGATTGCTCTCTATGCTACTTCAAGATATGCAATCATGAGTAATCCCATTTATACTATTGCATTGGCAACTTTTGCTTTATTCAATGGTCCTTTTGCTACTTCTGTTGTAGAGTTTGCTGTCCTACTGAAGTAAGTGATACTCGTGTTACTATTTTTTTTTTTTTTTGCCCGCCTAATTCCATCCCCCCCCCTTTTTTTTATATCATAGTCCTCATATGCTTCGTGGCCTTGCAAGTTTATCATTTGGTTCATCAACTGGTTCACAATCATCACCATCTGTCATTGCTTTGGATAGTCGACAACAACCACAACAAAAAGAATTGACAAATGATGAAAGGAAATATGATATCACCAATATGACAACACCGGCTCAATTGGATCAATGGAATCGATTCTTCACCAAAGACATAAATAATGACACAACATTGACAAATGATCACAACAAATCCGATAATTATACCTCTCATAACAATCTGGGTTATTCTTTATCATCTTATCCCACCAGTCCATCGACTACAGATATTCCTTTTCCTGCATCTACCTACCAGAAATCAATAGCACCGTTACACCATCATTCAAATATCGGTCAGATCTCGGGTTCTATAGGGTTTCAAGATACCGACAGTCCAACTATGTCCAAAGTGGAAGAGGAACAATTTTACTATAATGCTATGACCAATCAAATGCGAATGCCTCCTCATTATTCTTCTTCTGATGATCGTCGATTTACTGATGGCAATGGTTCTTTTACTTCAGAAATTTTGGATAGTTCAAGTATTTCCGTCACCTATTTAGTGGATACACCCTATACCAACAAAATTCATTGATATCTCTGTTTTTTTTTCTTATTTATTATTTTTATTTTTTTTATATATGATTTTTGTTTAAATAGTTCTTATGTCGTATTTTTTTTTATTTGTTTCTATTATTATGTATATCTTTATTGCTTTTAATTAATAAACTGGTGCTTCATATTATATTGTCATTACTAAATTCTAGAACATATTCCTATTCTGTAAAAGACCACTCTATGTTATTGGTTTAAGATAACTACAATATTATCATTCATGGAAAGAGGGATCCCTCATTAAGTTGATGCCATCATGCTGTTAGCGGGAATTGAATAGTCCAAGTAACAAAATGGAAATGAAATGGCTCATGTTCTTTTTTTTTTTTGTTCGTTCCCTTCTTTTGTAATTTCTTTCTTTCTTTCTTTCTTTCTTTCTTTCTTTCTTTCTTTCTTTCTTTCTTTCTTTCTTTCTTTCTTTCTGATGACCACCACTACTACTACCACCCATGGCACATCTGTCTATTCTTCAAGGTAAGAAATTCAAGAGTAAACTAAATTAGAAACTCATATTAATAGATTCACTCAAACAATGTTGCTTTATTATCATTTTTTTGTCTTCTCATCTAGTCGATTAAAAACCAAAACGAACAATCGACTAGAAGACGATGGTGACGAACTACAATATCTTCAAAACCAATTAAGTAAAATGGATGGACTATCAACAAAATTGGTAAGGAGGAAAAAAAAAAAAAGAAAAGAAAGGGAGACGTATGATGACGCTGAAGAAATCTCATTTTATTATGATTAGGTTGGTATCCTTGACTCTTTTGATGATCGACTTTTGAAACTTGAAGCCTCTATTTTACCTATCCATCGATCAACTCAGAATCTGACAAGACTTGTGAACAGTAAGTATTATTTAACTGTATTCTCCTTTTTATCTTCATAGTCTTCATTCCCTCACTTTTTGTTTGAATAGATATTGACGCGACTTTGGTGGCAGCTGATGATATTGTACAATGTTTGAATCTTCCCAGTAAGGAAGAAGGTTTTATTTTGAAAGGGTAAGAAGAGAATAACAATAATAATAAAAAGAATTCTTGATATGATTGATCAATGATATATATGCATTATTCTTTATATAGTCCTGATGAAAATGATATTCTTCCTTATCTACAAGCAATGGGTCGATTGAAGGATGCCGTGGATACTATCGAAAAAAGTCAATTGAAATCTTGTGAAAAAGCTACATTCCAAACGGTAAGAAAGAAAAAAAAAAAAGGAGAAAAGACAATGAATGAAAGATTTTGTCACTCATTTGTTATCATGTTGAATAGAAACAATTACTCAAGGCTGGCATGTTACATTTGGAAACACTTTTCCGACAATGGTTGACAACTGTGAGTCATCCAGTGGATGTTCATACTATCTTGGAATCAGGTAATCTTTACAAATATACTTATCATCTGCAGATATCATTAATTTTTTTTTTTTTTTGATGTTGGTATGGTAGATGATATTATGCCATCTTCTACTGATATGAAACAGCTCTCTCAACTCGCTACATATATTGCCACTTCAGTCACTGAAATTGGATATGCTGTTGATTTCACCAAACCTTATGCCGACATTCGTTCTGTTTATATGCAAAAATCATTGACACCTCTCTCACAATCTGTGCAATCCTCTGAAAAACATAAAGGCATCTCTTATGAAAAAGGTTCTAGTGAATTCTTAAAGTATATGGAATGTTTTGTGAAAATGTCAAAGGTAAAAAATATATATATATATATTTTTCAATTGATAATGATTATATATACATTTCTATATAGTCAGAATGTACTTTTTCTAGAAAAATCCTAGGTAATGCATCTCAACGTACTGTTGCACTCAAGGCTACCATTGGTCCACCTCTTGCTGAACTTGTGGCTGCTGGACGACAACTTGTAGCGATTGCAAAACGACTCCCTTATAGTGAATCAGTATTTGTATTTGATATCTTGGAAAAATATGAACGGGACAGCAAAAGTGCCTTGGATTCCATCTGCAAGGAATACGATTTGGAGATGAAGGAATTATCCGATTTGATGAAGACGGTGATCACCACGGCTCTCAAAAGTTTTTATGATTTTATGGAAGATATTAAAGGACGACGAGAAACAAGTTCAGTGGTTAATCTAAGTAATGATGGTACTGTGAACGAAATGACAAGCAATGTAAGTAACAAAAAAAAAAAAAAAAGAATAGACGAAAAAGTTTTAAGAGATGATTGACAAGCATTACTGAATAAAACTCCATTTTTGCATATAGGCACTCAATTACCTGAAACGACTCATCCTTTGGCGTGACATGGTAGAACCATTATTGTTATGCGTTGGCGATGGTGGTTGGAATCAACCTGTGACAGATGTATCTTTTGATAAACTGAAGTTTGGAGGTTTATCGTCTATGGGTACAGCCTTATTACAAAAGTTTTTAGTGGATGCATTGGATCAGTTGTGTATTTCCCTTCAGTCGAAATCCAGAGGTTATAAGAAACCCACATTGGCGACGATCTTTCTTCTCAATAATTACAACTATATTCTTCGACAGATTCGATCTCCTCCTTTGAATGCACTTATTTTTGATGAACAAACTGAGGTCAAGTTTGGAAAATTGGTCAAGAAACAGTTGGATAGTTATCAAGAATCTTGGAAACCGTGCGTGGAAAACTTGATGGATGTGACTTATGTTCGTGGTGGTGCCATCAGGAATGCTCTTAGTAGTACAGATAGACAAATGATCAAAGATAAATTCAAGGTAAAAAAAAAAAAAAAAAAAAAAAAAAAAAAAAAAAAAAAAAAAAAAAAAAAAAAAAAAAAAAAAAAAAAAAAAAAAAAAAAAAAAAAAAAAAAAAAAAACTTCATAAAGAAAAAAAAAGAGTATTCATCTTTTTTTTTTTTTTTTTGTAGAACTTCAATATGGAATTTGATGATATTTGGAGAACTCAAACAGCCTATGCCATACCTGATCTAGAACTACGCAACCAGGTGATCCGAGATGTGAAAAACGTGATCGTTCCAATGTATGGACGATTTTTGGACAAGTAAGTGTAAACCTAAAAAAAAAAAAAAATTGTTCAAGTTACTCATACTTGGTCATTTTAGATACCAAAGTACAGATTTTACCAAGAACCCAAGTAAATATATCAAATATGACAAGGACAAGTTGGAAAGAATGATCAACCATCTCTTTGAACCCACAGCATAGTATAATGTTCCACTCTCTTCCCTTTATTTATTCCATATACACACTTTCTAAATCAATAGTAATAATAAGAAGAAGAATAAAAAAAAAACGTATTCTGTATTGTATATATATATGTATCAAACGAAGATTATCCTATTATAATTTTTTTTTATTGATCAAGGGGGAGTACTAACTGAATAGGGTTGAGGAGTAAAAAAAAAAAAAAAAAAAAGATATATATATAAAACTAGCAAAAAAAAAAAAGACCCATAAAAAGGTATACAAAAAAAAAAAGAAAGGTAAAATAAAAAACTAAAATAAATAAACACTATAAGTAGATATGTATGTAAAAAAAAAAAAGTTCATTCAAAATAATATAAAGTCATCCACAGCAGTCAAATCTTGGGGTAACAAAGTAGGAGACAAAGGTGGAGAATGAATGGGTGAGAAGGTGTTTGTTGGGATGATGGATGGTAAATTGGCGAAATCTTCAAAGATATCATCGTCTTCCATAATAGTACCCATGTCGGTATTGTTGTTGTTATTGTCGTTGTTGTAATTATCAGATGGAAGTGGTCCAAATAAAGAAATAGCATCCATAGGAGAGGTGTCTATGTTGTCAAGATCAGAGGATAATGAAGACGCAGGAGAAGTTGTTTGTGTAGGACCAGAAGAAAAGATAGAAGAAGAGACACAAGAAGGAGTGGAGGATGAAGAAGTTGTTGAGGTGGGAATATGTTTATAATAAGGATGATATCTGGATGATCGATGATGATGATGTCGAAGTGAATAATTGGTTGTTGATGTTGATGATGTGGTAGGAGTGGAAGGAAGATAACAAGGATTTAAAGAAGGATAAAAATCGTCGTTATGATAATAATGATAGATATTGTCGTTTAATGAATTGACGATTGGTACACCAGAATAAAAGTCGGTTTGGGGATTGTCTGTAGACCTGGACCGTGGTGTTGAGCAGTTGGAGTTGTCTCCATCCGATCCATGGATGGAAGAGGAACAAAGTGGCGTGGGCGAGAATGAATCACGTCGGTGAAGGTTGGGATAGTAAGAGCTTGAAGAGATTGAGTAGTCATTTTCAGAAGATGAAGAAGTAGAAGTAGTAATAAGTGGAAGAGGAATGTTGTAAATGTGCTTGGAAGGCAACAAAACTTGTGTTTGGGAGAAGAGTGGTTTAAAAGGTGAAATAAGAGGTGGGAAGAAAAACTGTGGCTGCTGTTGTTCAATCAGAGACAGTCAGAGAGAGATGTTGGGACCAGGTTATTCCAGAGATACGAGAGAAAAAACCTTCTTGTCAGTAAAAAAGTTCGAGAAGTTCCTTGTGAGTATACAATAAAGATATATCTATCAATCAACAGATTATATCAATAAAGTATAAATAAACAAACTACTTTTTTCAAAGAGTTGTAACCAAAAAGTAAAAGTGAATAAAGAAAAAAAAAAGAAAAAAAAGGGGGAAAAAGCCTTTTTATAATGAGGAAAAAAAAAAAGAAAAGAGAATGGACTTTTTGAAGAAAGGAAAACGCGAAAGAGAAGAAGAAAAAGAAATAACAAAAAAAAGAGGGGAAAAATGGGGCTTTATTATAAAAAATATATACATTGTATTTTGTGTATCAAAACCCCCTGCCTTGATTGGCTATAAGACAAAGGACTGAATTTCAAAAAATACTGTATCAAGCAAAACGATATCCTAATAAAAATAACTTCGCCACGCTTGCTAAGTAACTATTCAAAGAATACACGTGGTACAATAATAATAATAATAATATAAATAAATCAACTAAAACTATACTACTTGGATAAAAATCGGATTCCTTTCAATTCTAACCATACACTAAACTTCTTGTTCTCTTGTTCTAAGGATGTCCACCACCAACGTAAGATCCAATATTCTTGTTGTATATCTTGTACTTTCCATTGCCCTTGAGATATATTGACTTGTGTCACCATTCTACTTGTTATTCCACTATCATCATCAACAGTAGGAGGAGGAAAGCCAGTGCTTGGTACATACAATTCGGTCACTGTATCCATGGCATCTTGTCGGACTTGAAATTCATAACGATAATACGCAGGGTTTTTTGTTGTCTGTGATGTAAAAGATATATGTGTTGGTATGCCAGGTGTAAATCGTGGATGAGGTCGATTTAAACATACTAAACGTCGTTGATTGGTATCTTCATCTACAAGTAACTTTTGATCCAAATCTTCAGCTGTAATTGTTGCATCCGTCATTGTTGATATGGTACTTTCTATCCCTTTATGATTTATATCATCATCATCATCATTGTTATTGTCATCCATCAATGTTGTTTTCTTGTTGCTATTCTTTTGTTGCCATATACTGAGATCTTCTCCATTCCATCGATCTCCCCAAGTTGGATCATTGTCAGGAACATATTGCCACAGGGTATAGTTCAAAAGTGTACTTTCCACAGCATTGATGCTTGCATCCATAGCTTTGTTTTGTGATGAATCGGGATGTCGAATGTTTGAAGCCTTGATGGTTGAATCGTAAAATAAAGACGTAATCCAAAGCAAACATCGTTGCCAAATACTTTCAGTTTCCTGTAACGAAGATGTATTTTCCATATCGTAAGGTATACCAATTTCGCCAAGTAAACAAGGATAGTTTCCAATTTGTTCCAGTCCTTCAGCACGTACAGTTTCCAATTGTTTGATAAAACATTTTCGGATTGCCTTTTCTCCAATACATAAAGCTCGAATAAACCGTAAAGGACCACTTCCATACTTGCCACGATTCAGATTGATAAAATCAATATTGTAGTTACACCATTTTTTCTTGACCAGAGTGAGACCATCATACCAATGAGGAGTGTAAACTAAACGAGAGTAGAGTGGATTGTCATCTGGAAGTTTCGGTGGTTTGTCCAAGATCGGAGGCTGTACAAAGATAATAGCATTGGTGTGCACAGATCTTATGGTTTGAATATACATCGTCAAAAAAGGAATCCAATAGTCTTGAGCAAAATGTGTCGGCTTTCCAGAGATCGGATCATTGGCAAAATAATGTGGTGCAAGTAAAGTTCCCGTGGTCTTGTCCCAAATCCCATGATGCTCCCATATACAACCTGCCTTTTGCCATGATGTTCCTCGTTTCCATCCAAAAGTCATACATGAATCATCCAATTCTTCTTGATTAAGCCATGCTGAAGTTGATTCTGTTTGATTATTACTATTGTTGTTGTTGTTGTTGTTGTTAGGATCCACAAGAACATCACCTTTTTTTTTTGGACCAGACCAGATAAATTCATAATTGGCTACCTTGCAAGGAATCCCACTTCCTAGTAACATGCCTTGGAATGGAGTTGGCATAAGACCCATCTTGAAACTTGTATCGCTTTCATCTAATTTGTTGAGATCAGGGAATCCAAGATAACCTTGTCCAGGTTCATTCATAGTATCATATCCAATCACAATATCATCTTCCAATCCATGTTGTTGAATCCTTTTAGCTAATTGGGCAATTGCATTAAGAAAATGAGACTGCAGATAATCTTGAATGTTGATTTGATCTACAATACATTGAGGTGCAAAAGTTCTTCCAGCGAAAAAAAGGGTAAACATAGTTGCTGCTGCGAGTCTTTGATAATTGGTATTCCATATCATTCTTGGGAATTCTTCGGGAACATCATAAGTATTGTGAACCAGTGCCGCTATTGTATTGCTAAAGTATAAAGGGTTGAAACCAGCAAGAGTAAGAGTCCAACCAGGATGACCAGAACCACCACAATGACGAGACCACTATAATATATATATGTATATAAAAAGGAGTTTATTACATATACATAAAAAAAAAAAATAATATTTCAATTCAAACTTACAGTATCTTGATGAGGATCAATGAATACTTTCAAATCATATTGTTGGCATTTTTTCAGTAATTGTATCACGTAGTCCAAATAGTCTTCATCATATATACCTCTATATAAAAGAAGATAATGTAAGCTTAAACCGAAAAAAGATACGAAAAAAAAAATACTTACGGGCCTTCATGTTCAATAGCTTCCCAAGTAATGACAAAACGAATCAAGTTGAAACCAAGAGAAATAATTCGTTGAAAATGTGTATCAGCTTCTTCTAAAGGAAAAGGTCTTCCAACAAAGTTAACCTTTCTATCATAGTCCACCCAGAATCCTTGACGGCAATGAGACGGAATTCCTACAGGAAGTTTGGCTCCACCTCCAACATTGATACCATGGAAGAGAATAGTTTTATTGGTTTCTTTGTCTATAAACCAAGGACCATCTAAATCTATCATTGGTATATATGTATGTATATATATATATTTAAAAAAGTATGAAGTGGAAAAAAAAGGGGAAAAAAAGGAAAGGGAAAAAAAAGGAAAAAAAAAAAAAAAAAGGTGAGAATCTAAAATAGTGGGTTAGTAAAGTCATGCCTGCCCTACCTTTGCATGTGTTCGGAATTCGAAACCCTTGGAAACCAGTTTCCACCAAAGCTACCAATACTCATTAAAAAAACTTATTCTACTGGTTTGGGTACCTTTTGATTCAAAAAAAAAAAAAAAGCCAAGAGAAAAAATGATCGACTGAAACCCAGCAAAGCTAAACCCAAAATGTCTTAACCAACTATAAAATTAGTTCTAACTAAATATCTTATATAAATATATCTTTTCAAGTCTCTCCTTTTCTTCCTTTTTCTTTTTTTTTTTTCTATATCATCATAGTATCCATCAATTATCATGGTGGTTTCTTATAAACGTCGTCTTTTTTATATCCTTGGAATTTTTCTATTGGTGATTTCATATCAATGTATGCATCTTATTCAATTAAACCTATCATCATCATCGTCGTCGTCGTCGTCATCATCATCTATAAATAATCAAATGGAAGACATTCCATTATCACCCATTCATCCTGAACAAGAAAATTTGAAAGATCAATTTAAGGAAGTCCATGTGGATCATAAATCATCCTGTCGTACTATCAGTGTAGAACGCAATACAGATCGTAATCATAACAACGCACATATGGATTACTGGTTGACGATACCTAAAGCAACCATCGAAAGTTACCGTGAACAATGGCAACAGTTCATCCAACGTGAAATGAAAAAACCGAGTCCCACACGTAAATCTTTTAAAGCATCACGCGGTATTGTACTTGTAGCTGGTAATGGCGATACTTTCCAACGTGCACTTACTACCACCAAGTTATTACGACATTATGGCTGTTCTTTACCTATTGAAGTATGGCATTTAAATGATGAACAACCTAATGATACACTGATGGTTCAATTACTCAAAGTAAAAGCTTTACCTCGTGATCTTTCTGATCATCATCTGTTACGACCAATTGATCATCGTCGTGGTGGAAATAAACAGTAAGTAAAAAAACTCCCAGAAAAAAAAAAAAAAAGCCTGTTGGTAGGCTGTCGAAAAACATAGTGAGATTAAAAATACTCTTTTTTTTTTTTTTTGTTATCTAGGTTTCAGATTAAGGTGGCAGCCATCATCAATTCGGCATTCGAACAGGTCATCTACCTTGATTCAGATAATATCCCAACAAGAGATCTCACTTTTTTGTTTGATATACCCCAATATAAAGAGACAGGTGCATTGTTTTGGCCTGATTTTTGGTAATCATACAAAAGAATCATCATCATTATTTATAAAGTCAATAATCTCATCGCTTTATTTTTTTTTTAAAAAAAAAAACAAAGGAAAACACATGGTGAAAATAGTATTCATGATATTCTTGATGTTGATTGCAAGGATGAATGGGAACAAGAGGTAAAGACCCTTGAAAGATAGTAACAAATCATATTTAACCTCAGATCCCTTTTTTGGATAATAGTCAGGGCAGATGGTCATCAACAAGTTAAAATCTTGGTATCCATTACAATTGGCCTGGTACATGAATGATCATCATGGTTAAAGTGTCAATCATTCAATCCATGACGAATCTTTGCTAATAAATATATCTTTTCTTTTCTTTTTTTTTTTTTAAAAAAAAAATAGACATCTACTATCAGTTTTTGAATGGAGATAAAGATACATTTCGATTTGCTTGGAAGGTAAAAGAAAACATCAAATATAAAAGTAATCATTGACATTTTTTTTTTGATTTACTATTAGGCATTGAAAACACCCTTTTTTATGAATCCAACGTTTTTAGGTATGGGAGGCACGTTTGCAGGAGATCGATTTTGTGGACATACTATGATACAATATCCACCACCATCATCAGAAGGAAAAAAAGAAGAAGACTCTATACCCTTGTTTGTGCATGCCAATTTGCTTAAGATGACAGACAAGAATCATTTTTTAAATCAAGAATCAAACGAATCAGATGACTTGATAGAAAAACCTTGGGAATGGATCAAAACTTATAAAGAAAGTGAAAACAATTTATGGCTTTTACCTGAATTTTATATTGGTATGGGAAGAGCTTGTATGGATTTTCGATCCGATCAAGGCGAACCTTCAGCTGAATTGAAATCATTTGATGCTCTGTTATCTGGATTACAACAATTGTACTTTAAGCTGGGTGGCATTGGTGGTGAGACACGCATCTAAAGAATAGGTGATTCCTTTTTTTTTTTTTTTTGAACAAATAAAATCTTTGCTGGTCTTGTATGAAAGTATGGATGATTGAAAGTATGGATGATTGAAAGTATGGATGATTGAAAGTATGGATATATATGGATGATCGAAAGTATGGATGATGGTATATGGATGATGATATATGGATGATAATGAATGAATGTATTGAGTAAAGTGAGCTCCCTAAATCATAATAACAAAGAAAACAAGAGTAAAAACATGGATGAATTTAAATGATGCTCCATAAAGATTACATGATATCTTTATTTACCCATGTTGATTTTATTATAGTGTGCAAATAAAAAGATAGATTTTGGGCGGTAGCAAAAAAAAAAAAAGGAGGAACACATTATTTGTTACTTTTGAAACAACAATTTAAATGGGGAGTGAAGTCAAAAAAGGAGTAGGGTCGTTGTAGAGAAGGAGTGGGGGAGGAATCAATGTTTATTTAAGCAATGAGAAAAAGAGAGAGGGGGGTTATCAACCTTTGCTCATCCATAAAAGGAACACCTCTTTGAAATTTCGAGTTTTTTTTCTTTTTCCTTTTTTTTTCCTTTTTTTTTTTTTTTCTTAATCATGCGTTTTCCTAACTTTGTCTTACTTTCTACTTTGATCATATCATCCATATGTTCAGCTCAAATTCCATCCAAAAGTGGTGAGTTTAACATCACCTCTCCATTGGATGATGGAGTATATGTCGCTGGACAACAATTACCCATTACCTATGTCATTTTAGACTCTGGATCAAGTAAGTATTACAATCATCATCATTTTTATTATCATCATCCTTTTTAATTCTTTTTTTTTTTTTTTTTTTTTGTAGGATTAAATTTGAATATATATTTCCAACCAGCACCTGGTGTTAATTATACAGGTCTTACTGTTGCTCAGAATGCAGATGTATCAGAAGTTGCTGGAGCAGTGGTGACCATCAATGGAAAATACTATTGGCAACATACTTATAATTACGCTATACCTGCTAATGCACCTCAAGGATCTTATCATGTTATTTTCGAATCTGTCAACACAAATACAAACACTTCTGTACCAGTGACCATCCGTCCCTTTGTCAATATTACTACAGCAGCTGCATCATCTAGTGCTTCAGCATCCATCGCCAGTGCAACTGAAAGTTCTGATACAAACAAATCTTTAGCTTCTACTCATCATCAACAGTCTATTTTATCCTTACTCCTTCTTTCCTTTCTTGTTTTTTATTCTTTCTTTGTTTTGTCCTATTAATGATCTTTTTGTTTTCTTTCTTCTTTTTTAATGGGTATATATTCTACTTTTCTTCTTTACAATAAACCATTATATAATATAATTTTTTTCTTTCATTTCTATGTCGATTATTGGTTGCTATGGTGTTCTATTTCATCAAAATTGACTACAATCGGTCTTTTGAAATCAGCTTTTTTTTTTTCCTTTCTTCTTCCCCTCTCTCTTTTCCTCCTTTTTTCACTTTTTTATTTTTATTATTTTCTTTCTCATGCTTGACATATCTTCAACTTATAATCATCTACCTCGTCAACTCAAGAACCATTATATACTTGCTCGACATGGTTTTTCATTGGCCAACAATGATAATTTGATTTGCTCCAATCCTGACATTGCTATTCCTTCCACCGGTGGTCCTCTAGGTACAGGTTATGGTCTACATGAAAAAGGAAAAGTTCAAGTGAAAGAGGTAAACCAATAAACGAAGATCATGTTTCTCCCTTTCTGTCCTTATTTTAATTTAACTTCTCCTTCCTTCTTCTTCTTTTGTTGACTTTCTTTATATCTCTCTCCTTTTTATATATATATATATATATATATATATAGTCTGCTACTCTTTTAGCTCGTCATCTGTTTCCTACTGGCTCTTATCAAGGCAACAACAAAGAACCCGTCAAGATATTTTGTTCACCTTTCAAACGAACTATGGAAACAGCTGCCATCATTCAAGAAACACTAAACCACCAAGTGACATTCAACAAAGATAACATGGTACAGGATCCTACACCTAACTTGCAACTTCGAGAGAGATGGTTTGGTGATTTTGATATGACCTCGGATGACAATTATCATATTTGTTGGCAAGACGATGGTTTGGCCCCAGATCATGGCGAACATTCTAAACACAACGTCGAATCCTGTACTGCTGTCTGTGATCGTGCTACTCAGTTTATCGTGGATGAGATTGAAGCTAATATGGAAGGCAAGATCGTCATCCTTGTGTGTCACGGTGATATCTGTCAGATTACTGCTACCGCGTTTATGCATATTGAACCTTGGAGGCAACGGGAAATCAAGCATGTTGAAACGGCCGAATGGAGAGATACAAAGGAACTTTAGAGGAATGATTTAGATTACTCTTGTAGTGTATAGATCATCTGTACTTTATTATTCTAGATTAGCCGTTCGTATATTAGAGTTTATAGAATTAGATGAAATAAAGTTGTATTATGTAAGTGTATTTCTTATACTTTTTTTTTTTTTTTGTGGGCAATAGAAGGATTATGTGAATATATCAAACAAAAAATACATATACATAGATATATGTATAAAGACATAGAGGATACAAAAATCATTGTTTTATTGAAAAGTGAGAATAATAATAAAAAAAAAAAATTGTAATATGATCAAATAGTTTCTATGCTATGAAGAATGATAAGAGATACAGAGATGTAATTAGAAGTGAGCGTATGTGATTGTGAGTAAAATATGTGGGAGATGTAATGCTGATCAATTCAAGGATTCTAGTAATGCGGCAGACATGACACTGTAAATCTTGGAACATCCATCGATACATTGTTCCATAGCCTAAATCATACATATATAAACATTAAAACGAGTTCAGTGATAAACCCATTCTTTTCTCTTTATCTTTATCACTAGTTATCCTCCTTTTTTTTTTTTTATTATTATTATTTACCTTTGAGATATCATCATTCTCTAATCGTCCAGCTTGAAGGATATGTGTGACTTGATTCAATGAAGGCATGTATGATAACATCAATGCTCCATCTTGTTGTTTTTCTTCGGTATCCGTTCCATCCATCAAAATCGACTTTTGAGAAAATACCTATTTTATTAAGAAAATATGGATAACAAAAAAAGTTAGATCGACAAATATATATATATATATATATATATATATACTTACAGCAGAGCATGCAGTTACTTGATCCAACATTTCAATACCAGCATCAGCAAGAGCCATACTAGCAGCAATGATAGCAGTAGCCAAACAAGCATTTGTTCCATCATTTTCCAATACATTCACATAAATATCCACAGCTGATTTAGGAAACAATTCTAATCGTACAGCAGGTGTCAATGCTTGTATCAGTGTGTTAGAATATTCTCTTTCTTGTGCATCCTAATAAAGTTCAAAATACAGTCAAGTATAAAGAATAATCCTTTCATATTTCTTTTACTTACTCTCATATGTCCTCTACGCTTCGTACATGAGAAAGTAGAGAATTTGAATTCACAATTCAAGATACCTTGTGGTGAAAAACCAGTTTTCTTGAGTTGACGCGGTCCATATCTAAAGGGAGAAACAAAAGTTAGTTATTGAAATAATTTGACCTTATTTCTAGTAACTTACACAGCACATACTAATTTTGTATTTCCCATTTCAATATATGTTGATCCATTGGATTGAGTGACTAACCCTGTCTTCATAACTATGAACAATAATAATAATAATAATAAAGGAAATATGAATAAAATATAATTTCACTAACAAAAAAACAAAAAAAAAAAAAAAACTTACAGATGGGTCGAAGATCATGAATGGTACGATCATCAAGACGTCTATTCTTTTCGTTCAAAATATTCTTTGATACAGTTGATTTCTTAAAAAGAGGTGGAACACTAAGTTCTGGTCCAGTAACACGTTTTCGATCCATTGGGGAATAAAAGTAGAAAGGAAAAGTTTTGTCAGAAAGAAAACTAATATTTTTTTTTTTTTTTTTTTTACTCTCTTTTCATTTTGCTTGCTCCAAGCGATGTAAACTCCGTCAAGTCACAATTGGCCAAAAAAAAAGCTTCTCTCTTTCTCTCTTCTCTCTCTCTCTCTACTCTTTCTCCCTCTACTTTTTGACATTTCCTATCTTTTTCTTCTGTTACTTATACTTAGTACTGCATTAATGTCAACCACTCAATCCGCCTTAAAAGAGGCTGATGAATATATTGGTAATATTCAAAAAAAAAATTCGTGACAACTACTTAGTACCTGTCTCTTTATATACTTTCTTACTTTAGACTATGACACGTTTCTGGCCGATGACTTTGATGCCAACCAATATGCTCATAATGTTATCAATGAGTCTGATAAAGGTGATCAAACAGAAATTGCAACTGCTCTTTCCAAGTTATCCTTCAACATTGATAGTTTGAACAAGCAAATTCGGAGTCAAGTAATGCTGAAAAGACCATCTACCATTTTAATTAGTTTGAAACTTTTTTGGATTTAGAAGCCTTGATGTCTCTTTTTTTTTTCTTCTTCTTTATATTATAATAATAGGTTACGATGAACTATGAAGCATTACTAGATCAAGTGACAGGTATCAAGGAATTGGATATCGTATTATCTACTGTGCAAGACAATATCACTGTTCTAAACACCTCTCTGTCAAGGTACGAGAAAAAAATATCATATCCAAAACTCATACTTATTCTTGGTCAAACGAATAATAATCCTTTTTTTTTTTCAGATTATCTCTCAAGATACGCACGCCTTATGAACAATTAGAAACTTACACGACACAACTGAGGAACTTGCAAACGACCTGCGATCTTTTACGTCGATTACATCGGTTCATTGTACTCTTTAAACGCTTGAGCTCACAATACTCAGGTCCTATGGAAAAGAAAGCATTGGATGACTCATCTAAAGAAACGATGAACGAACGCGACATCACAGCAGCAGCAACCACTATTCATGAACTAGGTATTATTATTGATGAATCGGATTTCGATGGGATTGATATTGTCACCAAGGAATCACCTATGATCCAACAGTGTCGTGAACGTATCATACAGGAAGGTGATCGATTACTGAATCAAGGCATTGAATCTCATTCACAAACCAAAATGGCGGCTGGTCTCCAGATCTTTTATAATATGAAAATGATGGTACCCAAGGTGGAATCTTTAACTCAATCGATGTTAGATGATCTGAACAATAAAATCAAACATGTGGTAGATATGCAATCTTTACAAAAGGAAATGAAAGGTAATACAGGAAAAAAAGAGAAGAAGTATCATTAATGACTCATTAAATCATATAGGTAATACACCTTCACAAGGACCAGCAGTACGACGTGTCAACAATGAACCAACATTTGGAAATCAAAGTCCTTGGGTCAATACACTTTGGACAAAGATGGATGGATTGATGCAAACAATGAGTGATAGCTGTATCAAGGTACTATTATCTATTAAGAGAGGTTTATTTAATCAACCTTTTTTTTTTTTTTTTTTTTTTTTGTTATAGATTTACAATTTGGAAAAGGTGCTTGAAATCAAGAAAGATTCGTACACCCATGTATCATATCTAGATGAAATTATCAAGGTAGAGTTAGAAAAAGCAAAGTATCCCTTTTTTTTGACATTTTTGTTCTTTCTTTAGATATTGGACACATCAAGTCTTGTTAGTCATTTTTGGAGGATACTCTCAGCGACTTTTGAAAAAGAATTGAAAGATGCAACAAAAGGCAAGTAACAAAATAACTGTAAAGGATTTAAATATCTTGTGGACTAACCAATTTTTTTTTTTTTGTTTTATTCTTTAGCGTCAACATTTCTTCAAAATACATTTGTGGGGGATTATCCAAAACTACTCCGACTTTTGCATGGATTTTTCTCTAGGGTGGCATTACATCGAGGATCTTCTATATCTGATTATTCCCAAAGGTAAGAAGAAGGATATGCATAAACATAATATCATATAGTTCTGACTCTTTATTAATTTGATAGTCCGGAGTATATCATCATGTTACGAAGTTTCAGTACCTTTGAAAATGGTTATATGGCAAGATCATTAGCAAGATTGAACGAGGTTGTGAATGCTGCCTTTCCGGCCTATGGTGGTATGACTCGATCTGCACCTAGTCGAGCGAATGTATTGACGATCACAAGAACGATTGAAAAGTAAGTTTACAATATCATGATTAAAACTTTACTCATGATAGGTTGATTCACTTTTCCTTTTTTTTTTTCTCTCTCTTTATCATATAGGGAATTGGAAACTGCTGCTTTCGAACATCATTTATTACAAGCTGTTGCGAAAAATGTGGTCAAATCTTTAAATATGTTTTGTGTAAAAAGTGAAGGACTAGTAAGTAGAATTGTCTAATAAAAATATATAGAAAAAAATGAAAGAAAGAAAGAAAGAAAAACAAAAGGAGGGAGTATGTAGTGTATGTTACTCAATTTATTTCTTCATTTTCTTGATAGGTCATTCCATCCATCCAATCTATCTATTCGGTGACACCTAACAATAACATTACGAACTACCTCAATATGAATATCGAACTTGCCAATGTATTATACTATATGGATCAATCTGTTTGGAAAATCCTTGAAGAATATTCTGAAAAGACTGTGGACATCATCAAACATGGGGTAGAGGTAAAAATAACCAAAAATATTTTTTTTTTTTTTGAATATTAACTTTTTTTTTTACTTTTGAATTCTTACAATAATAGGATTGTCGACGATTGATGTTATCCATTGGACAAAAACTAGTACAGGAAATTGAAGCAGATATTACTAATGTACTTTTGCAAATCCATCAAGAAGACTTCTCTGGACAATTACGACGTCCACATGATCAAGATGATGAATCCTCAAGTCAATATACCAAAGAACTAGCCAAACATGTCCGTTATTATCATACATTCATTTTATCTCGACTCTCTTGTGGAACTGAACCAAAATCATGGTAATTCTTGAAAATAATAATTGTTATGTCATGTCATTTACCCCTATATTTTGTAATTTTATATAAATCAAGGGCAAGACAAATTGGTAAACATATTTTGAAAGTGTTTATATTCCAAGCAAGTTTGGTACGACCATTGAATGAGACTGGGAAACTCAAATTGGCAGGAGATATGGCAGAAATCGAATTTACCGTCAGTCAAATCATGAGTGAATATGGTGCAAGAATTGAAGATGTTGGAGATGAATATAAAGCATTACGGGCATTTAGGTAATAATAATAATAATAATAATAAAAAAGGATTTTTTTTTCTGATGGTAACAATTTATATTTATAGACCATTACTATTCTTGGATTCAGCACAATTGACAGCAACACATCATACAGCCGGTATTCCACCCATTGCATTGATCCATCATCTTGTTGTTCGATCACAAACAACAGCACACCCATTGTCACTTCCACATACTGTGTATGACTTGTCAAGGCCTGAATATATGAAATGGATGGACGCACAAACGCCAAAGGAATCGGTGCAGCTAGCTTTGGATGCCATTGATCGTGGAAGCAAAATGTCTGAAGCCGAATTACAAGAAGTACCTGAATACCGTTTTATCTTGAACATTGCAAACCAATTAGATTAGATTAGATGACTAGAATAATATAATTGGATGATAGATGATAAAATAATAAACAGTTTGGACTTTATTGAATGAAATATATATATATGTTTTGGGAAATGATATACACAATAAATAAAATATGAATTGTAAAATGATACGGCAAGTGGAGAAGAGCACATCAAAAAAAAAAAAGTTGAATCTAATTAGATGGATATCGAACAGGATCTAAACGATACACTGCCAGTTGGCCCTACCATACAAAAAAAAAAAAAAAAAAAGGATTAATATGCAGCTTGTGTACAATTTATGTGGATTATCTTCTTCTATATCCAAGTGATACCTTGGGGTTATGTTTATGAACATCTTTACTATGGACCAGTGCATTCAAACAATCATTCACACGGTATTTTGGTAATTTCACTTGTTCCACTATCGTTGCCATGTTCCTATACATATAGAGATGACAGTTAAAGTAAATTCTTTTTGATCAAATGAATAGCTTACATTCCCTCTGGTTTTGAACGTAAAGCACGTAACACTGTTTCCATTGTTTTCATATGTTCCTATAAGAAAAAAAAAGAAAATGAGATGGAATGCCTTGTTCTAATCCTATTATTACCGTTTGTTCTCGATACTTCAATGGTAAATGATCGATGATCTTTCGAATATTGATCTATCCATAAAAAAAATATATATATAAATGATCTTATGATGACTAAAAACAAAATTTTTTTACCTTTGTAGCGAATTTCAATGTTTTGTGTGTTGATTGGGTATCTGAAGACTGAGCGTTTCCTGTTGATGATGATGATGAAGTTTTTGTGGTTGCTGCTGTACCCTTTTTATTCCCAAGTAAATCCGTCCCTATTGATTTTGATCGATCTATATCAAAAAAAAAAAAAAAAAATTATGAATAAAATATCTCATATATCGTTATGTATCATTTACCTTGCCAAGAAGAATATGTTTCAAAATCAATCTTACCAGGAGCATTAGGCCAATGAATAGTCGCGCCATTGGCTGAAAGTCCAAACAGAAAGGCACCAAAAGCATCATTAAACCTAGATAACGAATCGTCCACCTTTTTCAACTGATCAAATTGTTCATTCATGGTAGTAAATGCTGCGTTCACTGAGGATAAGGATTTTGTCAATCGTTCAAAGCAAGTGGTGGAAGGATCAGATGCTGTTGTTGTCGTGTTTGCCGCTGTAATATTTGTTGTTGTTGTATGTGTGACTCGACTGGATCTGTTTCTATTATCGTCTAATCCATATTCAAATCGTTTCCGTGGTGATACATCATTTTCTAAAGATCGTTTACTTTTCAGTGTCATTTTAGTGAGTTTGCAAAGGAGGAGAACAAAAGAAAGAGAGAAAAAAAAAGAGGTCCAGATATTGAAGTTTACTTCATATTTCAATCAGCGATCATTTCCTAATAAAAAAAAGTAATATACTATTCTTTTTCTTTTTTTATTATTTTTATTATCATCGGCACAAAACGACATTCAATATCAAACTACTACAATAAAATAAATCCACTACTTTTCTAATACCTATTCTTGACCAAAATAATAATAATAATAATAATAATAAAAAAGTATGGATTCAGAGCCATCTAATCGATCAGCAAATACGACAGCTGAATATCCTAGTTCAAAAGGAGGAATATATGAACATGAAAACAATGAATGGCCCAAAAAAAAAGTGAGAGTGAGAGAAAGAATGAAAAGAGATGATAAAAAGTAAAAAAAAAAAAAAAAAAAAAAAAAGGAAAGAAAAAGAAAACCAGGATATGGACAATTATGTAAATGTGTAGCTAGCCTGAAAGGGAGGGGAACACTATAACTAACAAACAATCCAATGGCGAATGGAGATAAACAATCGTATTTCTATGTTGCCTTTGGTGTGCCATCTTGTCGACCTAAAATCTTGATCACAGGTTGTTGGTTGTTTGTTGCATCTCCAGTACCAGGTTTTGGCTTCTTATCCCTATTTCTTGATCGTTTCGGTTTGGAGTTGCCTTCCTTCTTCCCTGATGTTGCAGATTTGTCTTCCTTCTTCTTGTTGCTATTAGTGGCAGGTGCTGATGATGTTGATGGCGATTCATCCTTTCCTTTTGATCCTTCTGTTGATTGCTTGGATTTGTCTTTCTTTTTCCTAGAACGAGATTTCTTTTCACCAGTTCCAGTTTTCACATTGTTGTTGTTATCTTGGCCATCTGTTGCTGCTGCTTTCTTTTTCAGTAACGTTTTTGCCGCAGCTTTCTTCTTTGCCGCCTTTGCCGCCTTAGCCGCCTTTTGAGCACGAAGATGTTCCAATAAAGGTGTTGTTTTGGGTTTGTTAGCTTGTTCTTGAGCCAGTGCTTGTGCTATTTTTTTTTTTTTTTTTGATAAAAGAAGCGTTATTATCTTTTTTTTTTTTTGACTTTGTATATCATAACTATTATAGTACCTGTCACCAATGCAAGTCTATTTTCTAACCGTTCAATTTGTGCTGGGCCATCCACCGGTTCCGTTCCTTCCGTTTCTTTGGTTTGATCTGCTTTTAATGATTCCAAAAACTTGATATAATCAGGATCTAACGTTGCAGATAATAAATGGTCAATCATTCAATCCAGTACAAGCAGTTTACATATTTTCAATAGATTACCTTCATCAATAGTGCCTTGACGGACATCAGGAGCCTTGTGTTCCTTAGGAATACCTTGATAAGGAGCAAATTCCACAACTGCACGACTTTCGTTGCCTTCAATATTAAGAAGAAAAAATCAATGGGTCAATCCAACTATATATATATATATATATATTTGATATGTTCTTTTATTTCCTTACCTCGACTATCCATAAAGATGTGACCATCAAATCCTTGGTGAAAGGCTATGACAGCATCAATAGATTTCATATGGAAGTAAGCACGTGAGAATGTACTTTCCTTTGCTTTACTACATAATAATAATAATAAAAAAACGAATCAGGACGAGTCATCATTATATAAATAATAATAAAAAGATTGTACCTTTTGGCCAGTTTTCCAGGGATGTAAGTCTTAAAATCCACAAGATCATCAGTAGTCCATTGTTGAACAGCATTCATAAATACATCTTCAGGAAGATTGGGAGGTAAACGGCGAACGACTACTTTCGTCTTTGGTTCATTCTTCTTGGCACGTTTAGCCTTTTTCTTTCGTCGGTCTCGTCGTTTCTTTTTCTTTTCCAAAGCTTTTTGTTTGTCTTTCTCCTTGTTTGTACTATTGTCTATAGTAGATGTAGAGTCAGTTTTGTTAGGTAAAGTAGAGGCTGGTATCGGTTCCGTCATCTAAAGAAAGAAAAAGAAAAAAAGAGAGAGAGTGTGTGTGTTAAGAAAAAGAGAAAGAAAGAAAGAAAAAAAATTGAAAATTTACTACCAAAACAACTCGACGCAGTTTTAAAAAAAAAGCTCACTATTGAAATTCATTGGAACAATACATACAAGAAATAAAAATCTAAACATGGATGATGAGTCCTAATATGGAGATCATTGAGAACAAGATATTTTTTTTTTTTTTTTGTATAATTGATTAGAAATCAATAGATGATAAAGAAAAACTCTATGTTCTATACGTTTAAATGTCTACGAGGATAATGAAATGAACCAAAAAAAAAAAAAAAACACCTTTCCATGATCACAGATATATTTTCAATAGAAAATGAGTATTTATTGGATATATATACGGTAATAACAAAAGATACAAGTAAATATAAAAAAAAATGCCAATAAAGATATGGAAATATATAATAAGAGGTTGGTATGAGATAACTATAAAGACAGTGTAAATAATTGATATATAGTAATAATAATACTAATAATAATAATAATAATAAACAGGTGGATGATAGGTATATAATAAATAATAATAAATAATAATAAAAAGAATGATAATATATATAAAGATATCAAGAATTTAATCCAAAAGTTGCATGTCTTGGGGACCAGACCATAGACTAATCATGATAGCAGTAGATAACACAAAAGCAAATCGGAACCAACGCCAAAGTCTTTGAAAAGCCTTCAAGATCCATTGACGAATCATACCTGGACGTGTTGCAGAAGGATCATACCTTGTAATTAACATGGATGATTGAACCAAATTGGGATATAAATCTTGACTAGGAAAAGTGTATTCTACCAAGGCTTGATGCAGCTGATCATCATCATCATTAAGTTTGTCATGTCCATCATCAGTGGTGTTAAAAAAAGGATGACTATTCCATCCATTATATTGACCAACAGCTGAAATTGAAGCTGGTATATCGTGTCCAATATATAATTGTTGTTGTTGTTCAATTTGTTGTTCCAATTGATAAATCATACCAAGTGCATCGTCAATCAATCTATTATCCAATCCAGTTGCTTTAGTAAGAATCGTTTCAAAGGGATCCATTTCCAAAAATGATTGTTTGTCAAAAAATGGAATTGAAGAGGATGCTGATGATGCCATGGATGATAATGATGATAGCAAAGAAGTGGTTCCATTTGGATGATCCACCGTACATTGTTTAGTTGACACTGGATAGGTTTGATTTTTGTTCCATTCCGAACCTAGTTCATCCAAAAGAGAATGTCGTATCATATTGTCGTCTTCATTGTGATGTATACTTGGACAAGATGTAGATGATGAAGAATGAATATTGATGCCTCGATCTCTTAGTTTTTGAAATACAGCACGGTGATCTTCTAAAGATTGATTGAGTTCAGAGATATGTTGGAATTGTTGATCATAGGTTTGTTGTAGAGATTTGTACCCTTCTTCGGTAAATTCGAATGTATTCAGTTGTTGTTTGAGTTGATGTAAATCTTTCAATGCAGTGGCAAGTTTCGATTCCATATTACGTTTTGCTTCTAATGCTGCTCGTTGTTCTGCTTCCAATCGACGTACATCATCCAAGAGTTTGTCCACATCCTCGTTGTGTTTTTTCTTGTCATTGTTACTTTCGTTTCGTCTTCTCTTTTGTTCTTGATTCATCAGTTCCAGCTCCTGAATTTTATTGGTTGCCATTTCCAAATCGTTCTTTAGAGCCATCATTTCAGATTCCAATTCTTTAGTACGTTTACTACTATGAGTTTTCATTTTGGCGTGTTCTTGAGTTAGTTGCTGTAATCGTTCGTTGAGTTCAGTATTTTTTTGTTCCAATACTTCAATGATCACTTGTCTTGCATTCATAGAAGGAGCATATTGTAAATCAGGACGTTCATCATCATCGATTAATTCTCCTTCTTCTTCTTGTTGTTGTTGTTGTTGTTGTACTGATTGTAAGAGTTGTTGATAATTTTGTTCCAATTGTACATTTGTTGTGAGTAACTGTTTTCCAATTTCAGCTGCAAGTGTCAAATCTATAATAATAATAATCGAGTAGGGTCATTCCCATAAAAAGAATGTGAATCACATGAAAATAATTTTCGACAATATATATTCTTTTTTTTTTTTTTTGATAAACATTCTTATCAATAATGAAAAAAAAATATCTCATTGTTTACCTTTTTCTTTTTCCTTGAGAGAATAATAAGCATTTTTCAACATTGGGATCAATTCATGTGGCGCTTTGTCAACAATCCATGACATGGATGACATTTTCGATGTTGTAGAAAAAGTAGGTGAAGGAGGTGGATGATCAATCATTGTTTTTGTTGATAACTGTAATGAAGTTGGTTTCCTACGAGACATCATTTCAAAATAATAAAAAAGAAGAAGAGGGAAAATCAAAAAAAGAAAGATAAAAAATATCAATCATCGTTCCTTTTTTTTTTTATTCTTCATCGGACAATCAATCCTTTTGCCATGTGAAATCCCAAAAAGTATGCAACTTCATGCCGCTATTGACTGGATGAGGGGCCATATCGCGTGAAGTAGTTTCCATCATCTAAAAAAAGGACAATCAGTACAATAAAAAAAAATATCAAATGGATGATCCCTTTTTCATCAAACTATAATACACACACAACAAATAGATAAAAAAAAAATTGTAAACAAATAGATGTATATTTTTTATTTCAAACATCAGAAAAAAAAAGAATAACCTAATCAGACTTGTGGAAAGCAGCAACCTTAGCAGCAACCTTAGCATCACGTTGCTTCTTGTTGAGACGTTGTTGACGGCGGTAAGGCTTAGCGGGAACACCCTTCTTTTCAGTAGGCTTGTGAACAGGATCAGCACGGATGGCTTCATGAGCTTCAGTGTACATATCTTCAAGAGCATCAGAGGTGACACCAGCCTTGAGGAAACCAGCAAAGTGCTTCTTGTATTTTTCTTCATCTTCTTCTTCCAAGTATTCCATGTATTCAGCAACGTGGACACCATAGATGTAGTTGCGCAACAATTCATCATCGTTGGTCTTGGTTTCAATGTCATAACCAGGGAAACGGTTACCAGAGTGAGGGATAAAGATACCACCATCGGAAGCACCCTTCATAGCACCGAACACACGAGCACCAGTGGAAGTACGGGCCAAACCAACATCCAAGAAAGCCTTGAAAGGACGAGGACCTTCTTCATTAGCTTCGGTCATAGTAATAGCACCATCAACTTCAGTTACACCTTCATACTTATCAGCAAGACCGAGCTTGGTCAAAGTACGACGAGCCAACAACAAACCAGTGGCATAAGCAGCAGCCCAGTTGGTCAAACCACCCTTGATACCATAACGAGGCAATTCATGAGCATAGGCAGCAGACAAGACAAAGTCACCTTGGAGCTTGGCGTACACAATTTGACAAATGATATCCTTGTTGGTGAAACGGACAACCAATCGGTACTTGGGAGAGTTGTACTTGTTCTTGGCTTGAACGACAAGTCTCTTACGAGCATAGTAGTCGGTCTTGCCCTCTATAGTTTTTTTTTTTAAAAAAAAATGTTAGTATATGAATGCTATTGTATACGTAAAAGAAAAAAAAAGAAGAAAAAAAAAAGTCAAATGATATATATATATATCAGATAGGGGCGAAAAAGACTAGAATCACCCAGTGGGTAGTAAATCCACTGTCACATGAACTATACTTTGCGAGATCATCATATTATATATATATATATATATATATACACTTTGACCTTTTTTTTTTATCTTTCATTGGTATTTCTTTATTATGATGGTTTACCTCTTCTTCTACGGTACTTGACTTGGTAACGCTTGAAGTAGGCCTTGTTCTTTTGTTGCTTGACGAAAGGCTATTTAATTGAATTCCAAAAAAAAAAGGTTAACAACTTGTTTCATCCCTTCATATCATCCATCCATCCATCCGTCTATTCATCCATCCATCTATTCATCCATCCATATATCCGTCTGTTCAGCATCGTATTCTCCATTCTTCTACATATTCCCATTCATATGATAATGATAACTATACATACCATGGTGATGACAAAGGGGAAAGGAAAGAACTACTAGTTTTTTCATGATGATCCAACTTTGAGATTTTTTTTCAAAGTCCGTCATAAAATCCACATATAAATTGCCCCTTTCTTAAATAGCTGTGATTAATGCTCTTAATAAAAACTATACATGATCTCTCAACAAGTAGCTTTTTATTTTATTTCATGAGATATAAATTCTATATTCTATTTCATGACATATAATGATTGGATGATTGATTTGGTTTAATAGAATAATCATCATTATTTGGTAGGTTCAATGTGATTGGAGGAAAAAAAACAGTATAAAAAACACTTTTTTTTAAATTCTCTTTATTTCTTCTACAAAAACAAAAAAAGGCCAATTGCTTGTTTTGGACGCTTCCTTGTTGGTATCTTCTTCTTTCCGTTCACCTGGTCACACGCGACAGAATATTAATTCTTGTTTCCACGTTTTCCTCGTTGTTCTTTTGGTCATGTTGTGCCTACGGTTATCTGTCTTCCTTGCTGTTTTGATCTTTTTTTTTTTTTTTTTTTTTTTTTTTTTTTTTTTTGGTAAGTGCACATGTACAACTAATATTCTGTTAACCATTTTTCCATTTCTTCTTTTCGAAAACCGAAATGGGGGGGGGGAAGAAGTACTTAGATCCACGAAAAATAGGTATGTATCCCAGTATTGAATCTTTCTAGATTTATGCATGTTTGTTGGATGTAATAAAAATAATATTGTTTATTAGCATTAGACATAAATAATATTCTGTGATGATTGAATACAAATAATATAGAGATAGGAAGATGATCATAGTCAAGGCAATGAATATATATATATATAAAATATGGTCATGATTTTATTGCGTTGTTGGATCAATAAGGACATTCTACAGTAACATCCTTAATATAGGCAGACACTTCTTGATTCGACCACTAGAAAAAGATAAAAGTGGGATGTTAGTAAAGATGATGATGATGGATGATGAGGACGATGATATGATGGTATGATGGGATGATGACAATGATGATGGATTAGTAATTTACCTTGATAGGACCCTGAGCCCAGTGAGCAGTACCAGCGACATCCGATGAGTCCCATAAACCAATTTGGATCTGAGAAGGATTAGTGGGATACATAGCCTTGCCTTTCTTTTTAATAATTTCTTCTAAAGTGGTTTCCCGGATCATCTCATCATCAATATACCAGCGAATAGCCTTTGGTGACCTATTTTAAGAATTAAAAAAAGAAAAAGAAAAGAGAGGTTACCCAAAAAAGGAAATGTTCATTGCCAAGTTTTTTTTTTTTTTTTGACTTTCAATGTCAAAGAAACCTTACCAATCGATAGTATATTTGTAGAAAGTATCGGATACAGAACCCTTGTGGATTTCACCATTTTCTCCGGTCTTGACCCTTTTACCCCAAAAGTAATTGGTTCTATAGAAAAAAAAAACATTAGACAAAGAATAAATAATCTATAAATATATTTGAACTTACTGAGCATTATCGGCTATAGAATAAACAAAGAAACAAAAACCAGTTAAACCATGATTTTTTTTTTGTTGTCAGTGAGATAGGATGATTTTTTTTTTTTTTTTTTTTTTTTTTTTTTTTTACTTACGAGAAGCAAGAAGCTCAAAGTCGATTTCATCACCTTCAGTAGACTTGAAGATCAGGGCAGTGACAGCACCTCCCACTGCAGGTGCCTTGATTTTAGCTGAGATGCGACCATACTGGACTTCAGAATTGTAAACAAAAGTAGGACCTCGACCAGCTTTGGAGTTGTAGTAAGATTCTACCATATAGGAAAAAAAAATCTTAAGTGTCTATTCTACTTTTTTTTTTTTTGTATGATGATGATGATTGATAAAACTTACTTTCATTCTCATCATACTTGCGAGTATAGCTATCAGGAGGTAAAAGGTTGAATTTCAAGCCATTTTCTGCTGAATCATATTCATCTTCTGTCACATCTTGACCTTCCCATTCTGAGCTTTCACCAAAATTTCCACTAAAAGGAGTGCATTGACCTCCACCACGTTTAGCATAGGATGATGGTGCAGCAGTCAAACCTTGTAGAACAGAAAGACCTAAGAGAGCAATAGCTGTAAGAGAAGTAGATACCATGATCAAGAAAAATACAACAAGTAAAAAAAAAAAAAAAAAAAAAAAAAGTGAAAAAGGAGAAGAAGAAGCACGAAAAAAGTGACAAGAAATATGTCGGCTTTTATAATCGAAGGAGAGGGGGGGGAGACAATGTAGATCCCGCGAAACTCGAGGTTAATAATCAATCATTTTTCAGAATAAGAAAAAAGAAAAAGATTCTCAAGGGGTGTGCACGTTTCGTTCTTCAATTTTAGTAAGATGAAAGAGAGAGAGAGATTGGAGATTGTATCTTCATCAAAAAGAAAGGGGTTTCAAGAGGTAGACTTGTTAGGAGTAACATTTGGAAACTGTTAACCTACGTTCTTAAACGAACATGACTTGTTGGTGTTGATCTATACACAGCCATTGAAAACGTATATCATCATAGGAAATCATTATTCAGATCATCCTATTTATCATCATCATGATCATCATCAAAATCTACCAAACCTTTGGATATATCTTTTATTAATAATAGTCCAATAAATCAAATATATAAAAAACAATCAATATAAACTATAATCCATAATGACAACACGCTGTTTATTATTTGATAAAAAAATGTCTAAACTAGATGATGATGACTATAAAAAGATAAAACAAAACAAATTAGATACAATCTTATATATATATATTTGTCTCCTGATATTATATCTTTTTATCACTTCCTCTGTCTAGAACAACTAACCAAAGTTCCATATTTATTTATTTTTTGCCGTATCGTACCTCCTTATCCCTTTCACTCATCTTTTTTTTTTGTTGTTCTGGACCTTTTTTTTGTTCTTTATATATTCACTTACTTTTTATTGTTCTTCTTCAGCAACAGCCCAGTAGTTACCAACAACAGGGATCTTGGACAAAACATCCTTCTTGACCAAAGGAATATCAGAACCCAAAAGAGCAAGAGCGGTACCAGCACCAGCACCCCATAAAGCAAGAGAAGGAGCACTACAAAAAAAAAAAAAAAGAAATAAGCATTAGTAAAAAAAAAAAAGTGAGAGAGAGAAAAAAACAAAGTTTGTCCAACAAAGAAAAGAAAAAAAAAACAGGTAAAAAGAACAAACTTTTTCATGTACGAACATGTTCTTTCTTTATATAACTACTTACACTCGAATGAGCTTTTCAGGAGTAATGAGACCGAAATGTGGGGAGGTAATGATTTGCTTGACAGGCATTGTATGTTGTTTTTAAAGAATGATAAAGAGGAGAAAGAAAGAAAGAGAGAGAGAGAGAAAAAAAAAAAAAAAGAAACTCAGTCCCAGGGTAACCAAACATCCCATTCAATTTTTTTTTTTTTTCTGACGTGGATGGTGTTGAGAACCCGCAAACCCTCTCTCAAGCCGAACAAAGATAACAAGTTTGGAGATTTCCTTTTATGTTAGTGTTGTTATAAACATGGTTTTGATAGACTTGTTTTCAAAAATAAAAAAAAAAAAAGAAAAAAAATGGTGGCGTTCAGGTAAAAAAACATTTTCTTTTTTTATAAAGAGGGGGGGAATACAACAAGAACCCTAGTTATTCATTCTTGGAAAAAAAAAGTATACTGTCATTTTTGTCTGGTTAGCGCATGGATCAAATCAACAAAAAAAAAAAAAAAAAAGGAGGTTGTTCATCATCCCGCCAATCATATAACAAACAATCTTTTGCTAAAATCATCATCATCAAGAATGTAGATTATTGAACTATCAGAAAAAAAAAAAAAAGACATTGAATAAGTAATGATTACTTTTATTGTTTTATCTACAGCCATAAACTAATCTAAAAAAAAAGGAGGGAAATAGAAATAAGATGTATAAAAGAATCATACAAAATAATATCATTGTAAAGCAAGAGAGAAAAAAAAAAGAGGAGTACCATAAAAGGAGAGGGAAATAGATAAAAAATAATAATAAAATAATTATAATAATAAAAGGGAATCCAAGTGAAATTTGGAAGTAAAAGTTCCGTTTTTAGTACCAGTTGGATTTAGATTGATAATGAAGAGGATCACCACGATTGTTATATACAGAAGGCGGAGGAATAGGAGCCATTGGACGTCCATCACTACTATAATCATTCATATATTGAGGTGGAGGTTGAAAATGTGGAGGAGCAGGATATCTAAAGATATATATATAAGTTTCTATATATGATTTTTATTTCCTTTTTTTTTTTTTTTTTTTTTTTTTTTTTTTTTTTTTTTTACCCATAATTTCCATAACCAGGATAACCACCTTGAGGATAAGCATTAGGATGATAAGAATAATTTGGTATCATTCCTCCAGCATTGTTATTGTAATAACCAGGTCCACCAGTAGCAGCAGCAGCAGCAGCAGCCATTGCAGGATTACCACCATACATATTCATTTGTTCATAATCAAATTGACGATAATCCCTACCACCAAATGAAATACCCCCTCGACCATAATTCATTCCTCTTCCACGACCACGTCCACGACCCATCGTTGCTGTTGTTGTTGATGATGATGATGATGATTTTCCTTCTCGAGCTACAGCTTCCATAAAATCAGGTACTTCTTGATTGGCTTCTTTGAGTAGAGCAATAAAATCATTGACAATATTCTTGTTGTTTCGATTGAAAAAGGCAGTAGCAAGACCAGTGTTTCCAGCACGACCTGTACGACCAATACGATGCACATAATCATCAATATAAGAAGGTAAATCAAATGAAATCACATGTTCCACATTGGCGATATCCAATCCACGAGCAGCCACAGCGGTAGCAACCAACAAAGGAGTACGACCCATACGAAATGATTCTAAAGCCCGTTCACGTTGTGCTTGAGTTCTGTCTCCATGAATAGCAGTTGCTGGAAATTGTTGTGATATCAAAAAGTCATTCAAACTATCGGCCATACGTCGAGTTTCCACAAAGATCAAAGTCAAAGCACCCTTTTTCATAAATCCATTGCTATCCGTATGTAGAATATCTAATAGTGCCGCCCGTTTGTCATCATCTTCCACAAAGAGTACCTTTTGAGTAATGTTTTCTGATGTCGATCCAACACGTCCTACCGATAAAAAGACATAGTCCTTCAAAAAGTCCCGTGCCAAGTGTTGAATATCTCTTGGGAAAGTAGCCGAAAACATCAGTGTAATGCGATCTTGAACACCAGGCATATCTTCTCCTTCAACAATACGTCGAATTTGAGGTTCAAATCCCATATCCAGCATTCGATCCGCTTCATCCAGTACTAGATATTGTAAATGTTGTAAAGATACATGACGTCGTTCAAGAAGATCTACCAATCGTCCAGGTGTTGCCACTAAAAGGTCACATCCTCCACGTCCAATCTGTCGAATTTGATGAGAAATATCCGTACCGCCATATACACAACATGGTCGTACCCAACTTCGATAGGCAAACTTGTTGGCTTCTTCATAGATCTGTGAAACAAGTTCACGTGTTGGTGCAAGAATCAGTACAGTGGGATAACCAGCAGGAGTCGCCATGACACGTTTGTTTTCAGATTCTTCATTATTATCCTTGGATGCATCTTGTTTTGATGATGGACCTTTGGAATACATTTCTGATAAAATAGGGAAGAGAAAACCACCAGTTTTACCAGAACCTAAAATAAATATATGAAAAAGCAAAAAAAAAAAAAAAATAATAATAAGAAAACAAAATCAGTAATCTTTTTCAAAATGATAAAAAAAAAAAGGCGAAATCCTACCTGTTTGAGCACATGCCATTAGATCTCTTCCAGCAGCCACAATGGGAATGGAATATTTTTGAACAGGAGTAGGAGTAGAATATCTTGCCAATTCAATGTTAGTCAATAAATGAGGATCCAAAGGAGGAGCAGTGAAAGTTGAGATGGCTTCAGGACAGTTTTCACCAGTTGCTTCTACAGGAATATCGTCATATTTTTCAAAGTTGATACCAGTATGTTGACGATCTAGATCTTCAGGACTACCAAATAATTCACGTTCTATACGAGGATTTCTTTTGCCGATATGATGAACACCGTCCTTGAAATAACCTTGAGTATCTGAACGACGAGGGACAAAGTCATCACCAGGTCGTCTAAAGTTGCCAGTATTATTATTATTATTGTTGTTGTTGTTGTTGTTGTACGTGTTGTTTCGATAACCATATGATCCACGTTGTTGCCATTGTCTTTGACCACCATCACGATTATAATCATTACGATACCACCTAGAAATAAATAATTGAGTTCTCCTTGTTATTGATCTGTTTATTTTTTTCTTTTACCCTTCAGCACGAGGAGGTCGTTGATTATTCCAACCTTTATTATAATTAGATGCCCCTGAAGGAGTACTACCATCATTCATAAAAGATTGACCAGACGAAGGAGCATTAGAAGGAGGATTGTCACCAAATCCAGTGTTGGCTAAAAAAGAAAGTGATAAAAAAAAAGTTTTCTTAAGATCTTTGGCTTTCATAATGACTCTTTATCTATTGTTTTTTCTTACCAAATTGTTGTTCCAATTTATCTATGGAATTTTCTTGGTTCATCTTTCGCTATATGATGAAAAAAAAAAAATAAAAAGAAAAGAAAAGAAAAGAAAAGAAGAAACAAGGTAAAAGGACAAAAAAAAAAGAAAAAAAAAAAAGAAGAAAAAAAAAAATAGAAAAAAAAAAGGAAAGGGAAGAAAAAAAAAAAGGACCATTGGACTAGATAAATCAAAGCCCGCATTGGCCAGTTGGAATAGATCCCTTCTTAATAATTTAACTGTGATCATTATGCTCTTAATAAAAACTATACTCTTACAAGTAGCCCTTTTATTTTATTTTATTTTATGAAATATGAATTCTATTTTATGATATATAATGATTGGATGATTGATTTGGTTTAATAGAATAATCATGATTATTTGATAGTTTCAACGTGATTGGACAAAAAAAAATAAAAATAAAAAAAATCATTTACTTCTTTTTGGCTGCTTCCTTGTTGGTATCTTCTTCTTTCCGTTCATCTGGTCACACGCGACAGAATAGTGATTCTTATTTCCACGTTTTCCTCATCGTTCTTGGTCTCGTTGTGCCTTTGGTTGTCTGTCTTCCTTGCTGTTTGGATCTATTTTTTTTTTTTTGTTAAGTGCACATATACAAATAATATTCAGTTGACATAACCATTTTTCCATTTCTTCTTTTCAAAAACCAAAGTAGGGGGGGGGGACGAAAGACGTAGATCTCCATCGAAAATATTTATTATAGGAATGAAAATAAAACTACTAAATAAAATTAAATATCCAACTATATACTTTGACAACGTCTATGTTGTCACTAAAAACGATTCTTCTTTCTAATAGATGTCAATGCACGTCGCCATATTAAAGCCAATTGAGGTGTATCGGCTAGTATGTACATTCTATCACCTAAAAGTCCATAGTTGAAATCATTGCTTGATTGGGTATCCAATTGTATCACAATACCAACTTTTCGATTCAAACAAACATATTCTTGATCCTCTTCTGTAGGTTTGGAAACATATTTCAATAATTTCAAAGGAAGATCATATATAGGACTCTTGTTCTATCAAGAATCAAAATGTTAGTTTTTATTGGTTTACTATATTATATATTACCTTTAATGATGGTGATGTTAACAATAAGTGATTGTTTTTCAAAATAACCCAATATCTTTGCCATTTCTAAGAATAATAATAATAATAAAAAAAGATGAATATTATAAAATCTAGATAACATTATATCTGACTTACAGGTAGAGCAGAACCACCATGAAGATAGAATGTCAAATAATCGCCACCAGTAATATGAGATAAAGCATCCTTGACCATATCCTTATTTGATAAAAGTCCATCTTCTTTTTCTTCTTCCATGGGAGTGCCTGATGACTGAGAGATACCTTTATAATGAGTCCAAGGATATATCAATGTTTTCTTTGTTGTTGGAGAACATTGACCAGCAACACCCAAGTCCCGATCTCCAGGTTGTTGTTCTTCCCAACGAAATTCAACCAAGAGTTCCATATTCATATTGCTCGCTGATGTTGTCTTGGAAAATCGATATCTATGCTGACCATTTTCAATCAAATCAAAATTATCCTCTGATATTAAATCCAAATAACCAGTCATTGTCATACGAGATGTCACGAGTACAGAGGATAACAAGGAAGGTAAAGAGGATACTGCCACTGCTGCTGCTGAAGAGGAGGTAACAGATGAAGAAGACCAACATGTTGATTGTTGATAAAATGCGGATGCTTGTGCTCGTTGTTGTCGGCGAGAAGTCCAAGGAGGCCAGAAACCACGACGTGCCAAATAATCTGCTATTTTAAAAGGCCTTGTAGGTTTAGTCTTGAGTATAATGGAAAGTTCAAAAGGTCCAATCACTTGTCTATTTGAATGTATAAAATAAAATTGAGAAACAAACATAATATATATATATACAAAGTAAACTTACAAAGATATCCAATCTTCAGTTAAACTACTTGAACTAATTCCTTTGGCAAGTTTAACCATTTGACCAAATCGTGTCGCCACCACTTCTTGATTCAATTTTATCAATAATTCATAGTCCAAATCTATATAAAAAGAGTTAATATTAGACAATCATATCTTCCATTCTATCTCGGATAGTTTACCTCTAGCAGAAGTCAAACTTGTGAGTTGAACCACTGTAATAACAAAAGAAGAGTTTCAATTTTAGTTGAGAAACCAATGTTTTTTTTTTCTTTACCATTGAAGCGAAGATTTCTTTTGTCGCTACTCCTGTATAATTGAATGCGTTCCTTTCTATAAAAAGAAACATAAAGACAGAGAGAGAAAAAGAGAGAGAGAAAGAGAGAGAGAGAGAGAGAGAGAGAAAAAGAGGAATATAAAAATGGGAAACAAAAAAAAGAGATTAGAAGAATTAGAGCCCCGTATATGCTTTCCTCTCTTTCTCTCTATTTTTCCTTTTCCTTTTTATTCAAAATAAATAACTACCTTACCTCGACAACATGATTTGCTTTAAACTAGTATCCTTGGAAAGCTCACGAAAAGAAGGTAAACGAAGTGGCATAAGTCCTGAAGAGTTGACGGCTGTAGAAGAAAGTGATCTATTTGGACGAAATGATTGATTCATCTTTGATACTGTCCAAGAACTGGCTATTGTACGAAGAGAAGGTAACTGCATAGAATAAGGTCTTTTTTGATATTCTTCATCAGAACTCGTACTTCTTTTTTGTTGTTCACGTACTTGTTGGCTTATAACGTCGGTGGGAAAAGGTAAAATCAAAAGTTCCTGATTTTGGTGATATAAAACATTGGATTTTTGTACCTGATGATCCATGTCAAGACTGGTGGATGACTTGGTATTGTAAAGGATGGATTGTGAATGAATAGGTGATACTCTTGTTTGTTTGACCTTACTGAAGAAACGAAACGAACCAAGGCTCTCGGTTGCTTTTGTATGGGTTTTGGCCGTTGGATCGAACGGAAGTTTAGTATGATTAGTATCTGTGTGTATTTGTGTTTGTTGTTGTATTACTGATTCTTTCAATAGTGGTTTAGACGGTTGAGCAATGATTTCTTCTCTTTTATCCATTTTATTCTCTCAATAAATAAATAAATATATATATTATATGCAAAAAGAAATAAAAAAAATAGGTTTATTGGATACTTTAGATTTTTATACTATTGTTTTGAGTAAATAATAGGGTTGATTCCATTGAAGCTAATTCTTCGGAAGTTAGTTATTGGTAAATAACATTCTTCATGGATTCCTTTCTAAATCCTAAAGTATAATTGGCGTGACTATGATAATAAAAAAAAAGATTTATGATAGGATGAAAAATAGCGGGATAGTATTTATGCATTTTGTCAAAATTTTGACTTGATATCTTTGATTGCGTTGGAAAGACTTTCTCCTGATTTAGATCACTACAGTATACGTATCCACATCATGCTGAGTCAAGGGGAAAGGATGGATGATTATTCCAGTGTTGAACACAAGTGTTAAAAAAACCTTTAATATTAGAAGTGAACCGTGTGAAAAAAAAAGAAAAATTTAGCCAGTTAAACCCAAATGGATCACATTGAACTTTGACAGATAATAGAAAAATGATCATCCACCTATATTGAACGCGTCATTTCAAAAATCTCTTTTTTTTTTTTTTTTTACCAGTTTATACTTTGAATTAAGACAATATCAAAAACAAGAGCCATCTATGTTATAATGCACTATTTATATAATTTTATTATTATTGATCATCAATATGTCTTTAAATTAATCGGTCATAATAGAAATAATGATTGTATAAATTACTATAGTATTGAAAGAGACTTAAAAAAAAAAAAGAGGATGGGCTGAGCGATGTGTAGATGATATTTTAACTTAAAGGATAAAAATGGTGTAACCGACGTCATTTCAACATCATCATCAAAAAGAAGGCATGATTTTTTTTTTCTTTGTGTCTAGTAAGAACAATGAAATAATAATAATCAGGTACCAATCAATTTAAAGAATAATAACGATCATAGCAACCCAAAAAGAGTAGATGATAGCAAAAAGAAAGTTGGCACACGAGAGATCGTCCAAAAAAGGAGAGTGGAGTTTTTCAAAAAAGGTTTTTTAAATTTTGGGGTACCGCTTATCCTTTACGATCAATGGAACCAATGGAACGTCATGAAAAAAAAAAACTTGGATATTTATCATTGTCCATCAAATTCATTTTTTTTTTTTAAGTAGAATCATAAAGAGTGTTTTGTAAAAAAAAAAAAAAAAAAAAAAAAAATTATAAATGATGTTTTAATTAAAATAATAAAAAAAAATGAGATGTTTATTTTTAAGGTACAAGGGGGAAAAAACAAAAGACATCGATGGGAAAAGTTTGAGTGTGTGAAAACCTTATCTTGAATTATTAGCAAATGATATTACCGCCCTTACCATTTTTACTAAATGAAAATAAATAGACATTGGTTTTATCTCACCTGACTCATATAATTTCCACCAATAATAATACGATGAATGGGTTTCGGGATGTTCGATTAGGTTTGGACAAATGGGGAAGTCGATAACCAAAAAAAAACGGGAAAAGATTTTATAACTCCGGAGGCCTGTTGCTATAAAACTAAAAAAAAATCTTTTTTATTATTTCTATCCTTTTCTTTTTTCTTTTTTTTTTTTCTTACGGTAGTTTTTCTTCTTTTCTTTTGTTACCCTTGTATTTTATTTTTATATATATATTTTTGTAATTTTATACTTATTCAACTACATTCGTCATGTCAATGCAAGAAAAGAAAGAAGCTGTCTCTAGTTATCAAGGATCCATAGTAGAAGATTCATATAGTTCTTATGATGGTGATCAATTTGAGGACGTGGATCGATCTCAAGCTGGTTCCAGTTTTTGGGCATATTTTAACGTTGTGTGTGTCATTGTAAGTGAAATATTTGTAGTTTTTTTTTTTTGATTGATTTATTCATTATTTTTTTTATTATTATTATAATAATTGTTATAGGCTGGTACTGGTACTCTAGGTCTTCCTGCTGCTTTAAAACAAGGTGGATGGTTTGGGTAAATAAATCATTATTGACTAGTGAAAACTAAATAATATATTAATCAACGATTCATTTTATTTATTTGTTAGTCTGTTTATTCTATTTTTGGCTTGGTTCATGTCAACATATACTGCCATCATTTTGATCAAATGTCTTTATGCTTCAGGAAATAAACGTATGCATACCTATAAGGATGTAGCTACTGCTGCTTATGGTGTTGTAGGTGGATGGGTTAGTTTTTTCTTCAGTGCATGGATTACTCTTGGTGCTCCTATTCTTTACATGGTGTTATCAGGTGCCAATTTGAATCAACTTTGCAAAGGTACTGTAGCTGAACTAGGTGATATGAAATGGACCATCATTTCTTGTGGTATTGTCGCTATTCCCTTTGTATTGGTCAAGAATATGAAAGAAGTCGCTTTTATGTCTGCTTTTGGTGCTGTCGCTACTGCTATTGTTGTCATCATCGTACTTGTTGTTGCTTGTATCGATCAACAACATTTTACTCCTGAACAAAATGCTCTTCATTATCATATGCCTGTTATTTGGAATCAATTCCCTATTGCCCTCGCCACTATCTCCTTCAGTTTCGGTGGAAATATTGTATATCCTCATGTGGAAGCTTCCATGAAAAAACCCAGGGATTGGAATAAGGTCGTTGCTTTTGGACTTGGTACTTGTGCTGCTTTGTACTTTTTAACTGCTATTCCTGGTTATTATATCTTTGGTAATGATGTTGCATCTCCTGTCTACAATAGTATTTCTGATGGTCCTCCCAAGATCATTGCTATTGTGTTGATGACTATTCATGTTATCATGGCCTCTCCCATTTTAGTGACCTCTTTCTCTTTGGATTGTGAAGAATTGGCTGATATCAGTGTTGAACGCTTTGGAAAATGGGGTGAATTTATCATTCGTGCTTGTTTCCGTTTAGTGATCATGACTTTTGTTGGTGTCATTGCCTGTGTGGTTCCTAACTTTGGTGCTTTAATGTCTTTGATCGGTGCTTTCTCAAATTGTCTTTTGATCTTTGTTTTCCCTGTCTTATTTTACTTCCGTTTGACTGGTTTCCGAAACAAACCTTTTTATGAATTGGCTTGGTGTTTCCTTATTATATTACTTGGTGTGGTTGGATTGATTTTTGGTTCTTGGTCTGCTATCGATGAATTGAAGGTAGCTTACACACATTAGAATATAGATTAATTAGATAATGTTAGTTTTACTTGTATGATTATTTATGACTTTGCTGGTTTACATGGTCACCATAGCTACTTTTTTTTTTTTATATATGTTTGTTTTTTTTGTAAATAAAAGAAAATACCCTATTTAATAATAATATAATAATAAAAATTATCCGACTTTTTGGATTATCTTTTGAGTGAGAAGTATATGTTTGATAATGATGATGATACATATGCTATAATGATATCCTCTTGTGATCAATACCTTCTCCTCCACCTAAACTTGAAACTTGAAATCTCCGCTCGTCTTTCACGTTTCTTGATTTGTTGTTGATATTTGTTGTTTTTTTCATTTCCCGTTCAGTTTCTCTTTTCTCTTTCTCTCTCTTTTTTTTTTTTAACATCTAATTCGTTATATTATGACAAGTCCGGAATTCAGTAGTCCTCTTAGAAAGTATAAACTTGTTTTTCTCGGTGAACAAAGTGGTAATATATTATTATTACTGTTTATTTAATAATCATTCATGTTTTTGACATGTCAACTTTATTTTTTTTTTCTTTTAACATTGTAATCAAAACTATAGTGGGTAAAACATCACTTATTACTAGATTCATGTACGATACCTTTGACAATACATATCAAGTAATGACTAGAAAGAATATAATAATAATAACAATAAAAAAAAAAGATCAACAATCACTTCTGTCACATTCTTACCGTTTTTTTTTCTTCTCAATATAAAATTATAGGCAACGATTGGTATCGACTTTTTATCAAAGACACTTTATATTGATGATCGTACAGTCCGTTTACAATTATGGGATACCGCGGGCCAGGTAATATATATTTTGGAGGAAAAGAATCGAACTCATATGGTGGATATATACAAGTTAGTGATAAACTCACGTGGATGACATTTGTGTTACAATTTATATAGGAACGATTTCGATCATTGATTCCAAGTTATATTCGGGATTCTTCCGTAGCAGTAATTGTTTATGACATTACAAGTAAGGAATCATGAAAAAAGAAAAAATGAATAGTGATTTAATAATATATATTTTTTTTTTTTGATTTAGGTCTTGAATCATTCAATAATACCAATAAATGGATAGATGATGTTCGTGCTGAACGGGGTGATGATGTAATTATTGTTCTTGTTGGTAACAAGTCTGATTTAAATGATAAAAGGTAAGAAAAAAAAGAAAATTATAAACAAGAAAAAAAAAAAAAAACAAGGAGGGTAACACTTCCATCTTATCTTTGAATTAGACAAGTTACTACTGAAGATGCAGAAAAACGAGCTAGAGAGCTTAATGTGATGTTTATGGAAACTAGTGCAAAGGCAGGACACAATGTAAGTTCCTTTTTTTTTTTTATTATTAATGAATCAAGAAGTGCTAATATCATTCAATACAACAACAATTAGGTCAAAACATTATTCAAGAAAATTGCTCAAGTGCTTCCTGGTGCAGATGGAAATAATGAACCAGTCCAAAGAGATCAAAGTAATGTTTTTTTTATATCAAAATGGATTATATATTGATATTAATATTGATCTACTTTTTTTTTTTTTCCTTTATCTAGTGCAAAAAATCAACCTAACCAATACTGAAACTGAGGCTAGTGGTTGTGCTTGTTAGATTATATATAGATTATTGTTGATGTCCTGATTTTTACTCTTTACTTTTATTATTATTATGTTCTCCATATGTTATTTACCTTATGCCATTTATCGATCACCCTCTACTTTTTTTTTTTATTATTATTATATATATATTGTTATTTTTTTTTGGCCATTTTTTTTTTGGCTTGTTGTTTAATCAAAAAATAAACACTTGTATTCTACATCATCATTCAAAGGTATACATTAAGTTACTTTTGTGCAAGTTGTACGTGAGTCATGGGTTGGAAATTTGCATCCCCGCAGACTACCTTTGGGAAATTTCTCACCTTTTTCTTTACCTTCTTTCTTTCTTTAGATATCATTCGTCATGACGAAACCTTTAAATGTATTGATTTGCAATGACGATGGTAAGTTTGCATTTTAAAATTTGATATAAACTATTATTCCTTTATTCTTCTTCATATCATCTATTTTTTTTTTTTTACTGATACTTTATAGGACCACCAAATACTGAAGAGTCTCCCTTTGTATTGCCTTTTGTTGAACACCTTGAACAATTAGGTTGGAATGTCAAGTAAAGCAAATGAAAAAAATGAACTATTTTAAATATATTTATTTTTATTGTTATTATTATCTCCCTGATAGAGTATGTGTTCCCAATAGTCAAAAATCATGGATATCCAAGTCATTTATGATCATGGATCATATTGAACTCAGTTACTTTCATCGTAAAACACATGAAATTTCATATCATCAACAAGATCCCTCTGATTTTATCTTGGTAAAAAGAAAAATATATTATTATTTATTAATGATTAATATTCACTGATTTTTTTTTTACTAGTTAAGCGGTACACCAGCTACTTGTATTAATATTGCTCTTCATCATTTGTTCAAGGACGAACACTTTGATTTGGTAGTGTGTGGTCCAAATTTCGGTAAAAACTCTTCAACGTAAGATTTTTTTGTTTAATAAAATAATGAAGTTAACTAAATTGAAACCATCTACTTTATATATCAAATAGTATATACACTTGCCTCAGGAACTATTGGTTGTGCTATGTAAGTATTAGGTACTGAATTTTTTTTTTATTTTTTATTTTATTCATTTTGATTTGATTAGGGAGGCTACACTTTGCAATCAAAAGGCAATCGCTTTATCTTTTCCATTCTATTCACGCGATTTTTCACCAAATTGTATACAAAATGCTTGTACCATGGGTAAGAAAGAAAAAAGAAAAAAAAAAAAAGGGAAAAAGATGATCCAATGATAAGGTAGACTGATTCATCTTTTTTTTTTTTTTTTTTTGATAGCGACGGAGGTGATACAACAATTATATGAAAAGAATAAATGGCCTGTGGGTGGATTATTCAATATTAATGTCCCTTTGGTGGAAGATCGTTGTCCTATTCATATGACCAAATTTCATCAAGGTTCTTATGGTAGTTTATTCAAACCACTCAAGAATAATAATAATGATAATAGGTCGTCGTATACTATTGAAGAACAAGTCCGTTTGGAATCTGAATCTGGAGGTGGTAGAACCATCTTTAAATTTAGTCCTGATTTTAAAGCTCTGGTCAATGCAAAAGAACCTGTCCCTGGAACAGATGCTTGGTCTGTGGCACAACGTTGTATTTCAGGTAAATAATGGAAATGGAAGTTCTTTTTTTTTTTTCTCTTATTTACTTCTTTTTTATAATAGTAACACCTATGATTGCTGCTTTTGAAATGGCTAATTTAGATATAGATTATGGTGTTGGATTGAACAAACTTTAGAAATAAAAAAAATAATATATATTTATATATTATTATTATTACTATTATCATTGTTATTGTTATTTAGTTTCATTATATTGACCAACCAGCAGCGGATATTGAATTGTAAATTCCTATTTTGTTGGTCTTTCCTTTTTTTTTTTTTTTTTTTTTTCCTTTTTGTTATATTCCATCTTTGTTGTCTTCTTCTATCCCCCCTTTTTTTTTTGTTCCTTTCCTTTATTATTATTATTATTATATATTTTGTGACATTATGGGCAACCCTGACGAATGGCTTGAAACTGTACGTAAATGCGAATATTTACCAGAACAAGATATCAAGAAACTTTGTGAAATGGTAAAAAAAAAAAAAAAAAAAAAAAAAAAAAAAAAAAAAACATCTAATCAGTCAATATAATCTACCTATTTATAATTTCTCCGTTTGTTTATACATATATATATCAAATTTATAATTCATTATTTCGTTCTTATGATTCTTATATTACTTTATTCTTTTTTCAAATGGAAAATAGGTCAAAGAATTACTCATGGAAGAATCTAATATTCAACCAGTACAATCTCCTGTTACAGTATGTGGTGATATTCATGGTAAAAAAAAAAGAAACAAAAAAGAAATTAATATTGGATGGGAGAGGAAATCAATATGGAAAATCATGGGAGATGAAGAAAAAAAAAAAAAAGATAGGAGAAATAGCCCAAAAGATAATTCATAGTGTATAAAACAGGGAGGTAGTTGGATAAATTTTACTCAATCTTTTTTTATAGGTCAATTTTACGATCTTCTTGAATTATTTCGCGTTGGTGGTGAAGTGCAGGACACAAATTATATCTTTATGGTAATTAAGTAAATACAAAAAAAAAAAGAAAAGATTTATTGATAAGTATTTGTTTAATTTGATGGATAGGGCGATTTTGTTGATCGTGGCTACTTTAGTTTAGAAACCTTTACTTTATTGATGGTATTAAAAGCAAGGTAAGTCCAATTTAATATAATAATATAAAAGAAAGAAAATAAACTAATGATATAAATATTTACTTTTAGATATCCGGAAAAGATCACTTTATTGAGAGGAAACCACGAAAGTCGACAAATTACTCAAGTCTATGGTTTTTATGGTAAATAATTGACAATGATATCATTCATTGAATGAATTTTCTCTCTCTTTTTTTTTTTTTTTTCTTTTTCTTTCTTTCTTTCTAAATGATGCAGTTATTACAATGGAATATGGATGGATGGATTGACTGATAAACATATCTTCTTCTTTTTTCATAGATGAATGTCAGGCAAAATATGGGAATGCAAATGTCTGGAAATATTGCTGTTCTGTATTTGATTACTTGACCTTGGCTGCGGTAAGAAGGAATGAAGGTAATGGATGAAGTGAATATTAATATTTTTTGTTTTCTTAGATTATTGATGGATCTATATTATGTGTACATGGCGGTTTATCACCTGATATCAAAGCATTGGATCAAATTCGTACAATACATCGATTACAAGAAATTCCACATGATGGATCTTTTTGTGATTTAATGTGGTCAGATCCTGAGGATATTGAATCATGGTCTGTTAGTCCACGAGGTGCTGGTTGGTTATTTGGTGGAAGAGTCACAAGTGAAGTAAGTATAATATTCTATTATTTCCATCAAATGTTATTCATTCTTTTTTTTTTTTTTTTGAACAGTTCAATCATATCAACAAACTTTCTCTTATTGCAAGAGCACATCAATTGGTACAGGAAGGATACAAATATATGTTTGAGGATGATGCTTTAGTGACAGTTTGGTCTGCTCCAAATTATTGTTATCGGTGTGGTAATGTGGCTTCTATCATGGAGGTACAAAATGGTGATTCTGTACAGGGTCGTAATTTCAAGATCTTTGATGCTGTACCTGATCAAGAACGATTTGCTCCTTATGCAGCTGGTCGTGGTGGCGTTGGTGGCATGAATTCTAAACTTGGTGGATCTGGTGGCCAATATTTTATCTAACGGTTGTTGTTACTTGTTTATAGTTTCTCTCTCTCTCCCTTTTGTTTTGATTCTTCTCTTTTTCTTTTTCACCATTTTTATTTATAGAGGTGAGTTGATTTAACTAATCGTCTTAACTTCTTCATATACATTTTTCTTTTTTGTTGTTTCCCTTCCCTCATTTTAGTGTAGTCTGTGGATTAGTCTTTTTCTATATACATACTTCTTCTTTTTATTATTATCTTTACTATTACTTTTATTTCTTCTTTATGTATTGTATAGTCTCTTTTTTTTTTTTCTTAAATATATTGTCTTTTCCAAAATAAAACATCAGATTGTTGATCATTCAAAAAAAAAAAAAAAAAAAAAACTTCTGACTTTATCGAATGATATTTCAGTAATATATGTACTGACAAAGTGTTGTATGCTTTTTTTTTTTTTTTTTTTTTTTTTTTTTTTTTTTTACAGCCAAAATTTAGGAATTCCTCAGCCAAATGTTGGCTGTAAAAAATCAATCGTCGAGGGGTCATCAGGCAATTTTTCGAAAAAAGAGATGAATTCTTTTGGTAATCATTTTACAATAAGTGGCAAGATAAGCAATAAAATGATACTAGATGATATTAGTCTACTTTTTTAAGAGGAATCCAATGGTGGTCATTTCATTGAATGATGATCATTATTGGATGAGGGATGACGATATTGACATTTCATTTTTAATTTACTTCTATTAATTGGGAGATAAATTGTTATTAAGATTATTGAAAGAGAAATGATTTCATCTATGTTCAGTTCAAACTTGGTATGATGATGATCATTTTTGAGTGAGTAGATGAAATAGAAATATTTCTAATCGAAAGCAATTTTATTGGCTAATTTTTTTGCCTACGGGGTTGAAAATAAGAATTTCCTTTTTTTTCATTTTTTTTTTTTCCTTTTTTTTCTTTTAGAATGAATACATTTTTTTTCGTTACCATTCTTCTTCCAAATGATATATATTGTTGAAAGGCTAGTTCCATTATACTCTTTTTGTTTGAAACATTCATTGTCTTCTTTCTAGATAGCATACGATTAAGGTAAGCAAGAACGTATCACGTAAAGAAAACAAAACAAACTTTACTACTTACTCATTGACTCATAAATTCCTTTTTTTCGTATGTAACATGAACAACTTTCAATAGCTTCAACGGAATGATATGAAACTGGGATAGAATGTACTACTTGACTTGTATTATTGGTACAAAATGACGGGAATAGATTGAATGGATTGTAACTTGATGGTAATACTTTTTTTACTCAATGATATTATGTTAGTGTATAATTCTCTATTTTTTTTTCTTCTATTGACTAGTCAAGCCCTATTTTGAAGATCAATCTTGGATATATATTTTTTTTTATTATCCCTGGTATGGATGTGAAAGGAATACAACAATTAAAAATGATTTATAATATTAATACAAGGATGGATGACAGATATATTAGCAATATTTAGTCTATATAGAATAGTTAGTAATTATTGATTGTATTTGTCAAATGGTATGAAAATAAATAGAGTGATGATTTGATGTTGATAATATAATGATAAAGTTTTGATGTATCAACTGAATGCGGAATTTTATCTCTTAATTGGATCGGCTTGTGTGCCCTATTTTGTTTTCCTATTGCATAAAACATATTCATTACATAAACATCCAATAATAGTTACATTTCATTTTATTTCAATTTTTTTTTATTTTAACTTAAAACAAAAAATAATAAAAAAAAAAAAAGGTATGTGTATATATCATGTCATCATAATAGACTCTACATATATATGTGAAATCAAAATAAATCTCGAGGAGGAGTTTAAAATGAAGGGTCCCGTGCATTTTTTTCCCTTTTTTTTTTTTTTTTTTTGATCTGTCGAAGTATATATTTTTTTTATGTCAACAATCCAACTTCTTGTTTTCTTTCTCTTTCTCTTTAGTTCTTTTTTTTTTTTTATCATGATTTTATTTGTATTGACAAATATTTTTTCTCAATTTTCTTTTGTTGATACACCTTTTGTTTTTCTTCCTCCTATTCCTCATGAAGTCATTCCTCCTCCTCCTCCTCCCGTTGTACCTTGCAGTGTGATATCCTTGGAAATAAGGTGGTTTATTGTTTTCTTGGTTGCTCACAAGGTATTCCCTTTGTTTTTCCCTTTTGTTCTTTTTCCTTTTTGCCATCTCTGTCACCTTCTCATTCTCATGGTTTTGTCATTCCTACAAATGGTGGCAATATCTTTCCACTCTGTCTTTGGACAAGTCTGCTGTCTCTGTTTCCCCTTCGTCACGTCTTTGATCCTTTTTTTTGAAGAATCTGATCTGGCAAACCCTTCAAGTATTGGCTCCCCTCATGATTGTCGTTTTTTATATCATGTGGTTGACAGTATGTGACGTTTGGTTCATCATCAACCTCGCGTTTGATGCCTTTGCCTGTAAGTAAAAAAAACGAAAATAAAAATAGAAACAGATAATTATATGTTTATATTTTTTTCTCAACATATTTTTTTTTTTTTATTTGTACTTCCATGTGTACTTTCTTCTCAAGCTGTCACCACTGCACCGATTGTTGCTTCGCGCCCGGTGAGGTTGGCTTCCGCTTCTCCTTCTTGTCGTAAGTAACGTCCAAATAAATATATTTATCCATATATTGATATAGTTTGTTTTTATTTCTTTCTCTATATAGGTCCTCCTCAACCCATTATCACCACTTCATCGATTGTTGCTTCGCGCCCGATGGAGTTGGCTTCCACTTCTCCTTCTTATCGTAAGTAAAAATAAACATTTTTATCTATATATAGCCTATTTTTATTTATTTCTCTATGTAGATCCTCCTCTACCCGTTACCACCACTTCATCGATTGTTGCTTCGCGCCCGATGGAGTTGGCTTCCGCTTCCCCTCGTCTTCCTTCTCTTTCTCAAGGTAAATTATGTCTAATATACATACTTACAAAGTATATATTAATATTTCTTTTTTTTTTTTTTATTATTATTATTTTGATTTATTTATTTAGTTCCTTCTCGACCTCCCACCACTTTACTGATTGATGCTTCACCCACAGTAAAGTTGGCTTCCGTTTCTCCCCCTCTTTCTCCTTGTCTTCCTCCTCCTCAAGGTACCTCTTATGCAATATAGATAAAATTATCTGTTAGAAAACGAAAATACTCATCCTCTTTTTTTTTTTTTTTTTTTTTTTTTTTTTTTTATGTTATTAACATTCAATATCTCCATCACCCTACGCATGCATATTTTGGTGCTTCTGAATGTGGTATCCTTTTGTGATCTTGTTCCCTGGTGTGATCAAGACAATCATCAAGAAAAAGAAGCAGACATCATCTCGCCCACTGTGGACGATGTCTGTGATTTGTCTGTTGGACTGGTGCCTGACGTTTCTCTTCCTCCATATGCGCCATTGGGTTCCCTTGATGTCTCTGCCCCTCTACAAGGTACGGAAAGATTAAAAAAAAAAAGAACTGGTGATATAGTCATATATGAATATATATGTACATATATATACATTAATATTTTTCCTTTTATTATCTAGATCAAGTGTTGTTCCCTTTGGCCCATTACACAAACGTCATCTCTTTTCCTTCTCCTTGTAAGTATAAACTGTAAACATAAAAGGAATCATTATTTTAATGATCATTATTTGTTATTTTTTTTTTGCAGTTTCCTTCTTCTTTTCTCCTTCCTTTGGTGTTCGTCGTTCTTCCTTCCGTTCCGTGTGTCGCCCTGTTTTCAAAGATGTGAAACGCATCCACTGTCGTGGTGTCCATCGCGTTGCATCTGGAGGTGTTCGCCGTGTTGCTTGTGGTCGCTCTCGTCGACTGGTGTTTACGCGTGTTTGGCACCTTGCTGGTCGTCCTCGTCTTTCTGCTGGTGTTTCTCGTCCTCCTTTTGCCACTGGTGTTCCTCATCCACTTCCCTCTGCTGATGTTGTTCTTCCTCCTTCCTCCGGTGTTCGCCGTTCCCCTCTTCGTGGTGTATATCGTCATCGTTATCATGATCGCCGTCGTGTGCATTTCCGCGGTGACCATTATACATCATCTCCTTCCATCCGTCATGTCACCCTCGGTCACTCTTATCGCCTTGCTTTTCGCCTTGCCTGGATATTTGGATATGGTAATGGCAATCATCCATTTGTCAGGATTCGACATCGGTCTTCTGCTTCTCCTTCCCTTGTCGTTCCTTCTCCTTCAACGGATGATGTCCCATCTTCAAATACCGCCCCTTCACCTGTTGCTGCTGTCTCCCCATCCAATGATGATGCTGTTCCTCCCTCAAATCAACCTACGCACATCATTCCCTCTTCTTCACCTTCTCGTACCGATCCTCCAAAAGCAGGTAAACAAAATCAAATAACAGTGAAACAATGATTATGAAATGGTTTTAATTATTTATCTTACTCCTGTTTTTTTTTTTATTTATTTATTATACAATAGCAACAATCCATTCTCCTCGTCCTCGACCTTCCGGACGTGAACTAGTCTTTGGACCTGCCATCCGTCAACCTCTCATCCCAGAAAGTGTTCGACAAGCACTTTGTAAGTAAAAGTATATTATGTCAAGTTAAATATTTAATTGATTACTGATAAGAAATATGTTCTTTTTTTTTATTATTATTATGATTCTTAGTGGGAAAGCTTGCGTATGGTCCTTCTAGTTCCTCCGATCCTACCTTGGCATCATCCTCCTCCAAGCCATCTCCTGAACGTGTGACTCAGCCAAGTGGTAAGTACTAGTAAAAGAAATCCTATATTGACTTGATCTTACTCTCTTTACTTTATTTCTATATTGAACTGATTTATTTTTTAATTTTCTATCTATTCGACTATGTAGTTCCTAAAGATGTCCCTCCTACTTGCTGTGACATTAGCCGAAAAAGAAAAGCAGGTAACAAGATACTTTATACACAGGATTTAATATGAATATAGATAATTTTGTTTTACTGATCTTCTTCTGATTATAGAGGCCGACCTGGATGCACGACCTATCCCCAAGATCATTCCTCGTACATCGACATCATCATCATCATCATCATCATCATCAGCATCAACATCATCATCATCATCATCATCATCACCATCATCATTGTCATTATCATCAACATCAGCATCAATATCAGTATCAACACCAGCATCAACACCAGCATCATCGTCATCATCATCATCATCAGCAGCATCAACATCATCATCATCAACATCATCATCATCAACATCATCATCATCAACATCATCATCATCAACATCATCATCATCATCAGCATTACCACCATCATCACCTCCTCCTCCTCCTTCTTCTTCTCCATCATCATCATCATCATCATCATCGTCTTCATTATTACCATTGAGGGAAGGTGCATTGTATCATAGTGTAGATAGTAAATTGAAATAAAAGTTATTATTATACCAAATCACGAGTGTACGAATTCGTTATAGAATGATTTTTATTTCCAAACTTGTTCAACACAGAAAACAAAAAGTATTATCATCTTGACTTTTTAGATGAATGAATCAATAAGTGTACAATGATTACAATGCATTTGTGATCATTTATCTATAGAGAATCTTTAAAAGATACATTTTTTTTTCAACGTTATCAATGTTTATTCCATCGTCATCATACTGATCTTTATCTTTTTCTCAACTAGTTTTTTTTTTCTCTTAATTGTGAATTGGATGTTTGCATACCTTCCTGAATAGGATGCGTGCAATGAAATCTACTGAGTAAACAAAAAGAGAATTGTGTTATGACAAGTCACATGTTAAGCAAATGCTGATGATCTTTTCTCAAGTGTTCTTCCAATGATTGTGCCGACTAATATCATTCCTCATCCTCATCATGTTACTACCAATGTAGAATCATCGTCATAGGAGTTATTAGGCATCTTCCCTCTATCAATACATTTATTTTCTTTCATTTACTTGTTCCACCAAATAAAGTTTTCCAGACTGCATAGAATATGCGTGTGGTTGATTTTTTATGCACGATCATGTCCAAGTGCAACCAGGTCTCCCTGTCCTTTTTTTTTTCATCCATGTTCCAATCCCCGATAATATAAAGCAGCTTTTTTTTTTTTTTTTTTTTCTTTTTTTTTTTTTTTCATTCATTATCATGACCTATTTGGTTTTTTACAAATTACCACCACCGATTGTCATTCATGCTTTACCATTAGTGTTACTCTACCTTATTGTACTATGTTTGGACTATGTGTTACTTTGTTACCATCGTCGATCCATCATGCGAGTAACTTTACCCATGAAAGCCTCTCATCATTGGCTTCTCTGGCTTATCGCTACATATCATATCATTCTTCCACTGATTGTTGTGTCCCATTCACAACCTTTGAATGTATTTTTCACGGCTGGTCCCATCTACATGGCATCCTTCACAGCTCATCTCCCTTCATACAAACTCCTGTCTATTCCTCATTGGATCAAAGCATTGTCAACGGATCTTTTGGATACTAATCAAGATGGCCTTCCTCGTGTACATGGTTTGGCCAAAGTGGCGCGTGGGATCTTCAAACTATCTTTGATCTACTCTGTACTGGATCCATGGTTTCTATCTTCTGTCAATGACAACCTGCTGTTGACTTTGCAATACCCATGGTATTATCCTCAAAGTTTGCAATACAATCTCGTGTTGGGCATCAAAGCATATTGTCTCCTAGGTGTAGTGGATATCTTCTTGGGTGTGGAACAAGTCATCTCTGGTGTACGATTTATTGATCTCTTCCATTCCCCTATTCTGTCTTCTTCTCCTCGTGATTTTTGGTCAAGACGGTGGAATATGGTAGTACGCAATCAGTTTCATCATCAAGTGTTTATGCCTATGCAAGCAGATATGTACAACAATAAAGAAAAGACAACATCACAACCCATCCATCCACAACAAAAGAAAGGATTCTGGTCATCAAAAAATGGACGTGGACTTGTGGTATTCATGCTTAGTGGGGTAAACATATGTATATTTATTTACTTTTGTTCCTAATCATTCTACTTTTTTTTTTTATTTATTTATTTATTTTCATTAGGTTCTTCATGAACTGATTATTTGGAGTACTTGTAGAGAAATAACACTTGAAAATTTTACCTTCTTTACGTTACATGGTATAGCAGTATTGGTGGAAACAAGTGTGACAAGGAAACAGAGAAGAACGAATACAATGGAATTGCTGTGGTGCAGGCTCGCCTACTTTACTTTTATGACCTTGACAGCTCGACTCTTTTTGGCTCCCTTTGTGCGACATGATTATTTGACTCCATTATCAATCACGTTTAGTTTTACTTAGATATATATATATATATAGAATTAGATTTTGATATATGATTTTAAATAAAATGATATTCCATTGATTTTTTTTTTCATCTCTATTTTTTCATCAGTATAAATGACTTTTTCCACATATCCTTTCAAGCAGCAGTTGATCAAAAAAAAAAAAAAAGAAAGACATTTTTATTTTCAAAACAAATATAAGAAATATTGGTAAACGTATGTAAAAAGGAAAAAAGACCAAATGACATATGATGGATGATAATAGATGATTGACAAATGCTGGTTTAAAACTAAAATAAAAAAAGGAAAGAAGCAGCTAAACTAAATGACATTCCATTTTTATCCAGGAGGAAGCATGGTGGCATCCACAGCATCATTTTCTTCATAAGAGTGATCTGTTTGAGGTTCATAATGATCATGTACAGGAGAACGAGGCATAGCCATAACACCTAAAAAAAAAAAATGGAAAGAAAAAGTTGAGTCTTTTCATTTTTGATTCTGATTCATGATTTTTTTTTTACCAGTTCTTGAAGCTTCCAAAACACCAAAAGGTTTACATAATTTCATAAAGGAATCAATACGACCAGGTTTGGCACATAATTCAACAATCATGGAATCCGATGAGACATCCACCACCTTGCCATCAAACAAACGAGTCAATTCAGTCAAAGCACGTAAATGGGAGAAGGTTTCACGAAGAGTTTCCGAAGGTGTCAAATGCTTGTGATCCTAGATAAAATGAAAGAATTATTGGTATTCTCCTTTTTTTTTAAAAAAAAAAAATACTTACATGTGAGTATTCCAAATGACTAAGGTTTTCATCAGCAAATTCCACCGTATCATCAAACTTGGCAGTAGGCAATTGTTCATGTAAATGTTCAGGACCCAAGATAGATACTTTGATCAATAACAATTCACGTTCCACCAATTTAGTTTTTGTATAATCCAATACAGCCCATACAGGTACCTAAATTCATCATCCACAGAAAAAAAAAGAAAATTCATCAATTCTCATCCTTTTTTTTTTTTTTTTTTTTTTTTTTTTGATCCCTATACACTCCATCTTTTTTTTTTTCTTACCAAATCCTCCAATTGACGTCTTGCTTGTTCGATTTGTACATTACGACCATTGAAGACGACAGTCATACGACTCAAATCAGGCACTTCGGTATTGGCAACCACCAAAGATTCGATATTGAAACCACGAGCGGCCAAGATACCAGAAAGACGACTCAAAACACCAGGTTCATTTTGCACAAGACAGTTCAAGATATGACGAGTTTCAGGTGCTTTGCTTGGAGCTGGCGTATTGTACAAAATATTAGTCACTGCATCTTCCACAGTAGGTTCGGGCACAGCTGGCACAGGACCAAAACGACGTTGACGAAGATGTTTTTTGAACGAAAGGGCTGAAGTGGCAGAAGCTGGTTGAGTGGAATTGTATCGAACTTGATGTAAGGCTACATTGCGTACAGTAGGCTATTCAAAAGTATAAAAAAAAAAAAGCGATCTATCAGTTAACACATATATATATAGAACTTATATGCTTCCTTTCCTTACCATACGCGTACTAAAGGATGTCAATGCTGTTCGTAACATGGTATTAAAAAAAAAGTATCTGTAGAGAAAAGAAAAAAAAAAAAGAAAGACAAAAGAGTGCGGGGGGTATGATTTTTTATTTGATCAAAGCATTTTTTTTTTTATGTGACGCCCAGTGAATCATTTCATAGATAAAAGGAATAAACCAATCAAAACCATGCATTTATTTGACAAGTAGAAAAAGGTGAATGCGGGGATACAAACTATTACTAGGATGATGTTGATGGAAAGTACAATGGTAACAGTTCTAAGAAGAAATTTCTAATCAGTCTATATATATATACATATTCATTTTCATCTTATAATATTTACCTTGATAAATCTTTATATCTTCAGGATTAAATAAACAAAATATAACTTGATCCACCTATTCAAAAAAAAAAAAGTAACATCAGTTTTCAACCTATCATGTTCTCTTTTCTCTTCTGACTCAAATATCTTTTTCAATTACCGAATCACCATCATTGGAAACAAGGAATTGTCGTACAGTCCCAAGAGCTATATTGGCTGCTCTTTCCTTGTTAAAACCATAAACACCAGTACTGATACAGGGAAATGCAATGGTACGCAATCGATTGGATACTAATACTTGAAGACTACGACGATAACAAGAGGCTAAAACATCAGGTTGTTCAGGAGGCGCTATGGGTCCCACAGTAGCAATCACATCTACAACAAAAAAAAAAAAAAAAAAATTGCCTTATTCAGCCTCGCTAAAAAAAAAAATATCCATTTCATGCTCTTTTTTTTTTTTGTCATTGCTTACGACTAGCTGGTAAATTGTATCCTGATTTTTTTTTTTTAAAAAAAAAAGATGATGAATATATTAAATATACCTTATTATATTTGCTTTTTTCTTACCTTTGGTGATTTTGGCATCCTATGAAGAAAAAGTAGCATAAATCAAGGGTATGAGTTTCGATAGATGATTTTTTTTTTTTGGTGGTCTTACCCCAGTATCACATCCATTTAGAGTTTTACATTCTTTTAATAAACCTGGCCCGGCAGCACGATGGATGGCTCCGTCTACTCCACCACCACCTAAAAGGGAATTGTTGGCAGCATTCACTATCAATATAATAATAAAAGTTAGAATAGATATTATATCAACTGAAGGATATTCACCTATAGCGTCGACTTTCAAACGTGTTATATCCTGTGTACTATTATTATATAAAAAAGTATTAATACAAAAGAATTTTTTCAATAATTTTTGCTAGATTAACCTTATCGATACTTTTTTGGAAAGTTGTTCAAGTTGTTTTGAATCAGTTATTTTGAATAAACGATTGATATTGGCAAGTGCGCGTTCTTTAATGGAACTCATTATGAAATAAAAAAAAGAATCGAGAAACAAAAGTGGAAATCTACTCAACACACGCATTTTGAGTTTTTTTTAATCCCCGTCAAGCGAATCGTAGAGCATTCTGAGATGTCGTCTTTGATCACGCAAAAGTCCCAAAACTTTAAAAAAAATCAAATGGGGGTTGTGCCTTTTTTTTTTCTCTTTTACTTTCACTTTTTTTTTTTTTCCTTTGTATCATTTGTTTCAAACATGTCTCGTAAGTGGTCAAATCTATATACGTATATTTCAAAGAAAAGAAAAAAAAAAAGGCAAATGTGGAACCTAATCTTTTTGTTTTATTTGGTTAGTATATGCAAAGGAACGCTCTGTTGCCATTCAAGCTGTTCTTCAAGCTAGTAAGGTGTGTCAATCCGTCTTTCAACACCTTGTTGCTAATGAAACTTTGACTAAGAATGACAAGTCTCCAGTCACAGGTAAATACATATAGATACGTCAATATCCACTTCTGCTCACATATTATCCCTCTTGATATAGTTGCTGATTTCTCGGCTCAAGCCATTGTCAACACTTATCTCCAAAAGGCCTTCCCTCAAGACCCTATTATCGGTGAAGAAGATAGCAAAGATTTACGTGGTGAAGAAGGAAGAATCTTGCGTGAAAAAGTACATGCCTTAACCAATGGTGTTTTACAAGATAATGAAAAACTGTCTGAAGACCAGGTAACGAACAAGAAAAATAGAAAAGAAAAAAAAAAAGAGATGAATATGTAAAAAAAGATAATGATCTCATATTTTTTTTTTTTTTGTAATTTATATAGATTTTACAAGCGATTGATAGAGGTAATTATGCTGGTGGACCTCAAGGACGTCATTGGGCTTTAGATCCTATTGATGGTACAAAAGGATTCTTACGTGGAGGACAATATGCTGTTTGTCTTGCTTTGATTGTGGATGGGGTGGTTCAACTTGGTGTCATGGGTACGCCTAACCTTCCTATTGATGCTCGACAACCTGATGGTGAAAAAGGTACTCTTTTTGTTGCTGTACGTGGTCAAGGTGCTTTCCAGGTAAGAAAAAAAAAGAATCATAAGGAATAATGATTTCTAATTTTTTTTTTTGATCTTTTAGAGACCTTTTTCTCAAGAAAAAGAAACCAAGATTCATTTTGCTGATATTGATGATACCAAGAATGCCACTTTTTGTGAATCTGTAGAGGCTGGACACTCTTCTCATGATGATGCTTCTTCTATTGCTAAACTTTTGGGAATCACTCGTCCTTCCATCCGTATGGATAGTCAAGCCAAATATTGTTCCATTGCTAGAGGTGATGCCGATATTTACTTGCGACTTCCCACTAGTAAAACTTATGTTGAAAAGATTTGGGTAAGAAATTTCTTTTTTTTTTTTTGTCAATACTCACTGTATGATGATTTAGGATCATGCTTCTGGCAATGTATTGATTACTGAAGCTGGTGGCAAGATAACAGATGTGAATGGTCAACCTTTGGACTTTTCTATTGGTCGCACACTTTCCAAGAACTCGGGTGTGATTGCTTCAAATGCAAGTATCTTTGATTCTCTCTTGTCTGCGGTACAAAAAGTACTTCAAAAATAGTTTTAGTTTATTATTCATGAAATAATAAAAAAAAATATGTATTATTTTGAATCTAGTTTATTTGTCTCATTGAAAATGATGGATGTTTTTATATTCAAACTACAGATTTGTGCTTATGTGCCCTGCAGGGTTTTTCTCAGTTGAGTGTATCTACGTCTAAATATATTTGTTACAAAAAAAAAAATCATCCACTACCTCAAGGGGCATCACATCAACCAGGATGTACCGAGAAACAATAGAACGACCTAAAAAGGTAATCAAGGAACCGAGAGAAGAAAAACAGAGAGACCATCCATACGACCAGATGAAAAACAACAAGAAGACGCCAACAATAAGCAGTCAAAAAGAAGTAAATGATTTTTTTTATTTTTATTTTTTTTTGTGCTTTTTGTAGAAGAAAAGTAAAATAAAAGAGAAAAATAAAGAAAAATGTCTTTTATATTGTTTTTTTTTTTTCGTCCAATCACATTGAAACTATCAAATAATCATGATTATTCTATTAAATCAAATCAATCATCCAATCATTATATATCATAAAAAATACTATATAGAATTCATATTTCATAAAATAAAATAAAATAAAAGGTTACTTGTAAGAGTATAGTTTTTATTAAGAGCGGTTAAATTATTTAAGAAGAGGGCGTTCGTGTTGCCTGTCTTTGACTTTAGGCGGACTTGCAAAGCCGTCCACGCAAGCGCTCACCAAAACAAAAATTTCTTTGTAGGGCTCGTCATTCTTTTTTTCTTTCCCTCTCAACTTTTTATTTTATACATATATATTCATTATATTATTACTACAACTATAATGTCTCATTCTACAAATGATATGGATATTGACTTTGATGTCCCCAAATTCCTTAATGAAGAAAGACAAAAGGCACCTTCTCAATTACAACATTATTTCACAACTTTTGAAGATCTCCATGAACGAAAGTATGTCACACGCGTTACCCTTTCTATCATAAAACTCATCTTTTTTTTTTTGTGATTTAGGTTATGGCATCAATTGACACAACAAATTTTAGAGTTCTTCAAGCAACCAGAATCCGGTCCTTTCCAGGTTCCTATTTATCAACAATTCGTAGCTGAATGGGAAAATAAAATCAATCGACTTTCTCTTGTCACCATTGCTTTACAAGCTGCTGCTCAATTCAAAGGTAAAACATGATCAACAGGTGTATATGTATGTTACTCATTATTCTTATTTTTTTTTTTTTTTTTTTACAACAGATGCTCAAGAATCAGTCGATTTCCTTCAACACATCATCAACAAAGTGGATACTCCGGAATCAAAGGATGTGTATGTACTTGCGGTGATGGAAGCAGCTCATTTCCAATTGTTGTTGGGGCAAGTGGATCAAGTGAAAAAGGTGATTGATAGCTCGGAAAAGATCTTGGATACCTTTGATTCTGTGGAAACCGCCATTCATGCCAGCTTTTATCGTGTCAGTGCCGAATATTTCAAATCACAAGCCGATTACGTACATTACTACAAGAGTGCCTTGTTATTCTTAGCCTGTGTCAATCTTGATGATATGTCAACAACTGAAAAAGTCGAACGTGCTTATGATTTGGCCATGGCTGCTCTTTTGGGTGATAGTATTTATAATTTTGGTGAATTGGTAAGTTTGAATCCATTTGAAAGAACTTGTGATGTAACATTATTATTATTATTCTGTAGCTCATGCATCCTGTTTTGGATTCTCTTGCAAATACTGAAAATGATTGGTTACGTACTTTACTCTTTACCTTCAATAATGGTGATATTGGGAAATTCGAAGCTTTGGCACCACATTTCAATAAACAGGTACCAAAAAAAAAAAAATGAATATATTAGATACTCATAATAATTATTTTTCATTAGCCTCTTCTTCATCAAAATTCGGCTGCCTTGAGTCGAAAGATTTGCTTGATGTCTTTGATAGAAGCTGTTTTCCGTCGATCTGGAGATAATCGAGTGATCCCATTCAGTGAGATTGCTTCCGAAACACGATTACCAGTAGATGAAGTAAGTTCATGGAAGGAAAATAAAATTAGGACTTGTATGTTGCAGTTATTTATTTATTTTTTTGTATGTATAGGTGGAACATCTGGTGATGAAAGCGTTATCACTCAATTTACTTCGAGGTTCCATCGATCAAGTGGATCAATTGGTAGTGGTGACTTGGGTACAACCTCGTGTATTGGACAAATCTCAAATTGATGGTATGCGACGAAAATTAGAAGATTGGAATAATCAAGTCAAGAAAATCAGTACATTTGTTGGTCAACAAGGTGGTGAAGTGTTTGCACAATAGATTGGTTCTCTGTTTTTTTTTTTATCTTTATATACTTTATCTATACATATATGATTCATTTTTTTTTTTTTTTGTTCTTATTATTATTTTGATGTCAATAAAACAATAGTCTTCTGTTACAAATATATGTCATTGTGGTAGTTTTTTGGATGATGATTGATTGATGAATCAGTACTACAATGATGAACCGTTTATTGATGATGATGAATGGACGACGGTCCTTGTCATGATTTCAGAAATTTACATGATATATGTGTATGTGGATTGTTTTTTTTTTTTCTTGAAGAGGTTTTTTATTAACAAACAAACAAACAAGAAAGGATAATAATAATAATAATAATAATATATATAAAAAAAAAAACGAAATACGATAGGGACTATACAAATATCAAACAAATAGATGAGAAATGATAATAGTGATGACGGAATAATATATATATATTTTAAAAAAAAGGGGAGACTATAAAGAATTGCTATGAACAGTAGAAGAAGACAATGACTTGTTACGCATACTTTGTTCCAAATTGCCAATATCAAAGACAGAGGGGACAGATAAAGTTTGATCTGTATGTGTCATATCAAGAGGAGTTCCTACTGCGGACATAGATGATGAAGGATGTGTAGATAATGAGTGATCGACGGTATGATGTTTATCCGTACCATCCAATATTGCTTGTTCCTCTAATAATAACCGCCGAAGACGTTGATCACGATGTTCCATCATTTGTTGTTCCAATTTTCTTGTAATAAATTGAGCATAATGAATGACGAATTCGGCTTGACGCATGGTTTCAATTGCTTTAGGACTTCTTCGAGCACGTACGGTTCTAATAGCTCGTTCGGCAGATAGACATAATGTATTGTTGATCATCCAACAGCAGGCAAACAAGCCAGCTCGTCCCACCCCTTTCAAGTTAATAATATATAAAAAAAAAAAAAGAAGTTAGTATATAGATGTATAAACTTCTTTCCTTACCTCCACGACAATGTGCCAATACATTTTCACCTTTCCAAATCTTGTTGTTCACAATATTGATGACATTATCCACTTCCTCCAAAGTATCAGGACAACTTCCCTCCACCATAGGTAATCGTAATACATGTAATCCATATTTCTTGGCTGACGCGGCATATTTCTTCCATGTGGCGCCCAGATAATCTAATTCAGTATCTTCAAGACAACTATATATATACAAACAAAATGAATACATACATATATATATATATATTGAATGGACTTACCAGACAATAGTGGTGATACCAAATGAACGCATTCTAGTAAAATCCAAATCCAGATCACGATTGATAGCAGCACGACCACGAACAGGACCAGTTAATCGTACTTTCTTCCCAGGACATGAACTAAGAGCCAAATTTCCCATGACTGGTAGAGATTGTTGTTGGCCATGTTGAATAGCTTGTTCAAGTAAAGGTAATAATTGTTGGTAAATCACAGGATCTGTCAGGTCATATACATCTAGTTGTTCAGGTAAATCGCAATAAGTCAGTAATGGTAAAAAATCGTTCGGTAAAAGCCAGCTGATGCTATCAATACAAATAAATATAAAAAAAAGGACAGTTGTGAATTATGATATACAGTTAAGATAATAATAATAATCAAAACTTACTTGATGGGATGACTGATGGAGGTTTTTGGAACAGATTGACGAGTAGCATATTCAGTTTGCACTTCCATCATAACCGGTGTGGATGACATTTGTGTACTAGTTGTATTGTAATCTTGGGTATCATTCTCTAAATTCGTTGTTATCGTTGTTGTTGCTGGGATAGATGGTGATACCATAGTAGAGGATATATTAGTATCGTTCGTAGAAGTATTGTTATTCTCTGTTGCTGCCATTGATGGAGGAGTTGATGGTGGTGTTGCAGTTAATGTGGACGTTGCAGAAGAGGAGCAGGCAACAGGATCAGAGGAGGACATTTTGCTAATAAAACAGTAAAAAGAAACAAACAAAATCAAATATTTTTTGATGTTATAAATCAAGGAATAATCATAACTTTGTATTTTTCTTACCAAAGATAAATGAGATTAACTTTGTTCAAGTGAATGACTGTTTGTACGAAACAAAAAAAAAAAAAAAAAAAAAAAAAAGGAAAAAGAAAGAACCTTGATGTTAAGAAAAGAAAAAAAAAAAAGGTAGAGCTTTAAAACACCGCTTGAAGATGATTTGATTGGTGAAAGTAAAAACATCTGGCATACTCTTCCTGCATTAAGGTCTTTAGACAACATTCAAAACATGTGACTATATAATACATAAAAAAAAAAAAAAAAAGAGATGTATAAAAAAATGAATTTCTTTTATTATCATACAAAAACGTAATTACAGAAAAGTCACAGAGTGAGAGACTAAAAAAAAGAAAAAAATGCATTGTGTGGATACGACTAGATGAAGGAGGTTTGTAAATAAACTAATTATATGAAAAGTAAAATGATCAAAGGTCAAAGAAATATAAAATGTGAATGTTGATACTAACCTATGCTATTGTGATGGATGGAATGCAAAACAGAATATAAAGAAATGATAATAAAAATCATATACAAAAAAAAAGGGGGGAAATCATCAAATAATAAAATAAACTAGTGAAAGAATGATTGAAGTGAGTTCATCGTGATTGATCATTATCCGCCATATGGTGTTGTTGTTTTTGTTGTTCTGAGGTAAATGGTATCGTATTGTTTGTGTTTATTGATGTTGATGAATCTTGATTCGCCATTCGCCTTGATAAATATTCTTGAAGGGACACTTTGACCTTTGGTTTATTGACTTGATCACTTTCCAATTTGGTGGTTGTTTGATCTTGCTTTGCTGCTTTTTCTTCCAATTGTTTGACACTATCTACAGATGTTGATGATGTAACTGTTCCTTGTTCATCCTTGTTTTGACTTGATGCTATTGGTACAGTTGTTTCTTGCGATGATTTAATAGATGCTTCAACTGGTTTTCCTTTCTGCCGTTGCTGTGGTCGTAAAGTCCATTCCCGATCATCATCATCTAATGGAATTGTCGATGCTGAGCTTGCATCACTTAATTCACCATCATCCAAATCAATGTCCATTGTATCATTCATATTTGTGTCCTTGGTCGTTGCTATTGGAATAGTAGCTGTGTCCATCGATTCTTTCTTGGGTTGTTGTGTTGATTCATCATTGCCATCATCACTAATGTTTTTGCTTGTTATATTCGATTCCTTCAACGTTGATAAATTGGTATTATCATCCATATGTTCTTGTTTGATCACAGTACGATCTAGAATAATAAAAATAAAAAAAAATGAATAATCAATATATAATCCCATTTAGTTTTTTTTTTTTCTACTTTTCATTCTCTTTACCTAAAGAAGTTGCTTTTCCAATACCATTATCAGATTTCACATTGTGTTGTAAAAAGTTTTTCATCCAAGCTTTTTTGCACGGTAGAGCAGAGAGTTTCCCGCTTGTTTTTGAAGTAGCAGTAAAAGATGTATCCATTGTGGTATCTTGATTTTGTTTCTTGTTATGTCGTCTTTTTCGTTTTCCTTTCTTATTGCCGGTAGCGTCACCACTAAAATCATCATCACCTGATACATCATCATCGCCAGACAGACTTGATATAGATGAAAGAGAAGAAAGATCTTGACTAACTGTAGCATCAGTATTACCACCAGATTTGAACTTGTTACCATCTTGTTTTTGTTGTATATCATCATTAGTTCCATCCAAATGAGTAGTAGGATTGACTTTTGTTGTAACAGTTGGAAGGTCGTCGCCAATATCGATATCACCATCAATATCTAATTCATCCTCAGCATCCGAATTGGTTTCTTTTTTGCTTTGATCCATAGTGTGATGATGAGAAGGACTTGTTGCTGTACTAGGTGACATAGAGATAACATCAATATCCACATTCTCTTCTACTGAGCCTGCTGCAGGTGAATGTACTGTCGTTTTATTATTATTATTATTGTTATTGTCGGATTCTGCTTTTGTCGTCGTATTTGGTGCCACGATGATTTGCCTTGAGTGTTGAAGAGAAGCTACATTGTCACTGTTGTTTGTTTTGGGAGATAATGTTGATTCCAGATGAACATGTTCCACACGACTTTTCAGAATATTTGGCTGTCGTTGTAAATATTCGGCATCTTCTTCTTGATAGCATTCTTGTCGAAGTCTTTCAATCAAACAAACATCATGATCGCCACAAGCACAATTTCCAAATTCATTGTCAAATCGATCCAACATTTGATGAATAGCATCACGAGTCTTTTGTTTCGTCTCTTCATCCAATAACATAGTGTCGTCCACAAAACTATCATTGACCAATTGGGTGTTGTTCGAAGGATCATTTTTAATATGCGCCACTGTTCTATTTTGATGATGTTCTAGCTGAGATGATCGACACCATTCCACATTTTTTCGCCAGGAAATATGTCCTTTTTGCCAGTTCCAACCGAGAGTGATCTCTTCCCCTGGTGCAATTTGTGTACGAGTAAAGATACCAAGTCGAATTAGTCCACCATCCATGAGTTGTTGTTTGATATCATCATCCCCATTCGTAATACCATTCATCCAATGAATCGATCCAGTAGATTGTTGTAAAGGAAAGACAATAGTACGTAATTCAGCATTTGGATGACAAGATCGACGAAAATGACGAGTATCATTCCCTAAACGACGACCATCGATACAGAGATCCAGAGTAGGATAAAATAATACATGAGCACAGGGAGTTCCCAAAATAGCATAGTTGTTGGTCGAGTCAAACTTGTATTCAGATTTCAATATCAATTCTCCATGCGCTTCCAACAAAAAAGTGTTTGCTTGTAATTGGGTATCGGCAAAAGCACCTTTCCGTAGTTTACATGGTGATCGTTGTTGTTGTTTCGGTAATGATCGAATAGCGATATTTGTTGCTGATGCTTGTTGTAATGAGACTGAATCCATCACTGTAAAAGGACCATGATGAGTTTTTCTTTCATTGTTGTTAGGTGTTGTACTTGATGTGGCAATATCTTGCTGATCAGCATCCCGCCAAGGTTGTGATTTCCATTTTGATGATTGACTCCAACGTTCTTTTGTTTCTTTGATGACTTCATAGACAAATTTGCTTTTAATGGTATTGACATTAGTGGGTTGATATTTATCTTTCCTTCTACTGTTGTTGCTTTCCATTCTTGTCGAAGCCTTGCTAATCATGTCTTCGTCTGAATCTATCATACTTCGTTGTAAAGACCGTTTTGGGACAGAGATGCGTTTTGACAATTTTGGTTTCTTTGGTGTTGGTTTGCTGCTACTGGTTTGAAGGACACCGTTGTTAGGAGAAGCACCATGAATTGAATTGTTGCCAATACCATTACTGTTCAAATATCGATATTCTTCTTGAGCAGGATCCCGTGATCGTTTGTTGTATGAATTTGACCTTCCGGATAAAGATCGGTTGTTGCTGGACTTGGTTCTATCATCTTTCCGTTTGGCAGAAGAAGGTTTGTTGTTATTGGTTGTCAAAGTACTGGAAAATGAATCGAGTTCATTCATGTTGTTGAGTTTCGAAGAAGAAGAAGAAGAAGAAGAAGATCGAGCATTGAAATTGGACGAAGAAGTTGTGGTAGTGGTAGTGGTAGAAGAGGTTGTAATTGAAGAAGAAGAGGCCAAAATAGAGATACGAGTAACACAATCATCACAAAGATATCGATCAGGAATGTTGTTCTGAGTGATATTCATACAATAAGCATGTTGCCAAGTAAGACAACGATCACATTGAATGGTGAATCCATCGTCTTCGTTCGAGTCACAAATACAGCGAATAAGACCAGTATCAACAGGAGGGATTTCAGAAACATTCAGTTCTTCATCAGTAGCTAGAGTAGTTTGTGACTGATGAAGAGTGAGTGGATAGCCAAGTTTCGACATGCCTATGGCACGTTATAGTGATATATAATGAAAGAAAAAGACAAGAAAAAAAAAAAAAAAGAGTGAGAAAAAGTAAGAGAAAAAAAAAAGATAGTTTGCGTCATAATTGTATCTTTACTCTTCATCATTCCGGACGCGGTATTTCAAAAGAGAGTATTCCGGGGGTTCTCTTTTGACATGACTAGAATGGAATCAAAGTGATTGGTTAGAATCAAAGTATTGAATCAAGTTTAGAAGTAGGCTTTCTATATATAAATTGAAATGAAGAGGAAAGAAATAGAAAAAAAAATGAATGAATGAAGGAAAAAAAAAAAACAAAATAAATAAAATAAATAAAAAAAAAAAAGACAAAAACAAAAAAATTAAGGAATGACTGTAATTTATTAGGAGAAGTATATGGAAAACCATATTGGAGAGACATGATGTAAAGATATGATTGGTCAGTCCTTCACGTGGGGCTACACACACTGTAAGCATGCGTTTTTCACTCTCTGTCAAAAAACGGAGCTGAGATTCGATTTTTTTTTTTTTTTTTATAGAATCCAAATCCATTTTTTTTGGACTTCTTTCTTTTTTTCCTTTTTTCTCTTTGTTTCCTTTTTTACTTTTTGCCCTTTCTTGTTCCAGGTTTTCTTTTATAGTTACCAGAAACTATTGTTATACTCGAATGCCCGTTCCGTCCTCTGTTTCTGTCAATGACATTATGCCTTCTTCTGAAATGCAACAAGATAGAAAATGTAAGTCATCGAGTTATTTTATTTTGATATTCATTCAGTTTAATTGTCAAATAATAATAAACTTATACTTTTCTTTTTGTTATATTAGATGTTTTGGGTATTTGTGCTATGGATAGGAAAGCTCGTTCTAAGCCTATGCGTCATATTCTTAATCGATTATTAGCCTATGCTGATTTTGATATTGTGATTTTTGGTGATAAGACAATTTTGGATGAAGGTAAAATTATATATAATAATTCAATTCAAACATAGATGATTAAAAATAAATGATCTTTTTTTTTTTTTTTTATTTTTTTTAGATATTGAGAATTGGCCAGGTTGTGATTTTTTGATTTGTTTCTTTTCCGATGGATTTCCTCTTGAAAAGGCAGTGGAATATGTCAAACTTCGAAAACCTTATGTAGTGAATGATGTATGTATGCAATCATTATTATGGGATCGCCGTGTTGTATTGGCTGTTTTGGATGCTATTGGTGTACCTACTCCTCCTCGTCTAGTGGTCTCTCGTGATGGTGGTGCCAAAGTGGATATTGATGCTGCTAAAGCTTTTAAAGAATGCAATGGGATGGATATGGATCGTATCATTGCAAAGTATGCTAGTAATACTCCATCTATAGAAGTGACTCGAAATGGTATTATTGCCAAAGGAAAATCTCTGGATAAACCTTTTATTGAAAAGCCTGTCGATGGTGAAGATCATAATATCAACATTTATTATCCTGAATCTTTTGGTGGTGGTGGTCGTAGACTCTTTAGAAAGGTGAGTAAATAATAAAAAAAAAAGAATAATAACTCAAAATATTAAATATATTTTTATATACATATTAGATTGGTAACAAGTCTAGCGAATTTGATCCAGAATTGGAATTTGCTTCTGAAGAAGGTTCTTATATCTATGAAAGTCTTATGATGACTGAAAACTGTGAAGATATCAAGTTATATACAGTGGGTCCTACTTTTATTCATGCGGAAACAAGAAAGTATGATCCATTATTATTATTATTATTATTATTTTGTCTGAAACCAGTTGGAAACTTACTTTTTTTTTTTTTTTTTTACTCTTATTTATCTTTTATATATATATATAGATCACCTACTGTAGACGGTCATGTTAAACGCAATACAGATGGAAAAGAAATTCGTTATTGTACTGAACTTACTCAAGAAGAAGAAGAAATTGCTCGTAAAGTATCCAAGGCATTTGGCCAAAACGTATGTGGATTAGATCTATTACGGGTTCAAGGCAAATCTTATGTTATCGATGTCAATGGTTGGAGTTTTGTTAAAGGAAATGATCATTATTACGACCAGTGTGCAAAGATCTTGGCTGAAAAGTTCCATCGATCGATTCAAGAACGTCCTTCTTCATTGGCCGATATTCCATCCAAGATTTCTCCAGAAAACTCCTGGCGTTTGAAAGGTTTTGTTGCCGTTTTTCGACATGGTGATCGTACTCCCAAGGATAAATTCAAGATCTCAGTCAAATCTCCATACTTTGCAAACTTATTAGAAGGGAGTCGCCGTGAGGTAGTTTTCCGTCAAAAACATCAACTAGAAAAGGTTACTGAAGCTGTGGACAAATGTCTCTCTGATGATTCTGAAGATACCGATAAAATGATGGCTTTGAAAGAAATCTTGGAAAAGAAAGCCAATTTACCTGGTACCAAAGTGCAACTCAAACCGAAATTCGATCCTGATTCTGGTGAACTGGAAAAATTACAACTTAATGTCAAATGGGGTGGTGAGGTAATTATAAATATATAAATATATATAACAATGCATTGTGAAACATCTGATTTGATTTGTTTTCTCACCATATTTTTTATACTTTTTTTTAATATCACTGTTTTTGGTATGATTATAGTTCACTCACGCTGGTCTTTATCAATCCAGGGATTTAGGTGAAAACTTGCGAAAAGATATGAATATTCTCAATCGTGCTGTAATGGATGATATCAAGATTTATAGTAGCTCCGAACGTCGAGTGAGAGCCACAGGTAAAAAAAAAACGACAAAAAAAAAAAAGCAATATAGAAAAAATAGGTAAATCTAATAAAAAAATTTTTTTTATAGCTGATATCTTCGCCCGCTGGTTTCTGGGTCAACCTGAATCTATCGATGGTGTTATCTCTGAAAGCAAATACTTATTGGATGATAGTAATGCAGCGAAGGAACAAGCTGATGCAGTCAAGCGACAACTCAAGGAACTTTTACGACCTGGTAATGATTTACCAGAATTAATGCTTGCACAAATGAATTGGCCAGAAGGACTTCCTCAACCACATGTGATTCTTCAAGAAATCTCAATCATCATGTCTCGTTTGCAAACTCTGATGCATCTCAATTGGTCATCCAAGGTGGTCGATCAACTTCAACGTCGCTGGTGCTGTTTTGAGTCTCCATCTCTCTTCAAGGAACGTTGGGAAAAGATGTTTCGAAATTTTTGTCAAACTGGAAGTGGCGATGAAAGTGATGGATCATTCACCACTCAACAATTATCCTCATCTGAAAAATATGCTGACCCTTCTTGGATTCCTGAATTATACGATTCTTTGAAATATGATGCTTTACACAATCGACCTTTTTTGAACGCAATCTTCACTGATCCTGATTTGGCTTCTTCATCACCTGATCCTTCTATATTATCACAGTCTCCACCATCAACTAATTCACCTCATTTCCAACAGCAAATATCATTTACCAATCGACGACTTTCAACTGCTACTGAACCAACCATGCGCAGCTGTAATCGTGATCTTCGAAAATTATACAAGTATGTCAAAATCATGTTTGATTTTATCGCTCCTCAAGAATTTGGTATCTCTGACGTAGAAAAGAAGAATATCGGCATGTTGATTAGTCTTCCTTTATTGAAAAGTATTCTTAAAGATTTGGATGATATGACAACGTCAGAAAATCCGAAGACAAGATTATATTTCACAAAAGGTAAATAGATTCAAGAAAAGATATATATCTATATATATCTATAAAGTGATACTATTCTCTCTTACATCTTTTGTTTTTTCTTATATTTTAGAATCCCATGTGCATGCCTTATTGAATTTAGTATATCATTCAGGTGTACCAACCAAAATCCCAAGGAATATGCTACCTGAATTGGACTGTAAGTAGATAGAAAGAAAAAAAAATATAGAATCAGGTGAACAGAGCTTACAAAAAGCTTACTTTTTTTATGATCATTTTATATAGTCTTAACCCAAATCACATTCGAACTTTATGAACGTAAAAATCCTGATACCGACACTGCTGCTGAATATTCTTTACGAATTGCTTTCTCCCCAGGTGCTCATTATGATAGCGTTCTGGATTTGCATATGTAAGTTGACATTCATCACAATCCTTTTATTTTATGGTTACTGATAAATTAATAAACTCGTTATAGGGATGCTGAACATTGTCTCAAAGTGGCTCCTCGCAAGTAAGTACATACAAATAAAAAAAATAAATAAAAAAATAAAAAAAATAAAGATCATTCACTAATAAAATAACTATCTTTTTATAGAAACTTAATTCCTCATCTTTCTTTGGAAGAAGTCTTGTACTACCACAAAGGATATTTGAATGTTCCCAACTTGAAGGCCATCCAACAAACCATTGAAGAACGTCAACTTTATTATGCTCAAGAAGATAATCAATAGGTTTTTCCTCTTCTTTTTTTTTTTTTTTTTGTGTCCGTTTTACTTAGTTTTGTTTAGTTTTACTTAGATTTTTGTTAGTGTTATTAGCTTTTGTCTCTTCAAAAAAAAAGTACGTTTAGTTTTCCCGATCTTGTGTAGACAAATCTTATTATTTCCATGTATATAAAATAAATCATCTATGTTCATGATCTTGCATGAATCACACTACCTCACGCCACTAAACCTTGTTGTTTTCTTTTTTCATTTGATTTGATGCCAACAACAACATATCATCATCAGTCATCATCACTTGATGACCGCCCAATTTCTTCAGGTCATGCCCCAAAACGCTATTATTATTGTATATTTTTCATAAGGATCGGCAACAACCATCATATGAGTTTACCATCATAAAATAACAATAGCATTGAAATCATTACAGGAAATGATATTTTCTTCATTATTATTACTTTGATCCATCTAACACTTTTCATCTTTAAACGTCACTACCGGATAGACTGGTAAGCATATGATCATGTTTCACCAATAACATACGATGATCGCAAAAAAAAAAAAAAAAAAAAAAAAAAATGATAATAATCATAATATAATAAAAAGAGTAAAAAAGATAAAGAAGTCAAAAGGAGAATTTTTTATTATTCAAACAATCGAGAAAAAAAATATCCATCACAACACTAAAACGACAAATTAAAAAAAATATAAGATAAAATATAATTGACACCAAGCTGTAGATATGGATTTCTTTTTTTTTTTTTCGTTCGTTGCTCCCCCAAAAAGTAGTCGAGCATTTATCGGTTAGCTAAAAAAAAAAAAAAAAAGAAAAAGAAAAATAAGAGTCGATATCTATACAAATCCTTCCTTTTTTTTTCATCATTCTTTTATCAACTTACATTTGGCAACACGTTCAAGTTCATCCTTCTTCTTGATGGCATAAGAGTTGGAAGAGCCCTTGGCAGCGTTGATCAATTCATCAGCGAGACATTCAGCAATGGTCTTGACGTTACGGAAAGCAGCTTCACGGGTACCAGTGGTGAGCAAAGCAATAGATTGGTTGACACGACGGAGAGGAGACACATCAACGGCTTGACGACGGACAGTACCTTGAGAACCAATACGGGTAGAGTCTTCACGAGGACCAGTGTTGATGATAGCATCGACAAGGACTTGGACAGGGTTTTGATCGGTCAACAAGTTGATGATTTCAAAAGCATGTTGAACAATACGAGCAGCCAACAACTTCTTACCGTTGTTACGACCGTGCATCATAAGGGAGTTGGTCAAACGTTCAACGATAGGGCACTATATATAGATATATAATAACTTAATACTGATAATAATAATAATATCACTTCCATAACTACTTCCTCTTTTTTTTTTTTATAACTTACTTGAGCCTTACGGAAGCGCTTGGCAGCGAAACGACCAGCAGTGTGAGGCAAGTAGACATGTTGACGAACTTGAATGTAGTCTTGGAGAGAGATATCCTTGACTTCAACATCTTCGTAAGACCACTTGTTGAAAAGCTTGCGAGAGCCGTCAGCGCTGGCCAAAACGTCAGCGGGCAAATTCAAAGAAACCATGCTATAAGTGAAATATAAGGAGCTTGTTAGTATTCTGTAGACTGATCAGGAAAGGATGTTGTTCATTCTATTCTGGTGGGGAAAAATTTATGTAGTTGTTTGTATCATCCATCCATAGTTGAGCATTCTGATCATGTCGATAATGTTGATTTTTTGATCAGTATATAATGAAGATGTCGAAAGTTGATTGATATTATATATATATATCCAAAGCAATTTATCCCTGCTGCTCAGTTGTTCGTCTTTTTTTTTCAAATGAATTGATCGATAAGATAGTTGAATGGATGGATGGATGGATGGATGGATGGATGGATGGATGATACTAGGATTGTCATGTATGGGTAATGATTTCTTACCTGAATATGAGAGGAGGAAGAAAACTAATTCGGAGGTGCAGGCTCCAATTTGTAATGAGTGGAGGACAGAGAGAGAAAAAAAAAGAATTCCAATTCCGACATGTTCTTTCTTTTTTTTTTTTTTGGGTGACAATGATGATGAATTTCATTCACTGATAACTAGAAGATTCTTGAATGATTAAATGTTGATACTTCCTATTATATTATTACAAATAAAGCTATCATTCATGATGATAATGTTGATGATGATAGTTGATGTAAATTATAATATAAAAATATAGTAAATATATGAGGATGTATCATCAAATTCATTTTCATACGAATTTATTTTAAAATCGGCATAAAACCTATCACTGAAACCATATCATATAAGTAACCATTTTTAGAGTTACCATCATAAGTTCGGTATTCATTATGCTTTAAAAGTCATCCCTTTATATATAATGGGTAACCCCTTTTTTATAATAATGATGAAACATAAAGGATATCAACATCAACAACAACAAGAATAGTGTGACATTTTGCAATACTTTGAAACTTATACGTCTATTTATATGGAACGTTGAATAATTGATTACATACTATAGATGATGAAGTAATAATCATCCTTTAAAATTCAAATTGAATATTGAATATTACATGATAGAATTATCTTTTTTTTTGGGGGAAACAAGGAGATATTTTTTAGTTATAATATTATTTATGTCTTTCGTCATACAAATCATATTCTCTTCAAATAGTTTATAATATTCTTCAAAATGTGAAAATTGATGATCAACTCAAAGTTCTATTCGAGAGAGCATGAAGCGGTCTTTTAAATGATTATGCGTTCAGGCTAAAAGCACTTTTCACTCGTTCCTTTTTTTTTTTTATTTTCTTTCTTTTCTTTCCACTCACTCTTTTTTTTTACTTCTTCTTTTTTCTTTCTTTTCTTTTTTTTTTTTATCTTTTATTATTCCGACTTTTATCATGCTTGACAAGGACCCAAATACTACAGCCGAATCTGATCCTGACTGCACTGAAGTCTTGGAAGAAAACTCAAAAAGTATTCTACTTGGTATTATCAGTCAGTTACGTAAAGAAATGGATTTACATAGAGTGACTTTGCCTACCTTTGTTTTGGAACCAAGAAGCATGCTTGAAAGAATTACCGACTTTATGAGTCATCCTGAACTTCTCTTGGAGTAAGTTTTTCTTTTGCACTATTAGTCGCGTTTTATTTAAACCTATATTCATTATTATTATTATTATTTATTTATTTATTTAGTGCTAGTGTTAATCCTGAACCATTGGATAGATTTATTGGTGTAGTACGATATTTTTTATCTGGTTGGCATATCAAACCCAAGGTAAATAGAATCAAAGAAGAAGAAAAAAAAAGGAGAGAATGGAACATAAAAGTGGATTACAAGGGAACGATATGGGTCACTGATGTACGAAAAAGAAAAAAAATAATAATAATCAGATTTGTTTATTTTGGGTGCACGGTACAGCACATGGATTGGAAAGACACGTGAATTGATTGTTGAGAATCAGAAACATTTTGGGGGTGAACAATTGACACTAGTTTGTATTAACTCTTTTTTACTATTTTTTTTTTTTTTTTTTATAATTTCTATTAGGGGGTCAAGAAACCCTACAATCCGGTATTAGGTGAAGTGTTCAAATGCCGCTGGAAATACAACAACAATACAAATGGTTATTATATTGCTGAACAAGTCTCTCATCATCCTCCAAAAAGTGCCTATTATTTTGCTAATCCAGAAGCAGGTATCTATATTCAAGGTGAAATCATTCCAAAGGCCAAATTCCTAGGAAATAGTGCTGCTACCATGATGGAGGGGGAATCACATATCTTATTCAGTTATCATCACAATGAAAGATACGATATTACTATGCCCAATGTCTATGCAAAGGGAATTCTATGTAAGTCATAATAATAATAATAATAAATCTATTCATTTTTATTTATTTTATCTTCTTGACTGGTTCAGTTGGCAAAATGGTTTTGGAATTAGGTGATAAATGTAAAGTAAGATGCAAAAGTAGTGATCTTATCTGCGAACTGGATTTCAAAACAAAGGTAAGACAACCTCATCGGGAAAGCATTGAATATTTTTCTTCTTGTTCTATTCCGAACATTATTCAAATATCTATTCTTGTAGGGCTTTTTTTCCGGTCGTTATAACTCGGTCGTTGGAAAAATTAAAAAGGAATCTACCAATAAAGTGCTTTATGAAATACACGGTCAGTGGTCAAGCCAAATTTATATCAAGTCTCCTAGCAAGGTAAGAAAAAATAAAAATAAAACAATTCATACTTTTTTATTTCGTATTCATTTCTTTTTTTTTTTTTTTTTGATATTTATTGGAATAGAATGGTGACAAGTCTATTTTATTCGATGCAACAACAGCATCTATTTTTCCCAAATTAGTGCAAGCGGAAGCGGATCAAGATCCATTAGAATCTAGACGATTGTGGAGTCAAGTCACGGCAGCCATCAAACGCAATGACATGGATGAAGCAACGAAGCAAAAATCAATCATTGAAGATGAACAACGCAAAGCAGCAAAAGAACGTCAGGATACTAATATGAAGTGGACACCACGCTATTTCGCTAAAGAAACCAAGGATGATGATCAATATGGATTTAAAGGTCACTCCAAGTAAGGATTTTTATGATCATCATGACCAAATATATATATTATATGTACTGCATGAACGGTGATGTACTAATTTTTTTCTCTTTTTTTTTTTTTTTTTTACCCTTGATAAATTGATTATCATAGAATCAATTCAAATGATCCTACAGATGCTATGGCCAAGTTGGAATCAAGTATTTTTTCCAATGATGTATCATCATCCAAATTACTTTTTCTTGATAAAGCAACAACAGCAACAACATCAACATTACCTACCTCCAATCCTATGGAAATTACTCTTTAGTTGATGATATGTTATTTATTCTTCCTCTTACAATGTAGTTTATTTCTCTTCTTTGTATTTACTTTCTTTGAATAAATTTACTTCTTTGATTAAAAATAGATTGCGTAATAAAGTGGATAGTTCCTGAAGTGCCTTCCTAACGCATAATATGGATTCGTTTTTTTTTTTTTTTCATCCTTGACCATCCAAGGTCAAGTACACCATTTATACTCCGATAGAACTTGGAAGTCACACTACCGTTTGGAACATAGAGAATAAGAAAAAAAAAACTAGACTAGAACCCTTCTTTTTCTCCTCTCTTTCTTTCTCCCATTCTTTTCTATTTTTACTATTCTTTCTTCTTTCCCAAAACTTTAATTTCAACATATACATTTTGAATAGAAAAAGATAGAAAACAAAAAGATAAAAAGTTGTGTCTTTTTTATTCTCTCTTTCTTTGTTTTCTTCTTTGAATGGCTTCTCCAGATCACAAGCGTCGTTGGACAGAAAACAATCCTGGTATGTCGATTCCTTCCAGACCTCCATTAAAGAAACGGTTCACTAGTAATGTCAATATTGCTACTACAACTACTCCTTCTTCATCCACTGGTGTTACTGTGGTGACGAGTGGACCTGCCAGTGCTTCTGATCTTGTACCTTCTCCTATATCAACTTCACCCACAACTACTTCTACTGCTACTGCTGCTACTGTTACTACCACTCCAATTACTACCACTGCTACTATGGTGACAACTACTAGACCGTACTTGGAAGATGTGGAAACGGTAAAAAAAAAAAAAAAAAAAGTACTCTATAGACGTATTTATATCTTTGAAATTCTTCCTAATCATGCTTTTTTTTTTGTGTATTACAGATATCAGCCAAATCCTTGTCGAAAAATGCTTGGTTGAAACGAATGAATGAAGCAAAGGTATTATTCCAAGATCTACTTAATCATAATCGTACTTTTTGCTAAATCTTTTTTTTTTTATTCCTGATCTTGTTATAGCGCGATTATAATGACTTGGACGAAAGAAAAACAACCTTTGAAAATGAATATATTAATAATGAAGCAACAAGAGGATTGATTCGTGTGCAATTGAATATGGTAATGACTAACGTCCTTCTCATTCACATTTAAATGTCATTGACTTTTTTTTTTTTGTCTCGCTTTAGATTCAACAAGATTTAATCCTTGTAGCCAAATCAAAATTTGTTGTCGATATCACTACTCAAACAGGTAAGAAGGAAAGGAAAAAAGAAGTTTCGTTATGATCATACTGTTTTAATGACTTGTTTTATTTTGTCACTGTCATCATCATTAAAAGACCCCCCAAAGGAGACAGGCAAGGCAGAACGTGAATGGTTGGAAAAGACTCATTTGATGGCCAAGGAATTACAAACTATGATATTGGATTATATTAAATCATGGACTGAAGGAACAATGACATTGGAAAAAATTTGGCATCAGGAATCAGGTAAAAAAAAAAAAAAAAGGTTGACATAATTAAATGGCGATATTAAAACTAATGATTTTATTTTGTTGATCTTTTTTTTTTTTTTAAGATACATCTCGGAAGCACATGTTACTATCCAATTGGTTACAAAGAGAAATGGAAGATTTACAACGATCATACCAACAGGCACAGACTTGTCTACATTACACAAATCAAGAACAACAGAGAGTTAACCAACAAACGAATGATATTATCAAGGAAACTCAGGCAACTGCAGACGAATTGGAAAGAATTAAAGAAGAGTTGGATGAATGTACTATGACATTGATGCAAACTGAAAAACGTCATGAAAGATCAAAAAGTAAAGTAGTGGCTTCTCTAGCAAATGGTGGACTTGGCGATCTGACTGTGGATGCTCTTGATAATGCCCCAACTACGCCTACTTCCGTATCATCATCTTCAGCTAGTACGACTGCTGTCATGCCTGCTCCTGTTTCTTCTTCCTCTACTGTGGCTGCTAAAGGATATTCAGACTCTGATATTGAAGTAAGTCAAAATAAATACATAAAAATAAAAAAAATAATTAGTAATCGTATGGAAACCTGAAAGAGAAGTACTGATTCTGAATTATTATTATTATTAATATTATTAATATTATTATTATTATTATTATTATTATTATATGTAGCCCGGATCTATTGCAGATCAGACAATGAAATCACAATTGTCAGAACATCAATTGATTGTGGATACACGAAATAAAGAACTATCGGATTTGAAATTGGAACGTCAAACACTAGCAGATGATATCGATCGACTACGTATTCAATTTTCCAACATTCCTGACGAACGATTAGTCAATACTGATTATTACAAGAATCTTCAAACATCTTACGAATATTATCGACATCGAGCACATCATTTGGATCAAATGCGGACTAATTTGGATCGAACATTAGATGATTTGGCACGTACTCGGAAACGATGGGTGGATGAATTGAAATCAGAACGAACCACACAAAATGCAACAATGGAATCAGAAATGAAACGCCTGGAAAATGACCTGATACGGATTCGTGGACAAAAAGATCAATTCCAATCTCATTATGATGAACAAGTTTCCAAGGAACTCAAACTCAAAGAGACAAATCAACAGATACTTGATTTGGCTACGGAGCAAAAGGTAAAAAAAAAAAAAAGAAAAAAGAAAAAAAAAGGATAATATTAAAAAATAAAAAGGAGATATTTGACTTTTTTTTTTCTGAAATAGGAATATATCATCTCATTGGAATCTCGATTACATGACCTTAAATCTGAAGCGACAGTGGCTGGTCCATTGACAAAAGACTTGAAACAGTTTGAAGAAATTAGGATGTCTTTAAAGTAAGTTGATGAAACATAATAGGATAATGATAAATATATTGACTATATAAACTTTACATAGACAAACCAAATATTCTCTGGAACGATTACAAGAAATGGAACAAGGATGGAACACAAACGATTCACAACAGCATATCACATCTATGAAAGATCAGATTACCCGTTTAAGGAATCAACTGGAATTATGGAAAACCGATGGTGGTGGCAACAATAATGCTGAGTTACATGATCGTATTCAAGCTTTAATGAAGGAGTTGTCAGAGTATTCTATGGAATCACAAAAATTATCTTTGATGATCGATTTATTCGAAAAGGTAATAATTATATTCATTAATGCGGGTTTGAAAAAAGGGAATGAATGACTAACTAACTGATTTTTTTTTATTTATTATTATTTATTTGAATACTATTAGACGGAAACTCGACTATTAGAAGAAATCGATAGAATGGCATCCATTTATGGACGACTGGAAGAACAACGATCAAAAAAAGTGTTTGATGATGATTATAAACAAGACCATAAACTCAAGCTTTTAGCCGAGGTAAGGAAATAAGGATTATTATTTTTTTATGACATTCATTCATTCCTTTTCTGTTTTTTATTTGCAGAAATCCAAATATGCACAAACTTTTCCATCCCTGATGGCAGCCAAAGAGAAGCAACAAGCTAATGTTACGTCTCTACGTCTTACTTGTGATAAACAAAAAGAACTCATAACACAACTCAAGGAACATGAAAAGTCTCTGGAATTACAATTGGTAAGTAGAATTGATTTATAGATTCTTGATCAAAAGAATAACTTTTTTTTTCTTTTCAACTTAAGTCGGGGAAAGAATATGATAGTTGGCGAATGACTCAATCTGTTGAAGATGACAAGTCTATGGTAGAAAGTTTAACTCAACAATTAGAAGAATCGAAAAATACACTGGAACAACTTGATGAACATATGATGGAGGTAAATATGAATTTTTACAAAAACAGAAAATAAATTAATTCTATTTTATTTTATAGCTGCAGAAAGTGCTCAAGGAGAAAACACGTGCATTAGAAGAAGAAAAGCATTTACAAAGTCGAGTGGAAGAAGATCATGACAAGATGAAACGAAAATGGGATATGATCTCACATGGTGATAATCCTCAGGAACAACAATTGGCAGAAGAGTGTGATGAATTAAGGGTAATTAAAAAAAGGAGATAAAAAAAAAAGGTTTATTATACTGATTTATTCTTTTTTTGGTTTTTTATGAAATCAATATAATTTTTAAATAGTCTCTCCTCAAATGTGGTACTTGTCGAACAAGATTCCGAAGTCATCTCCTGACACGTTGTATGCACACTTTTTGTAAGAAATGTATTGATGCCAGATTAGAAACTCGTCAACGTCGATGTCCTACTTGTGGCGAATCCTTTGGTGCTTCTGATGTTCGGCAATTCTATCTATGATTTACATCGTTTATCCCTTATTATCATTCTTATCCATATAGACCCTTTCCCCCCCCCTTTTTTTTTTTTTTAAAAAAAAAAAGCTACTTTCCTCCCAATCGCTTCAATCCAAAATCTTTCTTTTCCCTTTTTTAGCATATATTCTTAAAACGAAATTTTCACCCTCCCCGCTCTTTCTCTTTTTTTTTTTTTTTTTTTATGATACTTTATTCATTCATACAATTCCCCACAAATTCTACAGTTTTTTCTTTCTCTCTCTCACTCACCTCTCGTTTATTTATTTTTTTTTGTCTCTCTCTCTCTCTATCATTCTGTACAGTATATATTATTATTTTTCTTGATAGTCAACACGATTAATCTACATTCATTTTTTTTTTTTTATCATTTGTCTTTTTACATTTTAATAAAGTAATCAAAATTCATATATTTATTTTTTACTTTTTTTTTCTTGGTTGTTTGTTTTTATCGTTTTTTTTTTTTTTTGTTACTGTTTCCTTTTTTAGTCTTCATCTGACTATAAGATAATAGAAAAAAAAAGGAGAGTAAGAAAATCTCAATTTTTTAAATTTATGCATTGTTAGACTTTAGTTATACAAAATATTATTGTTTTCAAATACAAATTTTATAGTCAATACCTCTCTCTTTTAACATCATCTTCTAAGGAGATATTCCTTTCAAAACATACTCCTTTTCATCACTATTATTATTTATGTATTGAAAAAGTGAATACATTCTTTCCGTTAGTTTTTGACAGTTCTTAGGATCTGCAACCGATCTCGCGGAAATTGAATCGATCTAATCGAATATCTATAAAAAAGGCTTACTTTTTAGTTTGTTTTTTTTTTTGTTTCTTTCTATCATATACTATATACATTTTATTTTATTCTGTTTCTAATCATCATGCGTCATTCTTTGATTCTTAGTGTTTCTTCCGCCGTTATCTTATTAATGAGTAGTATGACGATGGCAGCTCCTTTGGTGGGCACAGATGGTGTCACTCATATACTTGGAGATCAAAATCAACAAGCTGGTGTTCAAGCAGGTACAGGATTGGAAAATGTGATGGTGGATCTAGTTAAACGTCATGACAAGAAGAAAAACGAGAACAAAGACAATAATGATACATCTGATGATGCTACTTCTGTAACTGATGATAATCAACAAGGACAACAGGAGGATGGTCAAGATACAAGTGATGATGCTTCTTCTTGGAATAAATCAGATGAAAAGCAAACAACTCCTTCAGGAGATGAATCTACTGATATTGCTGGTGTCCAAGTGGCCAAGGATCCCGTGCATCATGTTTTGAGTGATGCCTCTGCTGGTTCTCCATTGGTCGGTGTCGAGACAAATACGCGACATTTGTTGAAGGGAAATCCTAGTGACAAGCAAGATGCTGGTGCTGTGATGAATAGACTGGCGAAAGCGGATGATGATGCCTTGGTACGTGAACATTCAACTCCTGATTATTATGAAGGTGATGTGGCTCCTGATGTGAGCACCAATGGTGTTCTTCAAGCTGTGGACGGGTTATTAGGAAAAACCTCTTTAGTCTAGTTACTTATTTTTTTTTTCACATATCAAATCACCTTCCAGTATTTCCTCTTCTTTTTTTTTTTTTTTTTTTTTTTTGTTAAATTTTACAATAAAGTCTCCTTTTTTGGTGATTACCTAAAATCAGTGGTTGGGCGGGTCATGAAATATCGAATTAACCGCCAAAAAAAGTCTTTTCTCTTTTTTTTTTTCTTTTCTTTCTCTTCTTTTTTTCAAAACGCACTCACTTGTTCACTTGCCATATCTTTGTCCATTATCAGCATCATGTCACCACTGGAGCAAGTCATTGAAGATCTTTTACAGAACACGCAAACCATGTCGCGAAAACAATTCAACAAACGGAATCAGGATGTCACCAATCACCTTTCTCAGTTACCGACAACCCAACGTCTTCTACGTAATGCAGATCCAAACGAGGCTAAATTATTTGCTGTTAGTTCAGGAGAAGCTCAAGCAAGATTTCATGCTGATCTAATGAAGGAAATGCAAGCCATTAGAAATGCTACCTCTCGACCTGATGCTGAACGCCTGTTATCTCTTGCCAGTGCCCTCAACAGGATCAGGTAAAATATAAAAACAAAAGCAACGCCAATGATAAATTTTAACGGTTAATCTCACCAACCTTTACCAACAGTAATGTAGCATCCATAGAAGAGAAAATCACTGAAATGAAACAACAACATGAGGAATACCAAGTCAATATCAGCTATTTGGAGTCTACATACAAAGACGTAACTTTGGAATCAAAAAAAAATACGCGCTAAATGTCGATTCTAATCGCAAATATATCTTTTTTTTTCTCTTTCTTTCTTATCCTGTATATGATAGAACGAAAAAGCTTTACAGACCTATAGACAACAACAGTCCCATTCTCTCCATGACAACAAGAAGACATTAGCTGAAACTGAACAGGAACTATACCAGGAAGAATCCAAAATGAACACTAACGAAGAACTACTACAAGGAAAAAGACTCAAGGTATGTGAATGATTATTGTTAACAAGAAGGTGATTAAGAAATATAAAAAAGAATGTACTAAAATGAATTTTTTTTTTGTTTTATTACAGTTGGAACAACTCAAATCGCTGATCAAAGAAAAACGACATCAATTAAGCCAATTAGAGAAACAACAATTACATACAAATACAAATGATCATCACAATAGTAAAACCGACAATAATCATCAGCTATTGGAGGTAAATAAAAAAAAAAAAAAGAAAAAAAAATGGAATCATAGCATTTTATACACATATACGCAGTATGTACTGTCGATCTCATTCCTATCTTTTTGTGTTGCCAATGAATGTAGAATATTGAAAGATTGAAACGTACTATCCTTACCAAAAAATCGATATTAGCTTCATCATCATCATCATCACCGTCTCTACCTTTGACCGGAAACACTCCTTCGACAGCCACAATGGACCAGTTATCTTGCTCTGGTAAAATTTCATCATCATCAGCTTCAACTATTACCGCTCCAGCACAAACTCTGTTTGATCAACTGCAATCGAAAATTAATAAAGCATATAAAACAAACGTAAGTAAGATTAAAAAAAAAAAAAAGAGAGTGATATATCTCGATTTAAAATTTTTTCTATCTTCTTTATTATCAATAGGTATCATCAGACACTATGAAAGGCAACACTTCAAACAAGGAAATCATATCGATCTTAGTAAGAAAAAAAAAAAAGAAGAAAAAAAGTTAGATCTATTATCATTATTCATTTGTTTTCTTTTATGTAGGAATTGATTATTCAAGCATTACAAGATATGAAGATTCGGTATGACAAGGCACAGTTTTTGGAAGATCAACTTGAAAAGATGAAGTAAGTGATTGATTGAGAAGTAAAAAAAAAAATTGGATCTTATTATTATTTTTATTTTCTTAGTGATTTGAAGCAAAAGATATTGATCAAGGCGAAAGGTGTCAAGGATAATAATCAAGAAGCATTGATGGCATCGATCCTGGTGTTACTGGAGAATCATGGAAGAATGCGACTAGAATCATTGAAAGACCAAGCCACGACAATTGCTATAGGATTAGGATTGGACTCTAGTCAAGGATCACAAGCAATATATAGTTGGGTTGGTAAAACGGCGATTAGTATAGATCGTAGTCAAGATGATAGTTATGTACAATCCAATTGGGAAGAATAATGCGAATAAACAAACTGTATTTCCTTATCATGTCGTACTCGTATCACCGTATTGTCCTTTGTGGGGGAAGCGGAAGTTCATTTTACTCCTATGCTATTTTTTTTTTTTGTTATTTTCATAATTATTTATTTTTTTTTTCTCTTTTGAATATTCCATTCATTTATTATTATTATTATTATTTTCTTCTTTTTTATATCCTCATTTTATGTTCACCAAGTGTATATAGAAAATAATAAAGAAAATTCATTATGGATAGAATCAATCAACACATGGATTCTTTAACTATTGACGAAAGGTTTTCAGCTACTAAATCAACACCTTCATCACCTGAACCTAGATCAGCTACTCCCAGATTAGAACGTAGTAAGACTAGACCCAATCTTCCATTCCCACCACCTCGTCGAGGTCCATCTGCTTCAATCTCTTCTTCTTCTTCTTCTTCTTCTTCTCGCATCACCAACATCAATGGTCTACCTCCTCTTCCAAGATCTCCAGGTGGACTTTGTCGTTCTAATTCACAACCTATCACATCAACTCGTCGACGACCGAAGCTCAATCTTGCTCAAATGGGTGTTTCTATCAAACAAACTCCTTTTTCAAATTTGTCAAAATATGTGTAAGAAGAATAAATTGACATAAAAAAAAACACACAGGATAGTCTCACATTTACCATTATTATTATTAATAGCGATCCATCTGGTAAATTGAATTTCGCAGGGAAAGCTATTATTCATGCAGAAGGTGTGGATTTCAGTAATGGAAATAGTTTTAATATTCGAATGGATGATTTGGTCTTGGAAAAGGAATTAGGTCATGGACAATATGGCACTGTACAAAGGGTAAAGAAAAAAACGAGAAGGAATAAATATCATAAAACAACTATATATTAATACTTTTTTTTTTAGGTATATCATAAAAGAACCAAAGTGGTGATGGCCATGAAAGAAATACGTTTGGAATTAGATGAAACAAAATTACAACAAATCTTGATGGAATTAGATATCTTACATAAAAGTACCAGTGATTATATTGTGGAATTCTATGGCGCTTTCTTTATTGAAACTTGTGTCTACTATTGTATGGAATATATGGATGCTGGCTCTTTGGATCGACTCTATGGTGATGGGATACCAGAAAATATTTTGGCTAAAATTGCTATCTGTGTAAGATGAAATCAAAAAAAAAAAAAAAAGAAACTTTGGTAAACTGATATTCCTTTTTTTTTTTAATATAGATGGTCAAAGGATTAAAGTTTTTAAAAGATGAATTATCCATTATTCATCGAGGTAAGTCTCCAAATAACAATAACAACAGAAAAACTAAGAAAAAAAAAACACTTGGACGATGTTTTTTTATATTATATATAGATGTTAAACCAACCAATGTCTTGATGAATCTAAAAGGTGATGTCAAATTATGTGATTTTGGTGTATCTGGTCAATTAGACAAGTCATTAGCAAAGACCAATATTGGTTGTCAAAGTTACATGGCAGTAAGTAGCAACATTCTTATTTCTTGGGTGTAATCATACTAATAAAAACTTTTTCTTTTTTGTAGCCTGAACGCATTAAAGCATCAAGTAAATATACAGTAGCCTCTGATGTATGGTCTCTCGGTGTATCACTTTTGGAAATGGCTTTGGGTCGATACCCATACAAATTTGATAATATGTTTGATCAACTCAAGGCAATCACTGATGGACCTCTTCCAGCATTCCCTTCCTCTTTTTCAAAAGAAGCACAAGACTTTTTATCACAATGGTAATAAAAAAAAAAAAGAATTTGAGATAAAAAAGGATAAGGAACAAACGTCATCTTTTTTTTTTTTGTGAATAGTTTACAAAAAGATCCTTTCAAACGGCCATCTTATGCTGAATTACTGGAACATCCTTTTATTCTTTATCATCAAGATGTACAGGTGGATATGGCCTCTTGGGTAAAACAAGTATTGGAGCGTAAAAATCAGAATGAAAAATAGATATGATCTTTTGTACTTCACATGTATAATAAAATTTTGTATCTTCTCTTCTTGTAAAATGTATCGTATTACCTATTACAACTCTCTATGATACTATCTTTTTTTTTATTTTAATTTTGAAATAAAATTTGTCTGTTACAAGAAGATCTGTACCGGCCAGTTAAGTAAGGATGCCTTTTGGTAGTTCCATTAGTTTGTAGCTTTATGTTCAAATCCCGCTTTGGTATTTTTTTTTTTTTTTTGGTGGTGGGAGGGCTTTTTGTTTTTCCTTTTTTTTCTTTCTTGTATTTATACCCTTTTAACATATATACATGACCATTCACAATTTATATATATTTGATCGACATTGTCAATGTATCTATTTTCAAAAATGGTCTCATCAAAACAAATCCAATCTCGGCAGTAGTAGTGTCAATGGTAATAGTGTCAACAGTACTAGTCAAACAGGATCCAGTCGTCTAGGACTCACCACATCATCACGTCTTTCACAGTCGAACACGTCTATATCGGATACAAACAACAACAATAGCAGTAGCCATGCATCAAATTCCATGACACAAAATGAGGACCGGTCATCATCCGCCACTTACCTTGGTACTATGACACAACAAAGTGGACTTGCAGCAGGAAGTGTCATGTCTATTGAAGAAGAAGCTAAACTAGTTTATGGTGTCATCTTATCATTGCGCAACTTTGTACGAAAATTGACCCCAAGTTCTAATGGTGATAATCAAGATGGTTTTATCTCTTATTGTACTTCGACTTATCGACTCCATTATTATGAAACACCCACTGGACTCAAGTTTGTACTTAATACAGATCCGGCGACAGAAGGTATGCGACCTGTCTTGAAACAAATTTATGTTCAACTATATGTTGATTTTGTGGTGAAAAATGGATTGATGCGATTTGATGATACACGATGGGAAATTAGTCAAGGACTTTTATTACAACAACAACAACCTCAACATAGCTCGGATGATCAACAACAACAACAAAGTCAACCTCCTCCTCCTGGTAACATTTCCAATGAATTATTCCGTATAGCTGTAGATAGATTTGTACGTAGTTTGACTGTATTTGAATGATTTTTCTTGTATCAACATACATGGTCTTGATTGGCTGGGTGTGAATCCATTACTTTCTTAATAAAGATTTCCCCTATTTTTTTTTTTTTTTTTTTAAAAAAAGAAAAAACCTTTCTCTTTTTTCTTATTTTATTTTATTTTATTTTATTCTTATTATTTATGCTTGTTTTGTGTGCTCATGCCAAGTGGTAATCCCAAAAAGACTCTTCCATGTGAAGGTTGTCGAGAAAGAAAGAAAAAGTGCTCCGGTACTTATCCTTGTGTCAGGTAAAGAACAAATAAGTAAAAAAAAAAAAAAAAAAAAAAAAAAAAGTACCACTCACCTCATTTATCTTCTTTTTTTTTTTTTTTTTTTTTTTTTTCAAGATGTCAACGCTTGGATATCAAATGTGTCTATTTACGTCCTACATTACCTCCCGATCATGCTTATGTGAATTTACTACAAGAACAAGAATTAGCTGTACAAGTGGATACATTGGAATCTACAATGGTATCAATGGAAAAACTTTTGAATCAATTACGCCATGCCAATCAAGGTGTCATTCAACAACGGACGCTTCGAAACGAAGCTTACCCATCTACCATCACAAACAACAATGATCAACAACCATCATTCAATTGGCAAATCATTTTAGGCAAACAAGGTGTCACTATCAATACCAATATCCGGTCTTATGCTGATTTATTAGAACAAATTCAAGTATGGCAGCGGACATGTCACTCGCTTGCTACTCCAACTTTAATACGATCACCTTCTCCGTTTTCTCCTAAAGAAATGACCTTACGTCGACAACTTCCTCTTTGGCTCTTACGTCGTGGTCACTTTATTGCTATTACAACGTGTGTCATGGTTCAACGATCTAAATCCGATAGTACACTCTGTGAATCATTACCAACACCACCACTGCCAACATTACTTCATAAACATCTCGATCATCATCATCATCATCATCATGAACGACAGTTATCATCAAACCGTTACGATCACCAACATCAACAATATCAAGATGAAATATTTCTTTCTCCTCCTCTTTCTACATCATCAACTTCGTCATTCTCATCATCACAATCATCAACGATTACAACAGCAATAGATAGTGAGATTCTGACGGATCAACTCTCTCGCAATATCTTGGATACGTTTTTTGATTGTTACCTTGTACGCAACATCTTTTTACATCGATCTACTTTTTATCATCTCTTTGTGGATACTTCAACATCATCAATATTGAACGATGGCTATGTGAATCATCCTTCCTCCCTTTTTGATTCTCCTGTGATTTGTGCGGTATGTGCTGTGGCATTGACTGTTCGATGTCGCCATATGCTTCCTCTGATACCTTATCAAGAACATGCAACAATGGCAAACAGATATTTTTGTCATGCTCGTGATTTAGTTTGTTTCGATGAACCTACATTGGAATCCTTCATCACCTTAACGTTTTTGGCCTTGTACAAACAGTTGACATATTGTGTGGATGAAGCTTCATTTTATTTGGACCTAGCCTTTCGAACAAGATGTATCCTTTTTGGCGGCAACAAAGATAATAATCACCTTTATAATGAAGTCTTACAAAGTACAACAGGAGACGACAAGCTACGGCGAGGGCTGGATGAGATGATCAAACGATTGCACTGGGCATTATGGGAAGTATATACCTCCTTGGAGTATTACAGCAATCTTCGTGGAGTTCCAAAGTCAACCAAGACGTCGTCAGTATCCATCACCAGAAAGGATCATCCAATTGCGAGACTAATGCAAGGGCGAAAAACAGATTATATACGACATCCATTACCTGATGAACCAGCGATTATCCAACGATCAATACAACATGCTTATTATCAAACTGAAATGATGGCAACGCAGGGTTCCTTTTTACGACATGTTCGCTTCGGTAACAAGGACACGATTGATTTGAAATATTTGGCGGAAACGGAATATCGGTTCAATCAATTTTATCAGCACTTACCAACAGATTATCGCATGGACCCCAACTTGTTATTAGAATACAATCGGTTGTTTGATGATGGTACTTTTCGTGAAAAATTGAACGTCATTTGGAATACTGGGGTACGATCAGGTGAAGATACTATTATGGATGATACCAAAGTGGCGGCTTTGAACATGACAATACAATATTATCAAGGTATCATTTCTATGTACGAACCTTTCTTACCTGATTTATGTGATCGACGACGGGCACAAAAGGCGGGATTACTCAAAGATGATGGTGACACACCTTCCATTGATGGATCAATGACTACAACTGATGGATCAACATCGATTACGACTGATAATGATGATATCGTTATTGAACCTACACCTCATGAACGCCTCGCTCAAGAAAAATGTACAGATGCAGCAACGATGATAGTAAAGTTATTGGATTATCAACGAAGTTTATCAAATCATTGTGCTGTTAATATTCACATTTTGTTAACGGCGTGGGATATCCATATGCGGAACGCTTGTATTGGCATGACCTTACCACCTCTTACTTCAACAGTATCCAATGATGAAAAAATATATTTTGGTTGTCTGACTTTATCAAGTATTCATCAAGCACGACAATATCTCTTACAATGTTTATCTATTTTACGTGAAGGTTATCTATTCAATTTTGCTGAACATGCCATGTGGAGATATTATGAACATTTGGAACATCAATTATTATACTCGATGATGACTTCTCCTCCTTCTGCTGCTTTCTGGATACCCTTTGGAATATAGTTTAGTAATAGCTTTTTTTTTTTTTTTTTATTAAACTAGTTTCTCCCTATTCTTCTCCCCTCCCCCTTGTTTTCTTATATTGTGTATTTATTATTATGTATTTAATTTTTTTTTTTTTTTTTACACCCCCCACTCTTTTGTACTTTAATATCAGTATTGTTTAAGAAATAAATGTTGTTTGTATTTTTATAAATCCTTACTATTTGAATTCCACATTGATTTCATTGGCTCCCCACAGTCAATTAGGTTGTACCAGAACATCGGGATATTATTATTGTTTACTTGGCAGTAATCTGTAGAAAATATATAAATATATGTACATCCATAACCGATTTTTATTGAGAGCATAAATAAAAAAAAAGATATAAATATTGTATGTATTTCATTAAATAATATGACAAAAAAGGATTGTTTTTTTAAGGTACCATTCAAATCACAATAATAATAACAAAAAAAAAAGTGATCGGGTTTGTGGTACAAATGATTCTATCAATCAGCGTTTTGGTCGTATTTGTTCATTTTCATGTCCGCATATCTCCTCATTTGAGAATGTCAAACAAAAATAAAAAAGGAAAGGATGTTATCACAGTAAAAAGTGATTGTAATGACGATAAAAGTGGTTGATAATAGATGATGTTGTTATAATTCTATTAATCATGCAATATTTTTGTCAATCCTTTTCAAGTATTGAATAGAGTTTCGGGGATTGATCTGTTTGGTCTACAGATTTATATATACTATATATACACTATATAAAACCAGTTTGAAAATAATAATAATAATAATAATAAATATCATTTTCTTTTTCATTTTTCTATCATGTTATGTTTAAGCAGGAGGATGATGATCATGAAATATATATATATATACGTGGCTATTTGAGCCATCACCATGAAAGACATTAAAAAATCATGGGCACGGTCACAATATACTTGGAAAGAGGAGATTGGCAGATAATGATTGGCTGCGGTGCTGGAACTAAATAATCAGAACTGGGCTGGTTGAAAGGAAAGGGCACAGAAGGTGGTGTTATTTATTTCCCTCTTTTTTTTTTCTTTTCCTTTTTTTTTTTTCCACTTTCATCTATTTTTATATCTATATTCCCTTTCTTCCCCTTTTTTTGATTATTATTATTCAACGATGGGTTTAAGCTTTTCCAAATTATTTACGGACCTTTTTGGTAAAAAGGAAATGCGTATTTTGATGGTGGGTTTGGATGCTGCTGGTAAAACTACCATCCTTTACAAACTCAAGTTGGGTGAAATCGTCACTACTATTCCTACTATTGGTAAAAAAAAAAAAAAAAAAAAAAAAAAAAGTCTTTATCTTCTTCATCTATTTCTTTTTCTCATTTTTTTTTTCTTCCTTGTTTTTTTTTAGGTTTCAATGTCGAAACTGTGGAATACAAGAATATCTCTTTCACTGTATGGGATGTCGGAGGTCAAGACAAGATTCGTCCCTTGTGGAGACATTGTAAGTATGAAAAAAAAAAAAAACATTCAGGGGGAAATAGACGGAAATATAAGAAAAAGAAAAAAAAAAGTTAGAGGATATAATGACAATAAGGACTAACTTGTGTGTTTTTAGATTTCCAAAATACTGAAGGTATTATCTTTGTGGTTGATTCCAATGATCGTGATCGTGTTTCTGAAGCTCGTGATGAACTTCAACGTATGCTTAACGAAGATGAACTTCGTGATTCCTTATTGTTGGTATTTGCTAACAAGCAAGATTTGCCTAATGCTATGAACGCTGCCGAAATCACTGACAAGTTAGGTCTTCACTCTCTTCGCAACAGACAATGGTATATCCAATCAGCATGTGCCACTAGCGGTAAGTCAAACCATTTTTTTTAGTGAAATTAGGATATTTGGAAAAAACTAATTATGATTTTATCATTTAGGTGATGGTCTTTATGAAGGTCTTGAATGGTTGTCTGCCAACTTGAAGAAACGATCTTAAATTAGTGATTAGTATCTAGTTAGATATTTTAGTTAGATCACCTCTATTCTTATTATTATTTAGTCATCATCGTCCTATTATTTTAGTTAGGGAATTCTTCTTCTTTTTTTTTTTCTTTCTGTATACACACAAACTTATATATAAAAAACAAAAACTCAAATGATAATAAAAAAAAAAATAACAAAAAACAAAACAAAAAAAAGAATCAAGTTTATGTTATCATATGATTTGTATGTAGGTTTATTTTCATATGGAGGAAGAAGAATAGTTCAAGCTTTGATATACGATGGAGTTTAAACCTTGGTGTTGTCAACACGTGGGATAAGACCATATAGACAATTATTCAAGCGTGATATCTACTTTGAAATCGAATAACTCTCTCACTCCATCGTGAATTCAATTTTTCTAATGAAGTTTTGTTACCCCATTACTTTTTTTCTTTCCTTCTTTCTTTCTTTCTTTTTACTTTTTTTTTTTTTTTAATATCACTACTTGAATGGAATCAAAAGCTGAACAAAGTTTTAAAGAATTAGATAAAGCAAGATCTCATGGTCATTGGACTGCTATACCTGAACTTGTCAAACGATATAAAAAGTATCATCCTCAAGAATCAGGTAACTGTTTTTTTTTAAAACAACGCACAGACACATAACCTCTTTTTTTTTTCTTTTTTTTTTTTCTTTTTTTCAAATAGTTCTACCTGCTACTGCTATCATTGAAGTTGACCTTGCTCATTTAATTCAACAACATAGTCAAGACAATGAAAAAAAGATCAAACAACACAAAGTCACTATTCCCTTACCACAAAGTAACAAAATGACAAGTAGAAAGTCTGTTTTCGGCAAACCATCTTATATCGTATTCACTCCTCCTCAAGAACTCTTTGATTCTTCCATTCAACAATCAATTCCTTTTCTTCCTCCTCTTACTCCTGCTCAAGCTCATCCACTTTTAACTCGACTTGAACAAGTACTGGCTACTCGACTGGATTCCGACGATTTACAAACTCCTGACGATTGGCAAGCTCAAGTATGTTTCATCTTTATTGTTCATAATACATGCTTACTTATTTATTTATCTTTATAGCTTTCCAAAGTAGTATTAGCACGTATCTATTTTGAAAGTGGACGGTACAAAAAGGCGTTGGAATCTTTGGAAAAGTTGGCATTACGGTTCGAAGATGTCAATTGGGGTTATGGTTTAGTATTATTGGTCCAAGCACGCGTTATCAAAGGTATATGTTTTGAAATGGAAGGTCTGATCACTGATGCATTGGAGGCTTATGATGCTGCCTGGGAAGTCGTTGATAATCATTTGGCAGAAAAAAATGAAATGTTGGCTTATTGGATTGAAGATGCTCTTTATCGATCCGTCCTTTTACGTACTTACCAAAAGTAAATTACAAAAAAAAAAAAAAAAAAAAAAAAAAAAAGATTCGTATCCTCATGTACTCTTGTTTTATAGTGCTCCTGTACGTCAAACTCTTAAATCCATGCGTGCTTATTATCAATTATCATGCTCTCATTGGTCTACCCATTGGCGTCCTTATAAACGATGGAACGTGCTCAGCCTATATACCCAATACTTGACAAAAATTCATCTCGAAGATACTTATTTCCCAATGTCTGTCAATGGAACAAATGAAAGGTAAAAAAAAAAAAAAAAAAAAATCAGTGGTTTAAAGAAATAAAATCTAAATAGTATCTACTTTTTTTTTTTTGTTAGTTCACTTTCAGTGATTCAAACGAACTCTTCTCACTTTGGCATTTATGATGAACTTGTCTCTGTCTTGACTCTTTATCGTACATTATATAATGCGTTGGAACCCAAACTTTCGGTCAAGGAAACCAGTAAATTTGTGATTGAATTGTCTAAACTGATTTTTATGGCTCATGATATCATTGGTTGGGGCGAATTGAGTAATATTCGACGTACTCTACAGGTAACTTATAAAAAAAAAGACATATCACAATTACTAAATGATTCTATAGTTTCTATATATGGCCAAGGAAAGGACTTTTAATAATCCATGCATTGCAAGACTCATCTTCTTCACATTAATGCAACTGGGGGATCTGGATGAAGCTAAATATGCCTTTCGTGCATATATGGAAATTGTGGGACTCAGCGATACTGACAAGATGGATACAAATGGAATCGAAGTGACGCCTAATGGTGTTCTAGAAGTCAACGCAAAGGTGGAGGCTATTCAAAAGAAACTCAAGCGGATGGCAAGTTTAAATGATCCTTTGATTCAAGAATCCGAAGCTTTGGTGCTTAAAGTACTATTGGCTGCTATTATTCTTTATGGTCGGGAATGTCAGCAAGGTGTATTGGCTGCCAACTTGGCGGATTTAGCATTGGAATTGGCAAGAGAATCAGCAAGTGGGAATCAACAACTGGATAGCGATCTTTTGGCCAAGTGTTATCGTGCTCATGGTGCTGCCTATGGACTTCGTGCTTTACAATGTAAGTTACAAAAAAAAAAAAAAAAAAAGATGAAATCAAGATTTTATATTTATATTTTTGTCTGTATTTGTTATTACTATTATTATTACTGTTAACGTAGGTGATGAACCAGAATTACGATCCGAATTACATGGTGATGCTCTTCATTCGTTAACCAAAGCAGTGGAACTTCAAGCTACATGGGATTCATATTATGAATTAGCTGTACAACAAGCACAAATGCGAGATATTGGAAGTGCAGTGACATCCATTACTCACTCTATTCAATTACGTTCTGATCATCTTCCATCATGGCATCTATTGGCACTCTTATCTACTTCTCGACAATTCCACCAATTACCAAAGGCCTTACAAGCGGTTGAAGCCGGATTGAAAGCATGTGATCTACCCACGTTTTCACCTCTCAGTAGTGGTATTCCAATGATCTCGTGGAACGGTGAAGATAATAGTCGACATCATTTTGACATTGCAGAAGCTTATTTGACAACGAGAATGACACAAATTCAACTTTTGGAAACTTTGGAAGGACCTGAGACCGTACTCTCTTACTACAGCGAATTGTTTACATTGTATGCAAAATTGGCACAACAGCTTGGACTTGTCAATGGTGAATTAGAAGCAGCAGCATCATCATCAACATCGTCCTCATCCGCCACTTCTTTTACTGAAGAATCCAAAACAAGTTTGATGGTAGATAGTTTAGCTGTACCCGGTAGCAACAACAATCGACGGTCTTCTGTCTCCTCTCGTACTCGATCACATTCTGTCAGTAGCAAGAACAATCATGAATCCATCGATCGACAACGAAGCAATGGTACATTAGGATCGACTTTACAACAACAAGGTGTTACCAATGGCAATAGGGTTCCTAAAGCTAGCAATAGCGAAGAAACGATCAGTAATCGAAAGCCTTCCTCAGACAAGCAACCAAAGGAAAAGAAGAAAAGAGGACTTATTGATATGCGACTTGGTAAACGGATTCATTCTGTTTCCTCATCCACTGGTGCCTCTTTCTCCTCTCAAGATAAACAAAGCCAAAGTAGTACAGGTAAGAAAATGTATAAAACAATGATTGGGTTAACTGATATGTTTATTTATTTTTTTTTTTAGTTTCGTCAAGACAACCTTCACGACAATTGTTGGACAATGTATCATTAGCATCCATGGTGGCACCCTCTTTCTCCTCGTTTACATCCACTAATAATAACAGCCGCCGTGGTAGCGATGCCACCACTCTTGTCAGCTATAATGGCGCCGTTCACAGCAAGGAAAATGCATTTGGACGATACCAACGGGAACGATGGAATACACTAGTGGTGAAACTCTGGGTCATGTGCACAGGATCCTTCATTAAAGCTGGACGATTGGATGAAGCAGTGCAAGCTATTTTGGAAGCAGAAGAAATTGGATTGACGGATGCGGATGTTTGGCATCAGCTTGGCTTATTATGTCTCGAAGCACACCGCTTGAAAGAAAAGAAGAAGCAAAACGATGGTGACGACAGTGATGATGATGAAGAAGAGCTCTACGACACAGCTTTGGATGCATTTAAAAAGGCATTAGCCATCAATCCTGATCATATTCAAACACATGTCGATATGGCGTCAGCATGGATTCACCAAAAGGAAACACAATGGGAATTGGCCGAAGCATTACTGGATAGAACTACACGTTCGTTTGGCTGGGATCATGAAGAGGCTTGGTTCTTATTGGGCTCTGTGTATCGTCATCAACAAAGTTTAGAAAGAGCCAAGGATTGCTTACTTTATGCTTTGGAACTCTCGGAAACAAAACCTTTACGTCCTTTTACTATTTTACCCCGTTTTGTTTAGATCTTTATTATTATTTTATCATTATTTATTACCAATATACATCCTTATTATATCAATTTACATTCAATAAACATTCTTTTTTATTTTTTCTAATAATATCTATTTTTATTCTAAAACCCGTTCTTTTTAGCATAAATTTTCAATCCCCATTTTTTTTTTTTTCGTTTCTTTTTTCTCTCTTTCTTTTTCCCTCAGACCACTTCCCCTCCAAAATAAATGTCTAATTATATCATGACTCTATTAGAAGAATTGGACGAACGATTACGCGTTGTAGAGGAAAAAGGTCAGCAACATTGGTCAAGTAGAGAAAAAGCTCGACAAAGTTAATTGGCATGTTTGAAAAAACAATCAAAGGAACGAGACATTAGACATCCAATCAACATGATCAACGGAAAAGAGTCAAAGTAACGAACAATGTATTGCTCACGGCTTTATCCCATCTGGAAGGTCCCAATCAGGCACGAAAAAACCTGAAGACTATCAAAGCCATGGCTATAGTTAATAATAAGGCAAATGAAGCAAGCCTGGCATCAAGAACACTGAAACTGGTCAAACATACCGGCGAAAGTCAAGCAAAAAGCGAAGAAGGATCTTGAAACCAGATTGGCTGCAGCTGGAATAAGTATTGATCAAGATCAGTGGATCGCCAACGCTGTACTCAGAAATTAATGGGCAAATCGTGTAGAACGGTCGGTAAGATTGGCAGACTGGGAAATCATATTTTACAGCCATTAACCTTTTTTTTTTTAGGAAAGAGAAATGCATCGTCTTCAAAAGCAGTAGTAGCTTCTTCATTATTAATAATACCATCGTCAAGACCATCATCGTCAAGACCATCATCGTCAAGACAATCATCGTCAAGACAATCATCGCCAACATCATCGTCGTCAAGACCATCCTCGTCATCATCAAGATCAAGGCGTGGACGATATCAGTTGTAGTGTAGCTTTTTTTTTTTTTTTACTCGTCGTATTATATTTACCGTACTATAGTATCTGTCATTCACAATAAAAATAAAAAAAAAATGTAAATATCCTGTAAATATAGTTAGAACCTGATTTATCTTGTATTTATTTATAGTAAAGATACCTGATTTTTTCCTGTATTTTGATCCTGTCATTTGTAATAGATACACGAGCCTAAAATCCTGGGAAAGTTCTTGCATAATAGGATCATTTCTTTTTTTTTTTTTTTTTTCAAGGCGGATGGAGTAGAGACCGATAGGGTTGAAAAAATTTGAATCTTTTAAATGTTCTCTATGGATAAATGATTACAAATGGACTACAATCATTGTACACTTTTTGATTCATTCATCTAAAAAGTCAAGATGATAATACTATTTTTTTTTTTTGTTGGACAAGTTTGGAAATAAAAATCATTCTACAACGATCGTCATTATTTGGTATAACTTTTATTTCAATTTCACTTCTATACTATGATACAAAATACCTTGCTTCAATGGTAATGATGATGGTGATGAGGAAGGAGAAGAACAAGAAGAACAAGAAGAAGGAAGTGATGACCCTGGTATTGATGATGATAATGATGATGATGATGCTGATGCTGACATTGATGATGATGATGATGATGATGATGTTGATGCTGGTGCTGAAGTTGATGTTGACGTTGATGTACGAGGAATAATCTTGGGGACAGGTCATGCATCCAGGCTGATATCCATAATCAGAAGAGGATCAGTAAAACAAAATTATCTATATTCATATTAAACTTTGTTTTTAATGTATCTTATTACCTGCTTTTCCTTTTCGGCTAGTGTCACAGCAAGTAGGAGGGACATCTTTAGATAGGCGAGTAGATAGAAAATTAAAAAATAAATCAGTTCAATATAGAAGTAAAGTAAAGTAAGTAAGATCAAGTCAATACAAGTTTTTCTTTTACTGGTACTTACGAGGAGGATGTCAAAGTAGAATCGAAGGAACGAGAAGGACTATTTTCTCTATCAATGCTCGATTATGATGATACTGTGTATGTATTTGCATTATCCATACATAATAAATTTTTTTTTATTAAAAAAAAAAAGATATCTATCCTAAAATATAACGAATACTATTCCAATAAAACCTATCTTGACCATAAAGGATATAAAGCATTCTTGGGTCCCGAGATATTTTCTGCATTTTCACATGATTTTGTCGTATCGATCCACTGTTGATATGTATCTAGAGTACGTTGCCGACCTGGAGGACCATGTTGTTGTCGTCGTTGCATTTGCTGGACACATCGAAGAGCTTCTGTACTATCTTCCTTTGTCTTTGTCGTATCGTACTGCACAAGGTAATCTACTGCTTTCCCGATTAATTCGTCTTGACATCCAAATAAGTGTGGATGATCTCTTGTCCATTCTGTAATGTATATTAGTGCCTGCAAGTTGAAGACCAAATAATGGAAAGGCCGTGTACGTTGGCTTTCCAAAGGCTGATCACCCGTTGTTGGATCGATATGTTCAGATAGTTTGGTTTGTAAAAACGAGCGTAGCATGTCTTCTACTGATGGTAATGGGTACACAGAATGAATCATAACAAGTTGAACCAAGTACCAAGACAGATGATTGTTTTTCTTCGTCGCCACTTGTTTGCCAATATCACTTGTTAAAAGCCATTGCCCGTATTGTTGAAACCATAAACCTATTCCATCTGCAATACGTGCATATCCAGAGAACTTGAATAATGCTGGAAGTACATTGGCCACACATGCAAGTCTAAAGTCTCCCCGAGAGTAAATAATAATAATAATAATAATATTAATCATCAGTACAAATATATATATATATATATTCATCCATTGATATCGTCTCAAACTTACGTTCTTGTACTGATGAGCCCGTCCGGACGTCCTTTTCCATTTTCATTATTGGTACCACGGATGACTTGACCATAATTTACATTTGGATTCATTTTTGTTTCAGGATTCAGGAAAAACACTTCCAGTAAATGAACTGCATGTTTGGCGTATTCTTCATCGCGAAATAGTTCATAACCAAGGCATAAATACATGAACTGTTCTGAGAAATTCTCCAGTTGACTTTGATCTTGAGCCAATTTGACGTCTAGTATATAACAAAAAAAAAAAAAAAAAAGGTGTTAAGGATTATCAAAACCTATTTTCGTCTTCCTCTTGTATATTACCTGGGTTCCGTTTGCCATCTTTTCGAACATATGTGCCGTCGTTTGCATCCTAATAAATAAAAGAGAGATAAACGTGAGTATATATGTTTTTTGTAAAAACATATCTTTTCGGTTTTCTACATTATATCTTTTACTTACAGAAGGCCACCAATAACTACATTATAATACAAACAGAAAGAAAAAAAAAAGTCAAGTAGATGAAATTAATATATATATATACATGTACTTACGGAGCATAACTAAGAAAGTCATGAACATCACCGGAGGCAGCAATATAGGGAGGTTTTTTATCCTTGACAATAGAATAAGGTCCTTTTTTCAAAGCACTATCTGCCAGTTTCTTCAAAGCATCCATAGCCACCTTCAATGCTGCAAAGTCCAGGTCATTTGCTTCACTATCTCGACACTTGGCAACAAGATCAAGATGAATGTATTCAATTTCCGGTTTTCTTGGTCCCATAAGAGAATAAATTTTCTAAGAGTAATTTTATGTTATAATACGAAAAAGAACGACAAAACTTTTTTTTTATTTGAATCGCATGGAAAAGAGCACAGCATTTTTCTGGGTTGAATGCCCGACTCTGGTTACACTTATTGGCTAACAACAACAACATCACATATTCAATCATCATCTAACGAAAATATCATAATTTATCTTTTTTATCATTAATGCATCATCAAACTATAATCCTTCAACATTGTATTGTACGACAGTATGAGCCAAAAATAATTTCAATCATACTCATCAACAACAAATCCCCCCATCATACAAATCCTTATCAAGTAAGCTAAATTATGCTATCTTGTTTTCGACAAATGAACCAAAATACTACTCATCACATTGAAGGACAAATTTTCTTCAATCATAAGGATTCTCTTATTGTAGTTGCATCTTAGGTCCTGAACGGGATTTGAAATAGTCACTGAAAAGGCTTTCAAAACGGTAGCTTATGGTTTTTTTTTCACTCTTTTCTTTTCCTCTTTTTTTTTTTTTTTTTTTTTCCTAGTATCAATATTAGATTGATCTTTCCTATTATGACTATAGAAACTATTGCTGAAGAGTTTTCTTCATTGAAAGAAAAAGGTTATGTTTCTGTTGCCAAAGATCGGGACTCTCAACCACTCAACATGTATTATGAAATCCACGGCTCTGGTATAGAAAAAGTAGTGCTGGTTATGGGTAAGAATATAACAAGTTTACTAGACAAAAGAAAAAAACAATTATAACTCCTTCCTTTTTCTTTTTTTTTTTTTCTTTTTATATGTTTGTCTCTGTTTTTACATGAATCATTAGGATTATCTACACCTTGTCAAGCTTGGGAACATCAGGTACATTTAGAAAGAATGAAAGGACAAAAAAAAGCTGACCTAATAGGAAACGACGGAGTTCTCCTATGATTACCTACTTACCATTTCTACATTTTTATAAATATATATATATATATTTGGAATAACTATATGTAGTGCAAATATTTGGCAGAAACTGGGAAATATACTGTCATTATCTTTGATAATCGTGGTGTCGGAAATTCTGGTAAGTTTATCAGAAAAAAAGTACAAGTCGTTTTTTTTTAATGGATGTCATTTTTTCATTTTCTTTATGATAGATTCCCCTTCCGGACTTTATGCGTAATTTAAAATATGATTACATTTTTATGGATACGTAATTATTGTATTGATGGATTGACCTTTTTTTTTTTTTTTTGATATAGTACCTCACAAATGGCCAAAGATGCATTCGACTTGTTAGATCATTTCGGTTGGACTTCCGGTATTCATCTCGTTGGTATTAGTATGGGTGGCATGATTGCTTTGGAAATGGCTACAACTGAACCTGAAAGACTTAAGACACTGACATTAACAAGCACTTGTGCAAGGAAACTCATTCCAACTGTAAGTTATTTGATCGAAATATGTTTTTAAGACTCATCATTTTTTTTTTTTTTATGTTTTCATAGGTCAGAGCAGTGACGAGCTTGGCTCGATCGGCTTTTATATTGAAAACTATTGAAGAAAGAGTGGATTCCATGGTTTCCTTAGTATACCCTCCCACATGGCTTGAACAAACATGCACGGAAGATGAATCATATCCAACCAACCGACATATGGTCAAAGCAAGAGTTCAACGTCGTAGTACAAAAACAAGGATTCAACCTCTTCATGGAAACATTGGACAAACTGCAGCATGTTTACGACATTATGTTTCTGATGCTCGACTCACTCAGTTTCGAAAAACTGGCATACCAACCATGATTATTACTGGCACTTGGGATTATCTTGTTCGACCTGATTATTCGTATCAAATGCATAAAGTATTGGATTGTCGTTTGGAAGTTTTTGAAGGAGGGTAAGGACTCACACCTGAATGAATCTTTGAATTGATTTTCATTATTGTTTGATGTAGTGGCCATGGACTCATTGAAGAACAAAAGGAAAAGTACAACGCCTTGCTAGCGGAGCATTTCTCACAAACTAGTCAGTGATTAGAATAATTATTATAATAAATAATAAACTGTGATTCTACTTATTTATATGACAACAATGGATTTAATTTGGATGAACAATGAAGGATACTTTTTCGTGAATTAATTTCATGCCAGCAATGGCGATATTAGTGCTTTCTTTAATTTACTCCTATAAATGCAATAGTAAATTATAAACAAAAATAGATGTATTTCAAGAAAATCCGGTTGTTTTATGTTGTATTCTAATTTGGTACGTTGATGATGACTCTAGAAAGGTGAAGGCAAAAGTTTTTTTTTTTTTTTTTTGCTCACTCTCTTGTACAGATTGAAAAAAAAAATGGGATGGATTTTTTGATTTTTACAGCCAAAAATTTGAAACTCCTCAGCCAAACTTTGGCTGTAAAAATAAATCATCGAGGGGTCATCAGGCAATTTTTGGAAAAATCGATATTGTACATTAGCTGGCAAGATAAGTAATAAAATGAGATTAAATGATATTAAACTACTTTTTTAAGAGGAATCTAATGGTATTAGTTTCATTGGAGGATGGTCATTATTGGATGAGTTATGACTAAATTGACATTTCATTTTTAATTGACTCTATAAAAGGTAAGATATTAACTGTTATGAAGACAATTGAAAGAGAATGGTTTCCTCTACATTAGGTCTAAGTTTGATGAATTGATGGTGAGTTTTGAGTGAATTGCAAAAGAGCATAAAAAGGATGCTCTCCATAGAGTGGAACTCAAGATGGCAGCGGGTTTTGAAGTTCTTGTGCTTGTCTCTTTTTTTTTTTTTTTTTATTTTCCAAATTGTTTGAGTTGGTTTCTTTTCTTTCTTCCTAATCATTTCGACATATCCAAGTTTTGTTTCATACCAAGTGTCACTATGCCTCGTTTTGATTATACACAAGCTCTTGAAGAGTTAAAGACATATCGTATGACCAATGAACGTCAGTCTGAGAAGGTGGCTTCTCTCGGTGCACGATTATTACGTGATAACTACACAACCAAACTTGGAGACGAAGGTAAGAAAGCAACAATAAAAAAAAATAGAAAGGTATTGACCAAAGTTTTTTTTTTTTTTTTTTTTTATTTGAAAGTTTGGCCTCTTTATGAACAAATATGTATTGCTGCTTTGGATGTAGATGATCAAAACTTGGCCAATGTAAGATGAAAGGAATATCTTTTGTCACGATGGACAGGAAGATACGTCGTATTGACTCTTTCTTTTTTTTAGGTATGTATCGACCACTTGCAAAAACGATTTGGAGAATCATCACTTCGATTCCGACGGTTGCTTGGTATGCGACATGAGGCGGCAGGACGATTGGATGAAGCACAACAAGTCTACGATAGTATCTTACAAGAAGACGAAACTCACATGGTAAAATAATTTATCTATGGAATTTGTAGTAATAGAGACTAAATTATTATTATTATTTTTTTTTTTTGGATAGCTTGCTTCTAAACGACAGATCGCGTTATTCAAAACCAGGAACAAGGATCAAGAAGCTGTGGAAGCATTGACGAAATATTTGGATACTTATTACGATGATTTTGAAGGATGGCTTGAACTGTGTGAACTTTACCTGACTAAATACATGTATGAACAAGCAGCCTTTTGTTGTGAGGAAATGATCCTATTACAACCTACCAATCATATTGTGTATTTGAAGTATGCTGAAATCCTTTATACGTTACAACATTACTCTTTGGCATTAAAACATTATTGCAAGGTTTTGGAATTATGTACTGATCATGTACGTGCTTTATATGGATTACATCTGGTAAGTTTTTTTTTTTTTTTTTTTTTTTTTTTTTTTTTTAATATAATATAAGGATAAGCCTAACTTTTGATTACTTTTATTTGTTAGTGTGCTTCCAAATTACTCAAGGATACTGAAGTACAACATGCTGGCAATCTTCATGCTCTTGCTACCGAACGTTTATTGGATGTATATCAAAAACAACCTCATGAACAACGCAAAATAGTAGAATCTTATTTATCTAATATAGAATTGAATCAAAAATAAAAAAGTTATTTTATATCTATCTATCATCAAATATATGTATATATTTTTTTTATTGTTTGTAAAAGATGATCAAAATAAAACTACACTATCAATTGTTCTATACATATATACATAGGAGTGGAATGATGATCATTATGATCACCATCGTCTTGATCGTTTATTGGTGGCAAATTTCGGGCTTCGTGGGATGGTCAGATTTACTGGCAAATAGCGTGAAACAAATGACTATAAAAAATAAAAAAAGTCAATACAAACAGTATGTATATATGATTGAGCACTTACACGTTCAGATGGATCAAGATGTTCATTTGTATGTTGGTCCTTGAGTGTATCATCATCATCATCATCATCATCATCATCAGAAATAGAAATATCATATTCATTGTCTTCATGTGAATGCTTCGATATCATACTGATGCGTGTTTTGGCGGTAGTGCTAAATCGTCTTTTCTGATGCTGTTTTATAAAGTCGGATAAGCGCTGATGCTCGCTGGGTATGATCCATTGTCTACTTTTAGTATGTGCTTCGTCAATCACTCTTCTTGCACGATTCATTATTGTTTCCATTTTCCATGATGATCTTCCTAGGTTCCCATCGCTAACAAGTTTGGGTATATGTCGATAGGATTGAACACGTGCGATGAGTTGTAAGAGTGGCGATGATGGTTGGTCATTGCTGTCGTGTTGATCATCCATTTCTACTGAACGTGGACGTTTCCTTGACACCGGGGATTGTCGTTGTGATTTGATCTGCGCAATAAGCTTCAGTAATGGCGTTTCAGATACAATTGTATTGGCGTCCGAAGAACGGCTGTTATTCTCAGGTGTTGCAGTAATATCATCTACTCTTTCAGTGGATACTCGCTTTCTAGTCGGTAGTCGTAGTTGATTTGGGGATGATAAATGTTCACTCTGATCTTCCATGATATGGTCGTTTTCAGGTGTTGATGAAGAGTAGGCACTATTTCCAGTTGCTTGTTGTTTTTCCTTCCCTGCTGTTTCTGTGTCCATGTGTTGTTGTTTCATTGTTAACGTAGACTTGTCTGCGATAGATGAATCACCCAAGATTGGCGAAAGAAATTGATTTGTATTTGATGAAGACAATGGATTGACTTGTTCCGTATTGATATGATTGCCTTGATCATGCTGTTGTATTGCAGGTGATACATTTGAAGTAAGCGGAGAAGTTGGTTTTGGAAACGAAGGAGCAGTACTTTCTTCAGTTGAGATGGGTGATATACGTCGTCGCCTCTGCGGTAACTGGATAGATGGGTGTCCATCCTTTGATTCCTGATGATCGCTTTCATAACTAGGTTCATTTTCTATTGCCCTTCGAGATGGTAATGAAATTCGAGTAGATCCTCCGTTTGATGTTCCCTCATTTGAGCTATTTTGATATCCTTGCTGTTCCTGTTGTGTCTGCGTCCGTACCAATTCCTTCTTCATGTCACGTCGTTTTAATGGTGTTCGTCTTTGTGATGGTGAGTTCAAATAGACATCTTCTGTATAGTTAATCGGCTGATATTCCAACGTTTGGTAGTCGTTCATTTCCATGTAGTTGGATGTTTGAGATTCCTGTAATTGTTCTTCTCTGGCTTTGTCCAAATTTCCGTCTTTTTCCATGCTGTTATTGGAATTTTTCAACGTAGATAACGACGATACAGATAAACTGGAAGTAGCTTGTCGTGCTGTAAATTAAAAAAAGAAAAGATAAAAAAAAAAAAAAAAAAAAAAAAGAGGTCAGACTATACTCTGTGATTTGTTATTTGTTTTTTTCGTCATCTTTACCAAACCATGTGTCTCCTTGATGATTGTTTTCTTCTTCCGTTTTGCCAAAATCATAATATCGTGGAGCATCAAAGTGCCATAGTTTATCACTTGTGTTGGACATTTGTATATTAAGGAAAGAAATGTAGAATAAAAAATACTTTGATGGACGCGCGAAAAAAAGAAAAATGAAAGTCGGCGTTTGATTTCATCATTTTGTATGATACTTGATTCACTTTAATTTAACGATTTCTTTGCTTCAATAATCTCAATATTGGATAAAAATGCTCACAGGTCATTGCACACTCGCCTTTGATCTCTCGTAAAACTAATTTATATAGAACAAAGGTTCGATGGAGGAAGAAGATGTATTGAAGATAAGAAGGAAGGCATCTTATTGGGTGTATGACTTCAGTTGAATAGGTTCAGATGACTAGTGATAATATGAAACGTCGTAGTGAACTAGTAGACATAAATAGATTTTTTTATTGAATCAACAAAATAAATAACTGAAGGAGTATGGTATCTAAACTAAAACCAACTAGAATCTTCTTCTTCCTATAATAAAGAATATGTAAACCATTTAGCAAAACGATGATAATGATAATAATGATGATAGGATGGTAGAGAAATAAAAAGGACAGTCAAAAAAAAAAAAAAAAAAAAACTTACCACTATGGTATCTCCATATCTATCCGTTTCAGTCACTAAACAATAACGTTAGCATATATAAATTCTCATCCTCATTTTTTTTTTCTCTACCTGTAGTTGTATCCCTAAACCAGCCATCTTCCTTTGTCACAGTTGTCGTATTGCCATATTCATCTGTACATATATATGTATAAAAACAGGAATAAGAAGAGATCATAAGGTGAGTTGATCATTGTAGGCGAATGTCATCATCTCCAAGTTGAGCTTTCCCTTTTTTGATTTACCTGTTCGAATAGTTGTTTGTCGATCATCACCAAAGAGACCACCATCTTGATTAATGATAGTTGTAGAGCCACCACCATAGCCATCTCTATAGTAATCATCCCGATCATAACCACCACGGTATCCTTCCTCTATTATATAGAAGGGGAAAAAAAAAAAAGAGAATCAGACATCAATTCAACAAACATATATAAAAATGAGATAAAACAAGATATATATATAAAAAGTAGACCACTTTATAAGAGTTTTAAAAAATAAAAATAAAAGAAAAATAGTAAAAGAGTTCTTTATTTCAATACCACGCACCTCGTCTTTCGTTTTCCAATTCTTCAATGCGACGATTTTCATCCTTTTCATGTTCAATGAATTCACCAACACCTAAGCCGACAAGCCCAGCTAAGGCAGCACCCGCAGCAACCTTGGCACCAGTAGAGAATTTTGAACCAGGCTGTTGTTGTTGTTGTTGTTGTTGATGTTGTTGTTGTGGATAACCTTGTTGAGGATAAGTTTGTTGAGGATACCCATAGCCTCTTTGTTGATCTTGTTGGGGATAACCTTGTTGAGGATAACCTTGTTGAGGATAACCTTGTTGAGGATAGCTTTGTTGGGGTGGAGGAGGAGGAGGAGGATAGTTGCCATAGTTGGGTGGTGGAGGAGGAGCGTTATATTGCGAGTTTCGTGGATCATCCCAAGTAGTTCGGCCACCATTATTATGATCAATAAAATAACTAAATAAATAGATAGGTTTAGTATCATGTTTTCATATCATCATTATTTACTTACTATCGACCATCAGGTGCTTGAGCACTAGCCCATCCTATTCAACAGTAACGATAAGATTAGTTGTATCTTCTTTATGATTCATCCACCGTTCTCGATGCAGTTCTTACCAGGAGGTAAAGCAGACATGAGAAAGAGATTGTATATAAAAAGTTATAAAAAAAAAAAAAGAAGAAAGAAAGGAAGAAAGAAGGAAAAAAGTAAAAAGAAATACCTCATTTTTTTTATTTCATCTTTCATGCTCAGCTGAGACCAACGTTAGACACTTAAAAAAAAAAACATCCAAATTTGGAAAAAAAGCATTCCTAGCCTGTTCCTTTGAACACAAACCACAGTAAAGTCATAGAATTACAAAAAGATAAAACATATATATTTATATATAAAAAAAAAAAACAAAGTATACAAATAATAAAAAAAATAAAAACTAAAATTATACTATACGGGATCTATTCAAAACACCTTCAAAAGATCATCAGACTTCCATGGAATCTTTTCGATAAGCTGGTCGTTGAATTACAGTCATCAAAGACATCAGTCGTTGCAATCGTTGTAATTGAAGCTAAAAAAGTATAAATTATCTATAAATATCTTTTTTTCTTTCATAATCCGACAAAAAAAAAAAGAATACTTACGAATGCAGGTAGATAATTATTGGTCACCACAGTTTCAGGTTCAGGTACCTCATATGGGCTATCATCCAATGACACATTGTCCAGTAGTAAAATATCATTTGTGTCCCCACTGCTGACTCTTGACGCCACAGCTCCAAGAATATCATTACTGATTGGATCCTAAACGTTATATAAAGAGAGATGAGTTGTTTTTTTTTGTTGTTGCTATAGTTGTACAACAACGCCAAGAGTCTTTTTTTTTCGCACTTACTTCATAGTCGGCTACATAATAGTTTTGTAATAACTTTTGTACTTGAGTAGGAGCAAGCAACCAGCATACATCATAAATAGTCGTAATATCTTGTTGTGTCACTTTTTTCAATTGTAATAATTTAGCTGCTTGCATCAAATGTTCCAGTTGTAAAGTCGCATCGGCCACCTCATGTGATTTGCACCATTCTTCCAATCGTGTAATATTGTATTGAATTTGCATTGCTCGTTTCCAAGAGTTATAATTTCGACGCATCACCAAATCGTTGAAAGTAGACACACCAATCAATTTCAAAAGTTCTGTCAATACTTGTTCAATCACCGAAAATGATACATAGTAGCACTTCATCGCACGGTAAATTCGGTTCAAAAAGTTTAAAAGTTCGTCCATCGTGAATGCAGGTTGATTGGATCCAGCCAAGATCTTGCCAAAGAATCGAGAATTATCAGTCGCAATAAACCCGGGTAAAGATTGATATTCAATCAATGCTGGAACTGCCATCTTGTTTAATCGCTTTTTGAGTTCCGTCAACCAATGATGATAAATATTGTCTTCAAGGCATTGTAATTCGTATTTCACAGTTGCAACCAATTTTTCAAAATCATGCCATCCAACCGCACGTCTTCCATTCATCGAATTGAAATTCATTTCCCTTTCTAGTTCTTGTTCAGTTGAGCATACCAATGATAACAATTCGTGAGCATTGGATAACCAGTAAGCACAAGGCACAATAGTATCCTCACCGCTAAAACCCTAAAAAGTATGAGAATAGATCAGTACGAATACTCATCTTCTCTCTCTCTCTCTCTCTTTTTTTTTTTAATACTTACCAAGCAATATTTCTGAATAGTATCCATCACAGTGAACAAGACACGTTCAGATTCTGCCAAATAGCCATAACGCCACATTTGAGTAATACATAAGCCAATGTTGTGGGCAGGGAAGACCACTTCTTGATGTGCAGGTAATTGTTGTGAATTGGGAGGTAATATCTTGAGATTAACAATCAAACCATTTAAGATTTCCTCGTCCAATAAACCTTCGTCTTGTAAAATGGTTCGTACAGCTTCTTCCGGATTGCCTTCAGCTTCCACAGCTTGAAGATGCTTGTGATCTAGGGACATAGGACGCATTTGTTCAGGTTCAGCATACACCAGTTTGCTGGGAGATGTTGTAAAATCTGAGTGTTGATTGTTGATACCGCTAGATTGTCCAGCAAGGGAGAGAGGACTTTGCATACGATGAGCTGCACCACCAACTCCAGGTGTAGAAGGTGAGCGTCCGCCACGTTCAGGTGATAATCCACGACCAGCACCACCACGAGAAGAAGGTGATAAATTGCGGGGATAAGGTGAATTAATTGATCCTTGACGTTTGGGTGCTTTGAGACTTTGTGATAATTGTGTCTTGAGGGCTGCAATTTGATTCTTGAGTTCTGCTACATCATTATTGTGAGATGCCGAATTACTATCTGTTTGGATACGTGCAGGTCGTAATTTAAGTTGAGCCATTTCATTCTTTTGCTTTTCAATTTCATCTTTCAATTGTTGAATTGTATCATCTCGTTGTTTGAGATCCGCTTGAGACACTTGGTATGTTTCTTCCAATTCACCATATGCTTGTTGTAACTTTTGGTATTCCATTTTGGTTTCAGTTGCTTCAGCCAATGATATTTCCAATGATTTTGATTTGCTTTCCATCTTGTTGTACTTGTCAATCCATGATTGTACTTGAGCTTCTAATTGTGTTGTCTTGACCTTGAGTTGTTCTTTTTCATCCTTGTGCAATGTTAAATGTTGAGTCAATTCAACCACTTTGCTTTCCAACTTGTAGGACACTTGCTGTAAATGTGATGCTGATTTGGCTTCAGCTCGTAATTGTTGCAGATGCTTTTTGGCTTGTCGTCGTCGAATATTGGCTTGAATGCTGGTGATAAATTTGCGTTCTCCATGGATTCTCTTGCGAACAGCCCTATATAGATATATATATATATATATTAGTCAACGACCTTTTTTTTTTTTTTCTTTTCTTGAGTTCTTCTATTATTTACCATCCTCGGACAAGTCGTTGAATTTGTGTAGCAGCATGATTTTCTCGGAAATGAGCAAAGTAACGTCGAGCTAATAACCGCTTTGAAGCTAATACAAAAATAAATAAATAAAGAATTAGTGTACCGATCTCTTTTTCCCTCCTTTTTTTTTTTTTTTTTTTTTTGGTTTCTATTTACCAGCTTGAAGAGAGATCACAAAGGCCAAAGTACGCTTTTGTTTTTGTCTTGCCAAATAACCACGAACATGAGCTTGAATAACCACAGCAGCATTGTTTTGACGGATCAATTCCATATTTCGTTGAGCCACCTTTTTCCTTGCCACTTGTTGTAATCGTAAAGCTAATTCCTTCATACGCACATACCGAATTCTTGTGATAAAGCGACGCATGTTCTTTTGTAAAAGGACAGTACATTCATTCCAACGATCAGCACGTAATTTCTCCAAATAAGCCAGTTGACCAGCACGGAAGAAAATCTTTGTAAGCCCTACTTGATACTTATCCTTGTCTTGTATGGCCTTGTCCAAAATGGTTGAGCAAAGTTGATGTAAATCAGGATTGAGATGAGGATCCCAGTATTTTGAATTCACCAAGGCATAATATCGATCAGCAAAGTCGTCAAATGTCCATCTGGAAGGGTAACCAGCACAACTGATTCGGATTGTTTCTAATACACCACAAGCACGTAATTGAGCCAACACCATATTTGCATCGAACACCCAAGCAACCTTGGCTTCATTTGGTTTGATACATCGAATATAATGCACATTTGTTTGTCCAATGGTATCCATCAAACTGATCAAAGATAATTTGAAAATAGATCCTAATGTTGGTTTCTTGTTTGCTCCACCCACAGGTCCTCGTTTCATCGGTCCAGGTTTTGTTGATGCAGCAGCAGGGGCAGGATTTTGATTGGATTGAGCGGAAGCATTGGCAGCTTCAGTAGCAGTGTGTAGCATGTCAACCAAAAATTGAGAATCAGAATGTTGTAACATGGTCAATATTTCATCTGGTACTGTATCCTTGTTCTTATCCATAAAACCTTCAGCATCATATTCTACTTCATGAGCATAATGTACAACTGTAAATGCCTTGTTTGAGAATCGTGGCTTCTTAAAGTAGTTTTTGTACGTTGGAGTGGTAAAGTTGTTGTATAATTTGTCACAAAAACCTTGGTCGGATCCGGACGGTAATCGTGATTCCTAAATAATATGAATAGAGTGAGTTTTTTCTTTTTTTTTTTTAAAAAAAAAAAAAATCTCATTCCTTAATTTCTTGTCACTTACTTCGTCCAACAAAGACAGAATACCTAATTTGGCCTCAATCATTTCAATACATCGTTGATTGTCGCTGAATTCAATAAACTTCCAATCAATCTTTTCTTTGACATATTCTTCTTGTTCTAGCTTGAAAACATGTTGATTGAACTAGTATGTAATTAAATAAAAATAACAAAAGTGAGCAAAATAATTCATTCTTCAATTCACCTTTGTTTTTCTCATTTACCTGTTGTTGAAGTTTTTCATTAGCATAGTTGATACAGAATTGTTCAAATGAATTCTTCTTGAAGTGTTCAAAACCATAAATATCCAATACACCAATAAAAGTGGAAACAACACCTTCTTCTTGGCAAGAAAGACTACGATTGACAACATCCACTAACCAATCAAAGAGACTTGCATATATATATTTGGCGACGGAATCCTTAACAATATTAGCTTGAGTAGGATTAAGATTGGTAACAATACTTTCGGATCGAGTGATGATTTGACGTCGAGTAAGCCATTTCTTGAAATCCAAAGGCTTAATACCAAGTAGAGAAGTAGCAGTAACTAAAGAAGGTTCATCAGAGGCCAAAGTTGCATCATTACGACCACCAATTTCGATATTCCCAATATGTAACAAGGCAGCCAGTAAACGGAAAATTTGCCATTGAGTTTGAACAGCAATACCCACCATAGAAAGCGATCGTTGAGTTAATTCGAATTCTTCAACATCATCCACACCTGGAATCACGCCTGTACCACTTTGATTCAAATAATGAAATTTAGTCCAATCTTTCAAATCCAATTCCTTGCGTTCATTGATAGGTGCACCTGAACAAAGCTAGATGTAATAAATACATTATTTTTTTATAAAAAAAAAAAAAAAAAAAAAAGGAAGATAGACGAAATCAGTAAAAATAAAGAAAAATAATAATAATAATAATAGAATATCAAATAATTTGGTTGTTACCTGATAAAAGATGTGATAATTTCTTTCAGTTTCTGGTTGAAAGATCAATCGAGATCGTTCCAAAAGATAAGTTCGAATCTTGGCACCAACGATATTACATGATTTATCGAATTGGATCTATGAAAATAAAAATCCAGTTTTAATTGACAAAACGTTTTATCTTTAAAGTCTTCTTTTTCTATACTTACTTCAATATATTTCCCAAAGCGAGAACTGTTGTCGTTTCTTGTAGTTTTTGCATTCCCAAAAGCTTCCATAATAGGATTTGTAGCTAGATAAAAAAAAAAATCACGCAAAATCATTAGCGTCTCCTCCTTTTTTATATATCATCTGTCATACCTAAGATTTGTTCTTCCACTTCAGTCATTCCACCTCCACCTTCTTTAGTTATCTTGCCAACTGATTCCTTGTCATCTGCTGTAGCAAAATACCGCATAATATATTTGGCACTCACTGTTTTTCCTGCACCACTATTAAAAAAAAAAAAAGAAAAAGAAAAAGATGAAATGAGATTCAATATAGAAAAGTATAAAAATAATAATACTACTATTACCTTTCACCAGATACAACAATAGTTTGATTGGTTTTTTCACGAATCATACATCGATAAGCATCTTCAGCAATAGCAAACAAATGAGGTTCCAATTCACCACGTCGACGACCAGAGTATTGTTGGATGATATCAGGTTCATAGAGAGGTACACGATCAAAAGGATTGGCTGCAATCAGCACAATACCAGAATAAGTATAAATATTACGTTGAGCATATCGAATACGAATTGTGTTTAATACTAATAGTAAAAAAAGAAAAAAAAAAAGAGTATAAATTTAATTTAGTTGATGACGAGAAGTATATATATATATAGTTTCTTACCAGAAGGTTCATTCAAATGAGAAAGGTTGGTCAAATCATCAATATTTTCTAATCGAGGAGGGTTTCTAAGTGGAGGTAAAGTAGCACCATTATTCTTTTCCAACAAGCGTAGTTTTGATTCAAAGACATGTTCCTGAAGTAAAAAAAAAAAAAAAAAAAAAAAAATGAGAACGTGTACAAAGTAGTTCATCATCTTTTTTTTATTATTTAACTTACCCTTTCAGATTGTTCGTCGTTTTGAAATATAATTTTGACATCGGTATCGGTCACTTCTTTGGATATCACTTCAGCAGATACCCAAGCTTCGTTTTCATCTTCGAACCAAGCTTTGGTACCTTTGCTATAAACTTCAATGGCCTGAAGAATATGAGGTGATATTTCAGCCGTGGCCATCTTTATCAGTTTCTTTTAATTAAAGTCTAAAAAGAGAAACCAATAAAAAAAAAAAACAAAAGAAGGTGAAGAAGGAAAAAAAAAAAAAAAAAAAAAAAAAAGAAAGAAAGAAAAGGGGTAAAAGGGAAAAAATGGGCTTTGATGAACACAAAAAAAAAAAAAAAGTCGCCAAAGCATTAAAGTTTCAATCTCCGGATCATTTTCTTTTTCATATACTGATCTCTCTCTCTATATGATACTTGTTTGTCACTGTAAACTGTATTCTATATTGCATGCTTTGATTATCACACTTGGATGTTATGCAATATAATAACATATAATAATAAAAGAAGAAGGAAAAAAAGAAAAAGATATGCAGATGTCTAAATATATGCAATTTGTTGATAGGAAAACTCATTATTTGATTTATGTTATTCTCATAATGCAGTAATGATCCCTTTTATATATATATTTCTACCAACCTCTTGGCGGATAATTCAATCTCCGGACGATTTCACCGAAGATGTGTCGGATTCTTGCAGAGATATTTCTTTTCCTTGGCTCTTTTTTCATTTCTTTTTCATTTCTTTTTTGTTTTTCTTTCTTTATTTTACTTATAGTTATCAATATATTATTTTTATATTGTTTTTATATTATTTTGAAATATACGTAAAGTAAGTTCATTATGAATAACAACTATTTTTTTTTTATATTTTCTTAACCCTTCCTTTGTACAACGATAGTTTAGGTCTATTACTATTATTATGCAAATAGAACACAGTCTTATATTCCGGGTAGTTAATATCATTGTGGGTGCATTTATGATTATTGGTGGTGTAGTTACTATTCTTACTGGAGGTAAATTCAATAAAGTAAAATAAAATATATATCATCTTATTAACCTTATCTTATATTATTATTATTATTATTATTGTAGGATTCCCTCAATTCATTCGTGGTATTTATTGTATATTATTTGGTGTTATGGTATTCTTATTTGAATTTCGTTTACCATCTGTTGTATCTCAACATGTATCGTTCATGTTCTCATTCTTTGGTCGTGGTATTTGTAAGTAAATAAAATAAAATCAATATATGTATATATAAATACTCATGTGATATAATCTTTATCTTTATTTTTTTTTTATTTTTTTGTAGTCTATATATTGTAAGTGGATAATGAAACACCTCTTTTTTTTTTTCTTGTCTCATATTCACCTTATTTATATATATATTAGTATTGGATGTATTTTATTGAACTATCTTGCTCTCGGTATTGCATCTGGTGTAATTGTAAGTATACAAAAAGATGTTTTTTTATTATTTTTATTCAAATGTTGGCTACAAAATAGTTATTTCATATGTTCTTGAACTAAAACTCTTTTATTTTTTTTCTTTGTTTGTTTGTGTGTATGATTTGGTTTTTATCTAGGTGGCGATCGCTGGTGTAGCTTATGTTATTCTTCAATTTGTTCCTTCGATCGAACCTCCAAGTAATATGAAGCGTGAAGCCTTGGATGATTCTTTACAACACGGAGCTGGACTTGGAACTCGGGCTTCAAATTGGGCAAACGAACATCCACAACAATCAACAGGATCCCCTTATGGTCAATCAGCTGCGGAAGCCGGGTATGTTTCTGGAGGAAATATATAGTTACGTTTTTTTTTTTTTTATATTGTGGATTTAGGATGAAAATTTTTTTATTCACGTTTTATTATTATTATTATCATTAATATTATTACTATTACTATTATTATTATTATTATTATTATTCTGTTTTTGTTATACTTATCTATGAATAAACCTTCTTCAATTAATTTTTATAAGGATGATGATGAATAATACTTGATGACGAATATTGGACGGCGAATGATGCATAATAAATAAATTACTGATGATGATTATTGATCTACTAGTATTACAAAGTAGGTTATTTTTTTTGGGACTCCTGGAAGTCTTTTTTAATTTTTTTTTATGGTTCACTATTGTGAAACAGCATGAATTGGAAACAAGAGAACAAAACGAAAATTCTGGGATCGAAATTATCAAGGGAAAACTTGATTCACCTAAATCAAGTAATGTTCTACCATATGTCCTGATATGTATTCTCAAGGTAATAAAACAAAAAGTTTGATATAATTCATTCTTTTAAACAAATGGATTTATATTTTAAAAAGAAATTTCTTTGTTGATACAATTAGATATTTGTTCTATATAATAAAAATCATATATAATATATGATATTGATGGGATCACTACCAGGAATCCTTCGCTCAACGGCGCACTAATCCGACCTATGGAAATCGATACAAAAACATGATATGAACTCAGTGACCAATGACTAATATAGCGGCGCACCTGCCGTTGTTAAATTCGGAAAGAAAAAAAAATTGACAAGGTATAAAAAAAGGGGATCTGACTTTCATTCGTTTAAAAAAAAAATCTTTCTTTTTTTTTTTTTTTTTACTTTTCTTTCCGTTTCATTTTATTTTTCTTAATTTGGAAATGGGAATCAAAAAACAAGATGATATTAGCATTGAAGCACAACAAATTCAACAATCATCATGGCATGCAAAAGATTTGGATACATTAGTTAATGCTTGGAATACATCTCTCGAAACTGGTTTGACAGAACAAGAAGCAAGTAACCGATTACACATTTATGGATATAATGAATTATCTTCCAATTCTGGACCTCAATGGATCAAAGTACTTTTACGACAATTTTTGGATTTGATGAATTGGATTTTCCTTGCTTTAGGTATTGCTGCAATGGTTCTTCAAGATTATGTAACTGGTTCTGTTTTGGTTGCTTTGGCCATTTGTAATCTATTACTGTCCTTTTCTCAAGAATATGCCGCTGAACAAACATTGGCCGCTCTTCGTAGTCTATCATCTCCTACTGCTGATGTGATTCGAGATGGTAGAGAACAATCTATTCCTACTCGTGAACTAGTGCCCGGTGATTTACTTGTTATCAAGGAAGGTGATTCTGTTCCTGCTGATGCTCGACTTTTTTATGTCTCAAATTTGGAAGCTGATGAAGCTTTATTGACTGGTGAATCTTTACCTGTATCTAAACAATTAGTTGTTTTACAAAATGAAGGTAAAATTATATAATGATATCTAAAAAAAAAAAAAAAAAAAAAAAATTATTGACGTAAATCATTTCTTTATATATATATTTATTACAGATGAACCATTGGGTGATCGTATCAATATGGCATATAGTTCTACTATTGTATCCAAAGGACGTGGTCGTGGTATAGTGACATCAACTGGCATGTATACTGAAATTGGCAAAGTGGCAACCAAGTTAGATGAAGCTGGTGATGGTGATATGACAAGATTACAAAAAAGTTTGAACAAGATGTATGTGGTTCTCATCGTGGCGTCTGTTTTATGTGTCATCATTGTGTTGGCATCCGTGAAATTCAAGGCTAACTATGATGTGGGCATGTATGCAATGACAGCTGCTTTATCTGTACTTCCAGCTGGTTTGACAACTGTAATGACAGTGACACTTGTGCTTGGTGGCAAGGAAATGACAAATCAAAAAGCTATTGTACGAAAATTAAAATGTCTGGAAACGCTAGGATCCGTGACTAATATTTTTTCTGACAAGACTGGAACATTGACAATGGCAAAGATGGTGGTAGTACGTTTCTGGACTTTGAACGATGGTTTTTATTATGTGGAACCCAATGGTTTAGCTCCGGAAGGTGATGTTTATCATACTCAAGGGATTGATAATGCAAAGGAAATCGCTTTACAAGATTCCAAAGTCGACAAGAAGGCAATCAGTACGGATATGGAACGTTTGGTCCAATGTGCAGCTTTGTGCAACATGTCTAGTATTCACCGACGTACCGGCAATGATGATTATACTAGTAACAATGACACGGCTTCAGTTAGTACCAAGGCAGAAACTCGTGATAATCATGAAAAAGTGGATGATGAAGTGACTGATTCTGATGATTGGATAGCAAGTGGTGCTCCTACTGAAGTGGCGTTACAAGTATTGGCTCATAAATTCAATATGGGAAAACCTGATCTCTTGGCAACTGGATGGGAACTTTTGGCTGAACATCAATTCGATTCTACTATCAAACGAATGTCTACTCTTTATGTCAATAGGGATCATCAAATCATGCTTTTCTCCAAAGGTGCTGCTGAACGAATCATACCTCTTTGTGTCAATTTGAAATCGGAAGAAGAAAAGGCTCAAGTGTTTACAACTGTGGATAAATTAGCTGAAAAGGGTTTACGTGTCATGGCAATGGCTTATCGCTCAATGGATATGGATTTGGAAAAGGCAAAAACGACTTCTCGTGATGAAATGGAAAAAGATTTGATATTTGTTGGTCTTACTGGTATTTATGATCCTCCTCGTGCTGAATCTCGTCAAGCTGTCAGTGAAGCTCATCGTGCTGGTATTTCTGTACATATGTTGACTGGTGATCATGAAATTACGGCAACGGCTATTGCAAAAGAAATCAATATTTTGAATGAAACAATCATGTCCAAGGAAACTATTCGATCACTGGTGATGACAGGTACACAATTCGATGCTATGTCTGATGATGCTATTGATCAATTGGAACGACTTCCTCTGGTGGTTGCTAGGTGTTCTCCTGAAACTAAAGTCAAGATGATTCAAGCTTCAAAACGACGACAAAATATTTCTGCGATGACTGGTGATGGAGTCAATGATTCACCTTCTTTACGTATTGCTGATGTTGGTATTGCAATGGGAAAAAATGGAAGTGATGTAGCCAAGCAAGCTTCTGATATTATTCTCACGGATGACAATTTTGCTACTATTATTCGAGCTATTGCGGAAGGACGACGTATCTATCAAAATATGCAACGGTTCCTCCTTTACTACTGGATTTGTTTGGCTGGTATTGCCTTGATGGTCTTGGTCTGTTTGGGTGTACGTGATCCATCTGGAAAAACAGCTGCTCCTTTGTCAACATTACAAATTCTTTTTTTGTACATTGTCATCACTCCTCCTGCTGGTGCTTTAAGTGTGCAAAAGGCATCCAAGACGGTGATGTTGGAACCTCCTCGACCTCCTACGGAAAGCATCTTCAATAAGGAAATCATCATGGATACATTGGCATATGGTATTGGCATGACAGTGATCTCTATAGTGGCCTTCTTTGTACCTCTCTATACTCTTGGTAATGGTGTCAGTGGAATAGATTGTGATTCAAATTATCAAGTTGGTTTATGTGATTCATTCTATCGTGCCCGTGGATCTCTTTTGGTTACCCTCAGTTTATCTTGTTTGTTTGTGATGGTCCATTGTCGAAGTTACCGTAATATTGAATGGAATTGGGAAGGTATTTTGACGACTCTGCATAGCAAGACTTTGATGATTACCATTGTACTTGAAGTGATCTTTTTGGCTTTATTCATGTATATTCCAGATGTGGCTATTAAAGGATTTCGACAACTGGGTATCACTTGGGAATGGGGATTAGCTATTGGTCTCAATCTATTCTATATCGCTTTTGGTGAATTCTATAAATGGTGCAAGCGTATATTCATGAAACCTTTGGCTCGTCAACCTACGATGGACTTTTCAGTTTGATTTATTATTTTATTTATTTATCTCTCCCATACTTTTATAATTATAGATTGTATATACAATTATTATTTTTATTATTATTATTATTAGATTCTTTACCCTTTACTTATCTATTTATTTCATCATCATCATTATCATCAGATGATCTTTATTGTCTTTTAGACTATTCAATGTAGTATTAGACTTTTTTTTTTTTTTTTTTTTGCTATATCCTTTAGATTATTATTATTATTATTATTATTATTATTATTATTATTTGTGATAGTAAATTTTCTTTCCAAAATCGATAAATATATTAATCATCTTGTTGGTCATTTCATTTTACTCTTCTATATAATAAATTGATCATGGATGAATGCTGCTAGTTGGATTTCGGCCAAACCATTCAAAACCAGATGGGGAAAGATTTCTTTTGTGGCTCAGGGTAAATGGAATAAAGCAAATTTTTCTTTTTCTTTTTTTTTTTTTTTCTTCGCTTTTTTTTTTTTTTTTTTTTTTTTTTCTCATTCTTTTTGATCTTTGCTCCACAACAATGGCGACATCCTCCCCAGATACTTCCATGGTAATGAAACCGTGGTTCAAGAATCATCTCCCTTTGAAGCAATGGCAATATCTCAAAATAAAAGTGTACGTGATAAGTGAAAAAAAAGGTGGATATTGGTGATACATTTATCTATTATGGAATAAGCTAACTATTCTTCTTTACATACATACACATACGCACACATTCTCTTTTTCTCTCTCTTTTTTTTTTTTTTAAAAAAAAAAAAAAAAAACAGTTGGTCAGAAAATGGACTTGACGTCAAGATGACTGAAGTGGCGTTCCGTATGAGTCTTCAACAAGCAATTCAATCAACACTAGGATGGGCAGGAACTGGGAGTAAGATCGATGTACTGGATTGGAATGAAGAAACACATATTGGTATCGTTAAAGTTCCTCAAAGGTAAATAAATAAAAAAAAAGAGAATGATTTATATATTATTAGATAGAAGACTCATATGGAATATTGATTTAGTGAATTGGTCATGATCTGGGGTGCTATAGCCGTTCATCAATTTGCCATGGCAGAACAAGCTTGTGCATTGGATATTTTAGATACATCTGCAAGCTTGATCAGTCTTGCTGACAACAGTCGTGATATTTAGACTCTTTTTCTTTTTGTTATAGATCATTACTTTATATTTGGTTATTCCATTTGTCCATACCCACCTTCCTTCAATTCTTGTATATTTTCCATCACATTTCATTCTTCTATTTTTATTTTTGTTATTATTATTATTATTATTCTGAAATCATCCTTATTTTTAATCTTAATCAATAAAAATGATCATAACCTTTTTCATTTTCTATGGATTTACCTTATTAGGAATGATGATGATTCTGTTTGCTGCTTTTTTCTCTTTTCATATATTTACATCTTTATATATTATATTCCATGTATATACTGCAACTATATATTATATGCCATGTAAATACTATAACTACACATGTTTGTTAAGCATCCCATAGATTTTATATAGTTCAATAATAATAATCCACATACACACACTTTTTCTTTTTTTTTTTTTTTCTTGGGAAGATCAGATGAGATTTGTACACTTATTTCAAAAAGAACGTCTTAAAAATGGGAAATTGTTGGGGAATATCCATTCAGTATGAATATCATTTCTCTTAATGTATTAGTTTTCATTTACAAGGTTCAATGTCATAAGAAAAAAACCAACAAATAGACAAAGTCAAAACTAAAACAATGCTTTATTACAAAAAAAAAAAAAAATACGAATTGATACTAACTAAATAAATTAATCTAATCAGGGGTATTGTACACCAGTCAATATACTAGCTCTAGTAGCGTTGGGTTCAGTAGATCCTTCTGATATTGTTTCAGCCGTAGATGCTGGAGTTGGTGATACAATTGTAGGTGGATCATCCGGTTTTGATTCTGATGGGCCTTGTTGATCAGTTGCTAGTTGTTTTGATGCAAAAGATATGAAGTCTGCCAGTACCGAGAATCCTGTTGTAGTTCCTTGTTGCTGTTGGTTTTTGATACTTGACATCTGATCATCCTCCTCCTCCTCCTCAGCTTCATGATGATGATGATTAATATTATTATTGATACTTTGAATAGCTGATGATGTTGCCAGTGTGTTGAGATTAGTTGTAGTTGCACGAGACATGGGTGATGGAGACAATAACCATCTAGGAGAAGTAATATCTTGATTCACAAGTGTTGGAGAAACTGCCACAGAAGATCCTATATCTCCCACAGAAGGTCGAGGGTATTGCATCATTGGACGATATCTATGAGAGCATAACGTGAGATGTTCCATCCATACTTGCATATCCTGAGCACATTTTGCACGCAAAGTAATTGTTTTCCTAGGTCGTGTTCCCCGTCGAAACCGATGATTAGATTGTTTACATCCATTGCTGTTTCCATTAGCATCCATAGAACCAGTTGAATTGATTCGAGGGAAACTTGGTGCTAATGCATAAGGTTGAAGTTGAAATATTAAGTCATGATGTCGATTGGTCGATAATGTGGTCACACTGTATTCTGGTACAAAAATGGTGGATGTAGGATGTGATGGATACGTCTTTTTATTTCTGTATTCATGTAAAAATCCAGCTATATATAAGAAAAAAAAAATAAGTACAATGACAAAAAAAAAAAAAAAAAAAAACTATTACCTGGAGTAAGAACATAGATATATTCATGCCAGTTCTGTAATACTGATGATTTCCTTTCCATACTAGCAGCAAAAAGAGGTTGAACCAAAGGATGACTGTGATTGGGATAAACTAATTTGTTGGGATGTCGGTAAGAGGCGTTTTCAGATACCAATTGATCCTTGCAATGTTCAGCGAATGTACACCAATCTCTATCATTTACTACACTGTCAAATGTCCGCATGATTTCCTGTAATCCTTGATCTACACCCAACCAGCTAGATTCACGAAGGGTATACAATTGTTGACATAGATGACGAAGATCATCCATCAATTGCTTTTCGAGTGCCATGATCTCACGTTGTAAACGAATGACAGTTTCATGCATCTTGTTTTCTTGTTGATACATCTTGATCATCTGCGTAATAACTCCTATAATAAGAAAAAGAGAAAAATAAATAAATAAATGAGAAATAAAGAAGAAGAAATGCTTACGTGTATTCATCAACCAAGGATCTTCTTTGGTAAAACCATGATCAGGATGTCGATCAAAAAAACTAAGTTGTTGATCCAATCTAGTCAAACGTTTTGCAGTTTCATCCTTCATTTTGGCCAACACAGTAAGAGAAAGACGATCATCAGAGCGTACGGACCGGATAATATATTTGAGTTCATGTTTGATCTTGGCTAAAATAGGTAATCCTTGAGTTCGTATAAAGGCAGCATAGTCGGCATGATCTTTGGCGTTCTTCAGATGATACATTTGCCATGCGTCACATACTTGTCGAATACCTCCAGTTTTTGCAAAATGATGTTGAATTGTTGAATAAGAAGATGGTGATGATTTGTTTTTTTGTTCTGATTCTTCTCCATATGATAATCCAATGTCATTGTTGTCTTTTATTTCCACTATATCTGACTGACGTTGATGATGGCGATGATGATTATTATCATTGTTGTTATGTTTGAGACTACTAATACCATGTTGATCAAATTCCAACAAGTTTTCTAATTTATGATAAGATTTGACGACGGAAGATTCCAAAAGAGCCAGAGCTTCAAAGTGATTATATAAACATTTTGTCACGTATTGCCATGCCTCCAATCGTTCTAATAATAATTTAACTGGTTGAATTCCACCCAATTGTTGTAACTGATATTGTTGCAAGTCTGGCGATCCGTATTGATCCAAGGTTGTGGGATATGCTGTTTGTTGGTCACATGCAAAAATAGGAGGAGGCGTTTCTTCAACTATTTTAGTATCGTTGTGTTCCAAAGGTTGAGTACTACCAATATCGGATAAAATAGTAGTTGTGTTACTGCTACATGGTGAACAAAGACTAGAAGCAGAATTGACGACGTGATTTGGTAAACTTGGTGGAAGATTGAATGTGGAAAGAGAAGGAATAAGATTCTTGACAGAAGAACAAGTAGTACCTGTTGGTTCGTGTTTATGTCCTAGACGACTTTCTTTATTATTGGGTATAGGTGTAACACTATTGCTTCTTGGTACCCAATGACGTTTGTTCAGCAAGCTATGCATCCTTGGGAAAAATAAAATAAAATAATATAATAAAATAAAATAAAAAAAAAAAGGTAAAAGAAAGAAGAAAAATGATTTCTTTTTTTTGCTTTAGCGGCATTTTAAAGATGTTTACAAGTATACAGGTTCAATAATTGGATTGTATTGAAATTGTTTTATAATGGATTTCTCTTTTTTTTTTTCTCAGTTCAGATGGTATGACTTAAGAATAATCTAAATAGATAAAAAGTCTCTTAAGTTTTTTTTTTTTTTTCTATCATTACGTAGTCTATGTTCCCATCTTGATATCCTCACAAGACGTTAAAGACGAATGTCTTCATCTCTTCTAATGCTCACAAGGCGATCTATCATTACTGGCTAATGTTTTAATCTCCGTTACTGATCCAATCCTAAACTTTTTTTTTTCTTATAAATTTATAGATTTTTACTTTTTTTTTTTCTTGTTTCTTTAAAAAAGTTTTATTTTGTACTGATTTTATCTCTAATAATGTCAACTGATGTTAATATTAAGGAATATTGGCATACAAAATCTATTGATTCAGTGGCCGCTTCACTTTCTACATCTATATTGACAGGTCTATCTGATATTGATCTTACTGCCATTTACCAAATTTATGGATACAATGAATTGAATTCTGATACTGGATCAAAATGGATTAAGGTATTACTTCATCAATTGGTTGATGCTATGAATTGGATTTTTATTATTTTTGCTTCTGCTTCTTATGCACTTCAAGATTATGCTACAGGAACTATGTTGGTGGTCATTACTCTTTTAAATCTTTATTTATCTTTTTCTCAAGAATATGCTGCTGAACAAACCTTGGCTGCTTTACGTAATCTTTCTTCTCCTATGGCTCAAGTGATTCGTGATGGAAAAGAAGTACAAATAGAAAGTAGGGAATTGGTACCTGGTGATTTATTATTGATCAAGGAAGGTGATTCTATTGCCGCTGATATTCGTTTAATTTTTGTTTCAAATTTGGAAGTCGATGAAGCTCTTCTTACTGGTGAATCTATGCCAGTGGCAAAATCTCTTACTGTCTTTGAAAATCCAGGTAAAAAAAAAAAAATAAATATTCAAACTTTCTTTTTTTTTTTTTTTCTTTTCTTTCCCCTAACTTTTTTTTTTTTTTTTTTATTTTTACTTTTTTTTTTCTATTTGTTTTGAAAGATGAACCACTTGGTGATCGAATCAATATGGCATATAGTTCCACCATTGTGTCCAAAGGTCGTGGACAAGGTATCGTCGTTGCTACTGGTATGAACACGGAAATTGGAAAAGTGGCAAAACAATTGAAAGATGCTGGTGACAATGATACCACTCAACTTCAAAAGGCTCTCAACAAGATGTATTTGGCTCTCATGGCAATCTCTGCTCTTTGCGTTATCATCGTACTTGCTACTGTCAAATTCAAGGCTAACTATGATATTGGAATGTATTGTATGACTGCTGCAATGTCTGTTCTTCCTGCTGGTCTTACTACTGTCTTAACAGTAAGTCTTGTAATGGGTGGCAAAGAAATGGCGGCTCAAAAGGCGTTGATACGAAAATTAAAATGTCTGGAAACGCTAGGCTCCGTGACTAATATTTTTTCTGACAAGACTGGAACATTGACAATGGCAAAGATGGTGGTAGTACGTTTTTGGACTTTGAACGATGGTTTTTATTATGTGGAACCCAATGGTTTAGCTCCGGAAGGTGATGTTTATCATACTCAAGGGATTGATAATACAAAGGAAATCACTTTACAAGATTCCAAGGTCGACAAGAAGGCAATCAGTACGGATATGGAACGTTTGGTCCAATGTGCAGCTTTGTGCAACATGTCTAGTATTCACCGACGTACCGGCAATGATGATTATACTAGTAACAATAACACGGCTTCAGTTAGTACCAAGGCAGAAACTCGTGATAATCATGAAAAGGTGGATGATGAAGTGACTGATTCTGATGATTGGATAGCAAGTGGTGCTCCTACTGAAGTGGCTTTACAAGTATTGGCTCATAAATTCAATATGGGAAAACCTGATCTCTTGGCAACTGGATGGGAACTTTTGGCTGAACATCAATTCGATTCTACTATCAAACGAATGTCTACTCTTTATGTCAATAGCGATCATCAAATCATGCTTTTCTCCAAAGGTGCTGCTGAACGAATCATACCTCTTTGTGTCAATTTGAAATCGGAAGAAGAAAAGGCTCAAGTGTTTACAACTGTGGATAGATTAGCTGAAAAGGGTTTACGTGTCATGGCAATGGCTTATCGCTCAATGGATATGTATTTGGAAAAGGCAAAAACGACTTCTCGTGATGAAATGGAAAAAGATTTGGTATTTGTTGGCCTTACTGGTATTTATGATCCTCCTCGTGCTGAATCTCGTCAAGCTGTCAGTGAAGCTCATCGTGCTGGTATTTCTGTACATATGTTGACTGGTGATCATGAAATTACGGCAACGGCTATTGCAAAAGAAATCAATATTTTGAATGAAACAACGATGTCCAAGGAAACCATTCGATCACTGGTGATGACAGGTACACAATTCGATGCTATGTCTGATGATGCTATTGATCAATTGGAACGACTTCCTCTGGTGGTTGCTAGGTGTTCTCCTGAAACTAAAGTCAAGATGATTCAAGCTTCAAAACGACGACAAAATATTTCTGCGATGACTGGTGATGGAGTCAATGATTCACCTTCTTTACGTATTGCGGATGTTGGTATTGCAATGGGAAAAAATGGAAGTGATGTGGCCAAGCAAGCTTCTGATATTATTCTCACGGATGACAATTTTGCTACTATTATTCGAGCTATTGCGGAAGGACGACGTATCTATCAAAATATGCAACGGTTCCTCCTTTACTACTGGATTTGTTTGGCTGGTGGTGCTATTGTGGTTCTTATTGCTCTTGTTGTACGTGATCCTATTGGTCATTCTATTGCTCCACTGTCTACCTTACAGATGATCCTTATTTATATTTCTATTACACCACCATCAGGCGTTCTTAGTATCCAACCTGCTTCCAAGACAGTAATGCTTGAACCTCCTCGGCCTTCTGGTGAAAATTTATTCAACAGGGAAATCATCATGGACACATTGACGTATTCTATAGCAACAGCGATCATTTGTGCGGTATCCTTTTTTGTGCCTCTTTATTCTGGTATGAGTGGTCCAAGTGGAGTGATTGGTGTGAACTGTGACTCTGAATATCAATCTGGACTCTGTGATTCTCTTTATCGTAGCCGTGCATCCTTATTAGCGACATACTTGTTGGCATCTCTGGTAACAATGGCTCATTGTCGAAGTTATAGGACTCATGAATGGGGAATGGATGGCATCAGAAAAACATTGGATTCACGAACATGGATTGGTACACTGGCATTTGATGTTCTTATTTTGATGGTCTTCTTTTACGTACCAGGAGTAGCTGTCAAAGGATTCCGACAATTGGGTATATCTTGGGAATGGGGACTTGATATTGGCCTTGTGATTCTTTATATTGGCTTTGGTGACTTTTACAAATGGTGTAAAAGACGATCTATGAAACCTGTTGGTTCAGTGACATCCAATATAGTTTAGATTATTTATATTTATTTGTATTATATTGTATGTTATCAATAAACTTTTTTTTTTTTTTGTATGCATGAATCCTTTTTTTTTTTTTTGTCAGTCTTTGGATCCATCTTCAAGCCTATCTACTATATTTGTTGAAAGACCGATTTCGACGTCACTTCACATCTTTTGACCCTGCTTTCTACGCGAAGAATTTTTGAAAAATGTTTTTTTTTTCCTCTCCGTCTTCTTTTCTTTCAACCCTTCTCTCTTTTTTATTTATCATTAATCATGTCTGACGTTGCCCCATCTGCTGGTATGCTCTAAAAACAAAAAGAACAGTTTAAAAGAAGCTATGGTCATTTATTTGATAACTAATACTTCTCACATTTTCATTATATAACACCTACGTATAGAAACCATGCAAACAGGTAAGAAAGTCACGAATACGGAAAGTCTCTATAGACTTGAACAAAATTCTTATTGATTATCACTTATCACTAACTTATTTCTTTTCTACTTGTTTCCACAGCTCCTTTCGATGCTCGGTAATACTCAACAATAACAACAACAGCAAAAAAAAAAAAAAAACCTTCGATACCCTTGATAAAAAAAACAAGCTCGTCTCACATTTGCAAATGACATCAACTGACTGACTTTCTTTTTTTTTTTTACTTTACATCTATTCATTATAGTTTCCCCAACACAAACCAAACCAAGCAGTACGTATCGTTTTTTTTTATACAAATGAGAAAAAAAAAGGAACCGAGAGAAAGAGAAAAGAATGTGTGTAGTGCAGGGAATAGAAGACAAGAAGGACGTTTTGTATGTTGATCATTACTTTATTTGATACTGACATGATTTTTTATTTTTTTTTTACTTTCTATTTATACTTTAGCTGCTGGCAAAACTATGTCGATTACTTCAAGTGTATCGACGCCCGTGGTGAAGACTTCGCTCCCTGCAAGCAATTCTGGAGAAATTATCACAGCTTGTGCCCTAACTCTTGGGTAAGTTATTGATTCAAAGAAGAAGAAGACAAAAAGATGATTATGTTAAAAAAAAAAAAAAGGAATAAACAGTAGATGACTGATTCATATTTTTATTTATTTGTTTGTAGATTGAAAAGTGGGATACTCAACGTGAAGCCGGTGAAAACCCTTCCAACTTTACCGTTTAGACTATGACTTTTGATGGATGCTTGACTGTTTGGTTTTTTTTAGTAGAGTGTTTCATATATAATAAAGAAAGCATAAAGAACCTACACACATTTTAGTGGGAAGTATGTTCTTCATTTTTTTTTGTTCATGTCTTTTTGTCTTCTTTTTTTGTCACCTTTTTTTTTTTTTTTTTTTTTTACCATTCGATATTTTTTTATTTTATTTGCCGATGAAGATGATCTTAATTGATCAAAACAATCAAATTCGTTTATAAAGTTATTTATATGTCGTTAGCATGAAGGATGATCCGCTACAGTTTCATTATTCTGATGCCCAGAGAGAGGGAGAGATGGAGAGAGAGAGAATGATAAACTTTATTGATTTGATCTGATCGTTGAAAGCAATGGGCAAAGACATAATAAAAAATTTGGAAGTCTACCCAATTTAGTAACCGGAGTTCCTAACGTCCTCACACGCCTCAATAGACAGATAGACACGCTTTTTTTTTTTCTTCCTTCCCTTTCTCGTTTTGTTTCCTTTTTTTTTTTTAATCAGTCCCTATTACTCATGTCCATATCCGACGAAGACGCAAATGCAGAACTAGAAAAACTACAACAAAACATTACTCTTACACTTCAATCCATTGATCACAACTTTGCACGTTGTAATCAAATCGTGTCAGCATCTATTCTCCCTGAAATCGAAAAGTTTGCCGAAGCAAGTAGAGAAATATGGAATAGTAGCAAGGTAATATTTTGAATAATATTAAAATAAATTATAAAAGAAATGGTGAAATACTTGAGAATATTAACTCTTTTTTTTTTTTTTATCATCTAGCTGTGGCTTCATTTCATACAATCGTCAGAATATGGTCTTGATGACCTTACGGAACAACAACACACGAATCGACCAGCATTCACATCAAATAATACGAAACGTTACAAGACTGGCAATCGATCATCACCATGGGAACGGTTACAACGAGATTTACATACCACACTTGGCACCTCCGATCTGTCTTCCCTAGGCGATAGTGGTAAAGGCATGTTACGACCACCAGGACCACCCGTACCAGCGACAACATCACACACTACACAACATGATATATCCATTGCACGGAGTGTTCATCAAGAAATATACAACTCATCTTCTTCATTATCGTCATCATCCTCAGATATTGGAACCACTTCAAGACCTCTAACAAATATGATCACCAGTACACCACTTGCTCAACTACAAAAGACGCCTCTCGTCACGACACCTGCTAATGTTCTCACTTCTTTACTTATGATGAATATGGATGACGATCAAGTCAGTGACAGCTCCAACAGCACAAGTAACAGTATGACTGGTATCAGCCGGACTAATAACAATAACAACAACGGTAATGATACTAATGAGAACGATGATAAACCAATGGGCGACAAAGAAGATGATGATGGAGATACTGATATGGCCTATGAATTCTCCCCTGTTGTTGAATATACTTAGTTTAGAAAATCATTACCTTTTTTTTTTTTTTTTTTGTTATTAGACGTATACATATATTCATTTACCCTTCTTTAATAAAATATATACAATGATGAATATGATGATTGGAAATGATCCTTGATGTCTTCAATGTAAGAAAGATGGACGATGTTTGGTGATGATTTTTATGATGATGATGATGATGGGGTTGGTAATAGCGCTATTGATAATATTATAGCGCAGAGAACTCATCCAGAAATGGGAAGACAGAAAAAAAAAATAATCAAAATAGGCATAAATTTTTTGAATTCCATTTCAACTCACAATTCCGGTACAAGTCAATGGGTCATATTTCAACGTCAGTGTGTAACACCTGACAAAGGAAGAATACTATTCTGGGTCGTTTTTTGACAAAAAGAAAATAAAAGCATGACATCATGAATATATAAAAATAGTGGCAATTGAAAAAGAGAGAGAAGAGGTTAGAAAGTGGGATTAGACCATGTCATCATTGTTGAATCTGTTCTTTTACCAAGCAATCCAATGAAGTCATCAGTGTAACTTGATTGGTGGTTTTCATTTTAAGCTCAGAGGATGAAGAGGAGGGGTAAGCTTTATCGGCTGCACGGGTATCATAAGCAAGGTTTCAAAAAGAAAAAGGATCAGCGGGGATCCAATTAGATTGGCACTTTTTTTTGGTTAAGGCTGATTTTTTTGTTCTTTTTTCTTTCTTTTCTTTTTTTTTTTTTCTTGACATTTTATCAAACCTTACGCTATATAAGTGTTATGATTGACATTATACGAAACTTGTTTAAAAACAAGAAATCAGCCAAACTTACTAGTAAGTAATTTATATATTGAATGTCATTTGGTACTCATATCTTTTGTTGTTTATAGTTGAAGAAGCAGAAGAAGCTAATGCTGCTGCTACAAAGTTTCTACAAGAACAAACTTCACGTAAATCAAAGTTACCCATTTACAAAGGTCTTGAACGTTTTGAATTACTATCAAAGGTTGGCGAGTAAGTTAGGAAAATAAAACAAACGAATAAAATACTAATATGTATTTATATTAGTGGTGCATTCTCTAATGTATTCAAGGCAAGAGACAAAGAAACTGGTCAAATTGTAGCTATCAAAATAGCTCAAAAACATGAACTAAACGACGTAAGTATACTTATATATATATATATATATGGAATATTAGATAATAATAATTTATATTATAGAAAAATAATACTCACTTACATCCAAGTTTGAAAAAACGAACGAAAGCAACCGAGGTAAGAACTAATATCTATATATATATTTTTTTTTTTTTTTAAAAAAAAAAAAAAGAAATAAATGATAGGTATATATACATAAACTTATTCCTTTTAAATTTTTAGCGTGCCAATATTCTGAAAGAAGTCCAAATTATGCGTGGAGTCAATCACCCTAACATTGTCAAATTGAATCACTTTTCTGAATCGGATGATTACTACTTTTTGGTACTGGAACTATGTGAAGGTGGTGAACTCTTCCATCAAATTGTAAAACTTACTTATTTTAGTGAGGACTTGGCACGTCATGTGATCTATCAAGTGGCATCTGCAGTACGATACCTTCATGAAGAATGTGGTGTTGTTCATCGGTAAGAATATATTGAATAAAACCAATAGACGATATTTATCCTTTCTTTTATAGTGATATCAAACCTGAAAACATATTGATCGAACCCATTCCAATTATACCCTCCAAGAAACCCAAAGTAGTGTTTATCGAAGAAGACAAAGTAGATGAAGGCGAATTCATTCATGGCAAAGGTGGAGGCGGTATTGGCAATGTGAAATTGGCGGATTTTGGACTTTCCAAAGTGATATGGGACACTGATACTCTCACTCCATGTGGTACGGTCGGTTACACTGCTCCTGAAGTTGTTACAGATCAACGCTATTCCAAGTCTGTTGATTTGTGGAGTCTGGGGGTTTTACTTTATACTATGCTCTGTGGTTTTCCTCCGTTCTATGATGAATCTATTAGGTCACTTACAACAAAGGTGATGAAAGGTCAATATACTTTTCTTAGTCCTTGGTGGGATCCGATTTCGAAATCAGCCAAAGATTTAGTCTCTCATTTACTCTGTGTGGATCCTAATGAACGATACACCATTGATCAATTTTTCGCTCACCCATGGATGCAACAATATCAAGGCAAGAAGGATACAAAGTTACATCGTATGAAGGACCCTCGCACTCAAGCTATGCAAAATGCTGCTGTTGCTGCCCAACGTACTCTACCCACCACAACGGTCACAACAACAGCGACAACAACGACAACCGATAATATTGGATCATCATCTCATCCTTTGGATCCTACTCTTGTGGATCAAGAAGATAAAAATGAACGATCTGTCAAAATGAATGAAAATGAGGAACAAGAAGCACAGGATGAAATCAAACCTCTTCCATCTGCAGCAAATAATACCAAACGACAAGATCTATTCACCCCTGGATTTGCCTCTCTGAAAGAAATATTGGATATCACATATGCCGTTCAACGAATGGGTGAAGAATCACCACAACTACGGGATTCAGATGAATGGACAGAAGAGGACAATGAAGAAGAGAGTGACATTGAAGATCAACAACTTATTACTTTAGAAGCCAAACAAAGTATCAGCAGTGACACATCATCAACTACTCACAGCGGCAGTGTACCAGCAACTGAAGGATTATCTGAAGAAATAATGGCCAAGGCTGAACAGCTAGCTATCAGTGGAAAAGGATTTGCTCATGTACCAACAACAACCAAGGACAACTCGGTCAAAAAACAACATCATCTCTCTACTCCTACTTCTCATCGTCGAAAACATGTATTCAAGTTGAATATGGATCAAGCTACTTTATTGAGAAACCGTCGTGCTGGAACTCCTGTTATTCCTGATGCTGCATGATTACCCATACCTTGTTATATTTTATTATTTTGTATATTTGTAGAAAATTATTTTACACACATCATCATCATTTTTTTTTTATTGTTGTATATTACAGAATTTGTTTTCCCTAGTAGAATAGACATTTCCCTATACCATATTTCAGTCTTGTATTGTTTTTCTTTATTTAGCAATAAAAACATTATCTCATCCTTTGATAGTTTTGTTGTAATAATAGAAGCGTCCAATGGAGACGGAATTTGAATGCAACAAGTAAAAAAAAAAAAATCAACTCTTTTTCTTTGTGATGACTGCTTTCAGGCAATAAAATGGTGAAATCTTTTTTTTTTTCTTTTCTTCGTTCTCTTTTCTTTTGGCAACACATTATTTTCTTATACAAAAATGGGTTCCTCGGACATTCCGGATCCTATTACCGATTTTCAAAATTACCAAGCTTCTTTATTCAAAGCGATCACCTCAGCCACCAATGCTGCCAATTGCATTCCTGTGGAAGATCTAGGTTTCTTTCGTTCATTGGATCGCCATTTTGCCAGAGACTTGGATCAATCGGGTGAAGCTCTTTTGAACCTGGGTAACAAACTGACAGCTCATTGTGCAAAAGATCTTGGAGTGGGTACCGATCAAAAAATGGACGACATTGATGATGTGAACGATCGTTTCTCAAGTGTGATTGATGTCATTGATGGATTATTCGAACGTGCGGTAAAGATCTCTCTTTCTTTGAATACTTTTTGTTTTAGATATAAATACTTACTCTTTTATTATTTTTATTTTATTTTGAATATCAATAGGATGTTTGTTTGGACGAAATGACCGGCAAAAATAACAACAATGCAGATGATATTGTGGCGAAGAATAATCGAGCAGAAGTGACTCAGATCTCTCAACAATCAAGTACAGGTGACAAGTTAGAATACAAACTACTTCATGCTAGCAATGTAGTTCGACCTCAATTGCACTTTAAGGATCGTATTGACAATTCTAGTACGGTTCCCTTTGAACGCAAGATTACTGTCAAACCTCATGCTATGGTACCTTTGGAGAAACAACAACCTATTACCGATAGTGTCATTGCCTCTGGTATTCCTCCTGCCATGCCTCATCCTTATGCCTATGAAATCGAACATATTACCTATCCTGATCATCTCTTTGAATCTCGTGATCCTATTATGTATTCATCCTTTGATGATACTGAAGCGATTTGGGTTGACTCTGAACAAGCTCTGGATAGTATGCTCAAAGATCTCGAAGGTGTGCAAGAATTAGCTATTGATTTGGAACATCATAATTATCGCAGTTTTCAAGGGTTTACTTGTTTGATGCAATTGAGTACTCGTGATCAAGACTATATCATTGATACTTTGACCTTACGACATTTGCTCTGGAAACTCAATGATTACTTTGCTGATCCAAACATTGTCAAGGTAAACAGAAGAAAAACTTTACTGACAACCTAACACATACTTATGTATATTTTTTTTTTTTGCTAATAATCTAGTTACTTCATGGTGCGAAAAGTGATATTATCTGGTTACAACGGGACTTTGGTGTTTATATTGTGAATTTATTTGATACATATGATGCCACTCATTTATTGGGTAAGACGATTATTTTGTTTTTATAAAAAGAGGAATATCATATATTAATATTTATGGTTTTCTTAGAATTCCCTCATCATAGTCTGGCTTATCTATTGAAAAAATACTGCAATGTAGATGCTGACAAAAAATACCAATTGGCTGATTGGAGAATTCGGTAAGATTGAAAAAAAAAATAATAATAGAAACCATTTTTTAAATTCTAATGATGATTTTTTTTTTCTATAGGCCATTACCAAAGGAAATGATCGACTATGCTCGATCTGATACACACTATCTTTTATATATCTACGATCGATTACGGGAAGAATTACTGGCTGGATCTGGAAGCAACGAAAATTTATTACGGGCAGTGTTACAACGATCGGCAATGACAAGTGCTAAAGTTTATGAAAAGGAGGTCTATGATGCTGAACATGGTAGGGGACCAGGTGGATGGTACAACTTGCTGATAAAGTGGCGACATTCTATGAATCAACAACAACTTTGTGTATTCAAGGCATTACATCAATGGCGCGATACAACTGCAAGACAAGAAGATGAATCCGTTCGATTTATCCTTCCCAATCATATGTTATTTGCTTTGGTGGAACGTATGCCTACTGATTCTCCTGGTGTCATTGGTTGTTGTAATCCTTGTCCTCCTAGTATTCGTAGAAATGCTCAAGCTATTTATATGTTAATCCAACGTGCCAAGATGGAAGGTCTTGCCATGGATAAAGAGACTGATCACAAACTTTCTTTAGATAGACAACCAATCAGCAATAACACTGTTGTCACGACATCATCAATACAACAAGAACAACAAGAACAACCAATAAAACGACCAGTGAAGAAAGTGGATCCTTCGGTATTTGATTTGGAAAAAGTATATCAACAACGTCAAGACATAGTCAGTCAATTGGCAGCAACACATTCTGTTTTATTTGGACCCAACAAACAAGCTACTATTACCAAAGAGGAAATGGATGCTCAAAAGATCGCTGGACATATTCGTGCTACAATGACCATCACCCTACCTTTTGATGAATTGAAAATTAAGGCTGTACATGATCATACTTCTATTCGACAACAACAAGAAGAAAAATCATCTATAAAAGAATCATCTACAACAGAAGAAGAACATATATATGCACCTGCCGATCAACGAGAAACTAAGAAGAAACGCAAAGCAAATGATAATGAAGTCATTACAGTGAAAAGTCTTGGAACCAAAAAGAAATCCAAAAAGATAAACTAGTGATAGATTATTATTATTATTATTATTATTTAGCTATAGAAATATATTCTTTCCATTGTACATTCATTTTTTTTTCCATCAATAAAATCATTTTTTTTTCTCATTCTTTATTTTGACGTGGGCAATAGGAAAAAAAAAAAGGGGGAAGATATTTAGAGTTCCGCACTAAAGTATTTTTGATGTCTTTCTTTTCTGCTTTTTTTTTTTTTTTTTTGAACAAGATGAATGAAAACGATTTGGTGGTAGATTGGAAAGATATTCAACATTATTGGAGAAACAATTTCTCTTCAAGAACAGACATTAGTTTACAACGGTACTTGGAACCTGGACAGTTATTTTCTTCTGGTAATACAATGGGTTATGCTGGCATCCCTTTATATCATGGTAATATATCAAAAAAAAAAAAAAAAAAAGATTCTCAACTCACAGTTTTCTTTTTTTTTTTTTTTTTGCACTCAAAAAAGGTATTCACAAAATGACCAAAGAACATCGTATTCATATTCTTGTGTCTCATGCTCATCAATTGGTGGATTTGATGGTGCGTGATCTGGCTATGGATCAAGTACCAGATATTCCTCTTACGATGACCGAATCCAAGTACGATTATGAAAGCACAGAACGAATCATGACGGATCGTACCATGTATCAAAAACTAGCAAAGCAGGTGACGCAGGCGAACAAACGACAACGGAAATGGATGGAGGCCAAGATGGGATGGCAGCAAGCAAAACGACTATTACGAGAAAAGCAATATGTGTTTGTGTCATTGGACATTGAAGCTTACGAAGCCGATCATTCTATTCTGTTGGAAATTGGCTGGACCCTTTACGACAGTCGCCATAACAAGTACTTGGATCAACATTATATGATGCTGCCCTACCGCCACTTGACCAATGGGAAATACGTCGACGATCAACGCCTCAGTTTCGCTTTTGGCACGTCTATCTGGTGTACCTTGCAGCAAGCCCTGGATGAACTGTATAAAGATCTGGCATGGGCCACCGAGCGTGATGGTGGTTTTGTCTTGGTCGGTCATGGTCTCAATAGTGATTTATTGTATCTCAAACAATGCAAGTTTGCTTGGCCTGTCTTAGAAAACAATACTTTGGCTTCTACTTTGGATGTCGATCAGAGTGCTTTGGTCACCATTGTCAATACCGATACTCTCTATGGTGCTTATGTTGGTGATATGCATAATCCTCCTTCTTTGGGTAGATGTTTGACTTTGATGGATATCGATCATTTTTGTTTACACAATGCAGGTAATAATAATAAAAAGAATGAATGGGATCATCACTCATTTTTCCTTTTTCTTCTTTTTGTACAAGGCAACGACGCTCATTATACCATGGCATTGATGATGAAACTCCTTGACAAAGAAATAGACTAGTTTCCTTCCTATATACATAATTAATTCCTTTTTCCTTTTTTTTTTTTTATTCATTGATTTTTTTTTTTTTTAGGATCGTTCATCATATCCTCATATTATTTAAATAAAAAAAAAAAAATTCTATTACTGTATATACTTGGAAATCGTTTACAATGGAATAGCATAAAAAAAATTCTATTACTGTATATACTTGGAAATCGTTTACAATGGAATAGCATAAAAAAAAAGAGAAAGGGAAGCTTGTACTGTTAACCGATCCATGTATTTGATAGGTTTCTAGAATGATATTTCCAGAAAAGATCGATGTATTTTTCCAATCTATTTTGATGTGACAACCATCACTCATCCATATTTCCACACAACAAAGTGATTATATTTATAAAATATTGTATCATCAATCAAGCGACATATCAATGGAAGACTTCTTTCTTTTATTATTATGATGATGATTAGGTGTAGATCGTATAACTAAAAAAAAAAAAAAAAAAAAAAAAAAAAAAAAAAAAAAAAAAGCTATGGTATACAATATAAGAAGACATAAGTAAAATACAACAGTGGATAATAATAATACAAGTGATAATAAAGAGAGCGGGGAAATCATAAAAACTAAACAAAGAGAAGAGTGTGCAATCTGATTGTTCTTGAGAGGAAGTCAGTAATTTCACATGAAATAGATTTCAAAACATCCATATCATCCGCATTGAGAACATCATGCCACCTATGATGATGATTCATTACATCAATAGAAAAGTACAATAAGAAATACATCTGTAATCATATTACGATCAAATGAATCTGGTCATCGATGCAAAATATGGCGCAATAGTGTCACGTATTGTATTTTTTTTTTTTTAACTCAACTTTTTTTTTATTCAAATAAAAAAGAGATCTTTATTATACAGATCTACAAAAGTCAAATATTTTTATTATATCTAGTCATATCATGCATATCTAATCTGGAAATTTGTCTAGATGTCATAGTATTCTTTTCTGATGCATGTCTCTTCTTGTTTTCGGGGTTTACAAGTATTCTATTTATTGATGCTTTTTTGTTTGTACACTTAAAAAAGGGTATTCTCTATAATGAAACATAGGTTAACATTACCACACCTTCGGATCAATATTTAAGAATTTCTTATTGTTTTTGTTATCAGATCATATCCGAATTGGCTTGGGTGATCACATCTGATTAGAAATCCAGTAATTATTTCAAGTGATTGCTTAGTCAGTAAGTGCTACTTTTGACACGGTGGAAGCAACAAACCAATGAAATGATCAATGATTTTCCAAAAAAAAAAAAAAAAAAAAAAAAAAAAAACGTGATGCAACCCAGTGTGGATACTATTTGCACGCCGTACATTTTGTTTGCTTTTAAACATATAACGAATGGCCATTCATCGTTGTTTCAATTTTTTTTTTTTTTTTTTTTTTTTGTATTTCAAAGCTGTCAATTTTTCCTTTTTCTTCTCTTTTTTTTTTTTTCCACACTTTTGGTTTATTTTCCCACTCCTTTTTTTTTCTCCCCTTTGTCTTTTTTTTTTTTTCCTTCTTTTTTCTTTGTCTTCTTCTTCTTGATAATGTGGACCTTGGCCAATTTACCTTCTTACTTTTCCCGATGGCTTGGGTATCGAGATCCTTCATTACCATTGAAAAACCACAAGAGATGGCAAATCAGTTTTTGGTCATTCATAGGTGCATGGTTAGGCATTGCTGTTCTGCTGATCATTGGTACTTATAGTCCTCAACTTGCTGAATATCATTCTCCTACTGTCATTGCAAGTTTTGTAAGTATTATTCCAAGTTTTTTTTTTTTTTTACCAACTCTTATTATTGAACTGACTCTTATTTTTTTCTATATTTATACTTATATATATATATTCTTTTGGTATGATGATCATCTATTTTTGTTAATCATAGGGTGCCTCTGCAGTATTATTGTACGGATCCATCGACTCCCCACTGGCCCAGCCTAGGAATGCGTTTTTTGGTCATGTCATTGGAGCTCTTGTAGGTGTGAGCATTTCAAAATTGTTTATTCAGGTACCTACGTCTTGGGCCTCTCCAGAACAACAAGTGATTGTGCAATGGGTAGCCGGTGCCACTGCTGTTTCTCTGGCTATTGTAGTAATGCAAATGACAACTACAGTTCATCCGCCTGGGGGTGCAACTGCTCTTTTACCCGCCGTGGACTCAAAGGTGATTGCTATGGGTTGGTACTATATTGGTGTGGTTGCCATGTCGGCTGCAGTACAACTTGTTTTGGCTTGTCTGGTGAATAATATGGATCGAAGGTATCCGACGTTTTGGTGGCGTCCTGCTCGTCTTCCTGTACAGATAGATCCTGGCAATCTGGCCACAGCATTGCCTTTTTCACAACGTGGTGATGATGTGGTTGTCAACGTAGACGATGATCGTACTTCTTCTTCCACCAATGTTTCTTCTGGTCTTGTCATCCTTCTCGATCCTGCTCATCCTCTGGTGTTACCTCCTGATATTCTCAATGCGGACGATATGGATGCTTTAAAATCTATTCATGCAAAATTACGGGCCTCCTCTCAAGAAAAGTCAGATTGAACACTCCTGTCTTTGTTTAGTTTTATGATCTCCCCCACTCTCCTTTATTAGTGTTACTATTATTTATTGTTGTATTTTACATTTGTCTTCTTACATTGTATACCATATTTTTTTTTAACTACATGATCTATACCTAATCATCATTATAATAATAAACAAAGAAGTCTTTCATTGATATGTCACTCGATTGATGATACAATATTTTATAAATGCAATCAATCTGTTCACCTTGAGAAAAAAAAAAAAAAAAGAAACTTCCAGATATCCAATATATCATCCATAATTTGTATGAATCTTTACACAGAAGAATAATTTTATTCATCGCTACAAATTTCTGTACCACATAACAATAATAATAAACAACTACACTACAAGTGATATCGTCCATCAGCACGATTAAGACCACAGCCACTACCAATATCAAAACCTAGTGCCACCTCAAGAACAATAACCATTATTTTCATTTTGGCCGAAGAAGGTAATCGATGTTGGATTGATGGTATGATTTGCAATCTACAAATAAAAATCTACAAGGTGAATAGTAATCCATCAATGTTTTCCTCTTTTTTTTTTATCAATGCAGCAATTCTTTGATCCACTAACCTCTTAAATATTGATCCGCGATAACGTAAATTTATCTTTCATTAAGGAGAATAGATTTACCTTATTAAGTGTACAAATCAAAAAAAAAAAAAAAGCATCAATAAATAGAATAATATTTTCATACTGGATATCCTAAAAAAAAAAAAAAAAAAAAAAAAAAATACTGTGGGATTGAAAAAATAGGTAGATAGATGAATATTTTCATTTTTTTTTTATTTCAAAATCATAATAACAACAACTAATAATAAGGATCATTGTTAATATATCCAAACATATATATATATATAATACTATTGAATACGAACAGTATCTTTCCATACAATATAGTCCATAGCAGGTTGAGTAATCGAGTCCAATGATGAAGAAGTAATCAAGTTTCCACTACCAGGTACTTTAACATGCCATCCTTGAATCCGGATTTGCGCTTCAGTAGGAGTCCAACAATAAACTAACATACGAACCACATTGTCATGACGTTGAATCAATTCATCAGGGAGATAAAAATCATGTTGAGGTCCATCGCCATTACCAAAATAAAGTCCAATCAATAAATCATTCAGAATTACCTTGGCCGTAAATTCTCCATCCAAATGTAAACGAAGTGGGACTCTTTGATTTTCTTGTTTCCATGCATTGTCAAAATTAAATTGTAACCATCGAACACCTTGAGAAGGATTCATAGGCATACGATAATCATACTTTTCTTCTTCTTGTTGTTGTTGTTGTTGTTGTTCATTGGTATGTGTTATGGGGGTGACAGTAGGTGAAGGTGGTGTCGAATCCATTCCAGGTGTAAAAGATTCGTATCCTACTTCATATTGTTCATCAGGGAATCCAGTTGTGTTGTATGCTTGACTAAGTTTACCAACGTCTACACCAGTGATTTGCCAACCTTGTTCCACTTGTTGATGACTGATATCCACACCCTTCAATTTTGCCTTGATAATACCACGAGGGTTGCGAATATCATTCATAATAAATGCTTGACGATTGAGTCCAAAACTATCGACAATGATCACCAAAGTATTTTCCAATTGTCGTCCTTCATGTGTGAGATAAGGCGTCAAGTCATAGTTATGCGTGCCAATAAACCATGGATCAGGACCTATTTTTGCTCCAGCTGAGAATAATTGTCGAGAGTACGTTGTATGTCCACCCACAATATGTCCATTCACTACTACAGTTGCACGATGACGAACATTGAGAGACAGTTGAACATGAGGATCGGCTTGTCCTGGTGTCTTGAATTGATTGCGATAGAGTACATGTCCGCTTGTAAAATGATAATCAATGGCATCCCATACCAGTTTATTTTTCTCGTTGCGTTTCAAAGGTTGCCAATTCAGGGTATTCCAGTTCACATCACGATATTTCCAATTGATAAGAGGAAGTACCACCGAATGTTGTTCAAGAGAACGATCTGCTAGTTTTTTGGTGTAAAGATAAGGCATCTGATCATGTACAATCATATGTTGGTCAATTGGTTTAGTAAATGATAACAGGTGAACTTCAGTGTCGTGAATATTATAGCCCACTTCCAATTCTTGGTTTTCCTGATTGTAATAAAGATGATCAGCACCCCAAGCCAATAATCCAGGATATCTACTCTTCGTGCTTCCTCGGTTCCAATATGAAGGTTGAAAGTCGGCGTAGAGAGTACTAATGTTATTTGATTCCAATCCAATAATATAAAGAGCGCCTTCTCCATTTATCGCTAGTTTTGTCCAACCATCTGAGCGTTTGAATCGTATCAAGGAGACTGATTCTTCTACCGTTACAACTTCTGGTTGCATGTTGCCAGTAATAGTCATTCCCACATTCTCGAAAGCAAGTTCACCAAGTCCAGAGGGCGTCGATTCCACTATCCAAATTTCTTCTTTTGTGTCAGGGTTTACCATACGAGCATGAATAGGTATGATTGCTTGAAGAAGTGAAAGTCCATTGATGGTCTTGTAATTGCCAATACCAATAAATGATGTCTTGTAGCCAAATTGAATCTTCATTTGAATAGTTTTGCCAGCATAATTCTGATTGATGACATGTTCATCACGTTTCTTGCGGTCAAAGTTGCGGAAAAAGGTAAATACAACATCTTGATCAGCGCCAACAGCCACACGTTGTCGATTGATGATTTCTCGTACAGGAGATCCCATTGTTGGTTTCTTGAGAAGATCGGTCCGAGTGAAGTAAGGTTCGAATGATTGTGCAAAGATAAGTGTTTGTCGAAGATTGCGTCCACGAGAGGATAAATAACCATATTCACGAATACATGCAGAATAATCGTATGAAGTATAGACATCACTATCATTGAAATCAATAAATTGAAATGAATAAATGATCATCATTCCCATTTCTTGTTAACTTACGGATCACCCAAAGTCCCCCAATTCGTCCCACCATATACCATATAGAGACTAGCCATGGTCACACCTTGAGCCAATGAACTTTCAAATAACAACTTTGTGTATTGATCACCATAAAAGTCGTATATCTGATCATATGTGTGTTGTAATTGATAATGATTGAACCATCCACCTTGAAGTTCTGGAATAAATATGGGTGACTATAAAAAAAAAAACATATGTATATAAAAGAAAAGGCATCAGACATACATATATAGATATATAATCTATTATTATAGTCTACTTACTTCCTTAGCACCCCCACCAAATCCTCGTACTGTTTTTTCAAGTCTGTCCATCGAATTTTCCATTCTCTTGGGATCCCAATCTTTCCATTCACCAGAAGTGGTACCACCATCAATCAACCAACTTTTTGGAGAGCTTGAAGGAGCAAACACTATATATATATATATATAAATATTGTCAGTCTTACCAATACAACCTTTGTTTTTTTTGTAAAAAAAAAAAAAAAAAAAAAAAAATTACCAACATATTTATCAAATCCATATAAATCGATACCAAAAGGATACTTGGACCAGAAATTTGGTTTTTTCCCAGGAACCCATCCACCTTCTTCGAATCCATCGTTGGTAAATAGAGGTACAGTAATATTAGCATCACGAGCAGCTTTGGCCAACACCCGCATTTGATCACGTAAGCCAACAGGAAGAATATGAGCCATTGTTTCAAATAATTCATTATCGATTTGTAGAGCCAAGATACAACCACGTCGACGTCGTTGGTCATTATTTTCGGTAATTTGATGTCTTGCCAAGATAGGTAGAATATGGTCCAACCATTGAATTTCGTAGGTGACAAAGGAAGCATCATAAGTACGCCAGAGCATGATGGAATTGTGACGAATGTTAAGATGACGTTTGGCTACAAGCCAAGAAGGATAACCACCACCTTGCGTTTCAGCACAAATATAAGGACCAGGAGCCGCCAAGACAAAAAGACCCAATTTTTCACAAAGTGTTAAAAGATAATCCACATCACGATTGCCATCAAAGAGATAGAGTCCTTCAGCTGGTGAATGATAACCCCAATGGAAATAGATACGAATAGTGTTGTACCCAGCAGTTTGATATTGTTGTAAAATATGTGGCCATCGTTCACGGTCAGGTATACGCCAATAATGAAATTCAGCAGAAAGAATTAGAATTGGTTCACCTTCCACACGCAAAGAATATTTGTCCCAGTCCAAAAGTGATTGATATTTTGTACGATTGTAAGCAACTGATTCGGTAGTAATATCTGTTAGAGTACCATGAGTACGATGATGTGTATAAAGAACAAAGCCAATGACCACCGGTACGACCAAAGAAAATAAAGAGTAAAGTTGTGTCATATCACCCATCACACTTTTTTTTTTTTTACTTTTTGGTTTCTACACAAACAGTAGTAAAAAAAAAAAAAAAAAAAAAAAAAAGTGAATGAATAATAAAAAAAAAGAGAGAGAAAAGTGTGAGAAAAGGAAAAAGAAAACAAACAAATAAATAAAAAAAAAAATACATTCTAGTTTTAATCTTATCAATTTATTCATGCACCGCTTGTCCATCATAATAACTTTTTTTAGTGGTAAAATAATAAAGACTTTTATTTAATGAAAACTACAGTAAAAGATATTGTATATATATATATATGTGAGTGTGTGTACTGAAGAGAGGGGTAAAAATAAGTATCATCACTACCATAAAAAAAAAAAAAAAAAAAAAAAAACTATACTAAGGTAAAGCCAAATCTTCAAAGCTTAAACCATCACCACTAGGTTTCGCCCGGAGAGCTTCAATATCGATCAGGTTTTCACGTTCAGCATAAAGGGATTTGTAAGCACTCTTGATAGTTACTTCAGATACACCAGCTACATGAGCAATATCTCTTGTTGTCTTGGGAACTCTATAGAGATAAGATACCAAATAAATACAAGCAGCAGCAACGGAGATGGGAGATTTGCCAGCAAGAGTACCCAATTCTTTTGCACGCTTCACCAGATCCACACCAGCCTTTTGTACATGTTTAGGAAGTAATAGATTGGAGCAAAACCGAGACATTAAATCTTCAGAATTCATGATACTTGTATTCGTTTGTAATTTAGCTTGAAGAGACTTGTAACAACGACCAATTTCCTTCTTGGGTACCCTAGTCAACGCACAAATTTCACGGAATGTACGTCCCACTTTTTCTTGTCGACAAGCAATAAAGATACAGGCAGCAATGATGGCATCACTTGATTTTCCTCGTAATAACTTTTCATCTTCCACCCGTTTGTATAATTGTTTGGCAGTATCACTAACGATCTTGGATAAGGAGATGGAATCACACATTGCACCGATATCTTTGTAAGATTGAACTAAATTGCGTTCACCTTTCATTGCTGTAGCTCGACCATGTACTTTGTTCAAATCCTTTGCTGCCCCTGTTCCACCATCCCTTCTTGATATAACTGTATCTAATTGATTTCCGTCCAACAATGGATTTGCCGCAGCACCAACACGAGATGGATCCTATAAATAGATAATATATATATGTGATGATTAGTAGATATATATATAAATAAATATATAAATATATATAAACATACATCTCCTTCATCATTAGCAAATGTTCTCCATTCAGACCGAGTATCAATAATACGATCACCAAGTACTAAACCACAATCACCACAGACAAGATCACCAGAAGCAAATTCTTCTACAATTTGAGGAGGAGTCACACGACAATCTGGACATATCAAGTTCACATTCAAGTTGGGTTGAAAAGCTTGAGGTGTATCATTTTGTTGTGGTTCTCGTAAAGGAAAAGGAATTGTTGAAGTCATCTAAACAATATATATATATAATAAACATGTATATATATGAGTTGATCTGATCATCAAACAAAAAAAAAAAAAAAAAAAAAACAAATAAAACAACAATATAAGAGACAACAATAATAAAACAAAATGAAAATGAAGGAAAGGAATAACAATGATCAAAGGAATATTTTTTTTTTGTCTTTTTTTTTTTTTTTTTTTTCTTTGGGGAGGTCACTTTTTTTTAATTTTTTTTTTAATGTATATGAATTGTGTGTGAGAAAAAAAAACATCTATCTATTGATAATAACTAAACTAAAAGTAAATGTATATATAAAGAACTATTTCTAAAAAGCACTAATAAAAAGAAGAAGATAAAATCACACTACCTGGTAAATCTTTGTTTTCGTAGGTGAAAGTGATCTAACAAAATGAAAGAAAAAAGAGAAAAAGAAACAAAAAAAAAAATGGAAGAACCAAACAAATTTATTTTTTTAAAAAAAACAAAAAAGAATGAATTTTATTGGATCACATTATCTGAGGACAAAATTGGTAAGCAATGGAATCAAAAAGAAGGAAAAAAAAAAAAAAAAGGACGTATAATCTAACATGTTTATTTAAATAAACAACAATATGATACAAAAGAAATATAGAATAAAATAAAAAAAAAAGGAAATCAAAAAGTTCTAAACGATATAACAATGAAGTAATAAAAAAAAAGAAAGAAAGAAAGAAAGAGATAGAAGGGAATCATCATCTAAAACTAAACTATTCTAATTACTAGTGTCATTGTTCAAAGAACTATAATAAAAAAAAAAAAAGAAATCAGTATATCTATCATCATATATATATATATATATATATATATATATATAAGAACTTACGATTGAACATCAGCAGTAACCATTTCAGTAACCAATTCATCATATGAGACCTTGCGGGTCCAGCCCAACTTTTCCTTGGCCTTAGTAGGATCACCCAATAACAAATCAACTTCAGCAGGACGGAAGTACTTGGGATCAATACGAACACGCACCTTACCAGTTTCAGCATCCTTTCCAACTTCATTTACACCTTCACCTTCCCAAACAATCTTGCGACCAGTAACAGCAAAAGCCTTTTCAACATAGGATCGTACAGTATGAGTTTCACCAGTAGCCAAAACAAAATCTTCGGGTTGATCTTGTTGTAACATCAACCACATACCTTCAACATAATCCCGAGCATGACCCCAATCACGTTTGGCATCAATATTACCCAAGTATAAACATTCTTGACGGCCCAAATGAATATCAGCAACAGCCTTGGAAATCTTGCGAGTCACAAAGGTACGTCCACGACGAGGAGATTCATGATTAAACAAAATACCGTTACAAGCATACATATTGTAAGATTCACGATAGTTAACCACAATCCAGTAACCATAAAGTTTGGCCACACCATAAGGAGAACGAGGATAGAAAGGAGTGGTTTCCTTTTGAGGAGTTTCAACTACTTTACCATACAATTCAGAAGTAGATGCTTGATAGAATCGAACACGATCAGTTAAACCACAAGTACGAATAGCATCCAATAAACGTAAAGTACCAAGAGCATCCACATCACCAGTATATTCAGACATATCAAAAGATACCTTAACATGAGATTGAGCACCCAAATTATAAATTTCAGTAGGTTGAACTTGAGAAACAATATGAACCAAACAAGTAGAATCAGTCAAATCACCATGATGAAGGAAGAACTTGACACCTAATAATAATAATAATAAGTTATATTGATTTTTTCCTTTTTTTTTTTTTTTATTTTAACTTACCAGTTTCATGACTATCCTTATAAATATGTTCAATACGACCAGTATTGAAAGAAGAAGAACGACGAATAATACCATGAACTTCATAACCCTTTGATAATAAGAATTCAACCAAGTAAGAACCATCTTGACCAGTAACACCTAAATACATTATAAATATTAGTTTTATCATATTAATATTTTTATTTTATTTTATTTTATTTTTTTTACCAGTAATAAGAGCTACTTTGCGAGAACGATATTCTTCAATAGACATAGTATTGTTATGAACAATATGAGAGGCAGCAAATACACTTTCAGACATAATGATTGAGTTTATTAACAAAACAAAAAAAAAAAGATGATGAATGGAAAGAAAGATAAAAAAAAAAAGGGCAAAACGAGTTTGAATTAAAAAAAAAAAAAAATCGAGCCCAAAATTAAACGAGGAAGGTGACACTAAAAAACGACAATCCTCTCTTTTAAACCTATTTTTATTTTTACTTACCGACCGGATCACCGCTGTCCTGTCATATTATATATATCTTTAATGTTATTGTACTAAACGTTATCTGGAAACAAGTGCCTTTTATATAAAATATATTTAATATCATCTTCATTATCATTCACTTTTAAGGATAAAATAGATTTCTTAGTATAATAATTTTCTGTGAAATTTATAATCTCTTAATTTACTTGGCATCTTTTCTCTTACGTCGATCCTTTTTTTTTTTCTATGCCAAGCTTAGTTTAGTGTCAATTCTCTCTCTGTTATTGAATTCGGAATATAAAAACAAATAACTTCCTCCTTTACCACAAAAGGATTCAAAAAAGATATACAAAAAAAAAAGGTCTACTATTTATTGAAACGGAGTCCATCTCTAGTTCTTTGCCAATCATCTGTCAATAATGGAATGAAAGAGTTGATTATTACAAGTCTAGAATACAAAAGTTAAATAATAACTGACCCTTTTTTTTTTATTGAAAAGTAATCTATTCGTATGCCAAATAATAAATATGATAAAATGATGTATGATGATGATGATAAACGAGGTACCACGCCCACACGCGTGATAAGCTCTAAAGAAGTCTGGTACAAAATATCTGAATTAGATCGTGTTTTTTTTTTTTCTTTATTATGGTCATCGATTTCCAAATTCATCTTCCCTCTTTTTTATCTATTCGCTCTATTTTTACTTACCTTTTTAGGTGATAATAAGGATGGACATTGATGATGATGATGTGAATATTTGGGTGTAACATTGCTCTTTTTTTTTTTTTTTTTTTTGTCTATCCATTCCTGTACTCCCCGATATTGCATTGATTATATGAAGTTAAATCATCCTCATTTTTTTTTCTTATTCTTGACTCTTTTTTTTTTTTCCTGAACGAGATGTCTTTTGTATTATAATTCTCTTATACGTTGAAAACAAAAAACGAATGTTGGAAATCGATAATATAAATACATGGTGATGTATTCTTTTTTTTTTATCATTATTTGAAAGATAACGGTAAATGACTATGCATTGAAAAGAAAGAAAGGTAAAGATTTAAATAATGATCATATCATATATATTATTACAAACATTTGAATCATCATCACTATTCATCATCCATTTAATCATCCATCATCACATATCATCACATCATTCATTCATTTATCACTTATCGTTTGACTACATTATTCACAAATCAAGTCAGATTGGAAAATATGATTAATAAGAAAGGGGGAATAATCATCACTTTTCTATTCGTCTAGATAATTGACAAATTGGGAAGAATCACTGCTTAACATCTTTTTAATTTGGTTTTAAAAAAAAAGCGTCTCAATTCAACTTGGAAAAAGGACAATCACACTGATCATGTCAAAAAAAAAAAGTTGCCGCGTCCTCTTTTTTTTTTATAACAAAACCGAAAATGGTATATCATCAATCAAAAAAAAAAAAAAAAAGAAGCATCATCTACTGTTGTTCAGTTTATTTACTGTTGCTTATTTATCTTTGTGTTCCCCACCTTTCTTTTTTGATAACAAGGGCCAATTGTGACCAATAAGAATCAAGCTTTGGTAGCTTACAAAGAGTGGGATTGGAGAGGAGGAGGAAATAACAATGATTAACTAAGACAGAAAGGTAAGACACTTCATGACTAAGACAATAGTAAAAAAAAGAAAGAACTGATTGTGCCGAAAAAATGGTAGTTCGTTGTAGCGGCAGGTGAATTTATAAATGTACCAAGGAAAAACTTTTTCCTAGGTTTCCGTTGGGCAAAGCATGAATCGGACAGAAGGGGGGAAAAATATTTAAAAATCATAATTCTTTCTTTCTTTCTTTCTTTCTTTTTTTTTTTTCCTTTTATTTATTTATCAATTAAACATACAATAATGGTTCTTGCTAACAACCTTTCTTCATGGCAAAAAGTACAACAACATTATGATACAATTGGAAAGTCATTGGTTATGAAGGAACTCTTCCAAAAAGATCCTGCACGGTTTGAAAAGTTTCATCGTGAATTCCAAGGATCCAAAGACAACAAGATTCTTTTGGATTTCTCAAAGAACATTATAACTGAAGAAACTTTATCACTTTTATTGGACGTCGCCAAAGAAGCCAATGTGTCAGATATGCGTAACAAGATGTTTACTGGTGAACATATTAACTTTACTGAAGATCGTGCGGTTTTACATGTGGCTCTACGTAATATGTCTAATAAACCTATTTGTGATAATGGTCAAGATGTGATGCCTGAAGTACGTGAAGTACTTGCTCATATGAAAGAATTCTCGGAACAAATTCGATCTGGTGCTTGGAAAGGTTATACTGGCAAATCTATTACTGATGTAGTAAATATTGGTATTGGTGGTTCTGACTTGGGTCCTGTGATGGTAACAGAAGCTTTGAAGCACTATGCAAAACCTGGTTTGAACGCGCACTTTGTATCTAATATTGATGGTACTGATTTGGCCGAAACTTTGAAGAAGGTCAATCCTGAAACTACTTTGTTTATTGTGGCTTCCAAGACATTTACTACTCAAGAAACTATTACTAATGCTACTTCTGCAAAGGATTGGTTTTTGGAACATGCAAAGGATGTAAGTGATTATTATTATTTGTTTTCTTTTTTTTTTTTTTTTTTTTTTTTGTTGGGGGTGTGTTCTATATAAGTAGATTGTCGGAGAGTACGTTTTTGTATCACCCGTTATTTTTTTTTTTTTGATGTATCTGTTTCTAAATTATGATTTTTTTAATATAGATCAAACATGTTGCCAAACATTTTGCTGCTTTATCAACCAACACTGAAGCTGTGACCGCATTTGGTATTGATGCAAAGAATATGTTCAAGTTTTGGGATTGGGTTGGAGGAAGATATTCTCTTTGGTCTGCTATTGGTCTTTCTATTGCCATTTATGTTGGTTATGATAACTTTGAACAACTTTTATATGGTGCTTATGATATGGATCAACACTTTTTAAATACTCCTTTTGAACAAAATTTACCTGTTTTGATGGCTGTTATTGGTATTTGGTATAATAATTTCTTTGGTGCTCAAACTCAAGCTCTTCTTCCTTATGATCAATATTTACATCGTTTCCCTGCTTACTTCCAACAAGTAATTTAAAAAAAAAAAAAAAGGATGAAAAAAAAAGAATAAATGAATCTTATTTTATATTTTTTTTTATCATAGGGTGATATGGAATCGAACGGTAAATATGTTTCACGAACGGATGGACAAGTACAAACTTCAACAGGACCTATTATTTGGGGTGAACCTGGTACCAATGCTCAACATTCATTCTATCAATTGATTCATCAAGGTACCAAGATGATTCCTTGTGATTTTATGGCTCCTGTTGAAACACATAATCCTATTGCTGGTGGTAAACAACATGATATTCTTCTTTCCAACTTTTTCGCACAAACCGAAGCATTGATGGTGGGAAAGACCGAAGAACAAGTACGTGCTGAAATGGGTACCAAGGTGGTGGAAAAGATTGTGCCTCACAAGGTATTTACTGGTAATCGTCCTACTAATTCAATCATGTTCCAAAGCCTTACTCCTGCTACTTTGGGTTCTTTGATTGCTCTATACGAACACAAGATTTTTGTTCAAGGTGTGATTTGGGATATTAACTCTTTTGATCAATGGGGTGTGGAACTTGGCAAGCAACTCGCAAAGGTCATCCAACCAGAATTGGCTCAAGGAGGTCTAGTCCATACTCATGATGCTTCTACAAATGGTCTCATCAACTTTTACAAGACTCATAGAAAACAATATTAGTTTGGTATGATTTTTTTTTTATCATTCATTATCATTTTGATCCATACAATCATTTCGAAAATAAATAAAAAATAAATTCTTATTGAATCATTTTTATCAGGAATAGTTAATAATATATATATATATATATCTTTACACTTTATTCAATAATAATTGACGGAATTCAAAGAATAAGATGGCGCAAAAATAGGAAATAAAATATCGTAAGGATAGAAAATAAATGACAAGGTAGAAAAGAGAGAGTTGACGCATAACCAAATAGAGAGTATAAGAAGAAAAAGAACAAGAAGAAAAGGAGTGATAGTAGTTCCATTGAGTATTTTGAATAACAGAAAATAAAATATTATTTAGTCAACATATCCATTTTTTTATATTTATTTATTTTAACTTACCTGTAGGGTAGCATTAAATGCGTCCTCCGAAGAGGCGATAACATATTTTTATATGTTGCTTTACAGTTTGATTATTCACTTTGAATTGGAAACACCAAGAGAGATTTCAAAAAGAAAAAGAAAAAGAGAATGATTAATATACTGTATCATTATTATTATTATTGTTATTGTTATTATTATTATTATTAAAAGAAACTTACTATTAAGCAAGGTACAGAGAGAAGGAAGTCCAATAAGTATATATTAAAAAAAAAAGCAAATGGACCTAAAGGCCCGTCTTGATTCTTGTAAGGTTGTGGTCCAGAAAAAAAAAACTTGTATTTGGTATGGATGGATATAAAGGTCTTGTATGCTTGTAAATTGGTTTAAAAATTGATATCAAAATAGATAAAGAAATTAAAAGAAAAAGAAAAAAAAAAAGGAAAAAAAAGAGAAAGAAGAAACAGAAAAAAAAAGAAAAATAAAATAGCACTTTTTTATCTCTCTCACTTGATCAAAGAATAAAATAAACCCAGCAAAAATATCTCATAAGAAAAAAAAAGAACTATTATGCAAATTTACATTCGTTATCGATCGATCGAATGTCTCAGTTAATGAAAATAAACAAAGAAGACCCCAGTAAATGATTTTTTTTTTTAAAAAAAAAGAAAAAAGAACTATTATGCAAATTTACATCAACATCACAAGATATGAATATTACATTAGTATACCCCTGTCTTAACTGTGAATATGATGATGATACAATATTAAAAATATAGTTCTTTTTTTTTCCAAATATGGCCTGTTGAAAAGAATCAGCTAACAATCAGTCATTAATCATCAATCATCAATCAATGACATACTCTACCGACATCTCTAAAGCGATATCTAAAAAAGTGGTAATGCGACATTCATTTTGGGAAAGTACGATTTTTTATTTTATAACATCACGAAAAGCATTTTCTTGTAACCCGACAAAAAACTTTGAAAACACTGTATTTATTTTTATTTTGATAAAATAAGATTCAAATGGGCGTGAGAAAGTGAGAGAGAGAGAACATAAAGAAAGTCTATTGATATAATAAGATACACTAAGAAGATAACATATATAAAAGGAAGAGGGGGAATGATAAAAAAAATATTTATAAAAGAAAAGTGGACACTATGATCACCTAATCAGTACGCGCTTTCTTTTTGATATACAAACAACCGATATCCAAGAAGCCACAGATTTGTTGGATGACATCTAATGAAAATCGAGTATATTGAAGAACAGATAGACACAAAAGACAAATGACGATATTTCGATGATCCATTGATACAGACCTAAAATTATTATTATTTAGAAGAAGAAAAAAATGATTAGCAAAAAATAAATAATAAAATAAATAAAATCAAAACTTACAAATAACCCATTGTTTCCAAATAAGCATACAAGTAACCCAAAGACAAAAAGCCTAAAACAGGCACATTAGCATAGGGAAAAGGTAATTTGGCAACATGAGCCAAGATCATCAGACCAACTTGAAAACCAAACAATAAACCCAATACAGGAATAAAGAGTGCCAAATGTTCATTCACAAGATCAGGCCACAAGCACATCCATTGATATGTGATATAACACATGCTAATAAAAGGCACCAAACCAAGCATAGCCTTAATGATAGATCCATCATCGACACGCGAATAATCTGTAGGGTGTAACTTGACAGAAATAACATTGATCAACCTAAATATGTAAAAATGGAATAAATATCGTTATATGATGCCATTTCCTTTTTTTTTTTTTTACCCAGTAACAATATTCAAAACAAGAACCAAAGAACCAATTAAAATCAAAATATGATTTAATTGTAAAGAACCGATCAAACGAGTATGAGCACTGTATGACCATTGAAGCAATGGCGCGACTTCTTCCAAACGTAAAGTCCAAACAGCAGGACCAAAATAACCAGACACTAATTGAACACCTACCAACATCAAAACACCTTCCACAGGACCACTAAAATGACCAAGATAAAGAATACCAGTATGATATTCTTCCCATGTTGAAAGATAAAAATTACCTAAACTTGCCACTAAAGAAGCTACTGTCCACCAACTTTGTCCTAAATAAGTAGCAGAAGCCCAAGTCATCACACCCAATGATGTATTGATAGCATCGCATCCTACCATAAACAAAAAAAATATATATATATGAATACCATAGAATGAGAATGAATTTATCACGTGGTGGATCACTTACCATGATCAAATAATTCACCAAGAGGTCCTGAAGCTCCAGTACGTCTTGCTTGTTTACCATCAATAGCATCCAAAGATTGATAAGCAAATAATCCAAAAGCAAAACTATAAAAGACAAAAAAAAAAAAAAAATAAAGATGGATTAGAGAACTTTTTTTTTTTTTTTGTAAATAACCTACGTATAATAAACCCAATTAGGACAAGGTCCCAAATCTGAAGAATAATAAAATAATGTCGCGATATTGACACCAATACACAAAAGACCTAATAGAGTGATCATATTAGGACTAATTTAAAAAAAAAAAAAGGTTAGATATATAATAATCAAAACAAAAAAAAAAAAAAAAGAAACTTACGCTATCCAAAGGGGAAAGATCTTGACTAGATTATTCCAATAAGGAGTAAGAATATATCGAGATATCAAAGATTTATCTACACCTCCATACTTGTATTTGTGCAAGTTACTTAGTGAATTTTCAGGAATATATCCCATTATAATATAATTGACAAGTGACAAAATAATTAAAAAAAAAAAAAAAAGAAAGAAAAAAGAAAAATGAAGAAAAATGAAAAAATGAGGAGGTTGGGGTGAGCCGAGTCAAAAAAAAAAAATATTGAAAATGCCTTTTTTTTTTCTTTTTCTTCTTCTTTTTGTAACCCAGCCACTTTTTTATATCTTGTAGTGTATTTACATTAAAAAATATATATATGATCATCAGATATTGAATCAATACAACTGCACCCATCATCATCATCATTTCTTAGTTTTTTTTTTTTTTTCATTTTTAAATTGAATCCATCACATGCTCTTTTTTTTTTTTTTTTTTTTTTTTGCATGTCCGGTTAAGGTTGTGTGGGGAATGTCAGGACCTTTTTTTTTTTTTTTCTTTTTTTCTCTCTCTCTACCTTTTTTTTTTTTAAGGAAAAATATGTATAAAACTCGTATCACATTTTCTTATTTTAAACCTTTTCTCTACCGATCCTTTTCTTCTTCTTTTTCTTCTTCTTCTTTTACTTCTTCGACAATGACACTAAAAAAGGAACGAGTATGTATCATTGGTTCTGGTAGTAAGTGAACCTATTCTTTTCTTTATTCCACACCCTACTCACTTTATTATATATATAGATTGGGGAACAACCATAGCGAAAATTATTGGTGAAAATGTCCAACGACACAATCAACTATTTGAACAAGAAATACGACAATGGGTATTTGAAGAAGATTATCAAGGTCAACCATTAACGCGGGTGATCAACACAACACGAGAAAATCCAAAGTATCTTGCAGGAATTCGTTTACCTGACAATATTATTGCTGAACCCGATCTTATCAAGGCATGTCGTGATGCAACCGTACTTGTGTTCGTCCTTCCTCATCAATTTGTACGTGGGGTCTGTGATGATCTTGTCACATCTTCGTTTTCTCCTGATACCAAGGCCATCTCATTGATCAAGGGACTGGATATCAAACCGAATGGGATCACTTTATTTTCAGAAGAAATCGGGCGTAGGTTACATCTCAAGGATGTCGCGGTGCTGTCTGGGGCCAACATTGCTTCCGAGGTCGCGCAAGAACATTTCTGTGAAACCACCATTGGTAGTCGAGCCGATGGTCAACTGTTTTATCAACTCTTCAATACCCCTTACTTTAGAGTCAATGTGATTCGTGATTATGTTGGTGTCGAATTATGTGGTGCTTTGAAGAATGTCGTAGCCGTGGCAGCTGGTATATCTGATGGATTAGAGTAAAAAATATATACATATATCTATTAAAAAAAAAAAAGAGTTTTATCCTCACTTTTTTTTTTTTTTTTTTTTTTTTTTTTTTTTTTTTAGTTATGGATCCAATACAAAGGCAGCTTTGATTCGAATTGGATTGATGGAAATGAGGAAATTTGGAAAATCATTTTTTGGTGGTGTAGAGGATAATACTTTTTTTGAATCGTGTGGTGTGGCGGATCTGATGACAACTTGTTCTGGCGGTCGCAATAGAAAAGTGGCCGAAGCTTTTGCAAGAACTGGAAAACCTATGGATGTATTGGAAAAGGAATTACTAAATGGACAGAAACTACAAGGTGTACTCACTGCGGCAGAGGTGTATCAATTTTTGACGGCTAGAAAAATGAACCATGAATTCCCTTTATTTGATGCTGTTTATCGAATCATTTATCAAGGTGCTCCGTTGGATACATTGATCAAACTATAGATTATATCCTCTTTTATTTCATCATATAACTCTTTTTTTTTTTGTTATTATTATTATATATATATCAATAAAATTTATTATATAGAATATGACCTTTTTTTTTTTAAATATAGTCCCATCATCATCAAATTAGAATCAACCATTTATTTATTTAAAATAAAAAAAAAACAAACCGTGGTATACCAAATAGAGAATAAAAAAAAGACAAAGGGGAATATCAACAACTAAACTATACAAATAGATCATTTTTCCTTTCCTTCAGTAAAAATCATTTCCACAATCTTGATACTATTCATCAAATAAAATCGACTATGTTGCCTAAAATGATGCCAAGCTTCCATGATATGTCGATTTTCCACAGAGTCATTTTGTTCCATATCATAATCCAGTGAATCAGAATGATCTAACTGATCACATAATACATAATTTGGGATATAAAGTGGACTGCCTTGAACAGAACTTGAGGTTTTTGAACCAGCAGGGAGATAAGTGGATGGTTTGACCATAATCCTATAGGTATTGATGGTATCCAGTGAGCTACAAGGTGGTAGCTTTAATGAGTAAAAATATTGTCCTTCTAAAGATTGCGTCTTGTTCGGTAAAGGAGTCACAGCAATTGGTGTTAATGGTGTCGAAGGACTTTCCAAAATGGAGGAAAATCGTATTGATGATGATGATGATGTTGGTGAATCGTTTGTCGTGCTACGAGCGGTGTTCCAGATAAAAGTGGGAGATTGTGTTATTTGTAAAGGTAAATTTGTCACAAGAAGAGGTGGCTCAGGTGCCCACTTGGGTTGATCTTGTCCATCATATACATTCACCATCAGAGTCATGGATCGTCCACTTTGATGAGATACCATGACTAAAGAAGCATGCCATTGAGATAAATGTTGTTGAGTCACTAAACCATAGATAGTAGTTGTCAAGATAAGCCATAATCCATATACAAGTAATAAGATCAGTGGTAATGCATAAAATAACCACAAATTGATCATAATGATGCCTTGTTCTTTTTGTCCATCATGTTGTGAAAAGGATTCTGTTGTTGTTGCTGATGTTTTATCCTTGTTGTATGGTTTGTTCATAGCGCAATCATTACTGTCCTCATTGTTAGTTGTTATTAAATCTTCATTTGTTGCTGACCTTGTTGTTGTTGTTGTTGTTGTTGTTGATGATGATGATGGTGATAATGGAAAATGTTGATGAACTGACGAGGGAGTTCGCATGTTATCATCCATTCTTCGACTTTCAGCTTGATCATTGATTGTCTTGAGTAGTTTGGATACAGCCCATCGGTCAATGGCCATAAATTGGAAAATGGTCAAAATATGGTAAGGTGTCGGTGAAATCAGACTTGAAGAGGCCCAGGCATTACCTAAACGTTGTTCGATCAGTATATCTTGTTGAGTTGAATTCTGTCTTGATTTTCCTTTTTGTTGAAAGGACGGTTGACCAATAATGTCCAAGTTGGAAATATCCATCATCTTGATTCGCCATTGGGAAAAGAGTTGTGCAAGCTCGGTACGTCGTATATCAATAGGTCGTTGTTTCAAGTATAAATGTTGATTGGTATCATCATCATCTTCTTCTTCTTCATCATCTACTTGAACATCCAAATCGTATCCTTCGTCATCATAGTCAGCATATATATCAAATGGGGTTATTGTTGTTTGTTTCGTGGAAGATGATGGATGTTGATATTGATTGGACATGGATAAAATAGGCAAGATTGGTATTTGGAGAGCATTGATTTTCCATAAAAGTTCCATTTCCTTGGTGACATCTGTGAAATCTTGAGCATCATGATAAAAATAAACACAAAGATCAATACCATTTGGAGTTCCTTCAGGGAAAACATGACCATTAAACCGTTGATTGGCCCATTGTGGAGGAGGATTCAGAATAGGTTGAAGAGAAGAGATAGGATGATTTGATTGACATTGTGTATAAATATAATGTAATATCAATTCATGATCATGTCGATGTAAATTATTTCCAGTAGTATTATCTGTTGTAAAATCAGCTTCCACAATAGCTACACCATTATCTTCGAATGTCGCAGCATGATCATCTTCTATCATAGTGTCCCCCAAAAAGAGATGCAAAGGAAGAAGGTGATGTTTACGTTCTCGAAATCCATAAGCAGATGGTATATTTGATTGTCCATATTTGATGGAATTTGTTTTTGCTGATGTTGTTGTCGTTGTTGTAGCATCAGAAGGTGGAATTGAAGAAGGTGAGTGGCGAAAAAAGGTTTCTGATAATCCATCTGATAATTTCTTCAAAAAAAGTCGCTTTTCTTCAGCAGAAGTAACACCTAAATACATGACTCGTAAAAAGGAAATATTTTCAAGTTGTTCGATAGCATCCATATGTTGAACAAGTTCGTCATTTTTTCGTAAATAAGATAACATGGTATCGAAAGAGTCTTGAGCATCAACAAGGTGAGGATGTGAATGAGAGGTAGGACAATCGGTCATAGCTTCATATAAAGAACCATAATCAATAGAGTTACTAGAACAAGGTACATTATCACTTGTAGTTGATTCAGTAGTTGTGCTGTAAGGATAACTAGATGGAGTAGAGTGAGGTCGAACCGCAGCAGTGGGGAATGAGAGTGGAGATATAGGAGAAGGAGGTCGTAGAGATGATATTGTTCCCGATAGTTGATCATTTTGTTGCTGAGATTGATGACGATAAGATGTAAAGTGATACGGATTGTTGTGATGATCATGCATCATTTCCCGAACTTGTTGTGAATTCAGCTGTGTCATTTTGGCATCTGTCAAAACAAAAAAGAAAAAAAAAAGTGGTTACAAAATGAGTATCGTTACAAAAATTGCTGCGTAGAGGCACGGGGCTTTTTCCTTTTTATCTTTTATACCTTTGTCTGAATGATAACTATTTTGATTTATAGCCGATGTAATCATTTGAGTCATATGTTCGAATATATATATCTAACTTTCTTGGTGACTATATATAAATAAAGAAATAAAAAATAATAATAAAAAGGTCAGTATCAAAGATATATCGAAATCAAGGAAAACCAATTACAAAAAAAAAAAAAGGACAGTCAAGTGATACAAATGTGATACCTTGTTCAATTGAAAGTTACTTTAACTTTGATAAGAAAGTATATAAAGTGGGTAATTCTTTCTTTATGGTTTGATAATGACGAGTAAGGAATATTTCAATTGAGACGATGAAGTAACTTAAATGATGTTAAATGAGAAAAAAAAAAAAGTAAGTGAGTGATTTAGAGAAGAAGAAGAAAAAAAAAAAAAAAAAAAAAAGTAGGGAAGAAAAACAACAAAAATAAAAACTCCACTGCATCTCTTTTTTTTTTTTTTTTGTTGTAAAAATAAAATAAGAGGGTCATGTGGTCTAACCATCATTCCGAGCCAGACCTATTGCACCAAGCATATCTTTTTTTTTTTCTTCTTTTTTTTACTTACTTGATTATTTCCATATAGTGTTTTTTCATTTCAAGGTAGTGATTTTTTTTTTTTTATTTTTTTTGATTTTCCATCTAATTGAATGACCGCCTTTCTTTTTTGCATGAACAATTGTTGCACACCATAAAGTTATTTAAAAAAAAGGAACAACAAAAAAGAGAAACCTAGAAAATGAGGTTGATTTTTTTTATTTCTCCGCCAATTGTTTCTTTCATTTCCCCTTTTTTTTTATATATATTTCTCTTTCAAACGAATCTATATATATCATGTTTACGTTGAAAGATAGAAATAAAACTACACTTTCTTCTTCTTCTTCTTCTTCTTCTTCAAATAGACAATCTTATATCAAACATACAACTCCTATTGACTATTCTATGTTACCTAAAAAGATTATCAAAGCCAATGCATCTTATACTGCACAACAACCACACGAACTCTCTTTTGAAAAAGGTGATTTTTTTCACGTCATAGGAAGAGAAAATGATCATCACTGGTTTGCTGTCAATAATCCTCTCACTAATCTTAGTGGTTTAGTACCTGTATCTTATTTTGAAGTTGTCGATAAAACTACTCGAACAATGAGTATCATTCAACCCAATATGCCAAAAGAATATTATTATCAACAACAACAACAAAATAATCCAAGTAAAAATTTAAAAAAGAAATTTATTATTTGTTATTAATAAAATAAACTTTTATATATAGATATTACCAATAGACGTTCTTCAACTCAACAACAACATTATTATGGTATTGTACTCTATGACTTTATAGCTGAACGATCTGACGAATTGGGCTGTAAAGCAAATGAAGCTATTATTATTATTGCTCAATCCAACAGTGAATGGTATGTAGCAAAACCTATTGGTCGTCTTGGTGGTCCAGGCTTAATCCCAGTATCCTTTGTACAACTTCACGATGTTATCACTGATCACCCAATTATCTTACCAAAAAATCAACATCGATCATTACCATCATCTTCCTCATCCTCAACAACATCTATATCACCAAGGTCTTCAATCTCTATTCCTCAATTGGATAAATGGAAAAAACAAATACAAAATTACGAAGCATCAAGTATTCTTCTAACAGGTAATGGTAAACAACAACAACAACATATACTTCCCTCTTCCTCTTCGGTTTCAAGCAGTCTTTCAGATCATCATCATCATTACCCTTCATCACAACGACATATTGAAAAAGAACATAAACAAGGACAATCTTCAACAATACCACAAAGATATTCCTATGATCAATCATCATTATTATCAAATCACAGTATGAATCATCAAAAACATCAACAACGATCTCAAAAAACGATATCATACAAATCATCAGCACCTCCATCCTTAACAACAATAACCAGCACAACAGATTCCAATATAGATGCTTCGACATATTCTGAAAGTATGGTCACGGACATTACGGTGAATTCCTTTATCTTGGAAGATGATCAGTATTGGTTTGTTTTGTATGCTACAGTCCACAAAGGAAACCATCGAATTCTGTATCGTACATATAATGGTAAAGTTTAGTATGACGATCATAAAATTACATTATTTATACATATATATAAAGTATTTGACGATTGACTCTTTTTTTTTTTTTTTTTTTTTTTTGCTTTTCATGCATACTTTTACATATAGATTTTTATCATTTCCATGCAAGATTGCTGCAAGATTATCCAATAGAAGCTGGAAAAGAAGGACAAGAAAGGATATTACCATACATGCCTGGGCCTTTGGAAACAGTAGATGACCAAATCACAGGTAAGTCATTACTAGGCAAAATGGAATAAGATGAACATTCTTTTTTTTTTTTAATCTACATTTATATAGAGCAACGACGGGAAGATTTGGACTATTATTGCAAAAAATTACTTACATTACCATCCTATTTATCGAAAAGCGAACTTGTACAAGATCAACTATTTGGATTAAAGAAAGGAGATGTGGAAACAGACTACGCACCAAAAAAAGGTAGCAGAGTGGCTAAAAGCACTAATACTCGACCTCATCAACCAACAACAGAAATATCCAACCTTATCAATAACAATACCATTGAACAAACAACAAAATCATTATACGATAAAGACGGCAAGGAGGCTTATTACAATGGTGGCGTAGGAAAAGTGAAAATCAAGATTGTACACAAGGATGATATATTTGCAATCAAGATGCCAGCCGACTGCACTTTACAAGAATTACAACTACGTGTCAAGGATCGATTGGGTGGTACTTTGGGCAAAATGAAATATAAGGATGATATACATCATAGCAATGGTATATGTTTACCTTTGGAAACAGAACTCGATATGGAAGAAGCATTTATTTTAGCTATTCAACGTGGAAAACTTACTATATTGGTAGATTAGTTCCCTCTCTCTCTTTTTTTTTATTTTATCTTATATCATATTGTATCTATCATTCCCTCTTTATATATATATATATATATTCAAACTTGCATCAAAACATATCATATTCCTCCCTATTCCCTCATCCTCTCTATCCCTTACTTTTTATTATTATTGTACTTTATCTATTTCTCAGTTTATTCTTCTATCTATATATAAGTCATCCGTATTTTTTTTTTTTTTTTTTGTGAAGCAAATAAAAATTAAAAAAAAAAAACCAAGAGCCTTTATTATGATGTGATTGAAAATATGGAATAAGGGTATTCGAATGAAATAATATTATATATTTTGTTATGATGGACTAGTCTATTGATAAAGACTGATCAAGTAGATCTAATAAAAGAACGTCTGTTGACAATTTTCCATTGATCGGATTTGATGGATGGCTTTGAAAAAAAGTTTGGGATAACTTTGGATAAATGTTCCATGGTGGGTTTTGACCGTAACTGAGGAAAAGAATGTTGATGATGAGGAGATGGTTGTTGTTGTTGTTGTTGTTGTTGTTGCTGTTGCCGCAGTCGTGGAGATGAGAAGATTGGCGTTGGTGGTGTATCATCATGCAAAGATGAGGAGGAAGAGGATAAAGATGAATAACAAGGTGTAAAACAATTATCATCATTCATTCTATGTATATCTATTGGATCATCATCGTCATCCGAACCATTATCAGGGGACGAACTGTTGGATGATTCAATATAATCACTGATGTTTGTTTCTATCGCCGTCATGACCTCCTACAATAAGAAGAAAACATATCATCAAAATGAAATGTTGATAGAGATATAATTGTTTGACTTACATTGATATTAAGGATCAAGGCCGATGCCTTTTTTTGATGATGAATGACTTTGGAAGCTGATTCTTTGTGCATACTCTATATATATATATATATATATATATTTATAAAAGGACCTTGTCAATATTTCTTTTTTTCTTTTACTTTTTTTTTTCTTTTTATTTGGCTGACCTCAGCTTCGATGACAGTATGATGGCAAGCGGAAGATTGAGAAAGAGGATGACCATCATCACTATCATCATTAAAATCATTTTGTTTTGCTTGTAATGACAAGATGATACGAGATGCATCGTTCATTTTTTCGACATGAGCAGCAGTAAGAGCATCCATTTGAGCCTTGTGATGAGCTATTAATTGTTGTTCCTGAAATTGATGCTGTTGGATAGTTGTTTGATATAACGATTCATTTTCCAATGCTTTCTTTTTCCATTCAAACATCCTTTTCTTTAAATCACGATTTTCTATCTAATAATAATAAAAAAGAATGTTTCCATTAATATTCATATAGATCAATCGTGATCATCTTGAGAATAATCTTACTTCTTTCTGCACAAGAGCTTCTCTCATTTGATCCAATATTGTTGTGATCGACTCTTTCGAGTTATCCATAGTCATCATTATAAAGCTTAATGTTTTTTTTTTAAAAAAAAAAAAATAAAAGAAAGAAAGAAAGAAAGAATAAATAAAAATAAAAAAGATACAAAAGTGAAAATGAAGATGGTAGACTATGTCCATATAAGGTAACTGTTTTGATTCCGTGGTCCTAAAATGCATTACCGGCAAGACAATAATAAACAACATCATCCTATAAAAAGGGTGTTTTTCAACATATATGCATATACATGACATCAACATCAATAAAAATGTCAAAAAAAAAGAAACATCTCTCTTAAATTAAAAAGTTTCCCTTCTTCTACAATTTTGTTTCTGCTCACTGGTTACTTGATGTCATGTCCTACTGACTTCCAATTTTATTTTCCTTGACAACTACATTCTGCTAGCGATATCACGCCCATCCAGGTCCTAGCATCAGGTCAAACCTGGCTCTTGAGGTCCTCGTACCATTGTGAATTAATTTAGCACTTCATCATGTTCGTTTAAAGGTTCACATTTATAAAAAAAAAAAAAAGATAGTTTTTGATCTCATTTTTGCTAACACTGCCAGTATATAATAGATATATTTATTAAAAAAAGTAAATAGTAAAAAAATAAAAGTATGCATGTAGACAAGATAATAATGTATGATATATGTATATAAGAATGAAGAAAGATGTAAATACTTAATACAAATAAGCGTTGGATAATAGAATTTAACTAACATGATGACCAAGAGACAGGGATCCTTCCATCAACAAAGTTACCCACTTTTCCAAAGACAGCTGGTGAAAGATCTAGGGAGCCTATTAAAACATATCATTTTGACGAAACGAAAAAAAAAAAAAAGTGAGGAACAATTCCAAAAATATAACCTATCTATGACAAAAAGGATGAAACGTGATCATTTTTTTTTCTTACCTCGACCACAGCCAGGACACTTGTTTGATGATCAATAAAAGAAAGAAAAATAGGGAGAGAGAGAAAGAGAGAATATATTAATCAAGATGAGAATGACAGTGCATTTTTTTTTTGTTTACCGTATCTTGAATAGTTGCTTTTGTTGTACCCAAAGGACCAGTAACTTCAATACAAGCACCACAAGCAGGACTTGTATTTGGATCAGCATATCTACCAAAATCGATATGATTCTATTCAGAAAAAAAAAAAAAAAAAGAAATAAAAAAAAAAAAAGAAAAAAAGAAAATAAAAAATGAGTTCATGATGATACTATTTTTGTCAATACTATATCAAAAATGTAACTTACCAATGCGACAATCATATCTTGAGCAGTAAAAGATCCTCCACAAGAAGTAATCCCAACTCCAGGATCTAGATATATCATACAAAAAAGAAAAAGTACTTGAAGAATAAATATTGTTTATCTTCATTTATGGATATTTTTTTTTCCTTACCATAATAGGTACCATCACCTTTGCCACCCATAGCGAAATGACCTTCAGTTGCTGTTCCCCAACTATCACCATCATATTTCGAAGTACCAACCGAAGGAATACCAGCCAATCCACGATATTCAGCATTGTGAAATACACCCAAAGTTCCTAAAACAATAAACATAACCACAAACACACCAGTCATACCACCAGCTACCAATATGGCTTTTCCAAAACGATACTTTTCAATGAACCGAGTCCAGATGGTATTAGGTGATTGTTCTTCCATCCAACGAGGAGTAGCAGTGGTCATGGGTGGAGTGATACGACTAGTATGAGGTGTAGGTGAGTTGTTGTTGGTTATAGAAGGAGACGAAATAGATGTCATAGACGGTGGTGATATTGATGATTGGTGTGTATCGTCAGGGTATGTAGGATGACCAATGGACATAACGTAAAAAAAAAAGATAATATAAAAGAAAAAGGAAGAATGTATAAGTGAGATAAAGATAAAGGAGAGAAGCAAAAAAAAAAAAAAAAAAAGTGGTTAATAGTGAAAGAACGGGAAGGGTAAAACGTGAAAAGTTTAAAAGAACAAAAAAAAAAAAAAAAAAAGGAGGGGGAAAAAAAGAGTACAGTATTTGGATCTTCTTCCCCATTTTTAGGCAACACAAAAGTTCAATAACCGACATTAGTACGACTATCTTTTTTTCTATTGTTACTGTGTATTCACCTTGTTCATTCCAATAACGAGCGTGGAGAGATGATGATGATAATTGGTAAATATAGACATCATTATTATTATTATCTATTATCAATAACAGTAATCAATAAATGAATGCGACTTATCTAAAGGAAAAAAAAAGTATGATTAGTTTGTGAAGTTTCAGATAAGAATCCAAGTTGCATAAAAGAAAATATATTGTGTCTTATCACAAATAAAAGAACTGAGTATAATAATAATTTTTTTTTTATGAATGTAAAAAAAAATTCCTTTATTTGAATGAGATAGGTGGTATTTGTACAAAATAAAAAAAAAAGGGCTAATGCATAAGAAATAATAAATATAAAAGATTATCGTTTTTAAGGATAATGGAATGAAGAAGGGAACGAATAATATATAGATGATAATGATAAAGAAAAATAAAAGATGACGATGATAATGATGGAGGATGATGTATATATATATTTAAAAGAAACTAAACTATTGATTTTTGTTCTTGAATTCCAAAGAATCATCATAAGCAGCAGCAGTAGCTTCACCTTCAGTCATGACTTGCATACCATTCTTAAGAACACCACAACGGAAAGTAGTCAAAAGATTACGAGCACCATTGGAATGATTGTAGATACCACCATTGAATGCTGTGGTCATATCCTTACCGATAGCAGTTGAAATGTACTTGACGCCACCAGGATGTTCATGCATAAAATCTTCCACATCGTATAAAATCCCTTCAATTAAAATCCATTTCTTGTTATCATTAAGAACCAAAGATTGGTATTCTTCCCAGGTATAAACAGGTAAATCTTGAATAGCAGTACCAAACTTCAATTGTCGCTTTTCTGCCAATAATTTCTTTTCCTTCATTTGAATGATACCTTTGTTGACTTCATTAGCGGGGAATGTCTTGAGATCATAGGCCAAACCAACCATAGAACAGAGAGCAATAAGCCATTTTGTTGGGTCATATTGATTCCAAACGATAGCATTACGATAATCTTGAGGGAATTCATGATGGAAATTGTGATAACCTTCACCCATAGTCACAAGTGCTGTAATCCAATGATCACGGGGTGTATGATGATCATCGAATGATGTTTCTCCAATATAATGAGCCAAACTGTTGACACAGAAAGTAGCATGATGTACAAAACAAAGTCGAAGTACAGCAGCATAGAAGTAACCACCCTAAAAGAGAGAAAAAAAAAGTTTTTTTTAGAATATTGATTAACCGATGATAAATGATTTGACGATTCAAGAGGTCGATGATTTCTGATTGCTTTTGTTTGATCGGAACTTACTCTGTAATCACCCCAACCAAATCCAGCTACCAAAGTGGGGAAAATAAAACCAAAGAATAAAGCCAACCAAGGATAATAAGCATGTTGAAGTTTTACTAAAGGATCAGCCTTCAAATCAGCTACGTCAGCATATCCAATACGATTCTTGGGACGAGAAACTAACATCCAGCCGAAATGAGAGAAAAAGAAACCACGATGAGCACTATAAGGGTCCTTGTCAGTATCAGTCCATCTAAATAATAATCAAAAAAAAAAAAGTTAGCGGCTGTCACTTTTTTTTTTGGAATAAATTCAGGTCATCCTTTTTTTTTTTTTTTGTACCTGTGATGAGCACGATGACCTCTTGACCACCAATAAACTGATCCTTCTACAGCACCAGTACCAGCAATAGTAAGAAGAAGTTTAAGGGGAGCAGAAGCACTGTAGGCACGATGAGCATAAAAACGATGATAACCTAATAAAAAAAATAAAATAAAAATATGAATATCATCAATATAATGAATAAAAGTGGATGAAATCAAACATTACCTGCAGTAATACCAAGACCAGTGAAATAATAATAAATGATTGACCAAATCAATGTCTTTGTTTGTAATTCAGTTGTAAGTAAGCCATAAAGACCAATCAAAGGAGTACCAACTAATAAAATGGATTGAGGCCAATTAACAAACTTATACCAGTTCTTCATAGTGACGGGTTCATCGAAAAGTGAAGGCATTTTTGTTTTAGGCAATGGAGGCTTTCTATCCTCAGATTTTGTATAAGCGTATACCATCGTTTCTGTTGACATGATGGTTGATTTTTTTTTTTTGATGAAAAGGAATAAAATGAAAAAGGATGAATGGAATAAAAAAAAAAAAAAAGATAAAGATTAGGTAAAGAAAAGCGAAAGAAAAATATAAAAAGGTGCCTTTATATAAAATAAAAAGCGGATATTAAAAAAGGCAATCCCTAATTTTTTTTTTTTTTACTGAGGAGTGCTATCAAATTGTACTTTATCAACCAATTAGGAAACAGCTGAACCACTTCCGGAATAAAAAATATTGTTGGGTAGTGGGGGTATTGGGGCATGATCCACCAATCAAAATTTAAATTCTATCATCCTGATTCCCGGTGTCAAGAATAATAAAAATGAATGTGAAGATGAAATACTTTTTATAGAATCAGGGATCGTCCATTCTTTGTTTATTTACTATTATCATCATTTTACTTGTTAAACAATTTATTCCTTTTTTCATATGTAAATCTTGGCTAATAGGTTTCAATAAAAAAAAAAAAATGAAATCATTCAACTTAGTATATTTCACCTCAAACCCATCACGTCTGATTTTGAAAAAACATTGTAAAAAGTTATTCAAGCATGAAAAATCTTTTTTTTTCTTTTCTTTTCGATCTTTTTCTTTTTCATTTTTTTTTATTATTCATCATGAAATTAAACAAATTGATATTATTATTCTCAACAATACTTATTATTTTACTAGCATTATGGATAACACCAGTATTAACAGATCAATTTTCATCACCACAAGAAGCAGCTGATTGGACAAAAGACAAGGTCAATGCCTTTTTACACAAGTACAACATTGGGTATGACAAGCAGGATGATGAATCCAAATTGACGAAAAAAGTGCAAGAATATGAAAAGTTGGCAAGAAACAATGCTCATTACTTTGGTACCAAGGTGGATCACTTTATCAATGGTATAAAGATTAATTTGGAACAACAACATGAAATGACTCAACATGATATTGATGGTGTATTGGCTGATGTCCAACATCGCTTACGTCAATTGGAATTACAAGGTCAACTGTCTCGTGACAAGGTGGATCAAGCGATAGATAAAGTACATCATCGTTTAGCAAATAAAAAATCTATCTCTGAAAGCTTTTGGAAAACAATGAAGAATGATGTATCTACTCAATTTGCTGAATCTTATTATCGTCCTACTACTTGGTATCAACGTATCTTTTCATCATCACCATCATCCTCTATGAAATCTGCTGCCGATGATGCCAAAGCCTCTATTGATCAGTGGTTAGATCATGTGCAAGATAGTTTACGTGATCTCAAAGTATTGTCAGAGAATCAAGTAGAAGCGGTCATGGATCAAATTCGGCAAGCCATCACGGATGCTAACATCAACAAAATTGCAAGTAAACATTGGTATGAACGTCTTTATCATCGTTTGGAAAAGAAGGCCAAGTTAACTGAACTACAAGCTGAACAGATCAAGGATACATTGGAACGAGAAATCAATGCTTATAAGGTGTTTGCTTCTGACTATGTCGGTTCCAAAGTTGGACAATCAAAAGCATGGGCTGATGATATCTATCAACAATGTTGTGACATGGCTTCATCTACTAAATCATCCATGGAAGACTGGTTCTATTACATCTTGGCTCGATTCCATGATTCTGTCAAGACATTACAACATCATCAACAACAAATCAAGGATAAAACAGCAGGTGATTGGAAGGATGCTAAAGAATCAGCTATTAAAAAGGAACACGACTTGAAAAGAGACTTTGACAGATATTGGCAAAGTAAACATTTGGAAGCTTATCGTCGTTTGGGTTACTCTGAAGCACAAATTGATCATATGAAAAAATCAATCATCTCCATGCTTTCCAATCAACAATCAGCAGCTCACAGGAATATAGATCAAGCTTTGGACTCATTGAAGCAATATATGCAAAACGCCAGGGTGCAAACTTCATCCCAGATTCAAGCGGAAATTGACAAATTGAAACAACAATTGGATCGTTGGAAATCAAGATTTACTTAAATTTCTTCTCTTTTTTTTTAAAAAAAAAAAAGAAAACAAACATTATTAACAAACAAGAAACTTTAGTTTAGTCTTAGTTTAGTCTTTTTTTTTTTATTATTATTATATTTTGAACAATAAAAAAAAAATCATAATCATCATCATCATGGCAACGTTTCCATAATAAAACTCAGTCAGTTTTTTTTGTGTTATGCAATTTTCCAAAACCTTACTATTGTTTGTTGGTGAAAAAAAAAAAAAAAAAAAAAAAGTCCACTCAGGGTGACCTTCCTAAATTGGATTAAATATGATCGCTCGAAAAAGTGTCAGCATAATGGCCAGATTTGGTAAAGTCATTTTTTAATCGTTTTCTTTACTTTTTTCGTTCAAAAAAAACCATAATCATCTTTCTCCTATTTTTGCAATTTCCCCAAAAGTTGTTGTTGAATATGCAAAAAGAAAAAGTTTTACTTCTATGATTTTTATGATTTTTACTTTAAATCGGAAAATATCCCCTCCCTTTTCCAAATACCGGTTCTTTTCTTTTTTTTTAATTCTTTCATATGAAAATGAAAATAGAATAATTCAACTTTTTTATTTTATAATATCTTTGGCGTGTTTAGTTAACTTGACACATGATAACAAAAATAGAAATACATGATGCTATAGGATGATGATAAAGAATGAATGATATGTAATGATTGATAAGATGGATAGATCATTTTTAATATTGAGAAATCTGTTTTCTGTACCTTTTCTTAGCATGTTCCCTCCAGTAAGAGACGGAAATTGAATTCCACCAATCATCACTTGACCTGCCTCCCTCTCTTTTTTTTTCGTTCACTATTCACCATCTTTTTTTTTTCTCACTGACCATTTTTTTTTTTTTTTTGTTCCGTTCTACTCTTTCCATTAAAATATTTCTTTTTATTATATTGTGATTGATATATATTTATCATGGTGACTCATCAACAAGTAGATGCTGTGAATAGGTTTTTACATACAACATATGGACGTGAACGTACTTGTCGTTTGATTCAATATTTTGCACGGTTTTATGCCTTTTATCTTACTCGTCAAGGTGCACCAAAAGTCACTGTTCAAAGATGGAATGATTTAAAACAACACGTAGGCAATGCTAGAAAATTCTTCCGTTTATTGAAACCCATTGAATTTGCTCAAACTGGTATTAAGGCTTTGGATACAAAAGACGAAGTGTTACGTGCTACTGGTGTTTTGAAACAACTGGGAATGGGGCTTTATTATTCTGCTGAAGTATTTGTTTTGGTAATAAATATAATATATAATATATATATATAATTCATTCATTTTATTTCTTTATTCATCCATCTTTCATAGACCAATGCCATTCAATTTTATCAACCCAAAAATATCAAACAAATCACTGACTTTGGACAAAAATGTTGGCTTTTGGGTATCACTGCCTCACTCCTTTCTGGTATCTACAAACTCAAACTTTTAGGTGTACGATATCAAATGTTAGTAAAGGAACGTACTTATCATGATAATGAAAAGGATGATACTGAACTCAAGAAACGTGAAATGGCATTGGAAAAGTAAGTAGAGTGATTTTGATTATTTGGACAGAAAGAATAATAAAAAAAAAAAGGAGGCGGGAAGATGATTTCATATTAAGGAGATAATGGTATTCATTACTCATTATCTCTTTTTTTTTTTATTATTATTATTATCTTAGGGAACGTCATAGTATCACTTATCAACTTGTACAAGATGCTCTTGATTTCACCATTCCTTCTTCTGCCTTAGGTTGGCTTCCTCTGGATGATGGTATAGTTGGTATTGCTGGGTAAGTTAAATTTTTAATACATATGTAGATAAGCGTACTTATACTTATTTATTTGTTTATTTTAGAATCATCACTTCTTTGATGTGTATGAATACTCAATGGCAAAAATCCAACCCTTAGTTTAGATTCTTTTTTTTCTTTTATTCCTCATTCCCTTCCTATCTTTTTTCTTTTTTTTTTTTCTTACTTTTTGTTATTACCCAATGAATAAACATACGTTGTCTTTTAATGTTGTCTCGTTTTATCTAGTTATATATATATATATATATATTTAATATGGGTTTTGTACTGATTCTTCATGGTTGTTAGGTACGAATAGAAAGCAAGTGGCGGATGCATGTGCAAGATACATTATCACATATGTTCTCTTATGCTGTTTTTATATAGTAACATCAATGGATTTGAAATGATTCAATTTGTTGATTAAAAATAAAATGTTTATTTGATTTTCACTCATACCTATATTCCCCCCTACATCACTTTACTGAAAACCATAACCTTGGGTATAACTGTTTTCAAATGTTTTTTATTTTATTCTTTTTTTTTTTTATGTACGCTACAAATTGGAAAGTAAAGTACATATTTTTATTAAGTCAAATAAAAGAGAATAGTTTCATCTATGTTTGAGTCCAAATTTGGTGCGATGATGATGACTTTTGAGCGAGATAGAAAGGGATAACGACATTGATATTTCATTTACTCTATAACGTAAGTTAAATTTTTAGTAAACGAAATTGAAAGAGAATGAATTCATCTATGTTCAATTCAAATTTGGTACGTTCATGGTTGTTTTTAAGCGAGAAATGAAAAGACAATGTTTGCTTTGCATGAAAGATACAATCAAGTCAAATAGTTATGCTTGTTGAAACTCAGCAAGTGGAGAGCATTTAAGGTGGCTTTTTCCTTCTCATTTCTTTCTTTCATTTTTCCTCCACTTGTCTACATTATCATGGGAAAGTCTAAACGAAGTATTAATCCAGCCGATGCCTTACGTAATTCAGAAAAATAATACTACAATTTCACTTTATATTAAAGTACTAGTCAATCTCATCATTCTTTAACTTTTATTTTTATTTATATAGGTAAAGCGCAGCGGAAACGAGAATTGAAGAAGGTAGGTTTTGCTCATTGATGAAAAGAATAACTAACTAACCATCTTTTTTCAAATTTAGAATAAAGAAATTCGAAAAAGTCAACGGGAAGCTGGACTAGCGAAAAAGGACACTCAAAAACTACGAGTTGATATTTCACGTCTGGAAGGATTAGGTAAATGAATACTCTCTTTCTTTTTTTTTTTTTTTTTTTGTGAAATGACATTGTCAGATTATTTAATAATTGGAACAAATACTTATTTTTAGAACGTGCTGGTACTATTGATAAGAACGGACAAACTCGATTGGCTCAATTACGAGATGAACTGACTCAGATTGAAAAAGCAAAAAAGGTAGATCAAAGAAGAATACATTATGAATAACATACTCATCTTTGTTTTATATATTTATTCATTTATAGGAAGTTAACAAACCTTTATCCAAGTAAGTAAAAAAAAAAAAACAACACATTTCGTTAGAAAAACAAAGGATTTATATTTTTTTTTGTTTTTTACATTGTACATCATTAGAGCACAAGAAGCACTAGCAGCACGACAACAACAACAAACTCATGATTCAAGGAAACTTGTATTTGATCCCAAATCTGGCAAATTTGTCCCTGTGAAAAGAAAAGAATCAAGCAAGGAAACCAAAGAAGCTGGCGATGAACAAGGTGAAGAGAGTTCTGGTTCTTCAAGTGATGAAGATTCTGATTCAAGCATGGATGAATCTGACACTAATATTGAAGGCATTGAGGTGGAAATGGATGAAAACCAAGAAGATAACAAGGAAGTATTGTTAGAGAAAGATATTCCTAATCAACTAGCTGAAACCAAGGACAGTACCGACGAGGAAGATGATGATATACCAATGCCAGAAGGACCACGACCAACTACAGAAACAAAAAATGACGATAAAGAAACAACAATGATGGATTCTGATGATGATATTGATATTCCATTACCACCAGGTCCACCTCCACCAAAACCATTCCAAGATCAACTTTTATCAACAATGAAACCCCCTACACTTACATCTTTTGGAACTGTAAGACCCATACGGCCGCCCCCACCTCCACCTGGTCCTCCTCCTCCTCTTCGATATACAGAAATGCAACGTCCACCTCCACCACCTCATTTACAATATGGTACAATGCGTCCACCAATACCTTTCACACAAAGACCTCCTCCTCCACCACCACCAAGACCATCCTGTAAGCTTAAAAAAAAGAAAAAGAAAGAAAGATTTTTTTTTGGATCTAGATATTAACTCCCTTCTTTTTTTTTTTCTTTTGATTTAGATGGATATCCTACACATCGTCCTATGCAACATCGTCCACCTTATCGACCATATCAAGGACCTCATCAAATTGTACATCGACCTGTATCTGGTCCACCAACAACACCATCTGTACCAAGTAGTACTACAGCAACATCAACTACAGCAACCATCTCGGCTGAACCTCAACTACGTGATCTACAAAAGGAATTGGTAGCATTTGTACCAGCAGCATTACGACGCAAACAAGCACAAGCAAAGAAAACGGAATCTTTACCTAAAGGAGCTCGACCAAACAATATCAACTTGGCACCTGATGTGGAATGACTAGTTTAGAAAAGTTAGGATTGTTTATAGTTTTTGTACTTTATTTATGGAAAATAAAGTGCGGTATACTTTGACAAAATTGAATTATAGGAGACAATGACCAGGGGCGTTATATAAGACATCATGGAAAGGGACACAAAAAAAAAGAAAAATTAATATATGTATTTGTTACGGGATTCGGGAAAAGAAAAAGAGGGACAAGGGATTAAGAAGAAGAAGAAGAAACAGCACATCGTTTATACATGATCATCAAACATCACATTGGATAATATACTATAGGACTGTACGATCAAGGGGAATTTTTTTTTTTTATCCAATCGACAATTTCAAAAAGAATAAACAACTATTTATTTCTACACAATAAAAAGGGAGAAGGTATGTATAGTTCAAAAAAGAAATAATCTTCGGTGTCAAGATAAAAAATGGATCATAACATGAAGAAGAAAAAGGATATATACATTTCATATATAAACAGTAGACAAGGAGATGATGGAAGGGGTGAAAACAATATGTATATATAAAATAGAGAGAGAGTGTGTGTGTGTGAAGGAAAGTACAAGGATAATATATATATAATAGAAAAAAAAAAAGTAGGGAGAAGGTAAACTGGATATATATATATTAATATATTGACACCGGACAAGGGGATAGAGATAGAGGGACAGGACCAGAAAAGAGTAATGATACCATTGGAGACGTAAGATATATATATATATAAAGATAAGGTGAATAGAAGAATAATAGGACTAACAAGGATAAGAAGGATGAAGAAGGAGAAGAAGAGAAAGAAGAAGAAGAAGAAAAAAAATAAAAGGATAGGTGATGTTCCGAAATGAAGCCATCCATCCATCCATTCATTCAATCATTCATTCAATAAGGGTTTCCCTCCTTTTTTTCATGCTTCCGTCAGGTCAGAGATGTTTTTATCTACATATATTTAAAAAAAAAAAGAATTCAAGTTAGTAAAAAAAAAAAAAAAAAAAAAAAAAAAAGAAAGGGATGTTTTTACCTTGTCTTTGTCTTCTTCTTCTTCGTCTTCTTGCTTTGATACCAGGATAATGATGATTCAATTTGGCCAAGATGACAGGAAGAGTACGACGACGAGCATTGATGAACCAATTACTGATTTGATTCAAAGTCAAATGGGTTTCACTTTTGAGTTGAAGCTTCTCTTCTTCGGTAGGATAAGGATTTCTACAATGTTCCAATAGCCATTTTTTGAGGATGGCAGTGACAGGCTTTGGGAGATTTCCTCTTCGTCGTTTGTCTAAATGATCCAAGCAAAGAGTATCCATATGAAGTTGATAATGATGAAGTTCATTTTCGTTATCGATATGATCATTTGTAATAGGATGGAATGAGACTTTTTTCTTGTATAAGGAGGAAGAAGGAGGAGGAGGAGATGAGGATGATGATTTTTGTACATGATGATGATGATGATGAGATGAAGAAGAAGACGAAGAAGAGGAGGAGGATGCTGAAGAACAATTTGTAGATATAGTGGAGGTAGAGGAAGAAGAGGTAGATGTAGTAGGAGATATAATAGGCTGATCAGTATAAAGTGAATCCATTGATGAAGAAGGAGGTAAATGTATAGGCGGTAATGATTTGTTATTCCATTGTTGAGTACTTGAGAGAAGTTCTGACCAAATCTTACTATTGACCTTTAACATATCATTGATCCTTTGTTTGTGTGTTTCCAAATGGTGATCCATTCCATTATTTATTTTTGAAGAGTAAGGAAGGAACTGATCGTTACATAGATTGTTGTTGGATGAATAATATGAATGGCGTTGATCTTGTGGAGATGAAGGAGAAAAGGAGAAAGGATGATCGTGAAATAATATGATAGGTCGAAATAATCGAATCTATTAAAATAATAATAATAATAAAAAAAGATCATTTTATTATTTTTTGAATATAGATAATATAAAAAAAAAGTCATTCCTTTTTTTTACCTGATGTTCAGTAAAAGTATCCATCAATAAAATATTTCTTTTGAAAAAAAAAGGTTTGATACAGTAAATATAAAAAAAAGAAAAGAAAAGAAAAGAAAAAAAGAAAAGTGATGAGAAGAAGAAAGAAAAGAGATGGGAAATTGAATTACCGAATCTATCCAATTTATAGGAACTTGACTTGTTTCTTTTTTGGTACTATTCTTATTTGATATATGTTTCGAAAAAGAAAAAAAAAAAAAAGAAGAGGTTCGTGCATATCCAATTTGAGATTGACAAGGATGAACAACAAAAAAAAAAAAAAAAAAAAAAAGAAAATCGAAATGTTACACGTTTTTTTTTTATATATATATATCATTATATATCTAAATATATATCTATCTATCTATTTTATGTTATGTTCTCATTTTTGTTCTTGTCTTTATTATTATTATAATCAATGATATTATAAATGATAATATATTAAATATATATATATATATATATAATTTCTTTTATACTATGTCTATGAACGTGTTTTATCAACTAGGGGTTATGTCCTGTCATTATATTTGATTCACGTTGAGGTCCTGAATCGGTAGACCAATCTGCATAATTTCAATTTCGAACATTTATATTCCGATCACCCCCAAAAAAAGTATATCCTTTAGTATTATTATTGTTGTTGTTGTGTGCCCTAAACAAAGTTGGAAATACAATTCTTTTCGTGATCAAAATGAATGACTTCATTTTTAAAAAAAAAGATTCCCCACACTTTATTTCCCAAACTGATAACATCATCATCATCTATTACCTATCATCATTACTTTCATTCATTCTTGATTCATCATGTTTTTATTATTAACAATGTAACTTATTTTTAATACCAGATCAAAAAAAAAAAAAAAGAGTAAAAAAAAAAAAAACGCCTATCAATAAATTGTCTACATACAAAATAAAAAAAAAACAATAGCTATACATATATATATATATATATTCTTTTTGGACAGAAAGGTGTTTGTGTATGACAACACAACATTCTGTTTATTTTAGATCTAGTATGAAACTATTTTAGTGGGAGGCGATGATTGAATGAGTTTGATAGATGATTCTTTTTTGATCTTCTGTTCTTCTAGGCTTGATTAGGATATTGTGTTACTATTTACTGAAAATTCTTTTTTGGAGAAAAACGTGGTAAATTTTTTTTTATTTCAATGATGATGAGGCTTTTTTTTTTGATTATGATCATCAGTTCCAAAAAAATGATTTTCGTTATTTGTTCTTAATTTGGTAATGGGTTCCCCCGCGTAGAATCCTTCTCCTACTTTTATGATCATCCACCCCCTTTCTTTCTTTTTACAAACTTTTCCCGAGTGAATTCAAAATTGAGGAGGAGGTTTCTTTTTTTTTTTTTTTTTTTTTTTTTTTTTTACCATAAGGACATACATCAAATAATAAAAAAATAGATTGTTAAATGTAAATCATTTTTTCATATTGAAAGTTATCAAAACGATCATCTTTGTTTTTGTTTATCATTCTATTTTTGCATGGGGGAGAACAAAAGATATCAATCATTCGCCATCATCACGTGTGTCATCTATATATTATAGTTTGATTAGTAGCCACAATGAAAGGCTAGATTCTTTTTCCGCAGTATTATTATTATTATTTTCTTTCTCAATGCGCACAGTCGTACTTCTTTTTTTTTTTTTTTACTCATCATGATGATGTCGTTGCTGCGGTAATTTGAAATATATACAGGTATACAACATTATCATCTATCTACTTTTAATATCATCTTTCATTATATATCTATGATGATGTCTTTTATAATCGACTGTTTCACTCTGATTTGTACTTTAATGACTTTTGCCTACTACCACTCTCATATCATGGAATTTTATTGGACCATCATTTACAATGTCCGCCCAGGACTTGATTTTAAGCAAGATAGGCGACGACGATGGAGTTGCCTCTTCTTCCTCCTTCTCCCAACTTGTCACCAACCATCAGTCCACCCTTCATCATATCCAACTTTGTTATAAAGACTTCTCCATTCATTTATCGAAATTAGTTTTATATTCTTTTACCGATATTTTATCTCATCAGTCTCATGTGTTCATTACCACCAACCTCAATGTATTTTCTACCACTACCCGTTCTTCTTTGATATCTACTTTACCATCTTCAACTCCTATATCTTTTTCTAATCTACAATTATACCCTGGAGCTCTTCGTATATTGAACACGCCGAATGCTGGTGGATCTAGTATTTGGTCAGAAACCTTATCTGCCGAATTACTCTATCGTCTTATAGGTGCCACTGTATTACTGACTGAAATGGAACTAGTTTATTGCCGTCGAGGATCCCCTATCACTGATTATGCCTGTCAAGTCGTTTCTGATGGTAAAATTATTACGTTAGGAGTATCTGTCACGCGTGCCATGGCTTATCGTCGTCCATTCAATAAAACCGATGCTCTGTCTCTACTCACAAAGAAACTCAAAGGAATCAATGTATCCTCTTCCACCGTTGTCAACTGCTCTTTTGATCGTCAAATCTTACACGTCTGGTGTCAAAGTGGTCGTGATGCTGCCATTGTTAAACGTACCTGGTCCAAACTTCCTAGTCTTTTACGATCCAATACTTTGGTTTTAGTCTCCACCATCAATTCTTCTCATTTGTTTTTTGAACCCCAACATGACAATAGAAGTATGTTGAAAGAAAAGAAAAAAGTGATGCCCTTCAAGAAATGGTTTTAGTTTAGTGAATGGTTTGTCAAAAATAAAAAAAAAAAACTTTATGTCACCGGTGTTTGAATCTTTTTTTTTTTTTTTTTGGAATGTGTTTTTTGCAAGAAACTTGTTTTCTCTTTTTACTTTCTTTATTTACAAATACATTCAATTTACTTATCTCTTATAGATTCTGGTATGGGAAAAAGGAAAAGAACCAAGGAACTCAGGCCATGGTGTTGGTATTGTGAACGTGATTTTGAAAGTCTTTCTGTGTTGATCGAACATCAAAAGGTAAGTTAAGGACAATCTAACAAACAAAGACATTCGTTTCTTTTTTTTTTTTTTTTTTTTTTTTTTTTACAAGTCATTCACATTTTTTTTTATACTTTTCATTTGATATTCTTAGGCCAAACATTTCAAGTGCTCTCAATGTCGACGTACATGGTGTAAGTGACAAGAACAAATATATGTAATAACAATAACTGATATTATAGATCTTATATATTGTGGATAGATTCAATTCGTAAATTGATTGTACATGCCATGTCACAACATGATATGAATATAATAAGGTAAAAAGGTGAATGTAAAATATATATATATATATATATATATATATATAGAATTGTAATAATTACTCATATTACTCTTATATATTATTTCTAATTATCTTTCGTGTTATAGTGTCGCGAATGCTTTACCACATAGAACAAACCAAATTCATCTAGAAATCATCGGCATGGACGGAATTCCGGAAGACGACTTGTATGCTCATGAAAAACAGGTTCTTGGAACCCCTGAATCAAAAAAACCAAAAGACTATGCTTATGGTGAGCTTAGTGAAGAACAACTTCGATCGCAGGTTGCACAATTCCAAGCCGAATCAGCAATGATACCAACAACAATAGATTCATCGGTACATTATTCTGGAGATGATCCCTACTACTACGTTAATCAATCTTACTTTCCACCACAATCTTACAATTTTAATGACAATTTGGCATATCCTCATTATAATAGGTAACTTTTTTTTTTTATTATCTTATCTTGATCATATTGATGTTCTTATTATGTTATTTTATGATAGTACTTATGATGGTTACTCTTCTTGGCACAATTATCCTTCTTCAACAGATGATGCAACATCAATGAATCATCATTCTAAAGTGAAAACAACTCCTTCAACAATATCATCTAATACATCACAACCTATTACATCAACATCAACAGCAGAAGCAACAATAAAATCAACACTTCCAAAACATGATTTAAGGATATCAACTTTATCTTCTCCTGTGCAACCAAGGTCCCGTGATAATTTGACATTGAAAAGAGCAGCAACTCAATCCATTCTAGTTTACCAACATGAGGATCTGTCTCCGGTAAAACAAAACAAAAGAAAAAAAATAGGGTTTTATTATGTTGTTAACCAATCAAACTCATTTTTTTTTTATTTCTATATAGGATGAATTACGGGCAAACTACATGAAATCAAATCTCATTGATTAGAATATATCATCCTTTTTTTTTTTTTTTTGTTTTATTGAAATAAATAGATTCCTTTTTTTTTTTGTTACTATTCTATTTTGGTATTATTATTTTTTTTTCAATTGGTTCAACCAGTGTGCAGGATTACACCATTGAAGGAAATCCCAATTCATTTCAAAAAGATTGATTACGCGGTATTTAAAAAAAAACTTTTTTTTTTTTGTCTTTCACCCGTTTTCTGTTCTCTCCCTCTTTTTCTTCCCATTTTTATTTTTAATTTTTCTCTTTCAAAAGTTTTATCTTTATTTCCCTTTTCTTTGTCAACTATCTAACATATTCACATTCCTACTATTTTCCCAATGAAAAGACCGAATAAAAAGATCATTGCAGTGGAACTTGATCAAATTCTCGTGCGAACCTTGGATACCTTTTTGGCCTGGCATAATGATACTTACAATACTGATATGACCATGACGGATGTGTACTACAACTGTACGAGAGATATGACTCGGGTGTTTGGTGGGACAAAAGAAGAAGGTTGTGCCAAACTACGTGAATTCTATGACTCAACTGCGTTCCATGATATGGTACCATTGAAGGATAATGACGACGATAGTTCTGGTAGCGATGACAATACTCAACAACAACAACAACAACAATGGGGTGCTTTGGAAGTATTACAAGCTCTCAAGAAACGAAAATGGGTATTGGTGATTGTAACTTATCGTCCTCAATTTACTCAAGCAACTACTCAACGATTTATTGATCGTTATTATCCAGGTACGTCACTAAAAAAAAAAAAAAAAAAAAAAAAAAAAATTGATTCTGACCTTTATTTATTTATCTTAGGTCTTTTCGATGGAATATATTATTGTAATCAAGGACTTTCCGTAGCAGATCAATTAGATTATGTACCTAAACCTATTGCTATCATGTGTCAAGAAATTGGTGCAGATTATCTTATTGATGACACCCTGGAACATTGTTTGGATTGCAGCATGCTGGATATGACGCTCTTACTGTATGATCATCATGGTAAATACACCTACAACCATATTGTACCTAATAAACGACCAAGATATGGCCGACCCACTTTGACTTCCACATCCAAACAACTTTACCAACGTTCCGCTAATTGTACTTCCACTTTACCCAAAAATGTGATCCGTGTGAAATCTTGGAAGGATATTTTGGATCAATTCCCTATGCCAACCAGTCCCTTACGGTTTTGTCACTATCCTATATCATCCACCACTAATCAAAGATCAAGGCTAAAAACAACAACAACATCAACTACTACTCAGGTGACTTCTTGGTCCACGGGCAAAAGACATTATGATCAACTCTACTTACCGGATGATATGAATAATGACGATAATAATGACTACCATAGCGATGGTAACGACGACAACATTGATGATGATGATGATGATGATCAAGATGATGAAGAACAAGAAGATGAAGATGATGATGATGACTATCGATCTACTTGGAGTGACCGTGATGCTATTGCCGTTTGAAACCTCATTACTTTTGTTTGTACCTCCTCGTTTAGTTTAGTTTTTGCATACTTTGCCACAAAAGATTGATTCTATTGTTTTTCATACCCCCTTCTCTTCTTTCTTTACTATTATGATTTTTCTTTTATATTCAACTCCTACTTTTTTTTTCCCCCAACCCCCTTTTGAATTCCTAGTTTGGTGTAGACACTTATACAAAAATTTTTTTTTACCAATAAAAAAAGAAAATATGCATTTTGAAATGCCGCGAATTTTATCCGATGTATCTCCATGAAATGTGCCAAATATGGTTACTCACTTGTCATACTATTCTTTATAATTCATGATGATAAAGTTTCAACAACAAAAAAAAAAAAAAAAAAAAGACAATGTGTATTTTTTTTTTATTCAATCTAAATGAACTAAGTAACTAACCAGTAGCCTCTATATCCTTCCAACGTAAAAAAGATTGTTGTTTAACATCCATCCATTTCCATTCCCGCCAAGAATCATTAGGCCATTGCACCAGATTGTCATGATTCACACAAAGAAATCCTTCGAGCCCATTCCATTGTTGTATGGCTTGTTCCAAATCCTTGCTATGAGTTTGTTGTAACTTGAAAGCTACATATTGGATGGCTGGATACTGATGAGCTAAATGAACAATATCAGTCGTCGTGAAGGGTTCAGTTAAACCATCCAACAAAAGCACCTCCAATTGTTTATTTTTCTGACCAGTGCAAAGATAGTCAATAAAAGCTTGTTGTTGTCGTTTCCATGCATCCGTCCAATGTCGTGTCCCCCGTCGACCTCCATGTAATTCAAACCATGTCATTGTCGTTTTCCAAGTATCCAAAGCCTGTATCAATGTTGTAAACTTTATCCTTGTCCAACCGCGTTGTGTGTGACCATCATCATCATCATTGCCAGTAGGATGCACTAGGCCAACAGAAAGATGAGTTAGAGAAGGACATCGATGTATCAATGTTTTCAATGCATCATCCGTCATAGAATCCGGGCAATCAAATCGAGTCAAGTCATATCCAGAAATATGTGACACCACATGATTCATCACCAAACGAGGTATCATCATTCTTTTGAAGCCTATCCAATCTAATCTTGTTAAATCCAAATCCATCAACCCTTGAAAACTCGTATCCGTTTTTTGTTTCTTTGATATACCATCAGTCACTATACAAGAGTCCAAGACAAAGGTGATCAACCGTTGTTGTTGTTGTTGTTGTTGTATTTGTATCCATAATTCTTCATCCAAGTCGCATCGTAAAAGTGTCATATGTTGAATCATCCGACAAGATTGTAAGCATATTTGAATCAATGGCGAGCTCATTGAATCTAACCGCACCGTGTGAGCATTGGCACATAGAATCATCATGGGGACGAATAATGAGGTTTTGCGTGTATCATTCCAGTGAACATGACCTAATTTCAACGTTTCCAGAATGGGTAATTTTGATATCGTGCTGTATCGTCTCGAAGATTGGAAGAACAAGGGATTCATGTTGAGATTCAGGTGTCGTAGGCGCTTGCAACCATAGCGAAGTACTCGATGATGCAAAAAACAAGAAGCATCTATTCCAGTAGCACCAGCCAGAGAGAGTTTTTCCAATTGTGAACATTGTAACAAGATATTGATCATAGCATCATTATTGATTGTAAAGCAGTTGTACAGATTGAGTGAACGTAATTGTTGACAATCGATGGTAAAGTCCAATAAAAGTGTATTCCGTAACACATCCTTTCTTTGTAACATGGATAAATCCAAAGAATGTACGAATGAAGCATAATTGATTCTAGAGTAAAAACTTTGGTTGAGGTTATGTTGTCGTTGACGTCGCGTTTGATTAAATAGATTGTTGCAGGCTTCTAGTCTTTTGATATCAGTGAATATCAAATCGTGATAAACCATAGCTGCTGTTGCAAAAAGCCAATCATGATTGGGTGGTTCTAAGAGAAGATGATGAAGTTCATCATGTTGTAAAAAGGAAAGAATATAATGAATTAATTCCAAAGGAAGAGGAGGAGAAGAAGGCATTGAAAGAAAAAAAAAAAAAAAAAAAAAAGAGGAAGATTTTTTTGACTTTCCGCTTGCTTTTACCTAATGCGAAAAAAAAAAAAAAAAAACTTTTTTTTTTGTTGATTGATTTTTTCCAAACATTCTTTTGATTGGATAGACATTTTTCCTTGAGTTAGTGAGGGGAAAGTATGGATTCAATACCCGATGGCGTCAAAGCTTTCATAGGGACCAATTGGGATGAAAGATCAATGGATTTGTCATTTTGTTGATCCACATATAATGATTTGACTCACCGATCTACACAAATTAGGTCCCATCTTTTTTTTTTTTTTTTTTTAATAAACAAACAAAAAAAGATTATATTACAATTAAGAAAAAAAAAAACAACATTTTTATGATGATGATGATGATGATGATTAGTATATAGAAATAAATTAAAAAAGAAAAAGGTAGATTTCTGAAATGACGTTATCAAATAACGCAATAGTATAGATCTGGCGATGTGTTCTCTTCGATTTCCTTTATGCTTGGAGAAATCGGAGTTAAAATGGGCCAATAGGAAGAAAACAAAATTGTGTGCTTTAGCTTATATTGTTCGCCACCTTCACAACTTTCATCTTTTTTTTTTTCTCTTTCTTTTACTTTTTTTTTTTTCTTTGTACTTCCTTCATTGTATTGTTTTCTTTTTTTTTGACATTTTCTCCCTCCTCTTATTGTTTTTGTACATATTTACTTTTTATTTTTTTTTTTTATCTCTCTAACAAAGAAAGAAAGAAAAAAAAAAACTATATAGACTTTTTCTTTTCACTTTATTATTACAATATATTCCTTCATTCTTTCTCTTACTTCCTTGTAATATATCATGTCTCGCTTTTTGAATGGTGAACAAGCAAGTGCATTGGCTGCTCAAGCTTTTAGTGAACAAGTCTATACTTCACAAAAACAATTCAACAACACGAATGTATGGGGTCAAACTATCAAAGTCAAGGTACAGGTTGGTTCTGATCCTACTTCTTATTTAGCTCAAGCTGCTTCTGAACGTATTTTGGCTTCAGCTTTGGTTTCTTCTTCTAATCTTATCGGTGCCATTCCTCATCTTTACAAGTTATCTCATGTTGGTGGTGCTGGTACTGTCATTCATGTCTCTGCTGAAAAAGATACCAAGTCTTCTTCCTTTGCTGATTTCTCCAATGTCATGGCTGTACGTCAAAGTGGTCTGGCTTTGTTGACTTCCTCTACTGTTCAAGAAGCTTATGATTTGGCTCTCATTGCTCACGTTGCTTCAGTTCGTTCCAAAACTGCCTTTTTACATTTCTTTGATAGCAAACGTGTGGCTCATGAATACACTAATGTGGATACTGTGTCTGTGGAAACTTTGAACAAATTCTTTAGTTTGGAACAAGTGGAAGAATTCAAATCATCCGTCATCGATCAAAATCAACAATCTACTGCTTATTTGAAATATCAACAACAACAACAACAAGAAGAAAAGGTGGATGTAGCTACTATTGTACAACAAACCATGGATGAATTCGGTACATTGACAGGACGTAGATATACCAATGCAGGTTATGTGGGTCATGCTGAAGCAGAACAAGTGATTGTGGCTATGGGTGCTGGTGCTTCTGTGGTGGAACATGTGGTCAAGTCTTTGAAACAAAAAGTTGGTCTTCTCAAAATTCATCTTTATCGTCCTTTGGATGATTTAGTGGATTTGGTACCCAAATCTGTGAAACGCTTGATTGTATTAGAACCTTCTCAAGATCTGACTAGTACTTGGAATCCTCTCTTTTTAGATATTGCTGCTGGTTTTATTCAACATGATCATATCGATTTCTCAAGTGGTCAATATGGGGTTACTGCCAATGATGTATCTCCTTCTTCTATTCATGGTGTTTTTGCTGCTGCTGAAAAAAGTTTACCTCGTCGTTTTGTCGTGGACAATAAGGATGTGATTACTCCTGTGGCTACATCGGGTGTGGTGGCTGCAAATGTACATCAATTGGTGGTAGTGGGAAATGAACAATTAGCTCATTCGTTTGCTCAAGAATTCGTTTCTCAACAAGTCTATACTCTTGGTTCTGTGTCTCATGTTCGTGTTTCTTCTGTCAAGCAAACTGGTTTGATCCCTTCTTTGATTGATGATGCTCAAGTGGTGGTACTTCTTGGTGGTGATGATAGTGATGCTATTCAAGCCGTCGGTCGTCTTCATCAAAATGGTATAGTTGTGGTTTCTTCTGTGGATGGATTGAGAAATGGTGTCAAGCGTGCTATTGCTGATAAACAAGCATCTGTAGCTATTTATCAACAAGATGTTTCATTATTGGATCAAAAGCATATTGTTAAGGTTCCTTTACCTGAATGGTCTACTCTTCCCCAAGATGCTGTTATATCTACTACTACTACTACTTCTGTACCTACTCCTGTTGTTGATGTATCTGCAGTGGAAACTCCTTATATCAAGATGTTAGGTCAAGCCTTTGGTGATCGTTTGGATATCGTCAATGCCGTGAATACCTCTTCTGTCTGGGGTCCTAATGTGAATCAACCTGAAGCATCCACTCCTGAATATGGTTATGGTAAAGTGCTCTACAATGTTCAACAACGTGCGCGCTTTATTGAATCAGTGGAAAAATTAGTCAAGAGTGCTTCATTATCTGTGGATCATCAAAAGGCTTTGTCTCAATGGTTATTGGTAGTCAAGTCTCCTTCTTCCAAAGTATCTCAAATCAATACGGCTGCTGATGCTGTAATAACTGCTTTTGGTGACGATGGTCTTTCTGGTCTTGTTTCTGTTGGTGATGTCAAGGATCATTTGTATGTCAAATCCAACTGGTTGATTGGTTCTGATACTTGGGCTTATGATCTTGGTCAATCTGGTGTACATCATGTCATTGCTGGTGGAGAAAATGTCAATATGTTGATTGTGGATACACAAAACTACTCATCTACTGTTGAACGTGATCAACGCAAGAAGGATATTGGATTGTATGCAATGAATTTTGGTAACGTCTATGTGGCATCTGTGGCTGTTTATTCTTCTTATACTGGTGTATTACATGCTCTTATGGAAGCTGATGCTTATCAAGGTCCTTCTATTGTGTTGGCTTATCTTCCTACTGTTGATAATCAAGTGGATCCTATTGCATCTCTCAAGGAAACTAAGATTTGTGTGGATAATGGATCATGGCCTTTGTATCGATGGAACCCTGCTTTGGATGCTCAAGGAAAGGAACCTTTCAGTTTGGATTCTCAACGCATCAAGAAGGATTTGGAAAAATTCTTGGAAAGAGAAAATCATTTCTCCCAAATTGTGGCTCAACATCCTGATTTGAACAAAATCCTTGTCAGTTCTTTGGAATCTGTAAGTTTTTTTTTTTTTTTTTTTTTTTTTTTTTTTTTTTTTTTGAATGGAAAAATCAGATGAACTTATTCTTTTTTTTTTTTTTTTTTTTTTTTTTTTAGGATGTCAAACAACGTCATGATGAATTGAAACGCAAAGCTCGTGATGATTATGCCAAACTTCTTTCTGGACTAGGTGGTGCCAATGGACCTCCTTTGACTGTATTATTTGGATCTGATAATGGTAATGCTGAAGGTGTGGCCAAGAAAATCGCTACTCGTGCCAAATCTCGGGGTCTCAAGGTCAAGTTGATGGCTATGGATGATTATGCTGATATTCAAGAACTTGGTGGTGAAACCAACTTGGTGATTGTATGTTCTACTGCTGGTCAAGGTGAATTACCCTCCAATGGTCGTGAATTCTGGAAGGCTTTGAATGGTTTGAATGCTGGTGAAATCCATTTGGCTGATTTGTCCTATACTATCTTTGGTATGGGTGATAGTCATTACTGGCCTCGTGAAGAAGATGCTATGTTTTACAATCGACCTGGTAAACTCTTGGATGCCAAATTGGAACTTCTTGGTGCAAACCGTTTGGTGGAACTTGGATTGGGTGATGATCAAGATGCTGATGGTTTTGAAACTGGATTAAGTGTATGGGAACCTTTGATGTGGAAGGCTTTAGGTGTGAAGGATGTCGGTGCTGATGATGATGAACCCAAGTTGACGGACGACCAAATGAAGATCAATTCCAATTATTTGCGTGGTACTATTGCTGAAGATTTGCGTGATGAATCTACTGGTGCTATCTCTGAAATCAATGGCAAACTTCTCAAATTCCATGGTTCTTATGGTCAAGATGATCGTGATATTCGTGAAGAACGCAAGAAACAAGGATTGGAAAAAGCATATAGTTTTATGATTCGTGTTCGTATGCCTGGTGGTGTATCTACTCCTGAGCAATGGTTAGTTATGGACAAACTTGCTGATGATTATGCCAATGGTGCAATCAAGCTTACTACCCGTCAAGCTTTCCAATTACATGGTATCCTCAAAAAGAACTTACGGTCTACTATTCGCGGTATCAATCATTCTTTACTCAGTACTTTGGCTGCTTGTGGTGATGTCAACCGAAACATCATGGTGACTCCTGTGACTGAAATCCCTGAAGTTCATGAACAAGTTCAACAATTCAGTAATGAAATGATGCTTCATTTGGCTCCCAAGACAAGTGCTTATCACGAAATTTGGTTAGCGGATGAATTGGTGGCTGGACATGCTGTACAAGATTATGAACCTATCTATGGTCCTACTTACTTACCTCGGAAATTCAAGATTGTGGTGGCGGTTCCTCCCAATAATGATGTGGATATTTATGCTCATGATCTTGGATTCATCGCCATTGTGGAAGGCAAGAAGGTGGTTGGTTATAATGTGACAGTAGGTGGTGGTATGGGTATGACACATGGCAACAAAAAGACTTATCCTCGTCCTGCTACTATGTTTGGTTATATTCCTGCTGAAGCTGCAATCAAGGTATCTGAAGCTGTGATGACGACTCAACGTGATTATGGTGATCGTACCAACCGCAAACATGCCCGTCTCAAGTATACAATCGATGATCATGGTGTGGAATTCTTCAAATCCGAAGTGGAAAAGAGAAGTGGCTATACATTTGAACCTGCTCGTGCATTTGAATTCAAGGACAATGCGGATCGCTATGGCTGGACCAAGGGTGTGGGTGATAAGTGGCACTTTTGTATGTTTGTTGAAAATGGCAAGATCAAGGATTTCCCTGATTTCCAAGTACGTACCGGTTTACGTGAATTGGCCAAATGGCATAAAGGTGAATTCCGTCTGTCTCCTAATCAACACTTGGTGATTGCAAATGTACCTGAAGCTGATTTGGAAAAAACAAAACAACACTTGATCAAGTACAAGATGGATAATCTCTCTTTCACTGGTTTACGATTGAATGCTATGGCTTGTGTGGCATTACCTACTTGTGGTTTGGCCATGGCTGAATCTGAACGTTATCTCCCTACCTTGGTGGGTCACTTGGAACATGCTATTGAAGAAGCTGGATTACATGATGATGCTATTACGATTCGTATGACAGGTTGTCCTAATGGTTGTGCTCGTCCATACTTGGCAGAATTGGCCTTTGTCGGTAAGGCTCCTGGTACTTATAATGTTTATCTTGGAGGTGGTCATCAAGGTCAACGTTTGAATAAACTCTTCAAGGAAAGTTTACGTGAAGAAGAAATCTTGGCAACTGTTAAGCCTATCATCAAACAATATGCATTGGAACGTCAACAAGATGAACCTTTTGGTGATTGGGTTATTCGTGCTGGTTATGTCAAGAAAACAATCACTGGAAAAGATTTCCATGATCTTTAGTTTTTTTTTTTTTTATGTCATTCTTATTTTATGTATACTATGTTTACACTTTTTTATTTAGTTAGATTCCTTTTCATCATTAAAAAAAATAAAATATATAATTAAATCATCTTGTTATAACACAATACTTTTTTTCTTTTTTCATGATCAGAGTGATGAGCAGCAACTTAAAATTTGTATAAAGTTATGGCATGACATGTTGTATCCGATCATGTTCCTTTTTTTTTTTTTTTTTTTTCCTCCAACAAAAACATCTTCATCATGTGAATCATCCATCCAATCAAAACCCAACAAAACTATCTTTTTTTTTAAAAAAAAAAAAATCATAAATATATATATTACATGAATTGATGATTTATTTGTACATAATGGATGAATAATAAATAAATATGTACAACAATAAAAAGACACACATATATATATAAAATAATCTAATCTAAATCAAATGATCAAGAATCCACCATATCTTCCAATCGTTTTAGGCGGGCAGTACGTTTTTCCTTCTCCAATCGTTTTTCTTCTGCTTCGGCTTGTCGTTCTTCATCAGTGACGGGGGGCATACCAAGTTGCATCCTTAAAGATTGGATTTCCAATGTCATCTTGGCCAATTTTGTATCCTTTTGTTGATTGTCATTTTTCAATCGTAGCATGTATTCATAGGAGTGTTGTAAAAGTACCACCTTGCTCATCTGTTTGACCCGTTTTTCCCTTTCCAGTCGTGCAGTTTTCACATCCTCTTCTTCTTCCTTTTCATCATTTTCCATGCGTTGTAATTCATCTTCGGCTAATAATGCTTCCAAAAGTTCTGCCCGTAAAGCATCAAAGTTTTGTTTTAATGTATCTCGTCGTCGTTGTTCCGCTGCCTTGTGTGCTGACCGCCTGTTTTCCATCCCTGACTGAATGTTGGTGTTGAAGTCTATTCCAAGACTCTTGGCTTTACCTTCACGTAACGTTTGGTAATTGCTTTTGGATGCCAGAATCGTTGCCGCTTCGTGTTCATCAATGGTGGATAATCGTTGTCCATTGGGTTGTAAAGAGGGTGAGATCAATGGCTTCAATGCTCGTGGGGAAGATGTCGTATTATTGGGAGAAATGATCGATGATGATGATGGAGATGACATAACTCCTGGTGTATGAGGACGAAGAGCGGCTGGTGAAACTAATGCTGCAATTCCTTGATCAAAACCACTAGAATGTCGATGATGTGATGATGTGCTAGGTAATAATGCTGGTGGAGTAAATGCTGAACGTGGATATGAGATACGTCGTTTTTTCGTTGAGGTTGATGATGCTTGTATAGTTGTTGTTTTCTTAACAGTTTTCTTCTTTGATGTTGCAGGTTCCACAGAAGGAGGAAGCATGGCGTCAGGAAGAACCATCATATTATCCACAATAGATTCATGAGGAGATACCATCCCTGGACTAGTATTGTTGTCATTGTGCATCCCATTGCCTAATTTCATTAATAATGAAGGAGTTGCTGGTGCCAAATTTTGAGAATTGTGATAACCTGGGACAGATCCTGATGCGGTTGTCTGATGGAAAGTATGATAACTGCTTTGGTTGCTCTGTACTGGATGCATGCCAGGAGATCGAAGATGAGTGGTGGGATTGAACTGAGGACTGGACATGGCAATCTTGTGACGTAAAGATTGTTTGGGTTTGCTGATGGAGGAAGTGGAGTTCGTACTAGATGTGTTGCTATAAGGATGATGGTGGATAGTTGGTGATGATGATGATTGTGATGTTGTCACTGTCGTTGGTGAAGGTGAAGTAGATGATGACGATGATGATGGTCCTGATGTGTGCTGCATATGAGATCGAAGTTGTTGTTGTTGTCGTTCAATCATAGCCAGTCGTTCCTCTAATTCTTCAGAAGATTGTCCATCTTGTATTGAATGAGTATTCATGATTGAGTTTGCATAGTAATTATTGACTTGTTGATGTTGAGATACATGTTGTTGAGGGCCCAAAGCTGGTGATGTTAATGGAGAGAAGTTGGTGTCGCTACGAAGATTGGTGTAGTAATTAGGAGGAATAGCAGGTGAGATCAACGGGGTAAAGAATTCCTTGATAAAAAAAAAAAAAAAAAAAAAAAAAAAAAAAAGATGAGAAGAGGTTAGTAAGATGTCGGGTCAATAATTTGCCTTGATTTTCTTCAATTCATTTCAATATATTTACTTCATCCTCATTATAATCAGTAGATGTTGGTTGTTGTAAAGGTGTTTGATACTCATGGACATTGATATGCATGGGTGACATTATATTGTAATGATGATTGCCAATACTAGTTTGGGTATTGCTTGCTGAGCTCTTTGGTAAGCCATAGGACGAAGATTGAGGATCTTGATTGGCATGTGATTCCATGGAAGACGAATGTGGTTGGACGTCTGTGCCTGTTGTTGAATGAAAGTTGGTTGGATCAATGAATGCAAAAAAGTCGGAATTGTCTTGATCAAAATTATCATTAGTTTCATTGTTGTACCCTTGTTGTCCCATTGCTTCTTTGTTGCTATCGAGATCAAATGAATTGAAGTTCATAATGGAAAAAATCACACTATAAAATGAAGTGTTCTATCTAAAAGTATGTATGTATATATGTATAACGTATATATATTTATATATATAATAGTAGAAATGAGTATATATATATTTTAAGTATAAGTGTGTTTAAGTTAAAAGAAGAAAAAAAGAAAGCATCCCATTGATTTAAAATTTTCTCTTCCCTTTTTTCAACCCAGTGAAGAAAAAAAAAAAAAAATTAAAATTAAAACACCGTTGACCAGTCAGGCAAGTGACGCCAGCCCAAAAGACCATAAAAAAAAAAAAAATAAGTACAAATGGGATCTTTCTTTTTCTTTTTCTTTAACTCTTTCTTACCTTCTTTTTTCTTGGTTTTCTTTTTCTTTTTTTCTTTTCTTTTTTTTTTTTAGACAATGGCGGAAGCTTTTATTGGTTTTCAGGTATCACTTATACTACACTCTGGCATCAAGCTTGGTGGAACTGTTGCACACATCGATCCAAATGCACAGCAAATGACACTCAAAGATGGTAAAAACTTAGATATAGCATAGATTGAACCTTTTTGGAACACCGTGGAAAATTTTATATACTTGAAACTACTTTATTAAAAAAAAATATCATATACTGAATAATATCCATTTCTTTGATATAGTAACACTCTACTTTCCTGGACAAGCTTCTCATCGCACTCCTATTTATGGCGTTATTGGAAAGGACATTGCCGACTTACAAATTGTACAAAGCTCGAGCAAAAACAACACCCAAGATTCCTCTCAGCATTGGCAACCTCCCATTTTACCTGTATCTTCACTCTCTCAACCTGTTAACTCTTCTTCCCAGTCGTTACGCCTTCATGAAGATTCTAAATGTACAAATAATTTAGACCAATCTGTTGCAAATAAGACACCTTCAATGACTTCTAACACCACAACAACCACAATAGTATATTCTTGTGACGAAGTGTTACAACCTTCTAGATCATTGCCACAGAAACAACATAATCAACCTCGACCTCAAGAGAATGGGAAGGTAAAACAATCACTTGAATCGATATAAAAAGACTTGTAATGCAATGTAGAATTCCCTAATATAATGATATTTATTTTTCCTCCTTAGGTCAATGGGCATGTCAAACCAACCAAGTCAATGTCTTGTACAAGTAGGTTTATTCCCTTTTTTTTTTTTTCTTCGTCACTCTTCTACTGTATGAATTACTCTTTATTGACCTTCTCCTGTATTTGCTCTGGCAGCTGATAGAAAATCTAAGCAACAATCGAGACAACATCGACGACAAAACGTGAACGCCAATGGATGGGCTGATGAAGATGTTAATGAATTCAAAGAAGAAGAATTCGATTTTCAGGCTAACCTGGATATGTTTGACAAGGCCAAAGTGTTTGCAGAAATCAGGGTATTATTTTTATGAAATTTTAGTTGCTTGTCTCATCACATCAATTAATGAATCCTTTTTTTTTTTTGTATGTTGTAGGAATTTGATGAAACTGCTGCCGAAACATTATTAGTTGCTTTGAACAAACTCCCTCCAAAAGCATTAGCCAAACTCACACCGAAGAAAGTGAATTTGTTACCTAGTGAAAATGTATTAGATAAAGTCTCAACACCAATAGATAGCGACGATAATGATGACGGTGGTGGTGGTGGATGTGGTGATGAAAGCGATAATGATTCTGAAACAACTGAACAAAATCGAGGTCAACAACATCACGGTAGGAATAACTCGTCGACAATGAAGAAATCAGTCAAAATCGTTACTGCTGTTGATGGTACTCCATGTCCTCTAGTATCTCCCTTACAAATGGCTCATGCTGAACACGAATGTTGTAAGAATGAGAAAAAAAAATTATTTTATCAAGATATATAAATATGATGCTTTTTTTATTTTTATTGGTAGTATCTGTTATTGGACTGAATGAAGATCAAATGGTTGAAAATGGTGGTAGAGGGACTTATGAAGTGGCTCTCAAGATTTTAGGTAATTTGAAAAAAAAAAAAAAAAAAAAGAAAAGAAAAGAAAAAAACCTTCATTGAGGTACGCTGAAGAAATGGTCTCACAACTTCCTTTTTTGTTAAATTCTAATCATAGCTAATGGAAAGTATGAAGATAACAACGATCGTTTATTGATATTGGTACTTGCTGGCAACTCCAAGAATGGTGCTTATGGATTATCTACAGCTCGACGATTACTCAATCATGGATATAATGTCGTTGTATGTATGGTAACTGGTGAAAATTCCATTTGTGCAGTGACAGAGCGTCAAAAAGTGATGTTGGAAAGGATAGGTGGAAAGATTTTATATGATGTTCAAGGTAAAGTTAAGGAATCAGAGAATGGTGATATATACAAGAGTAACTTTATATCTTTTGCTTTATATAGGTCTTTCACAAACACGTCGACCGGATTTGATTATAGATGCAATGCTAGGATCTCAAACGAAATTAGTGGATTTACAAGATGAAAGGATGGCTTATCTTAGTATATGTGATATGATTCAATGGACCAACAACAATAGTAGAACACCTGTATTGAGTATTGATTATCCAAGTGGGGTGGATGCAAGTACTGGTAAGTAAATGCAACATGATGATGAACACAAAAAAAAAACGAAAGATGGAGGCAAAACTAACAATGACCTTCTTTTTTTATTATTATTAGGTCAACATCATCATCCTATACATTACATTCAACCTCATTGGACAGTATGTCTTGGTGCGCCAAAAACAGGATGTATTTCTACAAAGGTGACAGGTGAACTTTACATGGTTGATCTGGGATATCCTCGACTCTGCTGGAAAAAGGTTGGATTGAAAAGTCTTGCCATACCTTGGGGTGCCAATTTTGTTGTTGGTTTGAAATATTTATAGTTTCTATCGATCTTAGAATAAACTTACTTAAAAATAGAACCTATTTAATTTATCTATTTGGTTTTTTTTTTTTTTTTTTTTTTTTTTTTTTTTTTTTTTTTTACTTATTTATTTGATCAATAATTTTGTTGATGTGGATCATATAATTATCACTTTCCCATGCATTTCAATTTTATCCAATAAAAAAAACTCTTATGTACGTAATGGATGTTGTTTCCTAGTCAACCGGAAAGAAGAAATACAGCAAACGCTGTATAGAGAGGATGAATGATCGTATTGATGATAATCAAGTAATACCGGGTACCATTATATTCATTTATTTCGGATATCAGGTTGAAGGTGGGAGATAAAGAGAGAGGAGCGTTTTTTTTTATTATACAGGTTTTGCTAGAAATGGATATGTCAAAATGGAATAAGTATACTATACTGAATGTAAGATAAAAAAAAAAGAGTACATAATGATGTGTAGCATATATATATATATATACGTGAGTGTGTGTGTATGGGTTTTTGAGAAAAGATATATAAATATATAGGTAATATAAAAAGGATAAAAAAAGAGGGATAATCATGAAAAACAACATGTTCTTTCTTTTTTCCTAGTCCTTGTCCGCTGAGTCATCCGCCGTAAACTTGAATCACCAAATTGGACACCACTACCACTACGTTCGGGATCAATTTGACCAGTTTCAACTTTACTGAGAATAGACCTTGCACATTTGAAAAACAGTTCTTCCACTCCGTCACCAGAGAATGCACTTGCCTCCAGGAACATCATTTCTACATTAAAAAAAAAAAGAAAAGATAAGCACCATGGTACTAAATGTATTACTTTCTAATTAACCTTGTTCTTGTGCAAATCGACTTGCTTCTAGATAGGATACTTCACGCTCATCCGCTTTATCAGTTTTGTTACCAACCAGAATCATCACCATTTCTGGATTGGCTAATTGTCGTACATCGTTCAACCATGATCGAATCCCTAAGAATGTCTCTCTACTAGAAATACAAATATATGCATAAATTAAGGTCATCCGTCAAATATATTATTCCACATTCCCATATTTTGATTCTTTTTTTTTTTTTTTCCTTTGTTACCTACTTGCAAATATCATATACGACTAATGCACCGGCTGCCCCACGAAAATAACTTTTTGTCAATGATCTAATAATAAAAAAAAATAAAATAAAATAAAGGTTAGTATCATCATTGATTATATCTACTGACGTATCTCCTTTTTTTTTATGACGTTATGAGTGACGCTATACCTAAACCGTTCCTAAAGAATAAGAAGAAGAAGAAGAAGAAGAAGAAGAATATAAAGTCAATATTCACGTGAACAAGAAAGAGTTCAAACACTACACCATTAATATATATATATATATATATATATATATATATATATCACTACCACTAATCCAACAGAAAACTTGAATACTTACTTGGCCAGCCGTATCCCAGATCTGTAACTTAATAGCCTTATCAGCAATATGAATAATACGTGTTCCGAATTCCATTCCTATTGTGTTCACAGAGTCTTTTCGAACTAAAGACAAAGAAAGAGCAATCCATTTCAAATACTATTATAAGAAGGTGATACTATGATTGAGGATCCTTACACTGATTTTCCAAAAAGTGATGTAGCAGACATGATCTAAATAAATAAACAGAAATAATAAAAAAAAAAAAGTAACGGGTCAATTGTTTCAGTAAACAAGGATAAATAAAAAGTTCATATACATACTTTCCTGTCCCAGAGTTGCCCACAATAAGTAGTTTGAACAAAAAGTCTAATATATGCGTCCCAATATATTTTGATAAATGTAGAGAAAGAAAAAAAAAAGAGTTAATATGAATGAAAAAGGGTAATTTTTTTTTTTATATTTAACTTTAGTTTAATATTACCATATGCATCGGCAAGCATAGTCGTGCTATCATTAAATAAAAAGGCAAGGCGGAAAAGAAAAGAAAAAAAATGGAAACAAGGAAAAACTGTTTTTGAAGGCACAATCCCCCCCGAGAAAATTCAATTAGCGGAGTTCGGTCAAATCAAGAAGAAAGGTCTCTTCCAACCTTATAAGCAGTTTTACTTTATTCATTTCAATCAAGATAATATATGGCCTATCATGTAATAGTCTTATACTCATTAACTTGGATACATTTTGATCATTGATGATTTATTTAAATGATTGTATTTCAAATAGAAAATAAATAAAATATTGAATGTCACAAAATATTGATTACAATGATTAGCAGAGATTAGTCAAACCCAATTCTTTTTTTCTTTTTTTTTTATTAATATAACAAAGATTGATATTATCATTTATTTCTCTATATGATGATATCTTAAACATCATCACTAAAAGCAAATGTCATCATTTTACAAATGAGCGATTATTAAACTCAAAGGTATGTCAATATTTATGGGTTTATAACTGTCAGGCTTAGATCTGTCTAAAGATAATACATTAAAAAAGTAAATGGATAAAAATGATTAAAATAGAATGACATTTAAGAATAAATGCTTATTTACAATGATAATCGATTGAAAAAGAAAAAATGATTTTGTAGAAAAGTTTGTACTTTGATTATAGATGGGAAAGAAGGTACACTCTTTTTTTTTGCATAAAGCATTATCATTGGATTTTCTTTTTTTCCTGGATCTGTGGTAAGAATGTTGTGGACTAAGTTATTTCCCCCCCCCAAAAAAAAAAAAAAAAAAAAAAAAAAAAAAAAAAAGAGAAACGGCATTTAAAAAAAGAATTGATGAGTGATCGTTATAAGATATATGAAATATGTACTTACAATTAAAAATTTCCAACTGGCACAAGGCACAGTGAACATATCCTCAACCATTCCAGGATGGGATATGTTACAAAAAAGAGAAGTTGTCGTATAATCACAAAATATTGTTCCAGAAGAGGTAGCCCAAGATGCAGTTGTTCATTCATATTCAGGAGGAGGAAAAGGAGCGGTGGAACGGAGACGGCATAGAACCATATAACTCTTGTTGTAGTCCAGACATAATCATGTTCATTGATGCATTGGCATCCCGTGATCTTGCAATACATCCAAACTTCTTACCAATGCATTCAGGATTCACACATATGACTGTTCCAAGGTTAAGCTTGCCAGATTGCTTGCGAGGATGGTTCACAACGTGATGACAAAGACAACACAGCTTCGTTGTTCGATATTCGTCAGTGATGAATACCTTTGATTGCTGTTCAATAGTGGCGATAACATCGATATGACTACGTCGTAGGAAGCCTTTGATCCTTGAACCTGTTCCACGACCGGCAGCGCCATAGAAAAACTTGAGATCGACATTGTTGTTGATGGTAGAAGTAGCCGCAGAGTGGTGATATTGTATCCTATCCCGGTGGTACTTCATAACATGGTTTAGACCTCGTTGCTTCATTCTTGGTTGCGATCGTCGTTGTTGTTTGCACCATTTTCCTTGATAAAATGAACGAAGCTTGTTGGCATTTTCCCGTTGTTTCTACGATTAAAAAAAAAAAAAAAAAAAAAAAAAAAAAAAGAGGATTACTCGTATGAACTTAATGATACTTTAGTTTTTTCTTACCTTGTGTTTTTTGATAATTGCCTCTTTGTTGTATGATAATGCCACGTTAACTGCAGAATCAGCCAGATCAGCTTCAGTTTGCATAATAGTATCATCGTTTGCCTATCAAATAAAAAATAATCATTATGAAACGTCTTTGGATTTATTTTCTGCTATATCTTCTCTTACCTTCTTATTATTCATCTTTGTTCGAGACCTTTTTGACATCGTCTTATTATCGATATCCTTGCTGCTGATGGGAAAAGTCGGTAACTTCATCATTGTCCTGATGCTGCGGTCGTCGTCAAGATCCATTTCCTGAGAGAATTGTTCGAGAGGTTGGAAACGGTTGTCAAGGGACAAATAGAAGGATACTTTTTGTTTATCAGCATAAGTAGTTTGTACCATCGTTGAAAGACCAGGATCACAGCCTACTAAAAGTTGATCTGAAGTGGTTGCTTGAAACACTGGTGAAGTATTAGCGATTATTGTATCATTATCTTCAACGTAAGCTTCTTCAAATGCTTCCTTCTTTTCGTCTTTCAATTGACTTCGATTGTTCTCTATTTGTAAGAGCTGGGATATCAATTTGTCACGTCGCGCCTTCATTTGAGATCTACTCTTTATCAAATCGTTTTTGCTGGTTGATGATGAAAGCAAAGATGATATATCGACCTGGGCCAGCTTCTTTCTTTTATATCGCTTTTGTCGTTGTTGCTTTGTCGATCCGCCAATATTGCCTGATCCAAATGATGCCGCCATACTGTTCAAAGTATTGGTGATCTTGGAAATTTCTGCATTCACTTGTGCCAGCTCCGTTGTTGGTTCTTTCATATTGTCTTTCAACTTGGATAATTGCTCATCGACCTTCAACATCTTGCCATCACCAGAAGAGGGTTGAGTCTTTTGTCGCTTGCTTGTATCCGTTGTTATCACCACTTGTTGCTTTCGTTTCCCTTTTCTGTCGATTTTACCAGTTGTTGCTGCTACTGATGTTGTTGCTGTAGATGATGTTGCTACTGCTGATGTTAGTGTTGATGTTGTTGCTGTTGTAGTGAGAGCCATATTCTTTTTGATCTGAATTCGAACCACACCAAATGTTGTAACGATCAGACGGTAATCAAAGGAATATCCGGATATCTTTCGACAAAGTTCTTCAATAAATGGTAGGTTGAAGAAGGCACCAAACATAGATTTTCGTTGTTCCGCAGCTTTTGCTTCACTAGTAATCACATCACCATGAAAGAATACGTCGAATCCAAGTGAGTTCAGAGGAGCAGTTTCGCCAGCCTTGATCCGTTGTCCACCTTGTCTAAATTTTAACAAGCAGAACATATTGTAAAGAGATCTTGCATCTAAGAAGATTGCTGCCAGTGTCGACGGATTTTTCGTTGGTATCGGTAACCGTTGAAATTTGCGATAATCGGTGATATAGAGAATTGAATTACACAGCAAGATGAGAGGGTACTGGAAGATCGGATGTTGGTCCACGCTTTTGTTATATGAACGAGGTAAAACAAAAGGTAGAAAAAAATGATATAACTTGAGGATAATGGGAACTTCTATTTCCTTGAGTTGGATGTATTTGACATGAGATTGAAGAAGTTCGGCATCAGCATTTTCAGGGAGGGAATTCTTCAGTAGGAGGGCCTTCAATAGTCTTGTTAATTTCTGTAAACGTTTCGCGGATGGCTCATTGGACAAGAGTGTTGGATCAATACCGGTATCAGTGCCTTCTCGGGAAACAGAAGGTGTTGTGGTGGAACCAGTAGGTACAGTAGTAGTAGCAGTAGTAGTAGTAGTACTAATAGTAGTCTTCCTTAATTCAATCGCTTGTTCCAATTCTTGTAAATGACGCTTTTTCCCTTCTAGAGCTTCAGGATTCAGAATATGATCATGCTTTTGAATGCGATGGATACGATTTTGGTCTCTTCTTCGACGACACAACAAGGCGTAAGTTGATGACTTTGGTTTGCTAAAAAAAAAAAAAAAAAAAAAAAAAAAAAAAAAAAAAAAAAGTTAATACTTAATGATACAAATCGCTAATCATCATCATAAACTAATTGCTCTTTTTGTTTTTACCTTGGCTTTTTTGATTCAGTTTTCGTTTCCTTTGTCGTTTCCTTTGTTGTTTCCTTTTTGTACTTGGTGCTGCTTTCTTCTTCTTTATTTGGCGAGAGATGGCATCGTAAAAGGACATAAAGAGCCTTTCCCAAAATGTAATCAGTCAACTTGCCTTCATACATGATTTTGAGGTTGGTGGCGTACTGGGTGACGTATGGATGCATGATTGAGCCCATTCCAGGAGGTGATGGTGTGATTGTAGCATCTTTCACATCATCACGGTTGAAATCAAAGAAACCAGAACGTTGGGGTTGCAAGGAGGGCGCTGGAATGGACGAGGAAGATGAAGGTTCAGATGGAGCTGTTGATGTCGATTGTTGAGTGGATGTACTGGATGTACTGGATGTAATTGAAGTAAGCATCTGCTGTAAGTGACCGCTGGAGTAGAGATCTGAATATTTTCGACCATCGATGGAGCCATTTTTAAGCATCTTGTTTTTCAGATCACTTGAAGGTGGAGACACTGTCAAAGGACTATCCATAGTGTTTCTTTGCGCTTTTTCAGGTATAATTCCCATGATGTCAACAGGAGGTCCACTATCATAGAGAATATATCATTAAATCTCTTTTCAGTCAAATATATAAAATGGTCTAACTTACGTAGTTCTTCTAGTTAAGTCCAATGCCAAAATTGTTGAGAGATCCATCATTTTGTCAGAAACAACTTCCCGGCAACGATCAATAGTGTTCATGAATACTTTTTTTTCGTCCACTGTCAAATCGGTTCTCAATATTTCTGTCAATGGCCTTGATATCACTTTTATACTGGGTGTTGTGTAGTTGAATTGAGAGCTGTCATCATCACCATCACCTTCAGTAATTGATGCAAAATGTTCATCCAGAGCATGATCAATATTGTCGTCCAAGAATGTGAACCAGAGGGCAAAGAAGTCGATAGCTTCGGTGTCAACACACTGTCTGATGTTAGAGGTAGTAACGGCACGCTGTTGTGGATGTTCTATCATAATGGTCATAGTAATAATAACAATAAAAAAAAAAAAAAAAAAAAAAAAAAAAAAAAGTTAGTTAAGTCATATGACCTCTGTATTAAATATTTACCATCGTTGTATTTATTGGCAGTGTCCTTGTAGAGATCTCTCAGTCCCAGCTTCTTTCCTTTCTTGCTTTGTTCTTGCTTCAAAAGATCCACCTTGAATTGTTCTTTTCCTGGCTGCTTTTTCTTTCCTTTCGTCTTGTTCTGCATGGTCCTGATTGTATTGGCTAGTCGAATGGGAAAGGTCAGTTTCATACATCTGATACATTCTGCTTTATCCAGAGGTGTTGCTTGAGACCCTTTTCTTCTTTGATCTTGAGTGTGAAGTTCAGCTTTCCGATATGTTGATTGATCAAAACGGTTTGGCTTTAATCTTGCCATAACGAATAAATCAAGGGAAAAGAAAATAGATGTGTCCTAAACGATAATAAAAGAATAAAAGAGATATAATAGAGTATAAAGAATTGTAGTAATATGTAAAAAAAAAAGAAAGAAAAAGAAAGTGAAAAAAACTGCAGGAAAAAAACAGGAAAAGGAAAAGAAAGAAAGACAAAAAAATGCATCAGAAAAAAGAGCACAGACATAAGGCGGAGATGAAATTTCTAAATTAGGTTACTCCCACTCTTTGACAAAGAGTCAATATATACAAGATAACGGTTGATTGATTACGAAAAAAAGGTTTCTAATATAGTCTCTTTTTTTTTATGCATAATGATAAATCTAGAAAAGAAATGGATGATATTCGATTTCTTATATTTTGTTTAAATATGATATGATGGTGTATGATTTTTGTATGATTTATGATCTCGATCGTAGCTTGATTCATACATTGTTTAAGCGTTATTGTACCAACATTCGAGTAGAAAAAAGAAAAAACTATAATTAGTTTTTAATATTTAGACTTCCTTAATGGAGTTTTACGAATGATCATATCTACATTCGAAACATACGTGAGTAAACAAAAAAAAAAAAAAAAAGAAAACACTGTCTGCTGACATTGGAGTAGGTTCCACATATTTCATTTTTGACATTTTAGATGTTCTTCCTTGGATTTATTTATTTTATTTGACTCAAATATAATAATGATGTCGTAAGTACGTTAAAAAATAAATAACAATACTATTTAAATAACCTGGATCTTATCATCCATTATCAGTTCATCATCATGAATATGATCTTCATTCAGTCAATAATCAAGTCTACGATTCACTGCTATACGTAACTATTGTGCACCCATGGACGATATGTTCATTCTTTCTGATGTGCCCTTTATTTGGTATAGACCGGAACCACTCATTAGCTTGAATATTTTTGTATAATAGATATAGCATATATAATAAAAAAAGCTTTTTTTTTTTTTTTACCAATAATACAAACGAATAATGAAGAGTAGAAATAATATATTGATGATTATACTTGATAATAAAACAAAATATATCGTAAAGAAAAAAAAAAGAAGAATATATACAACAACAATAAAAAAAAAAACCAATAAAATACCAGTAATCATCATGGTTGTCCAGATATATGATGATTGGGGAGAGCGATGTCATCAATAACATTCCTAAAACTGACGTACTCTTTCGTTTAACAGTTTCTTCTTATCAATATCCAGATACGGCCATCCAGGTTGAGTCAATTGAGCTGAATAAGTTGCTTGTATTATCGTAAACTTGTTGGTGTGGAATACAGCATTCTACAATAAAAAAGAACTATTAGTAAACACTATACCCTATAATATAAATGATTACTTACAGATCAAAGAGCTTTGGGCCATAATTTCATCTTGCCATTGTCGTACCAATAATAAGTCTTGAAATATGTATAAATTCAGAGAAATCAGTTTTATATCTTGATTGGAAAGAGGACCAAACTTTCACTTGAAACTGCATGCATCATATCATTCAACTTAATACGAGTTACATCCAATAATTGTCGAGTTTCATACTTGATCATCACCTTTGGTCTATATAATAGAAGAATAAAACAGTAAGTTATACATACAATAGTAGAATGATGAATTTTTTTTTTTTTTACAATTCATTTTTACCTTTGATGTCAAATTCTTTTCTCATGCACGTTTGATGTGCCAGTGACACAATAAAATAATTACACCATCATTGAAGATAGATCGAAGACCTGATATTTCGGTATTACTGCAATCAATCATCACAAGCTGCACATTCAAATTGTTGTTGGCCTTGATCTACTCTAACCATATCAGGTACTATTTCATTAGATGTAACCATAAAAGCAATATGGACACGTTTGTTGATTACAGAAGAGCGGAAATCAGCAGTATACAAGTAACAAATATTCATTCAATTTCACCATAGACTTGCAAGCTTGACGAGTAGAATCAATACACCAATCCATGAATTCTTCAAGTAAGTATAATAATGAAATATAAATACAATTGACCTTTTCATTAATTTATTTTCTGTAAAAGTCTTACTTTTTTTGCCGTTATGAATATGTACAACGTGTAGGACAATATAATTCTTGGTTGTTCAAATATTCCATCCACACTAGTATGATCAACAGCATTTTTTCTAGACAACTGATTCAACTTTTGGTGATAGATATTCTTGATATGTTGGTGTTTAACGAGAGTGGACGAATAAAAAGAGCATATAATAGATCCAAAATTCATTTCCAACTATAATCTATGATATCCAAAGAAAATATTGAGCATAACTTCCATCAAATAGTATAATTAAAAGCAAATCTTACCTCATCAATTCTATCGTAATTCTATTATAACAATGACCTGATAAATTTCCAATCCATATGTTTTTCCACTTTGTCAACAATCCTTTGTAGATTTGCCAAGGTCACCAGGGTTGTCCTTGTTATGAATTCAGTTATGGAACCATTGGAGAAGATATGCTTTGTGAATTTGGTCCTGCAATCGATTTTGTAGGTGGTTTGCTCACTTTACCCTTCCTTGCTGTTGTAGTTATTGGTGTCAATGTTGTTGTTGTTGTTGATGATGATGATGGTGTGCTGGGTAATGAAGATGAAGTTGACGATGACGAAAAACTGGTCACGTCCTTGAAGTGACTTTATTGCAGAGGATACAAGAAAGAAAAGAAAGAGGGAACAGATTGTGACACAGCTTCCCAAAAAGATGATATGAGCATCAACAATAACGAAATGTTAAAAAAACAGAACACATACCTTTTTTATCCAACGGCAAACGATAACATAGTATACGTAAAGAAAAGACGAAGAAACAAGGCGAAAGAGAAAGAAAATAAGTAAAATATTAAAGAACACGTAAATGAAAAATAATTTGAAAAATTTAAGGAACCTGGTTATAGGTATGATGATAGGATTGCTGAGTTGAAAGGTGGAAGAATATATATAACCGGATAAAGTTTTATTTTTGCGGGGCAAAGAAGGTTTACATTCGCCCTTTTATAGGTTTGTCATGAGATTTTGTTTTTAGCACTGAACCTTGTATTGTTGGTCAGTCATGATTTGCGCCATTAGGAAATCTTTAAAAGACTCCTTTGAGTGCCATTTGAACAAAAAGTTTAAATTTGTTCCCGACCTTTTTTTTTTTTATTTTTTCTTTTCTCTCTTTTTCTTTTCTTTCTTTCTTTTTTTTTTTTTCTTTTCTTACCTTTTTTTCTAAAAACCACATTTTATATATCATGGTCAGTAAAATTGTTGTAAAGAACCCTGTTGTTGATTTGGACGGTGATGAAATGACTCGTATCATCTGGCAATTCATCAAGGACAAACTCATTCTTCCTTACTTGGAGCTTGACATCAAGTATTATGATTTATCTGTGGAAAACCGTGATGCTGTAAGTCATTATTTTTATCTTTCTTTATTTTTGAACTCATACGAAGTTACCTCTTTCGATACTATAGACAAATGACCAAGTGACTATTGATGCCGCTGAAGCTATTAAGAAATACAATGTTGGTATCAAGTGTGCCACCATCACTCCTGATGAAGCCCGTGTTGAAGGTAATTATTTATTTATAAAAAAATATATAATGCAGATAATTAATATAATTTCCTTTATTCCAAAAGAATTCAAGCTCAAGAAGATGTGGAAGTCTCCCAATGGTACTCTTCGTAATATTTTGAATGGTACTGTTTTCCGTGAACCTATTATCTTGAAGACACTTCCTCGTCTTGTTCCTGGTTGGACAGGTCCTATCATCATTGGTCGTCATGCTTTTGGTGATCAGGTAAGTAAAACTGTTTTGTTTTTTAAGATTTATTAGAATTGAATAAGGGAATACTCATATATATATATATTTCATGATTAGTATCGTGCCACTGATTTTGTTGCTCCTGGTCCTGGCAAATTTGAATTGATTTATACCCCTACTGATGGCTCAGAACCCAAGAAATATGAAGTTTTCAACTTTGAAAAGTCTGGTGGTGTTGGTTTAGCCATGTACAATACTGATGAATCCATTGAAGGTTTTGCACATGCTTGTTTCCGTCTCGCTATTGAACGTAAATTCCCTCTTTACTTGTCTACCAAGAATACTATTCTCAAGGCTTACGATGGTCGCTTCAAAGATATCTTTGAAGAAATCTATCAATCTCAATACAAATCCGAATTTGAATCCTTGGGTATTTGGTATGAACATCGTTTGATTGATGATATGGTTGCTCAAGCTTTGAAATCAAATGGTCACTTTATTTGGGCTTGTAAGAACTACGATGGTGATGTTCAATCTGATATTATTGCTCAAGGTTATGGTTCTCTTGGTTTGATGACTTCTGTTCTTTATACTCCTGACGGTAAGACTTGTGAAGCTGAAGCTGCTCATGGTACCGTCACTCGTCATTATCGTGAACATCAAAAGGTAAGAGAGATAAAAAAAAAAAAAGTAGGATGATAGTGATTGTTACTCATTGTTATCGTCTCGTAGGGTAATGCTACTTCCACCAATCCTATTGCCAGTATCTTTGCTTGGACTCGTGGTTTGGCCCATCGTGCCAAGCTTGACAATCATCCTGAATTGGCTCAATTCACTGAAGATCTTGAACGTGCTTGTATTGAAACCATTGAAGTGGATAATAAAATGACCAAGGATTTGGCATTGATTATTCATGGAAAGAAGTAAGGAACATAAAAAGAAAATGGACATGAAGAATTTTTTTTTTTTTTTTTTTTTTTTTTTTACTAATGATATCTCTTTTCATAGCATGACCCGTGAACACTACTCTACCACTGAAGAATTCTTACAACAAATTGCTGACAAATTATCTTCAATCCGCGCTCGTTCCTCTTTGTAAATTTATAGTTAGTTTTATCGTTAATTAATTAGTTAGTTTTATATATATATATATACAATGGATGCTTTGGGAATAGATAGAGATACTTCACATTATTCTTGGTCATTCTTGGTAGTCTTTTACATGTTTATATTAATAAAACCGATGATTTTTGGAAATATATCTTTTTTTTTTATAGCGATTATGACAGTTCCTCAAAAATAGAAAATAGGATTATGCGAAAGATTCACACGGGAGGAACGGATGAATGAAGTCTTTGTTCTCCGCCAGTGACATTGGATGAACAAGTGTACCTTTCGGGAAATGTCGGTAACTTTGGGTTCCATTCCATCCTTCATTGTAGAATGAAACTTATAAGATTTATAGAAACACAAAGGGAAGATCAAATATCCATTCCATCATGCTTACCAAATACAATTTTATCACATTTCTTCTTATTTTTTTTTCTCATATATAAAATTCAGAATAAAATTCAGAATTCATATTAAATACCAATGTTCTAATTGTTATTACTATGGCATTACAAATCTTTTTGATCTGATATTGTGATATACTGAAATGACATATCATCGTCAAGACGACGGGATAAATAATAAATGATTTACCAATAAATTAAGAGAACGACAAAATAAGTATATTTTATTCATGAGTGTAAATAAACAAATGAGTGATAAAATAAAGAATATATATATATATAAAAAAAAAAAACAATATAACTAAATCTACTCGTCAGCTTCTAACACCTTTGTAATTCTACCAATAGCAATAGTTTTTCCTATTAAATGGGATAAGTAAGCATATTAATATCATTTTCAAAAACTATTGACTTATTTATGTGTTACCTTCATCACGGAGAGTAAATCGGCCAAGTTGAGGATACTCTTCAAAGGTTTCCACACATACTGGCGCAGTTGTTTCAATTCTAGCAATCACCTTTTGACCTTGCTTGACAAATTGTGGAGGGCGCTTGGACTTACGGCCAGTCTTCTTATCAATCAAATGTAGAAGAGCACCAAGGGTAATTTCTTCAGCTGCAGAGTGGACATGTAGCACAGCAGTATAACCAGCGCAAATAATGTTTTTGTGTTCCAAAATAGCCAATTGAGCATTGAATTTGGTAGCGGTCTTGACAGGCTTCTTTTTGGTGCAAAGTACAAAACCAGGTGATACTTCCTATATACATGAACCAAATATGAGAACATTGCGTCTTTTATTTAACAATTAAAACTTACATCTTCTTCAACACCCTTGAGACGAATTCTGACATTGTCACCACAAACGGCTTGATCAACTTCATCTTCGGTTTCGTTATAAATAGTTGTCACTTCGGTAGGACGCTAAAATAAGAATACATGTTAGAATATCAATATCAAAACTCATTTCTTTTTTTTTTTTTTGTTGTACCTTGTTCGGCATAAGAAGTACAGTTTGATTTTTCTTAATATGACCAGATTCAATTTTACCAACAACGATAGTACCCATATCCTAATATAATAAGATGATGATAATAGAGATAAGACATTTGTGTATTATTGAATAGATGCTATTTTTTTTTTTTTTTTTACTCATTTACCTTGTATTTTTCAGCAATGGGAATCATAAGAGGAGCATTCAACTTTCTATCCGAAGTCTTCAAATCATCCAAGTATTCCAATAGAGATGGACCACTGTACCATGTGCATGCCTTGGATCGTTCTTTGATATTAGCACCAGTGAAACCAGACACTGGCATGTAGTGGATATCAGTCTTGGGATTGAAACCAGTTTGCTTCAAGAAAGGAGTCAACTTGGAAACAATTTCATCATATCTTAAGATAGAAGAAAAGAGATGAAAAAAAAAAATGAATGATGATATACATTTATATACATTGTTACATATCGTTATATCTTACCTCGCTTTATCCCATTCAACAGTGGGGTCATCCATCTTGTTGATCACTATAATCATCTTTGAAATACCAGAAGTCTTGGCTAACATAGTATGTTCACGAGTTTGACCACCACGTTCAAAACCAGTTTCGAATTCACCTTTACGAGCAGAGATTACCATCACACCAACATCAGCTTGAGAAGCACCACTAATCATACTAGGAACATAGTTCTTGTGTCCAGGAGCATCCAAAATAGTATAACGACGCTTGTCAGTTTCAAAGTAAGCTCGACCACATTCGACAGTTTTTCCCTTGGCACGTTCTTCCAAACCAGTATCCAGAGCCCAAGATAAGTACCATGATTCACGACCAGCTTCTTTGGCTTCCTTTTCATATTTTTCCATAGTACGTTTATCAACCATACCAGTCAAATAAAGAATGTTACCACCCATAGTAGATTTACCGGCATCTATTTAAAAAAAAAAAAAGGAGGAAATAAAATAAAATAGTGAGATGACAAAGATCTCGATAAAATAGATCATACAATATACATATGAATGTAGATATCTTTTTTACTTACCAACATGACCCATAAAGACAACATTCAAATGTTCCTTGCCATATAAATCAGCTACAATTTCGTCATCAAGGGCATTCAAATCTTCAGCAACTGCATCAGCTTTTTCAGCAGCCTTTTCCATAGCTTGACGAGCTTCCTTGGTGGCAGCAGCAGACTTGGGTTTGGAAGAAGCAGCAGCAGGTTGAGATTCAGTCTTGACTTCAGACTTGACTTCTGTCTTGACTTCTGTCTTGACTTCAGCCTTGACTTCAGCTTTGGGAGGTTCTGCTACCTTTGGTTTTTCTTCAGTAATGGGAGTTTCTTTTACCTTGGATTCAGCCGCAGCAGGAGCTATACAGAAGAAAAAAAAAGTGAAGAAATTTTCAAGTAAGAACACAAGATCTGTCAAATTTTGATCTGAGTAAATCATTTATATATATTACCAGGTTTGGTTTCGGTTAACTTGAGTACACGAACTGTAATAAGAAAAAAAAATAGAAGAAAAAAGTATGAATGAAAAGGATGATGAGTCATTGTTGTTTTTTCTATTTTTTTTTTTTTTTTTTTTTTTTTTACCAGGCGCAGAAGTGGCAGGAGCAGCAGAAGATTGAGCAGCAGGTTGAGTAGCAGGTTGCGTAGATTGAGCAGGTTGGGCAGGAATACCAAATGAAGGTACAAATTCCTTGGCAGTAAAACTAGGCTTCCATTCAGATGCTTTGGGATTTAACGACATATTGAACTGATTCGTATCTTTGTTCTATATATTCCAAAGTTTTATCAATTAAAGCAAGAAAAAAAAAATAGAAGAAAAAAAAAGTTTTCATTTTTTAGGACGCTAATAGTTTTTTTTTTTTTTGCAACGTCATGTTTTTGATAGTCCGCTGAGAAAACTATTGACAACAGATTTTCATGTTTTTTTTTTCTACCTTCTCTTCTTATATTCTGTTTATTCTTCCTCCTGTTTGCCGACTAAGAACTATAACAATTTATTTTACAACATGTCAATGAAGAAACTTCAGAGTAAGTATTTGTATATAGAAAAGCAATTATTGTAGAGGAAGGAAAAAGAGATGGTATAGCTTGGAAACTGAATATATATAGATGAATCACTATTACATATGATATGAACAAAGAAAGAAAAACTAACTTATTTATCTTTATTTTTTATTTTATTTTATTTTATTTATTTTTTTACTTATCTTATTAAAAATAGCCGAGATTGATCGTGTGCTTAAGAAAGTCAGTGAAGGTGTAGACACTTTTGAAACAATATTCGACAAAATACACTCGACCAACAACGCCAATCAAAAAGAAAAGTATGAACAAGACTTGAAAAAAGAAATCAAGAAACTTCAACGATTACGCGATCAGATCAAGACATGGTTATCGTCTAACGAAATCAAAGACAAACGGGCACTATTGGATAATCGAAAACTCATAGAATCACAAATGGAACGATTCAAAGCAATAGAAAAGGAAATGAAAACCAAGGCTTTTTCCAAAGAAGGACTCTTACAACGGGAAAAAATGGATCCAAAGGAAAAGGAAAAGGCTGATGCATGCGATTGGATATCATCAACAGTGGATGAACTTTCACGACAAATCGAGACAGCCGAATTTGAATTGGAAACTTTACAAGGCAGCTCAAGGAAAGGAAAGAAGGATTATCATAAGCAGGAACGGACGAACGCAATCGAAAACACTATTGAACGGAATCGATTTCATATCAATCGACTGGAACTCATGTTACGACTCTTGGAAAATGATCATCTGGAAACGGAAAAAGTGCTGGCCATTAGGGAGGATGTACAGTATTACTTGGAATATAATCAGGTATTGATACTGAATTATATTAGTTGTTGTTTTTCGTTATATATTTAACCATTTATATGTTGATAGGATCCTGACTTTGAAGAAAATGAATTCATATATGAAGATCTGAATCTTGAGGAAGAAGAAGAATTATATGCTATTCGAACAGATGAATATCATAATGAAGGTAAAATTCGATTAAGAAAAGATAAATTCATCTAAATTTTTTTTTCTTTTTTTTTTCTTTACTTAGTCAAAGCAGAAAAGGAAACCAAGGAAGAAGAGAAACCAACAAAACGATCATCCAAAGAAAAGGATAAGGAAAGAGATGATGAGGTAAGAACTTGTCTACAATGAATGATCAACGGTTAGCATATCTCATTCTTATATATATTATAGTCACTATCACCGGCACAAGTCACCAGAAGTCCATCAAAACCATCTACTAGTCCAAATCCTGGTAATGAAAAAAAAAAAAAAAGAATTGATGGTTGATTTAAAAACTTACAAACAATACGATAAATTTTATTTAGTATCCACGTCAGCTGAGGAGACAAAACCATCAAGTCCGTCAAAACCGTCTACAACACAGATATCATCACCCAAATCAAAACAAGATGCTGGCGCAGTACCTACTCCACCATCAGTACTCAAGTATTCTGCTGCTGCTGCCGCTGGTGCAGCTTCTAGTTTAGAAACCACGACGAAGAAATCCGATGAAAAAGGTAATAACCACGACAACTGTTTTTTTTTTTTTTTTTTTTTTTTTTTTTTTTTTTTTTTTTTTTTTTTTTTTGATAGTATCAAAATACCTTTTTCTTATCCGTATATATATATTTTGTTTGATAGCTGCTGAAGTTGTACCATCTGCTTGGGTAGAACCTCCAAAGATTGCCGATCAATCCAAATCAGTTCGATCACCAGTAGAACCTTCATCAACTCTTGGATCTCAATCAATGTTATCATCTCACTTTTCAGGGAAAAGCGTAAGTATTAAAAAAAAAAAAAGGCATTCATTGAATAGAATCTGATATCTTTTTCTGTTTTATTTATCTAGTCACCATCTGATTCACATATGGGGTCTGCACCAACGCAAGATATGTCTGAAGCTCGTTTACCATCATCGTTGGCGGATCTTGCTTCATCATTTGAATCCATTAAAGCTAGAGGTAGGAAAGAAAAGGTTAGGGATAATAATAATAATACTAAATCATCTATATTATATAATAGCTGGTAAAGAAGATATGTTATACACACATCAAATGCTTGACGCAAGTTTACAACATGTACCTGACTTGATTGATTCTGAAAGGTATATAAAAGAACATTTTGGTTTTATTTTAATGATACTCATCACTTTATGTACCGTTTAGACCAAAGATGTATCAACCACGAATGCCATACATGTCACCAAATTATTATCCTCAACAACCATTAGCCATCTTTGACAACCCTGTATTATTTGAAAAGTTTGATATGGATGCCTTATTCTTCATCTTCTACTATCAACAAGGGACTTACCAACAGTAAGGAAAACTTGATCAATTATACTATTTTTTTTTATGATACTAATTCCTTTATTTTATTTTATTTTTATTTTTATTTTTTTTTATTTATTTATTTTGTAGATATTTGGCTGCGAAGGAACTGAAAAAGCAATCCTGGCGATTCCATAAAAAGTATCTGACGTGGTTCCAACGACATGAGGAACCTAAAGTGATCACCGAAGATTATGAACAAGGCACATACATCTATTTTGACTATGAAGGTGCTTGGTGTCAACGCAAGAAGACTGAATTTAGGTAGGAAAATAAATTGATATCAATTAAAATAACTAAAGGAAAAATACTAAAACTGATATCTTATGGATAGATTTGAATACCGATTCCTGGAAGAAGCTTAAAAAGTCTGTGTATTTAAAATAATTTCAAAGTATTTTATTATACTTGGCAACCCAATGTCTCTTTAGTTATTGTTATTCTACAAATTAGTGTTTTATCCCCATTTTATCTTCCAATGTCTGTTAATAAAGAAATATACACTCGTTTTTTATTCTTATGCATGAATCATCCATTTTCTTTTAATGATGGATGTGACGTCGAAATTCGGTGGCTGTGGCGGGGTGAAAATAACATACCCATCCCCGTTCTTCCTTTTTTTTTTTTTTTTTTTTTTTCTCTTCCCTTCCTCTTCCTTTTTTGTTTTGACATTTCAACCTCATATTATATCAATCATGGTAAACTAAATGATGTCTAAAATAGATACAACACAAATACAATGACGTTTTGAAAAGAATTATCGACGAGACATATTAAACTAAACCTTTTTTTTTGTGGATTTCTTTAGCTTCGTTTCACCCCTAGAGTTTTCACCACCACTACTCGACAAGCTACTCGGTAAGGAACAACAATATATATATATAAAGGAAAATGAATTGACTTTATCTCGATTTTGATATATAGTGTCGTTTCTGCCATGCCTGTTCTTGCACGACGAACCTACACCACTGAACCTCTCCCTACTCCTGGAAGTGCCGCCACCACCGATCCTAAGATTGCATCCATTGTTGATCAAATTGAAGGTTTGACTTTATTACAAACTTCTGAACTCGTGTCACAACTCAAGGTAAAAGTATATCGAAAAGCAGGAAAGAGAAGAAGAACTCATGATTTATTTTATATGTATATATATAGACTCGTTTAAATATCCAAGATATTGCCATGCCTGTTGGTGTTCCTATGGCTGCTCCTACTGGTGGTGCTGCTGCTGCTGAAGAAGAAAAACCTGCTGAAAAGACTGAATTCAATCTCAAGATCGAAAAGGTGGATGCTGCTACTAAGGCCAAGGTGATTCGTGAAGTTAAGAACTTGGCAGGTTTGAATTTGGTGGAAGCCAAGAAATTCGTTGAAAGTGTACCCAAGGTACTCAAGGAATCTATTAACAAGGAAGAAGCTGAAAAGTTGAAGAAGGCTCTTGAAGCTGTTGGTGCTACCGTTACTTTGGAATAGATTATAGACCTCCCTCCACATACTCTCACATATTATACATCACAACTTATAGTCACATACTTTTCCCTTTTGTCATATATTTACATACATTCGTGTTTAGTCTTTTTTTTTTATTTACTATTTCCTTTTTGCACATTATGATTTACTTTTCCCAATAGAAATCAAAATACACATTTATAAATCATCTGTTTACATACTTTTTCTTTTTTTTTTTTTTTGTGTGCGTTTTGTTTCCATGATTATTGTTTTGTTGATACTTGTAAAAAGAGGTAAACTTTTTATTGACAATATCGAAAAAAAAAGGATAGATTGTTCAATTGTAGACAAGAATATGTTTGTAAATGAATATTATATATATAAATATATATATATAAAATATATTGCAAAATAAAATGGGGAAAAACGTAAACATGATAACTACATAGCCATCCTCATCATAACGCTATACTAAATTGTGAAATAACTAACTAACTAATCTACCAATCCTTCTTGATATCAAAAGTCCAAGACCATTCCATATGAGTAACATTGTCATCATCAACGAATTTACTCTACAAAACAATAAGAAATGTAAGCAAAGGACAAGTTTCCATCCAATCATCTATTTACCTTGGCTTCATAACGACCACGAGCAATCATACCAGAGGGAGCTTCTTCAGGCAAGAACTTCTTTTCATGTGCATTGGCTTGAGGACCATAACTTCCGATCATTTCTTCGGTCTTGTCAACTGTTCATGTGTAACAAGAAAAAAAAAAAAAAAAAGAGAACCATCATCAGTCATTTCATTAATAACCTTTTCAATTTCAGCTACATATGAATCAAGATCCGATTACTTTACCTCGAATACCTTTACGCTTGACAACTTGCAAATATTTCAAACCAGAGACGACATCATGTTGCACTCTATAAATATATATATATATATGAGTATCAGTACAAAATAGGATACATCAAAAAGAGAAGGGGTTCAAAGATAAAAAAAAAGGGGGGAAGGGACAGTTGCTATTTGTTGTACAATAATATAAACAAAGAAGAAAACAAAAGAAGAAAAAGGAGAAGGAAAAAAAAGGCTGTCTTTTTTGTTTTACCTGAATTTCACTTTCATACGGTACTCCACACCTTCCTTAATGGTAAAAGGTGTAGACTTGGCTTTTTCCAAAGCATCTGGATGAAAACAACAAATGCAAAATCAATAAATAAACACACTGACTTGTATCAAGTATCCCAAAAAAGGAATGTATACACAAGGTTCATCAGTTACCTGGAGAGGATAAATCAACAACAACATCGTCACGACCAGCAACTTCCAAAGCAATTTGTTCCACCACGACCTAAAAATAAACATTTTATAAAAGCGTTAGTTCATCAAGATGTATAGCGCGGGCAACCCCTTTTTTTTTTTTTGTTCATGTCAGAATGACGTATAATCAAGTCATATCATATCCAAAACATAACAAAACAATATAATATATCATCAACTTACTCTACGAGGATCATCACTTGGTGCAGGCACTTATTAAAAAGATAAAAAAAAAAAAATGAGTAAGACAGTATAGAGTTCCAGTTCTGTTTCCATGTCGTTATCATCCCCAAGTTATTCTATTTTTTTTTTCTCCCCGTACAATCCCCTTTTTTATTTTCTTCCAACACACAGACACAGGCACTATAGTAATATTTAATCCCCACTCTTTCTTTCTTTCTCATCATGACCATCATCCTTTTCACTTTTTGTCAACACTACCACTCTTTAAACATACACAGTCAAAACACAAACATATATAAACACACGTATTTTATCATTATCATTATTATTCAAAGGGTAATATATCTTACCAGCTGATTGACCACCCAAACCAAGGGATTCTTTCCATTTCTTCAAGGATTCATCTTGAGCATCCAAGCTGTTGTATTCGGCCAAAGACTTCTTTTGACCGGGAGTATAACCAGCAGTTTGAGAAGGCAAAAGGTCGTCGTCGTGTTCAGACATATTAATAATAAATTTTAGTTAGAGAAAAAAAAAAGGTGATGAAAAAAAAAAAATAGAAACAGGAAAGAAAAAGAAGAAGAAGGAAAAAAAAAAGGTGGATGATATTTCTGCTCCGCGCGTCATCACACACACGACGCAAGTAATAATTTTACCAATTGTCCTCATTTGGGTACCTTTCAATTTCAGGTTCAGCAAAAAGCTATATTACCCCAAAAACAGGTGAACACGTTGACAGATTTGAGTTTTATTTTGATAATGAAGGATTTCAAATATAATTTTATTTATATAAAAAAAAAAAAGGAAGGAATAAAAATAATATATATGATGGATTTTGTCTAATAAAGATGAATAATAAAAAAAAAAAAAAAAAGAACGGATGTAGTGTATGAATTGTAAAAATGTAAACTATAAAGAATGAAAACAAAAATATATATAAAATGGGGAGTCACTAAGTTCGTCGCTTTTTCATTTTGCTGTTTTCTTCTTCAATTCTTGCACGTCGATTAAAGATACGTTCCAATTTTCGTCGAGCTTCACAATTGGGGAAATTGGATAAATCAAAGTAGTGAGGAGCAATATCAACAAGCCAATCCATCTTGATTTCTGTACAGATTCGAATATAATTACGAGTCGTAAGTACAAATTCGTTGTAAAGAACCCATTCTGGTTTGTGATCCAAGCAGCTTGAAGGATGAAGTTGTACTAATTGATTATCTTTCACTGTCAAATAATGACCACTACGTTCCAAATGAGCTACTTGCATGAAATAACCTGCCGCTAAAGCACGTCGAATATTGGTGTAATAGTTTCGATCTTCAAATGGTGTTGATACAAGATCCAAATCATTGTTTTCCATGGTACGTCGTAATTGTCGTCGTACATCATCAGCTGATTTCAAAGATCGTTGATTCAAAAAGTGATTCCAACACCATTTAGGATCTCCTTCATCTATATATCATAAATCATTATTATCATCATTAATGCTCTTTTTTTTCATGAATTGACCTTTTTTTTTACTTACTTTGTTTGTAGGCATGGTAAGCATTCAATAAAGTCAAATGATCACCATCAGCATGAGCAAATTCGGCTTTTGCTTCATCAGCTTGTTTTCTTGCTTCATTAGGACGGACAAAGATTTGAGGAACTGATAAAAGAGCAGCAATAGACAAGATTTCATTGGAGCAACGGTATTTTGGACTTTCAATCAACATCTTACAAAGTTGAGGATCAAGAGGGAAGGCTGCCATAACATCACCAAGAGGAGTCAATTCACCATCATCATCCAAAGCACCTAAATAATTCAAAAGTTCAAGAGCACGCATCAAAGTTTCAGGAGCAGGAGGATCCATGAAGTCGAAATGTACCAAATCATCAATACCAAGTTTCTTAAGTTGCAATACCACCGAACCCAAATTGCTACGAAGAATTTCAGGGTATGTTTGTTCAATCAATTCCTTGTTGAAAGCAGATTCAGTGTACAAACGGAAAGATTTGCCAGGACGAGTACGACCAGCACGACCAGCACGTTGTTGTGCAGATGCCTTGGAAATAGGAGATACCAAGAGAGATTCCACACGAATACGAGGATTATATACTTTTTGTTTAGCAAATCCAGGATCAATCACATAAACAATACCATCAATAGTCAATGAAGTTTCAGCAATGTTAGTAGACACCACAACCTTTCGACCAGGACGACCACCTTGTTTACGAGCAGGAGGAGCAGCTTCAAAAATACGTTGCTGAGCTTGAGGAGGTAAACTAGAGTATAGAGGCACAACCTTCAATGGACCAGCATCATGGCTACGAATCAATTCATCACCTTCAGCTTCAATCTTGCGACAAGCTTGTTCGATTTCTTCTTCACCAGTCAAGAATACCAAGATATCACCTTCCGGTTCACTAACATGAACTTGTAATACAGTACGAATAGCAGCTTCCAAGTAATCACGTTCAGGTTCAGGTGTATAAAAGATTTCAACAGGGAAAGTCCTACCAGGTACAGTCTATATAAATAATATAAAAAATAAAAATAAAAAAGATTAATGATAATGTTCATTACTATCCCGTTTTATCATTCTACTTTTTTTTTTATTATTACCAATAGTGGAGCATTGTCAAAGTATTTTTGGAATTTGCCAGCATCCAAAGTAGCAGACATGACAACAACTTGTAAATCACGTCTCTTGCGACAAATCTATCATAAAAAGAAAAGAAAGAAAAAAAGTATGTTAATAAAATAAAAATCATATTTATCACTTTTTTTAATAATACCTCTTTTAAAAGACCCATTAAAATATCAGTGTTCAAAGTACGTTCGTGAGCTTCATCGAGAATAATAGCGGAGTATCTGCTTAATTTGGGATCAGACATAGCTTCACGTAAGAGCATACCATCAGTCATATATTTCAAAAAGGTCTTGGGACTTGTATTATCTTCAAAACGAATATTGTAACCGACTTCTTGACCAAGCTTGACATCCATTTCATCAGCTACACGTTGAGCAACAGACATGGCAGCCACACGACGAGGTTGTGTACAAGCAATCTGTTTACCTTGCAAATGAGGAAGTTCATCGTATACCATAAATTGAGGAATCCTATCCATTCAAAAAAAGAATAAGACTTTATTAACAAACCTTAGAATATTTTTTTTTCTTTTTCTTTTTTTTGACACTTACTGCGTCGTTTTTCCAGATCCAGTTTCACCAACCAAAACCACAAATTGATTGTTATGAATCATTTCCAAAAATTCACTACGTTGAGCATGCACTGGTAACTTGCGGCGTCCTTCCAAGATCTTTTGGTATTTTGCTGTAAAGTTTCGTCCAGTAAAAGGATTGACAGTACCGTTTTCTAAAGCTTCAGCTTGATCCGCTGTGGTCTTTCTTGGGATCATACCTTTGAAGACGTCACTATTTGATCCATTTTGTCGTTGCTCTGTTGACAAGTGTGCAAGATAGGGATTTTCACCTGAACTGCTCATGATCAAAACTAAGATAAAGAAAAAAGAAAAAGCGCAAAAAAAAAAAAAAAAAAAAAAAAAAGAAAAAGAAAAGAAAAAAGCACTATTTTGTTTCTGTGACTTGTCCACTGATTGGTTTCGTCCCCAAAAGGCTGAAGCGGAATATGAAATTGCAATAGACACCAACCTTCCTACAGGAATTACGAATAAACTATAAATCATTTTAGATAGAAAGAGTATAAAGATTGATCGATGTTTACATTGAACACAGTTGAAAAAAGTATATATATAGTCATGATTTGACCGTATTCAATGAGATTTTACTTGATTTTGTGGTATCTGTGCAGAAAGCCAACCATCTTAAACAACACATTATAACGCTGATGCCTACGTATTAAATGTAACAATCACGTTACTGGTCGTTGAGACACATCATCTTCATGATGGCGCTGATGGCATTGATGAAGAAAGAGTGATGATTATTTGAGTAGCTCATTCGTGTATTCCTTCAATCATCCATTGTACAGTCATCATACAATCATCATACAATCATCATACAATCATCATACATCATACAAATGAATTCCTGATGACAAGCTATTTGTTTGAGAGCATTACACAGCGGAGAAGGAAGTATTAGGATTTGAGGATTCACAAACAAAAAAAAAGTTCAAGTGCCGTTCTTTTTGGTCTTGGGCTCTTTTTTTTTTTTTTCTTCTTTTTTTTTTTTTTTTTTTTGATTATATCATTTGTCCTGGTTAATGTCATGATTAGCCAAATACTACAAACGCCTTCAAGGGTCATTAGGATGGGCAACTTGCATAGAACAAGCAGTCTCTCCTTGACTAAAACAATTTCAGGATGTCAACGTCAATCGGTCGCAGCATATCACCTTACTCAACTGCAACAACAACAACAGCAACAACAACAGTTAATAGTAACAACTCGTATACCTTCCTTGTTACATTCTTCATCTCGAGTTCGGTCTTTTTCACATGCAACATCTTCTGCCTTATTATTGAATAATCAAATTCGATCTATTGGTTTCTCAACTATTCCTCGTCTGACTTTCACTGCCTTCCGCTTTCCTGCATTTATCGCTGGGACGACAGTAGCAGGTGTTACTGTTGCCAACAACAAACTTACAGGTATCAAAATAATCAATCGACCGAAACTTTTTTTTTTCTTTTTTTTTCATTCCGTTGTTATTGGAATACATCTTTTAACCTTTTTATTTTATTTTTGTTTTTGTTTTTCATGGATTTAGAATGGACCGATAAGGGAACTGCCATGTTCTTTGAAGGGGTGTCTGAGGCGCAAAAACTACTCCATATGGTGCAAGAACAAGCTGATGGGTTAGACATATCTATACCAGAATTCCATTTACGTGTACCAAATGCAATTAAAGACTTTTTAGCTACTGTTAGTGGAAAAGGTGGAGAACAACATTCAACAAATCATACCTTATCTTCAACATCAACAAACAAGGAAGAAAATGGTGGTCAAGACAATAACAACAATAATAATAATGGTAGTGATAATACGGCAGCAGCAATGGCGGCAGCAGCAATGGCAGCTACTTTGACTACTGATGAAGAAGATGATCGATCCAAACGAAGAAAAAGATCAGAAGGACACTCCATCTCTGCAAATGATGAACAACTGATGATGTTGACGAAGAAACTTATTGAAATACGAAGCATCCTTTTATCTATTGATCACAATGAAACTCTGAAACTTCCTAGCATCGTGGTGATTGGATCTCAAAGCTCTGGCAAAAGTTCGGTTCTAGAAGCAATTGTTGGTCATGAATTTTTACCCAAGTAAGTCAATCAAATATAATTCCAAAAAAAAAAAAAACTAATTGTTAAACTTGGTTTTATTTTATTTTATTCATGATATAGAGGAACAAATATGGTGACTAGACGACCTATTGAATTGACCCTGGTTCACACCCCTGGTAATGATGAAGAATATGGTGAATTCCCCCAACTAGGATTAGGCAAGATGCATGATTTTGGCAAAGTTCAAAAAACTTTAGTCGACATGAATTTAGCTGTTACTGAAGCGGAATGTGTATCTGATGAACCTATTGAACTTCGAATCTACTCTCCCAATGTACCTGATCTGACTCTTATTGATCTTCCTGGTTATATTCAAATCTCAAATCGAAATCAACCTGAAATGCTCAAGACGAAGATTCAAGAATTATGCGAAAAATATATCCGGGAACCTAACATTATATTAGCAGTTTGCGCAGCGAATGTAGATTTGGCCAACTCTCCAGCTTTACGTGCAAGTCGTAAATATGATCCTCTTGGTTTACGAACAATTGGTGTGATTACAAAAATGGATTTGGTACCTCCTGAAGTGGGCACTGCTCTTTTACGAAATGGCGATTATCCTTTGCATCTTGGTTATATTGGTGTGGTCTGCAAGTCGCCTGACAATCGACAAGATGGCGCCAACATGACAAATGCATTAATCAAGAATGAAGAATCATTTTTCCATCATCATCACGTATACAATCAACGGGATATTCAGGTCGGTACTGGAACACTTCGCCACAAATTGATGAATGTTTTGGAACAAAGTATGGGACGTAGCCTTTACAGCATTGTTGATGCCGTACAACGAGAATTGGAAGAAACTCGATATCAATTCAAGGTACAATACAACGATCGTAGAGTGACAGCTGAATCTTATGTGGCTGAAACAATGGATACTTTAAAGCATAACTTTAAGGATTTTGCAAACAATTTTGGGAAACCTCAAGTAAGACACGAAGTGCGAACCATGTTGGAACAACGGGTACTAGATATTTGTGCAGAACAATATTGGTCTGATGGCAAGATTGCAGATTTGAACAAAGCTTCCCCTGATGACATCTACTGGTTATATAAGATTGATTTGGCAGCAGCGGCTTTGACAAAAAGTGGTGTTGGTCGATCAACCACTCAACTGGTTGTGGATGTCTTGATGAGCAATATGGAACGTTTGGCCAATGCAGAACAATTTACTTACCATCCAGAAACAAGGAAACAAATTTTGAACTTTACAAGTGAAATCTTACGAACCAAGTTTTTAACAACAAGTGATCAAGTAGAAAATACTATCAAACCATACAAATATGAAGTAAGTAAAAAAAAAAAAAAAAAAAAAAAAAAAAAAAAATTGTTTCATCACATTTATTGAACTGATTTCCTTTTCTTAGGTTGAAATCACTGATGCTGAATGGACAGAAGGTGTGAAACGTTCAGTTGTACTTTTGGAAAAAGAATTGGAAATGTGTGAACAACTGTCAAATACCATCAAGAATACAGTTGGCAAATCAAAACTCAAAGCAGCCATCCGTCATGTATTGGATTCTGATCGAGAAGATAATCGTCGTTTGGACCGTATACAAAAATTAGCTGAAGAAGGAAATGGATCTCTAGAAGAACTAGTAGTAGTCAACGAAGATGATGATGTCAAACCAGTTTACAATCCTCGACTTGTGGAAAAAGCAAAGGAAGCCCTCTTTTTACGTGATCGTGCCATGATCCTCAAGTATCGTATTGCAGCACTCAAGAGTCGTCAATGCAAATCATCTGATAATAAACAATACTGTCCTGAAGCATTTTTGAACATTATTGCTGAAAAACTCACGTATACTGTAAGTCTAAATTTTATTAATGATTGATATTATGAACTCATGATTTTTTATTAATTTATAGGCTGTTATGTTTATTCAAGTGGAACTATTGAATGAATTCTTCTTCCAATTCCCTCGTGAAGTAGATGATCGATTGGTTTATCAAATGAATAGAAAACAAATCCAACAATTTGCAAAGGAAAATCCACCTATACAAAAACATTTGGCCCTAATGGAAAGAAAAGCTAAATTAGAAGAAGTGATGGATAAACTGAACTATTTGGTAAAACGACAAGCTGATAGACATGAAAAACCAAGATCTCATTATATGTAGAAATAGTTTAGTGATTATATTTATTATTATTATTATTATTGTTATTATTATCCCATACCCACCCTTTCCAATTCAATTCCTCCCCTCTCCCTTTTTTTTTTTTTATCCTAATGTATTTTGATAATAAAACTTACTTCTTTTTTTGTTCTGAACACTGCGGAGTTCCTTGGAAAAATTGACGAGAGAACCGTGGGGAAAAAAAAATCAAAGTTTGTTCCTGTCTTCTCCTTTTTTTTTTAAAAAAAAAAAAAAATAACAGTTTTATTTCGAATTGATTCACTTTTTAACAGTACGTTGGAAAAGAATCTTACCTAAACAAAGGTTTTTATCCTTAGTATTAGGTTCAAAATCAAGATTTTTATCCACAAAGTCAACACAGCAACATCAATCTTATACCAACAAAACAGTTATGAACATTTTACTTTATCGAGATAGAGGTACTGCTCCCAATTCTGTACGTCAAACCTATCAATCATTGAAAGCACTCCTTGGACATGCCTATGATATTATACATGTAGATGCAACTGTGTTACGATCTGAACCTTGGGAAACTCATTGTGCCATGTTAGTGATTCCTGGTGGTCGAGATCTTCCTTACTGTCAAGATTTACAAGGTGAACCTAATCAACGGATTCGACAATATGTGGAAAATGGTGGTCGTTATCTTGGTATTTGTGCTGGTGCTTATTATGGATCTTCCTTTATAGAATTTGAAAAAAATGATCCTATCATGTCTGTCTGTGGTTCTCGTGAACTCAAGTTCTATCCTGGTGTTTCTCGTGGTACAACTTATCCTGGATTCGTCTACAATAGTGAACTTGGTGCTCGATCTATACCCATTTTACTAAATCAATCTCTTTTATCCCCCTTTTATGAACAATCCCTTGGTAACAATGCACATGCTTTCCTCAACTCATCTATTCACATGTACTACAATGGTGGTGGCTACTTTGTTCAAGCAGATAGATATGCTAAAGACAATAATAATAGTGGTGTCAAGGTAGAAGTCCTCGCTCGATTCGAATATCCTGGTATTTGTACTGATGAAACCCATCCTGCAGCTGTGGTACAGTGTCATATTGGTCAAGGTCATGCTTTATTGATCGCAATTCATCCGGAATACGACGCTGTGCCTAGTGATTTGGAAAATCCTGATGCTACTGATGCTCTCAAGGCGATTATCAAAGACTTAATTCAATCAAAAGTAGACCGTAAATTGTTTCTTCGTGCGGTATTTGCTCGTATGGGATTGCAGGTGGTACCTCTTGGTCATGGACAACAAGTGTTAATGGAAAATCAAATCCTTGAACCGACTCCTTTCTATTTGGCAATGCATGAATCAGCAACTACCTCAACAACGATGCCGTCAACATTTACAACACTCATAGAAAAATGGATGGAAGCAGCAAGTCCGGTATCCAAGATATTGGAATGTACACACGATGCGTTTTATCTATCAGCTTTAGACACCAATGACAATGATAATAAAAATACAGCACTAGATTTGATCTCATTGACTCGAAAACAGCAGGCAAAACCACCCATCATCAAATTATTATATCTGACCGAACCCTCTGGGAATGGAACAACCCAATACCGAATCATACCGCCAATCCATCTGACACCTTCTTTCAATCTGGCACTCTACTTTGATTTGTTGAATCAATGGCGAAATCACTATCATCAGCATCAAAACAATTCTGTTCACTTTTTTGGGAATACCATATTATATGCTCAAGTTGCGGAGAGTACACAGACATTATTGGATAAGTAAGTTCATTAAAAAAAAAAAAAAAAAAAAAAAAAGAGAGAGAGAGAGAGAGAATACAAGAGATTCATTAAGCGTTTTTTGTTTTTTATGAATAGCAATTTCGATTTTACAAAAACTTTACCCACTGGATCTGTCTGCTTGGCTGCTAATCAAATCGCTGGACGAGGTAAAATTAAAGAGATGAATGATGAAAACATATCAATGATAATAAACATGCGTTTGTTTTTTTAGGAAGAGGACGGAATTCTTGGGTTTCTCAGAATGGTGGACTTCAATTTAGCATGATGATTCGACATTCGACAAGTTATATGAATGCACCAGTGGTTTTCTTACAATATTTGATCTCTTTGGCAGTGGTGGAAAGCATTCGAAAAAGATCTGGATACGAACAATTACCAGTTTTTTTGAAGTGGCCTAACGATATTTATGGCAGAACTGGGGACAATAACGGTTTGAAAAAAGTGGGTGGATTGCTGGTCAATTCACATTATATGGAAAATGAATTCACTGTTATTATTGGTTGTGGTCTCAACGTTTCGAACAAATATCCAACAACATCCATCAACGAAATTATCCAAGCATATGATCGAACTCTACCTTTACTATCGTCTGAGGATGTATTGGCAGGCATCATAGTCTCATTTGAATCCTTATATATGCAATTTTGTGAACATGGAATTGGATCTTGGTTCTTGCAGCGGTATTATCATTATTGGTTACACAGGTAAAAAGAAAAAGAAATAGAATAATACCAATACTGAACCTCTTTTTTTTTTTTTTTTTTAGTGATCAACTTGTGACATTGAAGACACATAATAATGCAGTGGCAAAGATCAATGGCATTACAAGTGATTATGGATTATTAGTGGCTTTAGACTTAGATAATGGAAAACGTTATGAATTACAACCTGATGGAAATAGTTTTGATATGATGAAAGGTTTAGTATCAATAAAAGAATAGATTTGATTGGCTATCGGTTAAACTTAGAGTTGAGTCTCAGAAATAAAGTTTTTTTTTTATCTGATTTTTTTGTAGTCACGTATAACAGCAAAAGATCTGATAATAATTATCGCCATGTCTTTTTTTCTTTTTCTCCTTTTTCTTTTCTTTCTTTTTTCTTTTTTTTTATTGATTAATATACATAATGAGCGCATGTCCTTTTTCCAAACCTATTGATGAAAGTGAAGGTGGATGTCCATTTGGTTCTAGTCCACCATCTTCTATGAATAGTTCATCATCATCCTCTGGTGGTTTAGGTGAACAAATGGCCAAATGGTAAAGAATAAAAAATCAATTGTTACCGGAGGATTACGGGGCATTAGATCTGAACTCATCATTCATTTTCCTTTTCTTTTTCTATAGTACAACATATCAAAGTGGTAACTATGCAACTTCTCCTGATATACATGTACATCATCACCAATCACTTTCCTTTTTTTTTTAATGATTTAGGTGGATGTCCAATAGACAATAAGGCTAAAGATGATATCGAAGACTTATTATCTGTTCAAACGCCGCGGAATCTCTCTTTGAATGGTAACCCCTGGCTTTTTTTTTTTTTTTTTTTATTTCAACGTTTTTTTTTGTTCACTGACTTGTATCTATTTATAGGGAAAGTATTGGATAGATTTCTTCCTGAAGCATATCCCATCAAAATTAATAAAGCTCAATTAAATCAAGATATTCTAGATGATCCTCAATTGGCTATGGCGATGCGACAAGGCACAAAAGTAGTTCATAGTGCTGCAGAAAACAGTGTGTTCACTCGGTAAAAAAAAAAAAAAAAAAATGTTGAATCTCCGAGGTACCTATAATAAAATTTCATTTTCTCTAATTTTTCTTCTTTTTTCTTTTTCATAGACGTTTTTTGAAAGGTGACATTACTAAAGGTGAATATGGTCAATACCTACGTTCATTGTATTTTATATACAAGTAAGTATTAAACATTTCTTTTGAACAATATTTATTCATCTTCTTTATATATATATATATATATTAGGTCTATGGAAGAATTATTAGAGAAACATCAACAAGATCCAGCCATAGAAATGATCTATTTCCCTGATGAACTTAACCGTGAACAAGCACTATTAGAAGATTTGACATATTTTTATGGACGTGAACGACTGGCTCAAGTAACTCATCCTGATACTATGACACCAGCTGTGAAACGATATATTCAAGCCATGGAAGAAGCGTGTAAAGTGAATCCTGCATTAATGGTATCTCATAGTTATGCTCGTTATTTAGGTGATTTATCAGGTAAAAAAAAAAAAAAAAAAATTGAACTATTCATGTATTATTATATTTGATGATTGATTATTTCTATGTTTTATTTTATTTTATTTTTTATTAAAAAGGTGGACAAATATTAGCCAAAAGACTCAAAAAGTATATCTTACATTTGGAAAAACAAGATAGTTCATGGGATTCTCGATTAGGTGTTTCTTTTTATTATTTTAACAATATTGGAAATCAAAATGAATTCAAGAATATGTATCGTCAACAATTGGATGAAGCACCTGTGACTGCAAGAACAAAAGGTAAGAAAAGATCATTGATAATGTATAAGTTTATTTATTTATTCATTTATTTATTTATTATAGACATGGTGGTAGCAGAAGCTGTCCGATGTTTTGAATTGAATATTGCTTTATTTGATGAAATTCAAGCATTATCTGATGCTAATGAATTGATATCCATTGATGATAATAACAAGAAGAATAGATGGTCTTTACATAATATATCAACTAGTTTAGCTATTACTACGATTGTCTCTTTAGGTTGTATTGCATATATTCGTCATAGATCGTGATTATTAGTATATTTCATAATAAAATCAACTTTTATGTTACTTTTATCATCTTTTTGACTCTTATTTTTTTTTTCTCTCTCTTTTGAACTACATTGCCTTGTGTAACAAAAATACTTTTTTTTAAAAAAAAAACATACAAATTTTTTCTTTCTTTCTTTCTTTCTCTTCCTCTCTTTTCTTATTTATCATTATTATTATATTTAATGACATGGTAGAAGAAGAAACTATAACAAAACTTGCTCGTGTTCCAAAAATGGAAGCCTCTTCTACTACTGCTACACGACGTTTGTCTACTGTAAAATCATCCACCACCAAATCTTCTACTTCCACTTCTACTCGTACTAACTTAAAACCAACCCCTAGTACTGCTCGTCGTACTGTTACTCCAGCAACTCGAACAACTACACCAAAGTCTCCTCCATCTCCTTCACCATCAACTACCAACGGTATTCGACGGGGTTTGAAGACTCAGGATGCCTCCGTCAAGCCTATTCCATCTGCAAGTAAACGTATGTCTACAGTAACCCCAAGTACACGTTCTACTACTACACCAAGCGCTTCAACTACTCTCAGTAGACGCTCTACAGTAACTGCTACATCATCGCCACGCAATAACGGTGAAACACCAAAACCATCTGTCAGTCGTCGAGCAACTACTTCTACCCGTACTTCACCCGCTGTCCAACCTTCAACATCTATTAGAAGACAATCAACTTTAACAAACACCATGTCTACTACTACTGGTTCCAAAAGTCCTATTACACCTACTCCAACCATGAGTAGGCGAATGGGTTCACCTTCTTCTACAGGCTCAACAACCTCTACCAGCTCTACTAGATCATCACTTTCTGGAAAATCAACGTTATCCTCTACCTCTGCAAACATAAAAGCCTCCAGCAATGATAATGTTGATGAAGATAATGATTCTCAATCTGAAATAGAAAATAAAATCAACTTGTTTAAAGATCAGGTAATCATGAAATAGAAAAAAAAAAAAAAAAAAAAAAAAAAACACAAGATGAATCCAATTTTGGAAAAAAATTAATTATCATTCTTTTTTTTTTTTTTTTTAGCTCAAAGAGATGGAACAACAGATCATCAAAGACGAAGAAACAATTTTACATAAACAGCAAGAAATGGATGATCTACACAAGGCATTGGATGAAGCACAAAGTCAACAAGAAGAACAACTATTGGAAGCTATACTGGAAATGACAGAACATCTCAAGAAAAAGGAAATAACGCGTGATGAAGTAGTGGAGAAATTGGATGAACTATCGGCACAAATGGAAGAACAACGCAATTTAGCTCAACTTGTAGAAGAATGCGAAATAACCGGCAGAGAAGCAATGGAATCTTTACGGGAAGAACTACAGAATGATCATGATCAGTTGACAGCTATTCTTTTGGAAAAAGATAAGGAATGGCTGGCGTTACAACAATCTTCTGGCGCTTTACGGGAAGAAGTTCAGGTAAAAAAAAAAAAAAAAAAAAAAAAAAAAAAAAAAAAAAAAAAAGACAATCAGTAGTTTGGATGATCTGGATAACAAAACTTTTATCATTACATTTTATATATTCGATGATTAGAACATGCATAAATCACATCAAACTCGAATGACAAGTTTATCAAACCAATTGCAACAAAAACTTACTGAAAAAGTGACAGCACTTTCTTTACAATGGGACAAAGAATTGGAGGAAACAAGGAATGATCCTACCGTATTAGCAAATGTGGATACCAAAAGAAAAGAAATGGTTGGATTGGAACAAACTATTCAGGTAAAAAGAAAAAAAATCAAATGATAAAATTCTGTGTCCAATCATATCTTCATTTTATTTAGAAATTGGAAGAAAATCTATTGCATCTAGATCAAAAATTGAATGAGGACTTGGAAAACTTCAAATTGGACGCTGAAAACCAACGAACAACGGCACTCACTAGTCATCAAAGTATGCTGGATCAGATCTCATTGGAAATCAAAGTAAGTGGGGGTAAAAAAAAAAAAAAAAAAAAAAAAAAAAGACCAAGCTGTTATCAAAGAACTAATCAGAGGTTTTCGATGATCTTCCACTTCATTTAGAATCAAATGTCACAACTTGATGATGAACATGCTCAGCGTATCCAGTCACTGAAGACACAACATCAAGCAGAAATTGCTCAAATTAAAACATCGACGGCTAAGATTGACAAGCATGAACAAATGAAACTGGATATTCAGGTAACAAATTTTATAATGGCATTGAAAGTGATGGATAAAACGTTGGTACTGAATTTAAATCTTTAGACCGAATTGGAAAAAGAAAACGAAGTACAGTTACAGGCCATTCGCCAGCAGCACCGAGACCAACTGGATCAATTACAACTCAAGTTGAATGACGCTTTGCACGAATTTGAAGCATTGAAATCAAAGACTTCTCAGGAACATGACTCTGCAAAAGAACGTATGGATCAAGAACGCCTGGATGAAACAGCATCCATTATTGTAAGGTTTAAAAAAGAGTACTGATATCAATAGACGTTTCCGGCTAATCCTTCTTTTCTCTCTCTCTTTTTTTTTAAAAAAAAAAATAATAATAATAATAATTGGATGTGCAATCAGACACAATTGGAAAGTGAATATACTGAAAAACTGAAGTCTCAATCTACACAATATCAAACGGCATTGGACGGTCATCAAAACGATCTGCGTAAGAGAAACCAGGACCATATTGAAACTCTTGAAAGCACCTTCAGTCAAGAATATCAAACTCTAGTGAACAATCATAACAACAAGCTCCATGAAATGCAATCAACAACAGCAGCAGCTACTCGTGCAGCAGTAGAACGTGAAATCCGTGCTGATTTTGAAATCAAGATGGAAGAACTTGCTGCTGGACATCGACAAGCTATGGAAGACCTTCAAGCACAACATCACTTAGCACTCAAGGCAATGGAGGAAGCAGTTGAAAAAGTGAGAGCGGATAGTCAATTGAAATCAACGTCAATACCTTCTGAAGGACAGGTTTTGAAAGATACTGTCAAGTCACCAAGCGACAATATTGAATCTATTCGGGCTCAAGTACAGGTATAACAATCTAAAAAAAAAAAAAAAAAAAAAAAAAAAGAATCAATGATCTTAACGACGATTCTTCATTTTATAATAGGCTTCTTTGAAAGAGACTCATTCGAAAGCAATCTCCAATATGAATAGACTTCATGAATCAAGGCTTAACGAAATGAAACGGGATCATATCTTGCAAAAGGATCGGGCATTGGAAAAGCTCACCAAGGAATTTGAAGTACATTTTTCGACAATCAAGAAAGAAAATGCTGAAGAGATTAGCCTTTTACAACAAACACATGATGATCAAATCAAACAACTTTTGGTAGTAACAGAGGTAATAGAAATATAAAAAAAAAAGAAAGGTTAAAAAAATTAGGAACTATACTTATCATATAAGATTATTTTCTTTTTGAATACCATTCTTTTTGTTCATGATACAGGATACAATTACTACACAGCGGCAACCTTTGATAAATCAGCATCAGACAAAACGAACTGAACTACAAAACGAGTATGACTTGCGTATTAAATCCATAAATACGGAAATCGACCTACTTGCGGAAAAACGAAACGAATTGCTCTTACACCAACAACAGATTCAGAAAGAACTGGATACATTCAAGGAATCAAGTGCCAAAGAACTACAGGAGATGCAATCCCATCTGGATGAAGCTGAATTGGAAATCGGTGCAGAACTGGAAAGAGCTCATAATGCAAAGATGGAATCCCTTGGTTTGTCCCATCAAGCAGCCATAGACACCCAACAAAAAGATCATCAGCTTCAGTTGCAACAAATTGAAATGCAGAGTGAATCAAGATTGGACAATTTGCCTCCTGGAATCAAGGTACGTCTATTTCTATATATATATGTGTGTGTGTGTGTGCGTGTGTGCGAGTGTATGAGTGTGTACTTGCAAAAGGATGTAAGCTGACGATTGACCCTTTTTTTTTGTGATGATTTAATTCCAGGAATCATTGATAGCAGATTATGAAACACAAATACAGCAATTTGTTAAGGAACAAGAAGGAAAGGTGGCAATATTACAAGAATCGATTAGTAATTTGAAGCAAGAACATGAAAAGATTAAAACGGATCAACAAACCCAACTGGATTTATCAGAAAATGAATGGAAAGCACGATTGCAAGATGCGACCAAGTCTGCAGAACTCCTCTCTGGAACAACATTGCTTGATGAACCCATTCGTACCCAGATGCACGCTGAAGCAAAACAGTCCCGAGAAACGTTATTGGCAAATCAAGAAACTAGTGTGAAGAATCTTATCTCTTCGCATGAACTCGAAATAGATCGCTTATCAAAAGAACATGAACAAATCGTGACCGAATTTGAAACCAAGCTTGAATCATTAGTACAACAAAACGTTTCATGGACTCAACGTATCAAGGTAAGACAAAATGGAATTTGAAAAAAAAAAAAATAAAATAAAAATAAATGACGCTTAGACGAATTAACTTCATTCTTCTTTTTTTTTTTTCTTATACTTTTATTGTATCCGTCTTAGCTTAAGGAAGAAGAACACAATAATCAAGTCAAGAAATTAAACGATGCACATACCGACTCTGTTTCAACATTCAATATTCAGAGACAAACGAAGGAAAAAGAAATCAATGAAAGAATCCAATCACAACGTACAAAGTTGGAAAAATTGGAAGAAAAGTTGATCACCTTACAAATGGAATATGATACAAAAGTAGCATATAAAGATAAACTTGAAAAGCAATTACATCAGCAATCAACAACGAATTCACCCATCAGTAACCTACACAACGAAACTTCATCATCATCATCATCATCATCGTTGGAACAGCATAAGAAGCAATTGAATGAAATGGACAAGGAAATTAAACAATTGGAAGATCAATACTGCGCAGTGATTGAAGAACGAAAAATGCAAGAAAAGGAAGAGATGAAAAAGAATGAGGTATTCAAGAAGGGAAAAAAAAAAAAGGTCAATATTGTTAACTTATATGGAAACTCAATATGGATTCATAGGAAATCATTCATGGATTGGTAGTCAAACATCAAGAAGAAATAGAAAAAATGCATCGGCATTTCCAACATTTATTAGATGTCAAAGATGATGAAATGAATAATGTATCCTATCGATTGAAAACAGTGACTTCGGCTCGACAAAAGGATATTGATCAACTTCAGACGAAACAACGTGGAAAGGTTCATTCTTTGGAAGAATATGCAAGAAGATTGAAGGAATCATTGGAAAAAAGTACAGCACAATATGATTATGTGGAAAATAAACATCAAGCATTACAGGTAAACATAACAAAAGATTTTCATAAATGAAGAGAATTGATTTTTTTTTTTTTGGTTATATAGGCTGAATTCTCACAAGGAACAAATACATTGGGTCAAATCATGAAAGATCATCAAGATATGCAACAACAATTGGATCATTATAAAACTGAAAACAGTCAATTGTTAAGGTAAGAATATGAAATAATGATCTAAACAAATGATACTCATTATTATTCTTTTATAAAGGACAATATACCAATTACAATCTGAAATGCACAAAGTTCGATTAGGATAGTCATTGTATATCATCTTTTATTATTATTATTATTATTATTATATGTATTAGTATAATAAACCTTCTTTGATCATTGATGTTAGAGTCATTTTGCGTGATTTATGCCATCTTTCTGATACTTTTAAATTTCAGTATAGTCTAATCCAGACAACATGTGATCTAACAAGTTTCTTCTACTTTTCCTATTTTATTTATTTTTTTTTCTTAAATCTTTTTTCTCGGGTATGTTTTATGATGTATCATTTACATGAACTTTTTTTTTTATACTTTTTCAAATTCGGTATCATTCTTATTGGCTGGTTATTCATTTTGGCCGTGAAGGCTTCAGTTAAAAGTGGACTTTGAAAAAAAAAATATTTCCTTACTTTTTTATTTTTCTCTCTCTGTCTTTTTTATTTTTTTTCCTCTCTCTCTCTCTCTCAGTTTTTTTTATTTTCCTCTTCTTTCTACATTTTCTCTTTTTCCTATTTCACTTTTTTTTTAAAAGTAATTGAAGAATGGGATTCTTCCAATCCATATTTCACCAAAATAACAAAGGTAATACCAAGGTGACAAATACCAATAATCAGCCACCTCTTATTGACAAAGCAACAACGATCAATCAAAGCAACAACAACAACAACAACAATAATAATAATAATAACTCAGTTCATCCCAGCTCAATACCTCAACAACAACAACAACAACAACAAGAACAATATTCTTCCAATAGTCTACCTTCTTCTACAACTACACCAAGTGGACCTGCTATTAGTACAACAACAACATCGGGATCAAAACGATTTCAAATTAATCAAGATGGAAGTCATATTCACCATTTAACAATTCCGGCACCAAGTCGGTTTACGGGACTCATGGAAGGACTATTACATCGTGACAAGAGTTTTCGGATCAATTGGGGTGATAAGAAATCCACACCTACTTCAGCTAATGATTTGCCTCCTGCTTTGAAAGATGAACGAGCAGCCATTGATGCTACTTTACGAAGAATGCCTTCAACACATTCTTTTGCTCAAAAATGGGGTTCTTGTCAAGAAATCATTGGACGTGGTGCTTTTGGTGTTGTACGGGTAGCTCATAAAAAGGATATGTCTGTACCAGGTTCTGAAGAACGTTTATATGCAGTCAAGGTAATAATAAAAAAATAATAAAAATCACTCATTAGTGTAACCATATTATCTTTATGTAGGAATTCCGGAAACGAAGTTCAGAATCAACAAAAAGTTATGTCAAACGTCTCACGTCTGAATTCTGTATTGCATCAACACTTCATCATATCAATGTCATTGAAACTTTGGATCTATTACCTTTGAATGATACTTCTTCTATTTATTGTCAAGTTATGGAATATTGCAATGGTGGTGATCTTTTTAATGTCATATATGAATGTTCCGATCGTGGTCTTGATATTGCAGAAGCCAATTGTTTCTTCAAACAACTTATTCATGGTGTTAATTATATACATAGTATGGGAATTGCTCATCGAGATCTTAAACCAGGTAATAATATAAATGATTAAAAAAAAAAAAAGGAAATACTTATAGTTATTCTTTTTTATATGAAATTCATTTAGAAAATCTTCTTTTTAGCTCTACTGGATGTCTCAAGATTAGTGACTTTGGATCAGCAGAATGTTTTAGTGTAGTGTGGGAAGAACCAGATGCTCAAGGAAAACCAATACTTCATAAAAGTAAAGATCTCGTGGGTTCTGAACCTTACATTGCACCGGAAGAATTTATTCAAGACGAATATGACGCTCGGAAAGTGGATGTATGGAGCTGCGGGATTATTTATCTGGCAATGCGGACAGGAAGTCATTTGTGGCACATTGCAAAACAAGGAGAAGATGAAGCATATGACCGATACCTCAAGTTTAGACAATTGGTAGATGAAGAAAGGGAAAATGCTCGAAGGGAACGTAGTTTACGTCGACAACAATTACAACAACAAGAACAATTAAATTCAACAGTAGAAAATGGATCAGATTTATCTCTTTTACAAATCCAAAGGGAAATCAGTGTATTAAAGGCCAAGGAAAATATCAAGAAAAAGGCAAAAGAAGGTGGTTATGATGTATTGGAAAGTTTGGATTTTGCTTCAAAGAAACTGATTTATCGACTATTGGATCCATCAGGTGATAAGCGGATACTTACTTCTGACATTCTCACCAATGAATGGTTTATCAAGATCAAATCATGTCAATCTTATTAGTTTTTTTGTTTATTACCTATAATTACTTTTATATACCTTTTTATTATATTATTATTATTATTATTATTATTAGTATAATTATTGATTAGTCAAATATATATATATTTTTTTTTTACTTATTATCTACTTTACCAATCCCTCCACTACGAATTGTACCATAAGTTCAATTTTAATTGTATTTTACCCTGATGATAGTTTGTATGTACTTGAATAAAAAAAAAAAAACTATACTCTTATATATATATGATCATTATTCATCAATCAAATATTATCCATAGGACTCATTGGGAATGATATAAATTCTTATCTTTGAAATTTATCTATATGATTACCATTTAATCATTAGGGAAAAAAAAGATCGTCAGATTTAAAGGTACATTATCGGTAAAACGTAACCCCGCAAGCAGGATCCAGACAAAAAAGGATCGACCAATCACCCTGCCTTTTTTATTATTATTATTTTATTTTATTTTATTTTATAGAAAAAAAAAAAAGGAGACAATACTTTTTTTTGTTTTATGATGCATGATATATAATTTCTGTATCGTAATTGTAGATGATTGACAAACAACTTTTACCAATAAAAATCCCGGGTAAAAAAAAAAAAAAAAAAAATACTCTCCGTCATAAAAAAGAAGGGTATTTTTTATGCTGAACAAAAGGGAATGATGTAACCATCCAAATTAGGTAATCTAAGTAACCATTTTTAGTCTCCAAATTAGTGAAGGAAAGGGGGGGCGGACACACACCTTGAGAAAAAGTATACTAAAAGTAAAGTAGTAGTATAATAGTAGTGTGAATTGATTGCCAATACATGATTCTCCGAGTTGCACAAAAACGTTGATGAAATAGAAGAATATCATTCCTTTGTAAAAAAAAGATTATATTAAAAAAAGAATAAAATAAACACCAAATAAGGTAAGTAGAATAAAAAAATAAAATAACTTTGCTCCTTTTTTTATTATTATTATTCACTTAAAAAAAAAAAAAACACTACTTGAAGGAGAATCAAATGTATGACTTTTTTTTTTTAAGTAAATCAAAAAAAAAAACTTTAACTTTTTATGCAAGGCTTGTTTTCCCAACTTGACTTCTTTGATATGTTATGTCATTGGCGGAAATTAGTATGATTGGATAGTGATTATTTAGCACTACTGTTGAGAAAAAAAAAATAATCTTAGCACTCTAAATAATTCGTCGGACATAGAATGATCCACGCTAGCGACTTTTTTTATTTTTTTCCACCCCTCTCTTTCTCTCTCTCTCTCTCTCTCACTTTTTTTTTTTTTTCTCTTGTCTCTTTTTCACTTTTTATTTTTTTTATTTTTTGTTTTTTTGTTTTGTTTTTCTATTCATTATTCCTTCATTAATCTTATTACTCTTTCATCTTTGGATCCCTTTTTAAATTTATCTTTCATCTTTGTATATAGTAAGTTTGTTGTTTCACTGAAACTGAATTAGAAAAAAAAAAAAAAAAAGGTGGACGTTCAGAAAAACTGGGAATCTTGCAGAAAATTGAAAAATTTAACTATTTTATTTTATTTATTATTTAGTTTGGATACAATATTATAGTTTGGTCTTTTATCAATACTACATTTAAAGTACAAACGATTGGTCCTTATTATTTGAATGTATGTAAAAACAATTAATAATAATAATAAAAAAAAGAGAGAGAAAGAAAGAAGTAGAAAGGTGTATTTTATGAAGAAGAAGAAGAAGAAAAAAAAAAAAGGGGGGGATGAAAGACAAGGAGGGATAAAATTTTACTGATGGCTTATTTTTATTCTTCTTTCTTAGTTTGATCCAAATATGACAGAAACTTCTCCTACTTCTCCTCCTACTCATATGGATTCAAAAGGTACTATTCCTGAAGAGAAATACAATTTGGTCAAAAAACGATTGAAAGAAATGACTGAAGTAAGAATCAATCTTTTTTAAAAAATATATATATAGAAATAAATGAATGAATAATTTTATATTCTTTTATTAGAAAAATGAAAATCTTACGAATGATCTTAATCATGCAAAGAAACGATTAAGACGTCTGGCTCATGAAAAATCGTAATGTTGATCAATATATATAGATTATAAAAAAATATATATATTTATCATTTTATTATTATTATTATTATTATTATTTTAGGATCTTACTAGACAGGATATGTCAATACGATGATAGTGTGAATATTAGTCAGGAAGATGATGAATCAATTCTCGATAATGAATTCAATGAAAATCACTATTCTTCTCTTACTATTATTGATACTGATGTCAATAACAATCGTGAATCAACAAAAAAGGATCTACATGTTATAACAGAGGATGAAACACAACAAGAACAACGATATATTCCATCTTTATCAGAAACATTACATGATCACACTACAACAATGATATCTATGAACAACAAGAATAATAAATCTCCCGATATACATCCTATAGATCAAATATATACGCCTCATACCCCTGTGCCTTCTACGTTACGAAAAGATTCTACTTTACCAAAGTTACCATCTACTATATTGAAACATACTGCACCTCATACTTTATCAAATCATATGTCTTCTAACGGAATGACGCCATTCAATAATTGTAATGATTACGACTCAAGACAATCATCCACCTCATCAGTCATATCATCACATTCCTCTTCTACAGGCAATAGCAGCAGCAGTACGACTCCAAATTTATCATCATCATCTTCTATACTACATGATACCAATCAAAGTCGTCATCATCATTCTGCATTAGACTCAGGAAAAAGTTGTACAATGGTTCCATCTTCACGACCCAAACGTATGAGACGTGGTAATCAAGAACCCAAAATGCGACGCGTCCAACCACTGGCTCGAGACCCTTCCTCCGGTGAATATAGATTACCTGCTCGTGTTGGTATTCTAACTGTCCATTCACTTGGTCGTGTGATCCCTTTGACTACTTATCATAATGATCGATACATCTGGCCACCTGGATTCAAAGTTAGCCGGTAAGAGAGAGACAGAACGAAAAAAAAAAACCATCGTTATTCATTCTCTTTTTTTTTTTTTTGATCCTATAGAACATATCTAAGTATGGTCAACTCTGATCAAAATACTGTATACACATGTACTGTGGAAGAAAATGGGGAACAAGGTCCAAGGGTAATATCAAACACATATATACACATCCATATATACATATTTGGTCAGATATCATTCATTCATCTTTTACTTTTTTTTTTTTTTTTTTGCTATAGTTTCGTGTTATCGCAGATGATTGTCCTGATCAACCTATTATTGCCAATTCTGCCACTGGTGTTTGGACAGCCATTGTGAAACGTGCAAATGAAATCAGAAATAGAGAACACTCCAATTCAGGTAAGAAAAAGAAGTACAAAAAAAAAAATAGAACTAAATAATTTATTTTTAGCTTCTGGCCCAGATTACTATGGATTTACTCATGCCACGATTGCCAAGATGATACAAGACTTACCAGGTGCAGATCAATGTCTCAACTATGTATGGCAAAAATTTGGAGTGATGCAACAACGAACAGCAGCAGGTGTAGCAGCAGCAGCACAAAAGAAATTGGCCAACTTGGAAATCATGGGTTCAGCAAACAAAAGGGCTCCTCCTCCTATAGGTGAAGGTTTTGTACTGAATAAAGATGATACATCAACAACAACATCAACAGCAAAAACTATCACCCATGCTTCAACCTCCTCCACCTCTGTATTGAAGTTAAAAGAAGAACCACCGACTAATTCTTTACCTCCACCGTCATTATCTCCATCATCTTCCATATCACCACCGTCTTTGTTATCCAATGCACATCCACAGACAACAATAGCAACCAGTTCACCAATCACTACGACGGTATCATCATCATCATCGTCATCATCATCATCACCATCATTACCTTCTATTCCTTCCTCAGCACTTCATGGTCATCATCAACCATTACACCATCCATCTTCTAGCTCGACATCTTCTGTACTTCCTTCTTTGGCCACTATGACAAGTACGGCAGCAGCAGCAGCAGCAGCAGTAGATATTCAACAAAGTCTTAATAATCCTTCTTCTTCAGTATTATCATCATCTTCTTCTAGTATTTCTCCCTTACCTTCCACCTCACTTCAACATCACTCTCTTCACTCGTCTCATCATCATCGTCATCCACCTGTTACCACAGCTTCACCTGGTATATCCGTTTGGTCAACGCTTAGTCGTTGATTGATGATTCTTTTGTTTATTTGATAGTCTATATATATTGTAATAATAAATATATTATATATATTTCTTAGAAAAAGACATCTTCCATCATCAAATTGACGTTATGTGATTTAAACTCAGTCTTTCCATTGGTTTCACTTTTTTTGGTTTCATTTTCTTATATTGTCCCTCTTTTTTTTTTTTCTTTTTTTCTTTTCTTATATTGTCCCTCTTTTTCCTTTTTTTTCCCTTTTTTTTTTTCTTTCAACTACTATGACTGGTGATCAACAAACCCTTATTGACACAGCCTATTTTGCCCCGTCTGAACCCACGGTAAGCATCCAGAACAGTAAAGATATTGAAGAAGAAATCAAGGAATGGCATTTCCACATATACTTTTTTCAACAAAATGAAGAACAAAAGCAACAAGCCTTGGTACTTCGGGATCGTGTATTGGCCTTGGTCAAGGAAGGGTTCTTCAAGGTGGTACCTTTTTATCGAGTCAATCTGCAACCCATTGGACCTCATCCCATAGGTAATAAATAAAAAAAAAAAATAATGTGCTATACTCAATAGTTTTTTTTTTTTTTTTTATGATAGGGAGTTATGAAGTATGGTGCCCTACTGAACATTTTGCTAGAGCGTTTTCATTCTTCACATTAAATCGAGGAGGATTGTCCATCTTGATTCATCCATTGACATTATATCCCTTGACTGACCATACTTCAAGAGCTGTCTGGTTAGGTGCCTCTATGCCTTTGGATTATTCTTCCTTGGCCGACGTCGAAGAAGGACCTTTAGGACAATACCCCAAATTGAAATTAGGTTATAGTAAATAGCTTTTCTTATCTTGAAATAAAACTCTTTTTAAATATATATATCCTCTTCTTTTTTTTTTTTTTTTTTTTTTGTCAACTCTCGGTCTATCTGTTGCAAAAAAACAACTCTTTCTATATTCTCTTATTTCTTCGTGATTGTTTTTCTAAATCGTTTCACTCCTTCCAATAGTCTTGAGCTTCAAAAATGACCACAACGTATCATGCGAATGGTGAGTACCAAAGACGGATAAACTTGCCTTTTATGGTATTAATCACTTGTAATGGGGACCTGACTGGAACGATGTAATAATCATGTTAGATAGAACATTCCCTTTTTTTTTTGAAACCTTAGGACCCATATTTCTGAATCATATTTTTTTTTTATTATTATTCAAGTAACGATGACGATCATTTTCAAAAAAAAGTCAAATCAGAATACAAACAAACAAATAAAAAACATTTTTATTATCATAACACAATAAGAGTGAAAATGTCGCATATATATCCACACACAACGATAACGTAAAAAGAATGGAAAACTAAAATCCTCATCGGTTGACGGCTGTCAACAACAAAGTTGTTGATCATCCATAGTGGTAATATTGATACGTACAGTCTTGGAGCTGACTAAAGGAGGAACATCAAGAGCAGGGTTGGCAAGGAAGAATCCATCAGGTTTTAATACAAAACCACAAGTTTCAACTGGCATAATAGGACTAAACCAAAAGAGAAAAAAAAAAAAAAAAGAAAAGGTTATCCGTCCATATACAAAATAATAAATAAATCTATTGTGATGTCACTTACAAATCTTCTACACGTACAGCATGAGTCAAACCAAAAGTAAAATAGAGTACAACATCCTTGTTTTGAATAGGTAAGTTTTCTTTTGTCCACACCGGTAAGCCCAAAGAGAGTCGATCTTGATTACAATAAAAACCAGCGGGATAGATCTGATGATCCTTGTACGGAGTGACCCATAATGTCTTGGTAGCAAAGGCAGCACAACGAGCAACCACGGAATCAGGTTTTGGTAGCAAAGGAGGGGTATTGTAAGAAGCCAGTTTGAATCCCATTGGTTCCTTGGTATATGGATGGATCTTGCTTTCATTGATGATCTTCCATGTCCGTCCTTTGGTTGCATCTGCATCGGTCTTGGCTTGATCTGTGCTCTTGAAGATCGTCGTCACTGGATAAAACGCATTGCCGGCTGGATTGTCTGGATGTCCTGTTGGATGTTCAGATGGGATAAAGTCTACTTGTGCTACTGAGTTTTGCTCTCCATCGATCATTGGATCAATCCGCATGCAAAAGAAATGTTGATGATATTGTCCCACTATTTGAGGTGCTACCGTTGTTCCATAAGGTCGAGGGTCTTCATCTTCCGCCAATACACACGTGTTCAATTCTCCTGTTGCCTTGACTTCATACTGAATACTACCATCTTGATACAAGTAAAAATAAAATCCATAGTCGTAATTGGCTGCTGTGATGATCTATAAAAAAAAAAAAAAAAAAAAAAAAAAAGTCAATAAATAATGGAGGGAAAATCCTTTTTTTTTTTAACCTGAGAAATAACCAAACGTCGTGCTCGAATAGAATAAGTCTTTCCAGATCGATATTCAGTATGTTTTTGCAAAATACCGTAATCTTCTTCATGAATACAAATAGCATTGGGAACCGTATAAGGCTTACCATGTACGTCACATAATGTAGCATCAAGGTAGTAGATAGTTCCAGAACAGTCGCATCCTTTCAATGAGTTGGTACAATTACCAATACCAAAAAAGCCGGCATCAAAGGCAAATTTCTTGTTGTACGGATGATAAGGATTACCATATGGAACCACCATTTCCGAAAGTGAGATTCGATAGAACAAAGGACGATCATTATCACCGTCTTGATACCGCACATCATGTAAGACCAATCCTTCTCGAAAATTAAAGCCAATCAATAATTTCCATTTTTGCCATGCTATTTCCCTGTCATTGGTAATCTTGAAACTAACACCTTCAGGTTGAGTAATATCGATAGGTTTGAGATCATGACGAAGATTTTCTTTTCCCAGCTGTTCAGGAAGATACTGTCTGTTGGTCAAAGGAATGGTTGGTCGTTCATATTTACTACCTTTTGGTACTCCATAACCGATTTCTATCACTTGTTGTGTATTGACATCTACAGAAAAAAAAAAAAAAAAAAAAGAGAATGGATGAGTACCATAAGAATGAGATAAGATGATTTATTATTACCGTAGATAGGAAAGATATCCAAAGGATGAGCATATTGATTATCATCCATAGAAGTTCTTGCATACATTACACCTTGCATCAATCGTCTCTTGTGGCTTTCAGGATGAAACCCTACATTCCAGGTATCGACAAAGATCAATGACATATCCTTGAACCCAAGTTTGGCACATTCTTCAATCACTCTTGCATCCTTGAGTATCACTTTCTCGGCCTCAATCATTTCCATGGCTTGAAAAGTAGGTTGACCTTCCGATGGCTTTTCCCAACGTTTCACAGTTTCTTCCGTCAACGACACCACCAGGTCATGTATTTGGCCACTTGGTCGATCCACCAGTATAACTTGGGCTTGACGATCGATGAATTCTGTCTTTTGGGAGAGATAACAAAGTACCTTTTCTTTGGGTGGTTCATACAATGATACAGAACTAAACAGATACTGGGTAGTATCGTCGCGTGCTTTTCGTACTATGCTCACGGCTTGGGTTATTTCCTTTTCGTCAAGAGGATCCAAAGGATGGTGATGTTTACTAAAGGTCATTCTTGGCTATATGTTGGGTTATAAGAATAAAAAAAAAAAAAAGAGTTTGGAGATAAAAGCGGAATACCAGGGAAAAAAAAAAAAAAAAAAAAAAAAAAAGGAAAAAGAAAAAGATAGAGAAAGGAAAAGTAACAAGAACCTTTTTTTGGAAATATACCCGCGGATATTAAAAACACAGAATTGAATGCCGTGCATAAAATAAAGGAAAAAGGATGTTTCGTAGCACTAATAAAAGATAGTTGAAAAGATAAGCTGATGTGCACACACATGATTACATACATTTACTTATATTTATTTATTTATATATATAACAGTATAATATGCGATCATTGCCAAAGATAAAGTTTTTATTTTTACCAGTTGTGCATCCCAAACTTCTTCTTGGTTGGACGTTTATGATGCACCTTGAAGTTGATAACATAAGGTTCTCATTTCAATTTATCCACGATAGAAAATAAACACAAAAAAAAAAAAAGAGGGGGATGAATGGACGAAAGTAAAGATTGTATATGGGTAATATTACGTGATCCATCGAGAGTAAATGTGACACCACGACAAGACTTTTTAAAAGGTTTGCAAGACCAAAGTACATCGTGTTCATACTGTAATCGGAAATTGAAATGCAAAAAAGCAAAAAAAAAAAAATGTGTTCAAAACCAAGCCCTTTTTCGAATGACTCGCTTTTTTTTTTTTTTTTTTTAATATCTAACCATGACAGATCTAAAAGCACCCAATCCAATAGATTTGGATAACACCATTTTTGACTTTGATGTTCATCCTTCTGAAGATTTGGTTATTTCTGGTTTGATTAATGGCAAACTCAATTGGTAACAAAAGAAAAAGCAACTATTTCTCAGTTGAACTCATTTATGCATTTCTTTCCTTAGTCATCGATATGGTTTAGAACAACACAATGTACTTTGGTCTTGCAAACCTTTTAAAAAGTCTTGTCGTGGTGTCACATTTACTCTCGATGGATCACGTAATATTACCCATATACAATCAATTTCGTCCATTCATCCTCCTCTTTTTTTTTTTTTTAATAGATGCTTTTGGTATCTCAAAAGATCGTAGTATACAATATTTGGATATAAACAATGGAACAGTTCTTGAACATAAAGAACAGACTCATGAGTAAGTTGTGATTAAACTTTGTTTTAAGAGATATATGAACGAAGTTTTTTTTTTTTTTTTTTTTTTTTAGTCATCCTTTGAATGCGCTATTGTGCTTGAACGAACATATGCTTGCTACTGGAGACGATCAAGGTGTTATCAAGGTAAGATAGAAGGAAATTGATCTTACTCTATATATTGATGGGTTCTTTTTTATATTGGATATTATTATAGTTATGGGATAATCGAAAAAAGGATGCTGTCATGACGTATACGGAACACGAAGATTTTATAGCACAAATGGTTTACAATGCGGACAAGAAGACTTTAGTGGCAGTAGGGTAAAAGCGAAAATACAACGACAAAAAAAAAAGGAGTGATTATCAATCATCTTGCAGAATGGATGTTCACTTTTTTTTTCTTTCTTTCTTTGTTTGATGATAGAGGGGATGGATACCTATCTACTTGGGATATTAGAAAACCTGATGTTGCTGCCATGTCAGATCATATGGAAGATGAATTATTATCTATCGCTTTGGTCAAGGTGAAAAAAAAAAAAAACGATGCTGAAGAATTGAACAAAGGATGGTATACTTACTCTTTTTTTTTTTTTTTTTTTTTTGAACAGAACAACAAAAAGGCTGTAGTTGGATCTCAGGAAGGTATTCTTAGTTTATGGAATTGGGGTGATTGGGGTGACTACAAAGATCGTATTGTTGGCCATCCAAATTCTATAGATGCTATTTGTAAACTGGACGAAGATACCATCTGCACTGGTAGTAGTGATGGGATCATCCGACTTGTGACGATTGCACCGAATGAATTTCATGGGATATTGGGTGATCATGGTGAAGGCATGCCTATCGAACAGATCAAATTGGTGCACGACAAGAAATATATCATCAGTTCAGGTCATGATACTTCTTTACGGTTTTGGAATGTGGCTCATTTATTTGATGAAGAAAATTCAGAGGATGAAAAGGAACAGACTGATAACCAAGTGAATGATGTGAATGATGTGAATGATGTGAACGACAACAAAAAGATCAACAACGATAGCTGGGACGATGACAGTGATGAATCAGATAAGGACGAAAAACCAAAACGAAAAAAGAAACAAAAGCAAAAAGCACCAATGAAAAAGAACATACCATCCACCTTCTTCAATGATTTATGATCTAGACTAGTTCCCCCCTACTTTTATAGTATCACACTTTATTCAATAGATAATTTGAAATTTAATAAAAAAAAAAGTTTATATATCATCCTTCCATCTTATATATACTTCTGCAATCACTTTGGTCTATAGGTTATTACAATGTTTAGATGTCGTCAATTAAAATTAAGATGTTGCCAAAAAAATGTCGTGAGTAACCATATATGGAAAGGAAAAGAGAGGGAGAGAGAGAGAGAGAAAGAGTAAGTTCATACGAATAACCTCATCCTATTTCAATGATCGACACTTACATAAAATATCCAAGTCAGGTCAAACCAAACTAAAGATGGAAAGCATATATTAGAAAGAAAATAAAGAAGTGAGTCAAGTTCCTTTTTTTTTTTTTTCTTTCCTTTCTTTCCGTTGACTTTATAGCTTGGTGTTTTACTCAATAACAACGACCGAGGATAAAGGAAACTTATAAAGGATATAGCGATGACAAAAAAAAAAAAAAAGACGATGGATCGACACTATGAATTCAAAAAATAGTATTTGATATTGGATAACGCACCAAAATATCAATCAAAGGACATACAATCAGCTATTATTGGCTGTGCTTCGGCCATACTCAAGGTATACAACTAAAAAGAGATATGCTGATGGTTTCAGAAACGTTATCTTCAAGAATATCTGACACATATAGTATAGTATACAGTCTGTCTCTCGTTTGAAGACTGTAATCAATCAAATTCCAATGTAGATTAGATTATATTACCCTTTTTTTGTGATATATCATCTCTTTTTTTTTTTTTTTTTGTTTAATAAACAAATGAATTTATATCAACATTTTCTTGCCTTTTGTACCTAGTAGCCGACATCTCTGGAGCAACATATATCCAAAATGAACAATTGATTTTTCTTTTTTCTATAACCCATCAATAAAACAAAAAAAAAAAAAAAAAAAAAAGATGGATGAATAGGGAATGCATAATGCTTTTATTACTATATATATATTTGTATATATAACGTAAGATATATATATATAAAAAAAAGAGAGAGATAAAAACAAAAAAGAATAAAATAAGGGGGGAGAACTAGAAAGATATGAAAATATCATACTAAAGCTAAAAAAGAGAAAAATATGTGAGAGTGTAAATACATAAAGAAAGATAATAATAATAATAATAATAGGCAAATGGATAAATGGTGTATGAGGGGGGGGGAAAGAAAAAGGGAGAATGAATGAAAGGAAGTCTAAGAGAGAAAAAAAAGAGAAAGAGAGTAATTGAGTGAGTGAAAGGATCCATTCTATCCTTCTACACATAACCCTTTTGTTGGATAATGCTTCTTGTTTCTGGTTCAATGGCGTTCCATAATTGATTACGAGTAGCTTCATCCAATCCACCTAAAATCACCTTCAAACTGTTAACCATACGAGGTACCAATTCAGTAGATAAGATATCAGCGGCCAATACTTGAGTGAAAATCTTGACCAAAGTGGGAATGTTAGCATTGTTGGCACCCAAAACACTGGGATGATGAGCTTCAAGTAAATTCAACAGATAAGTGTATACAACAGGCGCTTCTTGATCATCATTCACAATAGGTAAAGTATCCACCCAGGCACTTAAAACAGAATCCACATTGATCTTGCTACTATTGAATTGACAGATCTTGGCGACGGCAGAGATGGCATTTTCGGTTACCATCACTACTTCATCTTCTCGTGAGTTGGGAGCATTGATCATACCAAACAGAGGTTCCAAAGCGGCAGCACAAGCATCAGCATATTGAGGACCACCAAATTGACCACACACACCAATACCATAAGCAGCAGCTTGACGTACTTCACCAGCAGGATCAGAAAGACCATTGATCATGGCTTGCAAAAAGTAGTTTGAATAGTTATAAGAGTTAGGACCAGTAAATTCAATTACATCATCAAATACACAAATAGCCCATTGTCTAGCAGCAGGGTTCGCATGACCAAGGAATTGAAGAACCAAAGGTAGTAACTTTTCAAAGAATGGTAAAAAGGCAGCACGGTGAGCTTTGAAGATGGCTTGCATGGCACGAGCTAATTCACTAAGAGCTTCTTCTTCTGTGATTTCATCTTCCAATAATTGTTCATCATCTTCACCATCGTAATCACCATTTTGTTTTCCAGCTTCACGTTCATTCAATCGTTCATAGAATTTCTTGAGTTGTTCTTCAGTCGCTTTGATGAATGTTTCAATATCGCTAGGTTGTAAACAATTTTCACCCAATACTTCCAAACAATCGTGGAATGCAGCATATACTTGAGACAAAAAGGTGATATCATCTTCAATCATCATAATCTTGGCCATTCTTTCATAAATAGAAGACCACATGGCAGCTAGTTCGTTGGGAGCAACATTTGCATCCTTGGCATCACGTAGTAACAAGGGGATCAATGTAGCAGCAGCATGTCGTACACCATCATGGAAGTAAAATTTGAGAAGTGGTAAGGCAATTTCCAAAACAGGACCCACATATTGAATAAAACCAGCACCCAAATCCCTAGCATAGCTAACGAGCATTTCGATAGCAGTATGTTTTTCTTCTAACACAGAGGTCTTGATACCAATTTGTTGACCGTTGATACCCACAAATTCCCATCCATCTTCAGTAGGATATTTGCTTTCCACATCTTCATCTTCAGGATCGACAAAAGTAAATTCAGGAGTCAATTGAGCAGATTGTAACAAAGGAGGCATAATGTTGGGTAGATAAGGTAAGAAATCTTGTCCCATCATTTTGCACATACGGGCCCAAGCAGCCAAAAGGTAAGTTGTTTGTACATCATCAGGATCAGTTGCTGTTTGTTGAATTTGGGCCAAAAGTTGAATAAAATTATCAGTATAAGGAGCAAAGGCTTCTTTTCCAATAGCAAGACCAATCAAAGAAGCACATTCAATAGTACGGCAACGTAACAAACGGTATTGTTTATCAGTAGCTTGAGTGAGAATATCCAATAAGATGGGCATGATGACAGAATGATACTTGATGAATTTATCTTCAGCACAGTCAGCAACAGTAGCGATGGTGGTGATAGCTTGTTCTTGTACATATGTCTTGGGAGTCTTCAATAGAACCAATAATCGCTCAAAAATAGCATCCAAATAAGGATCAAGAGTGGCCTTATCAGCTTCTTCACAAAAGTTGACCATAGCAGCAGCAGCATGAGCTTGAACACGAGGTTGAGAATTATCTTCCATGACTGGTAAGAGAGCACTGATGATAAGTTGATGGAAATTCTTTTGAAGGAAAGGAGCGAAATCGGTGGACATTTGACCAACAGCATTACAAGCAGCATAACGAACACGAGGATGAGCATCCTTGAAAGGACCCAATAACATTTGCATGATATTTCCAAGTTCAGGTTTCATGATCTTGACAGAACCTTCACCAATAGAAGAGATGGCCATAAGAGCAGCTCGACGTTGTTGCCATTCACCAGATTGAAGCATTTGAGGGATGTATTGGAAAGCAATAGGAACCACATATTTTCCACCAAGTGTACGAGCTAAACGATCCATAGTGCTTTCACCCATAACATAATTTTCTTCATTGTCATCTTCTTCCAACTATATAAAACATCATCAAATAAGTTTATCATTCATTTTAACCCTTTTTTTTTTTTTTTTACTGTTTATCCATGACTTACATCATCCGTGGTATACCATGTTGGTTCATCTTCAATATCAGTGATCATTTCCATAGCAACAGGGATAATTTCATTAGCAAAGTTGGAAACCTTGCGACACATACCAGGAGCAGCTTCGCATAGAGTCAACAAAAGTTCCAAGGCAGTTTGACGCGTACGATCTTCAAAAGATTTATCCTTGGCAATTGACACCATCACAGTAAGTACATTGGGAAGGACAGAACGGAATAAACGAGGTACGTTGTCGGCCAATTCAATCAAAACCACAAGACCATCCACCAAAGTTTGATCATCACGAGCAGCAATAATAGGAGACAAGGGCTATAATAAAATCTAAGCAGATTAGCATCTTTCTTTCCTTTTTTTTTTTTTTTTATCTCTCTATTTTCACTTAAAATTCATGACTTACATCAAGCATTTGAGGCATCAAAGTACCCAAAGTTTTTTGACCAGCTTCATCAGCTTGAATAATATAAGCAGCAGCAGCTTTCATAGCTTCCAATCGAACCTAATATATCCAAAAGACAAGGAGAAAAAAATGAATATGATGATGACGATAACAATATACCTATAACACATACTTCTTGGCTTTCACTATCCGTCAAACTAGTCAAGAATACAGACTTGAGAGCATCTACATGTTGATCGGAGATCAATTCAGGAACAGAAGCAAAGATACGGAAAGCAGATTCTCTGTGCGCAGCATTTGGCGATTGACTACATTCAAACAAGGCCTTTGGTAAAGTTTCCCATTTTCCTTATTAAACAAAAATAACCATCAATATCCTTTTTCTTCGTATTTTCCACTTTTCTTTTACTATATTGTATTGATATTTACCTCCATCTCCATTAAGATCAGTCTTTGCAACTTCGGCAATAGTATCAGCAACTTTGTGACGAGTACTTTGATCAGATTCATTAGCGAGAGCAATTAAGAGTAATTCCTTCACAGTTTGGCGAGTAGATTCTTGAACCATGTCCCATAAACGAGCATCAGGATTAGTAGATGAGGTGAATTGCTTGAAAGATAGACGACGAAGAAGAACACTACAGTGAGAACGAAGCTATTTTTTTAAATAATAATAATAATAATAATAATAATAATAATAATAATAATAATAATAATAATAAACATAAAAAGTTGTAAGTGACATATATAAATACACACAGATAAAACTAAAACAAAATTCCAAGTTACTCTTTTTTTTTTTTTAATCTTTACCTGAACTTCAGTATTATGAGCAACAAATTGACCGAGACCAAGTAATAAAAGATCGGGTTGTTGAGTTACCCATTGATCATTCAATAGATTTTCAGCTTCAGATCTATTAAATCACAAAAAAAAAAAAAAAAAAAAAAAAGAAAAGGTATAAAATGAGAACAAACTATTCAAACAAGAGGCTTTTTTTTTTTTTTTTACCTTTGGTTGTTGTCAACTGATAAAAGATTTGTCAATACAGGAGTGAGTTGTTGAATCACTTCTGCAGATACAGGAACCTGAGCCATGATGCTGACGTTGAGTGAAGAAAAGATGAGGAAAAAGAAGAAAAGAAAAAAAAAGAAAAAGAAAACAAAAAAAAAAAAAAAAAAAAAAAAAACAGACACGAAAATTAAAGTCAAAAAGGAAAAGAAAACTTTCAATTTGGAGTCCCGAATGATCGCACAGAAAAAAAAAAAAAAAATTTTCAAGTCCATAAAAAACATATAATTTTTTATTGTCAATCATACACAATAAACTTTTCCAGGAATAATAAAACCATGTTCGCTATCAGTAGGATCTAATGCTAAAAAAGGAGGAGATATAACAAATAAAACATCACCATCAGGTTTTCCTTTTCCATCTGCTTTCATAATTGTTGGATCAAATGTTGTCTGACCACCTTCTTGAATCATTTGATGCTTAATTTCAATATCTTGTCCTTTCATTGCCAAATTAAGTCTAGATGTCCTTGTCACAATACTATCAATTTTCTTGCGTTGATTTTTAGTATAATCACCATGATTCAATAATTCTGGATAAATTTGTCCTAATTGTTCAATCAATCGATCCACTAGTTGTTCACTGGCTTCTTCTATAGATAATCGTTCATCATGTTGTTGTGCTTGATTCGCTAATAAGGCACTCATTTGTTGTCGAAATCGTTGGGCCCATTCTTCGTTGTATCTCCGCATCCAATCACGTACTTGCTTGTATGCTTCATTGACAGATACTCCAATATGTAAAGGTTGATCAAAAATAAATTCAACCAATATCTCCATCACCAGCTTTTCAGTCAACATAGTAATATATCGAGGTTCCAATTGATCTACTTTTTCCATCTCTTCCTTGATCAAATATTTTCTGAATGAATCTTGATGTGATTCGTATTTGCTGAATAAAAATTGTGATCCTGCTTGTACATCCATTTTTGACTTGAGTCCCATACATAGATTATTAAGTTGACTTGATATATGATTAATTTCATGTTGAATAGTCGATAGATCATCATCTGTTGCTTTGATCGATTTGACATGAGCATAAAACTTTGCTTCCATTCGTTGATAATCTTCTTTTTTACTATCCAATTCCCGTCTTAGTGCCGAATATGCCGCATCCAATTTGTTATAACGATCCATTTGTTCTTCAAGTGTTTGTTTGGTACGTTCCATAACTTCTAGTTCTTGTTGTCTATCCTTGTTCAATTGTGTAATATAAGCTTCCTTTTCTGCATGTATTTTTTCCATAATCTCTTTATGAATGTGTAGAGACTCATTGAGAGAATGTATAACGAGATCCTTATCAGAGTCCGTGTCACTCACCAAGTAAGGTGACCTAAGTTCATCCCCAGGTTCCATAGTTGTCAAGTCAGTGCTTACAGTCGAAGGTCGATGGTCTTCAGAATAGCTTTGGTTTCCAGAGGATATTGAATCGTTTGCATAGTACGAAGTCGGTGATGATGACATTACAATAAAAAAAAAAAGGTATAAAGATAAAAAAAAAAAATGTATTCAAAATACAGGATAGAGAAAAAAAAAAAGAAGAAAAGGAAAAAAAAAAAAAAAAAAAAAAGGGAGTGAGTCAAAAAAAAAAAAAAAGCAGGAAAAGGGAGGTTGGAAAGGGGGAGGCGATAGAAAAGGAGTTGCTTTCTTTTAGCATATTTCAAAAATATCAAAACTTTCCCAAAATGAATGTCGCATTGCCACTTTTTCAGATATCGCTCCAGAGATGCCATTAGTGTATATCAAATCACGTTGATTGATGATTAATGATTGATTATAATTGCCTCATGTTAATATATATTAACAATAATTCCTCTTTCCATGAATAATATGAAATGAACTAATGATGGATGAGTGATGATAATGATAATGATGATGATGATAATGATGATGATAATGATAATGATGATGATGATGATGATTAAATAATAGTGATCAAATAATGATGCTTGAATAGCCAAGTACCATTCATCACTAAAGTGTTGCTACCTAGAGACTATTCTATTGTAAGATTATATACATGATACACATGTAGAGTGATCATCATACTAGTCATTGTTCATTTTCTTTTCTTCAAACACTGAACTGGTACCGTCAAAAGCTTACTTTAAAAAAAAATCATTTTATTGACAAAGAAAAAACTAACTAAAAGTTTTTGACAGTTCCCTTTTCAGCGATTATTCTTACTACATCATCAGGATTGGACGTATTAAAAACAGTTCTATTTTTGAAATTTATGTTAATAAAATAAAATATATATAAAAAAAAAAAAAAGAAATTAACTTACTCTAATTGACCTTTCGAAGGACGATCTGCTGGAAGAATATTACCACCAGCTGGACTGGTAAAAACATCAAATGCTATATAAAAAAGAATGATTAGTATTTATTCGGTATCTCTATTTTCTTTTTCTTTTTTTTTTTTTTTACATTGCACGACATCAACAAGTGGTATGGATTTGTCTGATTTCCACTTGGCAACCATATCTGGAATCGCCACTACATAGAATTCTTCACCATTTTTATCTTTGTAATTGAGCTTACAAGTACCTTCACGCATTTCAGACGCATCAATCATATTTCCGCTTTTCTTGACAACACCCATATTTGTATTATCTTTTGAAAAAATAAAATAAAAAAAAAAAAAAATAAAAAAAGAAAGACAGAATATGCTATTTCATTTATTTATAGAGGCTTGCCTGAAACAGTACACCAATTTTAGCATGATTAGAAACCCATGTTTTAGTTTTTTTTTTTTATTTTTATTTTTTATTCCAGTCGCATGAACTCTTAGCTATTACACTAAGTACCCTATTTTTTTTTAACTATCACAGTCTCTTTTTCTTTTTTCTTTTTTTTTTTTTTTTTTTTTTTTTTAGTTTGAATTTTTACTTCCAGTTCAATTGATTGATAATAGATAGTTATTGATGAGTGTTTGATTGGTATATAATAGATAATGATGATGATTATATCTGACGATCGGATGATTGAATGATATTTTATAATTATTGTGCACACAAAATCTAATTTGGATAATTATTGTGTGATGACACAAAGACTGTCATTAAGATATATATATATATGTGTGGAAAAGATAGCATTTGAATGACGATTATCGTGATGAATAATGACAGCATAGGTTTAAAGATACACTCCAAAAAAAAACATACATTTCAAATGACCTCAATACAAACATATTTTCATTTTCATTTGTTGGCATAAAAGATATTAAAAAAAAAAAGACGAACAACGGAAGAGAGTAGCCTCCATTGAGTTCACAGTAAATAAATACCGAGATCTGCAATAACTTTTCCTATGACAAGAACTATTGGATACCCACTTTAACATCACGGCATATAGCTTGACCGCATGATTGATGAAAAAGGGAGCATCACCACCTCAAGGAAGGCAGTTAGTCAACAACCCGTTACAGGTACACATGTCTGGAGAACTTCCCTAACGCAATGGTAAAAAAGGAGTATTTTCAAAGAAAATATCCTCGTGTGTGTAGTGCGTCAAACATGCAGATCTTCTTCGTTGTTCTTAAAGAAAAAAAAAAGGAAAACGAAATGAAAAAAAATCAAATATTTTATATTGGTAACAAAAATTTTTTATGTGGCTTTGTTCTAGGGACTGTATTCGGTAATTATACTGTATTTTCGGAGATACACATGTATCATCTATCATATACGTATAGTTCAATAGCATGATTGCATTTAATATCATAGTGACAACATTCTTTTTTCCTATAGGAATGAGAAATAGATGATGATTCAATCGAAATTCAATTCAAAAAAAAAAAAAGAAGAAGAAGAAGGCTTGATTATATTTGATAGTATTAATAAAAGGAAAAAAAAAAAGATTTTAAGAAATGATCCACCTTTTTTTTTTTTTTTATAATGATCCATAAAGAACAAAGTGATATGATAACAATGATTGATTTACTTAACAATATATATAAAACTAGCTAAACTACAGTAACTAACTAAATAAACTATTATTGAATATATGCCATCCAATGATTATAAAAATTCATGACTATCTATTGTTTGTATATCTTGTTGATCATCAAAATCGTATCATCCATGTTTTTTGTGAAATGTGTGATTATCATTTGTTCATCCATATATGTCTATCCTTATTTCATTCATGTTTTTTAAGAGTCATTTTTCATATGTACAGTGTCATCCGGTTGTATCATAATCATTCATAAAAAAAAAAAAAAAAAAAGTATATATATATCCAGTTGTGAGTCATGTCGTATGTATTCGTCCAAAATTGTACCATGCTATATATGTATATATTATCCATTCATCCAGTTGAAATCATATTATATATATATATATAATAGTACTTTACAAATCAATAGTAAAGAAAGAAAGAAAGAAAAAATCATAAAAAAAAAAGTAGATTAATACAATGACCATTTTCCATTTTACTTTGCTTGTTTTCTACTTTCTTTTTTTTTTCTTTACCTTAAATCATCAATGGTATTTGTTTATATAAAATCGCATAAATCAAAAAAAAAAAAAAGATAATAAGATTATTAGTTCAACAGAAGACTAAAAGTGCTCAATGAATCAATGTATTCTTGGAGGTTTTTTTTTTTTTTAATGTAAACATTACAAATTGTTTTTTTTTTTTCCTAAACCGCTATTGTAATGTAATGTCTTCTAGATTGTTTTCTTTTTAAAAAAAAAAAAAAAAAATAGTCAGCGTATTGTATTTATATTTCCAAATATATTCCAAGTGAATATCATCATATATAACTAACCTAATATTATAAAATATATTAAATTATACCTTGTCCAAAAAAAAAAAAAAAAAAAAAAAAAAAGAAAAGTAATATTCAATATGGGATATACTATAGATGGGTTATATCAATAAGTGTAATGTAATAAAATAAAAAAAAAATTAAAAGTGGACAAGAAAGAATGAATGAATGAATGAATGAAAGAGAGAAAGAAAAGAGAAAAAGGAAAAGAAAAGAAAAGAAAAGAAAAGAAAAGAAAAGAAAAGAAAAGAAAAGAAATATACTATAGATAGGTTATATCAATATATATATATATAAGTGTAATGTAATAAAATAAAAAAAAAAAATAAAAGTGGACAAGAAAAGAAAGAATGAACGAATGGAAAAAAAAAAAAAAAAAAAAAAAAAAAAAAAGAAAGAAAAGAGAAAAGAGAAAAGAGAAAAAGGGAAATATACTTTTTTTTATTCTCGATGAGAGCGGCAATTCCATAATGCCGTCCCGGCTATTTTTAACCAATCAAATTGCGCAAATTTTGGATTGGCAATATATAGTATATAAAACGGTTTTTTCCAAAAACAGCATCAGTAGTTTAGTGGTAGAATATTAGCCTTCCAAGCTGACGGCAGGGGTTCGATTCCCCTCTGATGCAGTATTCATCGATTTTTTTTTCTCTGTATGGTCCATCACGTGACTTACTGGATGTTCATCTTTACCCTGTAACACAAGTTATCATTTTTATTGTTTTATGTTATGTGTTAAGTGATTTTTTGGTTTATAGGTTCAAAATTGAAAAAGTAACTCGGATGATCGAAAAAGAATAAGTTGTTTAGTGAGCACCAGTACTTGATTACGCAAGCACACGTATAAGAAAAGAGATAAAATAAAACAAAAAGTAAAGTAAAGAAAAATAAAGTCTTGTTCCAAATTTGGAAAGTAAAAGTAGAGTAAAATTGTTCTGACTTTAAATATAGAACAAAATGAGCCAATCAAAATGGATAATCCACAATACAATCAAGTAGGGATGAAAAGAAAAGATTTATTTAAAAAAATATATTGATGATTAACTGACTCAAAAAAAGGAAAAGTAAAAAAAAAAAGTTGGAGTATTTATACTAGTTATAAAATAAAGTTCAAATGAAAAGAAAAAACGAAAATGAAAAGGAAAATAAAAATAAAAATAAAAATGAATGTATAAGAAAGTTTTTTTTTTTTTGTTTTTTTTTTTTCTTTTGTTATTTTTTTTTTTTTTTTTGAATACTTAACATAAGTGATTTTTTGGTTGTTAAGGCAAAAATTGAAAAAGTAATTTGGATGATTGAAAGATAATAAGTTATATAGTGAGCACCAGTACTTGATTACTGTCGTATCAGCATATTTCATACCTGTAATATAAGCGAATAATAAAAAACAAAAAAAAAAAAAAAAAAAAGAATGCATTCATACATATAATACATCTGTAAATGACCCTATTGATATGTAATAAAAATAGTTGTAATAAAATAAAAACTTTATTGAATAAAAAAAAAAAAAAAAAAAAAGGTATGTAAAACTAACGACTACACTAATGTATATAATAAAATCATAAAAAAAAAAAAAAAAAGTCAATGGAAGAGAAAAAGAAAGGAAAAAGAAAAAAAAAAAAGAAAAATAAAAAGTACGCGTATTAAAAAGGGGACTTTGAAATTTATTCTACTCTTAATCTATTATTCATGAATACCGTACAAACTAACCAGATATACCAACAAAGAGTATACGTGGTATTTAATACATATGATGATTATAATTTTTTATTTTCAAAATATACATAAAAGAGATATAAATTTTTCAAGTGTAGATAATCAACTTTTTATTTTAAATAAACTAAGAAGAACCTCACTGACTTGTTCCTAGTCTCACATTTTTTATTTTATTTTATTTTGTTTTATCTACACACAACCTAACAGGTATATAAAAAAAAAGTTCGTTAGATAATCGTGATGCTGGATGGCGATGTCGGTAACGGAGAGTTAAAAGTGAAAAGAAGAAATTTTTCTTTTTTTGACATATTTTTTTTTTGTTCTCTTATCTTGATGATGATTAATAAGAAGGATGAATGATATTATTAATATAATAATATCTTTGACATTGGGTAGTATTGAGCACAAGTTCTTTTGTAAAAATAACAAAAATGAAGTAAAGGGAAAAAAAAAAAAAAGTCCAAAAAAGGAAATGGATGTAGTAATGGATGACTTGGATGATGATCAAATATAATGAAATCAAATAAAATAATACAACAATAACTTGATGATTGTTATAAAATAAAATAAATAAATATAAAGGGTTTACTATCGAGTGATGATTACTAGTTTTATGGTGGTAAGAAAAAATAAAAGACGTTTTACACTGTATATGTGTATCAATCATTACTCATGCTTTATCATGTAATCATCATCACACTGCAATCTCTCATCGTAATACTCTAACCAATCATCACACTACTGTCATCATCCTATGATTCCAATCAAATATCATTTACTCCAAGGACTGCATTGGTAACCATACTATTTACTAAATGTCACAAATTCAAATTCCGGTCTTTCAATAAAGTGTTTGTCAAAAAGTGAGACTAGATTCTTTCTCTCTTTTTCTTCTTTTGACTTATTTTTCACACACGACATGATAATACACAATATCAAAAAGGTAAAAAGAACAATGATAACTAACTTACTTTTTATCTTTTTTGCTCTTCAAAGTTTCATACTACATTCTTCTTTTGTTAATGGTAAGACACTCTACTTTCTTTTTCTTTTTTCTTTTTTTTTTTTTC